TTAGAATCTGAGATATTACTAGAATTTAAAGTATAGCTAGATAAATAATAATTAACAAAAAGAAAGAGGATTAGTTTAATAAATATAATATAGCTAAGATTAATAATAATAAAGAAGAAGATGAGTTTACTAATAATAATAAATTTATTAGTAATACTAATGATAATGGTGATATTAAATATAGTAAAAGCAACAAAGCTAGAATACATACATTTTCTGCTTTATAATAAGATCTTACTATATAAGATTCTATTAGTAAATATAAAGATAATATAGATACACTTCCTCTATTTTTTCTGTTATTTGTTATTATACACTAAATGCAGCCTACAAACAATTAATAGCTACAGTAAGGAAGAAAATGTTAGTAGAATAAGAATATATATAAATATATAAAAGAAAAGAAAAAGACTTTGCAAAGGCTAAATACTAGTAATTTTACTATCGAAATCACTTCTAATCCTACTTCTAAATATATTCTAAATACTCAAAAATATATATTCTTTCTACATAACTTATATAAGTTATATACTTTTGTAAAATTTGATATGTTTGCATTATTTATAGTCTTACGAAAATATTACAACAATACTACAAAACGAGACCAGAGATCTGGTATCGCCAAGAAAGTATCGCAAGTGCGAGACCGGACCCTTAGTATCGTTATAAGACTGGTCTCGCAAGATAGTATCGCGAGATTTGTCCAGACCTAAATATATTCTTATTAAATAAAAGATCTAATATAATATCTTTAATATTTATATTATCTTTATATTAAAGTTTTATCATTTAATATAATATAATCTATAATTTATATTAATATTATTTTATCAAAATTAAAAATTAAAAGATTAATAAATAAAAATCTTATAAAAAAATAATAAAATAAATTTTATTATAAGTCTTTATAATTATAAAATAGTTTTAATATTTAATTAAATAGTTTAAATCTTATAAATATTTAAATTTAAACAGAATAATTAAATATTTTTTCCAAAAAATCTATTATTTTATTAAATTATAAAAATACTTTAAATAAATATATATTATATATATTATTAGATTTAATATATAATAATAAATAATATTGAATACTAATATAATTTTTTTATAAAAAATAATTAATAAAAAAATCTTTATATTAAAAGAATTTAAAAAAATATATAAAAAAGGGGTTTAAAAAAAAGAAATTTAAAGAAAAAGATAAAAAAAAAATAAAAAAAAAATAAAAATTATATTTACTAAAATTTATTATTATATAATCCTTTACTTTTAAATTTATTAAAATATTTTATATTTTTATATTTTTTATTCATTAAATATAAATAAAAAACTACTAAAATATCTTTGAATTATAAATTTGATAGATTTATAAAAAAATCTATATTAATCTAGATTATTAATATATTATAATAATTAATAATACTCTTATATATATAAATATAAAGATATTCTTATTAATATTAAAAACATTAAATATATATCTAAAATAAATATTAACTATAATTATTATTATTATTAAAAGATTATATTTTATTTAAATCTAATAAATAAATCTAATATTTTTAAAATATAATTATAAAATATCTTTATTATTGAATATATTCTAATCTATTATTAAAATATTAATTTATAATCTAAATATTAGATTAATTATTAATTAATAATATATATAAATAAAATCTTAATATTTGATTTTATTAAACTATAAAATTATATAAGATTAATATAAATAATATTTTTAAATTAAATAATAATATTTATATATTTATTTTTTATTTCTTTTATTTTAAATATTATTATTAAAAGCTATATAATATATAATATTCTATATTAAATAGAATTAATCTATAATATAATTTAATTAAATATTCTTAAATATTCCTATCTATTAAATAAAAATATTTAAATTATAAATGTTATTTATTATTATAGTTTTTAATTTTATTAATAAACAGTAAACTTTTAAAAATATAATAATATCTATATAAAATAGAATTTTATATAATTAATTAATAATTAATGTTAAATATTAATATAATATTAATATTTATTTAAATAGAATTAATGATAAATAGAAATAATAATAGAAATAATAATAGAAATAGTAATAAAAGTAATAATAATTATTTTAAAAGAATCTTAAAATATTAATAATATTATAAAATAATTATTAATAACTTTATTTATATATTATATAATATAAAAAAATATTATTACTAAAAATAGATTTTTAAACAACTATTAAAAATATAAAATAAATTTTAATTAAAATATTTAAAATATATTAATTTATTTAAATCTAAGATTAAAGAATTTATTCTTTATTTAATAAATAAAAAATAGTTATTCTTCCTTTTAGTATTTTTTTTATAATAGATTTTTAAAAGATTTAACAAAGTCTATTTACTATTAATATTATTCTCTTTTACTATTGATTTAATAATAACTCCTACTTTACTATTACAATAAAATATAGAAATTATAAATAAAAACATCTGCTTTAAAAAAAAAGATAATTATAAAAAGTATTAGTTTTATATAAAATAAATATAGTTCAAAAAATATTTATAAAGAATCCTTTTATAATTCTCAAAGTATATAGCCCTATTCTTCTATAGAAACAAAAGAATCTCATTCACATAAAGATTACTCTACCTATAGGCTTATATATTAGTTATATTATAGGGCTATACATTATAGTTAGTCAGCCTACCATTATTATAATAATCTTGTAGTAGAAGAAGGGACTCCTTCCCAGACTCTGATTCCTTCTGCAAGAATCAACTGTTGAATATACTATAAGTGTATCCTAAAACCTGAAATCGACTTCCCTGCGTAAGACTATCGAATCGCATACGAATCGATAACCGTTCCCTCCTGAATCTCCTGCCGGGTTGACAGGCCGTACACCTGGAACTGTGCATTCGTTACATTTTGATAGATTTTAAACAAAGAATTAAAACTGCAAAGCCTTCTTATCTTCCAATTATATTTATTGCTTCAATCTTATCATCTAGTATTTAATATTCTTCATTAAAATCAAAAATTATAAATATAGTAATAATAGAATATAAAAACTAATTATTTAGATTATTCAATGGCAGTAAGGGTTTTACTAATAAAGGTTCCGCCAGCAAAGATTCCAATAAGGATCTCAGCAGGATTTCCAATAGCAAAGAGTCAAAGACAGCGACAGCAATAAAGGCAACAAAGGCAGCAAGGGTTCTACCAAAGGTTCCGGCAGCAAAGATCCTGCGATGTTGATTAGTTAGTGATGCGGTATAATATCTTTATTACCAGAATCTAACTTTATCAGGTAATCAAACCCCAAATTCAATATATTAGGTGAGATAGATGTCAAATTCGGATAAAAAAATGCAGAAAAGATATCGAATTTGCATATAAAATGAAAAAAAGTAAGGTATTCAAGATAGGGAAAAAGCTGAGAGATAGGTAAAGTTTAGGTGAGATGGGAGGATGTATTACAAAATTACAGAGGTGACCTAGGTTTGTATAGGGTCTATATAGTAAAGCAAAGTATCATGTGTATTGATCTGAGGCGGTATTGTAAGATTCGGGGACAGTAGGTTTTTGTAGTTGACCGCCTCCCGATCGGGTTTAACGTTACGCAGAGGGGTGTGGTAGGCTGAAACCGGTTTCGGAATTTTTGGATTTTTGGAATCTGTAAGGGGTGCGGTTAGGGGCGCGCCTCCCCACGTAGGCCAAAAGACCACTATAATCCCGCGCATGCGGGATTATCCCTAACTCCGCCTTATATACCACCATACCGGGCTGCCCCATGTTCCAGGCGCCCGGGGCTGCACCCTTAGGCTGCCAACCCCTTACATCCTAATCACATAACTTAAATATATATTAGATTCCATTTCAATGTTCATAGGATTTTAATTTTTAAGATTTAGCTCTAAAACTTATAGTAGAATAATATTGCTGCTCACCAGTCCCAATTCAGCCATACTCCACATTCTGACCACAGACCAATCATAAGCTACAAAACATTTAAGGGAGAAAAAGGAAAATGCACTAGATGTTGAATAAGAAGTTCGTTCCAACCCTTATTTGCTGTTTGTATACGAGTAGTAGATAGACCCTCGCTCTCGAGTCTCCTTCTTTTCCTCCTTCTCTCTCTCTCTCTCCCCGCAGTCAGTCAATCAATCAGTTCAGTCTTCTTCTTCTTCTACCCTGTAGCCCAAACACTAAGCGCTGCGCCCATCTGCTATCTGGTGACCAAAGGTCTCCAAGTCCCTAGTATATGATTACTATGGTATTTTGTATTATTATAAATAGAAATTATATTCTTTATATTTTTTTTGTTTATGTCACAGTGTGAAGCCGCAGTACCCTTCAGCTGAGATTCTGCCTTGACTGTCCGCCTCTGTTCCTGTATTTAAGCCACACCGTTCCCCTATGATATAGCCTGTATTTTTGAAATTGACATCTTTACAAAAGATAAATCTAATATTGTAAATTATATTTAGAATTTCTTAAAAAAAAAACCTAGTTTCGCAGGATTGTGGGTAGCATATATAGTGGTCTATAGGTGTGTTATATTATACTTGTTGACCTAATGTGCTTAGCTCCTACTTAAGTAGTAACAAATATTATTTGTAAATAAAAAAGTTGGAAATTGAATGACTATAACATAGCACAGTATATCTACAGTGAATTCATAGTAGTTAATTTCCAACTTTTCCTACATGGTTCGATTCAAAGTTGATCATTTCATTGGATTCGTTGGATGAGGGACCTTTAGCACCTCAGTCATTGGGATATTCATCCTTCATATTACTCACAAACATCAGGTTCTTTTCATCCCAACGTTTGAAATGTTTTCCCGCAATAGCAGTCAAGCTGCCTGGCAGCTCAGTGAAGTTGAGCAGTATAAGTTCAACATTCTCCTCTGCCACATATCGGACGCTTCGATCCTCCACGCTGTGCACACAGTCAACTTGGAACGGGACGTGGGACATCGACATCACTTACAGGACGTGATAGAAGCTTTGGTGCCTGCCAGCTTCTAGTCGATCAATACCCATTCTCATCATCCACGGCTCGCCTGCACCGCACTCCGAATCCCACCCCGTGATGACAGCCGTGTAGTTGTAGCGACGGTGGCGGAATACCTGGCCCACTGCGTATCGGATGCTTGTATTCCCTTCGCTTCGTCTTCGAACCCGCTTCGGGATCTCATCCACGGTCTTCATTACATGCAGCCTCTCCAAAATGTGCTCGTGCTCGTACAGCCCTTGAAACAGAGGCACGATGTACTTCTCGATCAAAAAAAGGTCGGAGGGAAAGTCAGCGACAAACAATTCCATGAGCCGTGGCAGGTGATGACGGAGGTCTGTCGGTCTCGAATCACTCGACAGTAGCATCACAGACCAGATTGCGGCATATTTTGCGCTCACGACATCCATCGAAGTATTAAGCGCCTCGGGATGTTGAGATTCAAGTCGGATCGAGTTCAAGATATTCTTGCCACAGCGCAAAACCACGGCCGAGGTATCGGACTCGCCCAACGTGGTGATTTGGTCCTGGGTTGACATTCCTAGGAAGGCCAATTGGCTACGCAATGCTGAGATCGGTGTCTCCCTCGCTCCTCGGAATGGATCTAGATACAGAGGCTCTCCTTTCCTGTCCTCGGCCACAGTGTTGCCTTCCATGTCCAAACCCGGTTGAGGGGTAACAATAACATGGACATGGAATGGGAACCCACAAGGTTGTGCATTCAAACCAATTCCACGTGCAACAAAGCAGAATATAACGGCAGATACCAGCGGTAAAGAATTGTGCCCTGTGGTCTGGAGGGCCATACCGAGGAAGTTATGGTCCAAGGTATGATATTCTCGGCCTGGGTCAATTCCTGTAAGACCATTGACCTCAAGCCAGGATGCAATGGCGAGAGCCTTGGCTCGGGGACTGAGAAAGACAAGGTCGGTACAAGATGTCACAAACCGGTGTAGTATTCCGGTAAGAGAGTCTTGAATCTAACCACCATTTTACGATCGCATATCAGATCCGAAATTCGCGTCAAGATACCACCCGGGTGCACACTCACTTCATCCAAATCCCCATATTCCTTTCCCGGCACAAAGAGATCAAAGCATCCTAGGGCTCGTTCGAGCTCCACTGGTTCGCCGCGCCTGACTTTTACCCACTCCGGTATCGCAATGCTCCGATGAAGGCAAGTCAAAAGAGCGCGTGCATAGTACCTTTTACCACAAAGCATTGGTCAACCTGCGGGCAATATATGCCAATTTCATGGAGACAAGCCCACCTTCTGGCCAATACATCGTCTCCGGAGTTCACGCAGCCGTGTCGTAACAGGGTATCTTTGGCGTCGTATCCAAGATCTACCACCGAGCGAAACTTCTCGATTCGACCTGTCTGACTGTCAAGGATACTACCCAGAATCCGAGTCACGGAGCAATCAACCAAGTATCTGGACACAAAAAGCGCCTTCCAGTCCGTTGATTGTACCGGGCGGGATAACTTCTGGCGTATCTCGTGACGGTTATCCCAAAATTTGTAGTGCGACTGGCAATATTCACGCCATAGTAGAGGTTCATTTGTTACAGGTCGGAATCGCGTGTTGGTTTGTTCGAGGGCGGCGCACGACCGAGGGGAGGAGTAGCATAGTACAGAATTTAAGATCTCGTCTGGGAGGTGAATGAGAGATCGAACCATCCCTGAAGATAGAACTGAGAATATTAGGAAAGGGTTAGTGAATCATGATTTGAAGTTGAAATGGGAAGAGAGAGGAGAGAGGAGAGAGAGTAGATGTTGACGCATGCCAAGCCCGTGAACTTCAAATGTTTTCCCCTCCACACATTTCTTCTATTCTTCTATTCTTCTATTCTTTTTTTCTTTTTTTCTTTTTTTGTCTTTTTCCTTTTTCGTTTCTTGCTTTCTGCCTTCTGCTGTGTTTTTGTCATGGGTCAATTTCATTCCAGCCAGGCCAGCTCTGCCCCGGAACAAGAGAAAAAAACCGATTACTATGAACTGCTTGGCCTTACACGCGCCGCCACGGACGAGGAGTAAGGTTGGATGCCACTCGGGTGTACATGAGCACTAACTCCTTTGAAAGAATCAAAAAGGCATATCGAAAGAAAGCCCTGGTGTTACATCCAGATCGAAACTATGGAAATGTTGACGAGGCCACCAAGCTCTTCGCAGAGATTCAGTCTGCATATGAAGTCCTAGCTGATCCCCAAGAACGAGCATGGTATGACTCTCACAGTGAAGCTTTCTTGGGGACTGACGGGGGTGATGGGGATCAACACTCGTATAACGTTCGAATCACAACCGCCGAAGACGTGCTCAAACTATTTTCAAAGTTCAGCCCTCGGATGGAATTCTCTGATTCCTCCACGGGATTCTTCGGTGGTTTGCGGGAGCAATTCGAGCAACTTGCGCTGGAGGAAAGACTGGCATGCCAGTGGGAACACCAGGACCCGCTCGAATATCCATCTTTCGGGTCCTGCGATGGGGATTTTGAAACCGTCGTGCGGCCATTTTACGCGGCATGGTCTGGATTCTCTACTCAGAAATCTTTCGCATGGAAAGATGTTCATCGATATTCAGAGGCGCCGGATCGTCGAGTGCGACGAATGATGGAAAAAGAGAATAAACGCCTTCGGGATGAGGCCATTCGCGAGTTTAATGACGCGGTCAGATCTCTGGTGGCTTTCGTCAAGAAACGTGACCCCCGATATAAATCGAATGCTCAAAGTGAAGCCCAGCGTCAGGAAACCCTCCGTCAATCGGTGGCTGCGCAAGCGGCTAGATCACGAGCGCACAACCAAGCCCAAATGCGAGACCATGTCTTGCCGGATTGGGCCCAGTCCGAGCAGCCAGTGGAGGATGAGGAAAGTGAGGAGAGCGAAGTTGAGAGTTTTGAGTGCGTGGCCTGCCACAAGTTCTTCAAAAGTCAAAAACAATCCGAGGCCCACGAACGCAGTAAGAAGCATTTGAAAGCCGTCAAACAACTCTGCTGGGAGATGCGAATGGAGAACGAGGCCTTGGATTTGGAATCCACGGGTGACACGAATTTTCCTGTTGATGCACCTCGATCTGAGTTGGGAGTTGACGAAAACGAAGTCGAGATGCCTCCATCCGAGGCTGATGAGTCACAGAACTCCCACGTTGATGCTAACTCTGATGGCATAGAAATTATGCAGACTCAGGAGGAAACCTCTGTGGAACAACCATTGCCCACGCCTGCTTCCCCTGACGATGACCATCTCGTTGCCTCGGAGGATGATTACGCCTCCAGGGAATATGTGGAGACAAGGCTGCGCACGGAGTTCGATTCTTTGTCTACCACGGCTGCTGGAGAAGATTCATCCCCTTCAGGCCTGCACGAACCATCATCAGCCCCGAAGCTGGGCAAGGCCAAGCAGAAGAAGGCCAAAAAGGCCGCCAAGGAGGCGAATCAATCCAGTGGCTTTGCGTGTGCAAATTGCCAGGAATCCTTTCCCTCGAAGAATAAGCTATTCGATCACATTCAAGAACTAGACCATGCACAACCAGTCAAGAAATCAGTCAAGAAGGGAAAGAAACACTAGCTCCATAGCTATGGACCACGGCTTTCTAGTTCGATTTCTATTTGCAGAGCAACACACACGCTTGGGATAAGCGCTCTCTGTCTACTTCTTGTCCACAAGACATGGAAACTAACCTAATCCAGCCCGTGAGTTCTTGACAACTTGCGCCACGGGCTGCAGGATTCCCTTGTTGTCGGCCGCACCCAACGCAGTGCCTGTACTCCACCCCATCTTCTCCAGCATGGCTCGTCCGCGGTTATCGGCTCCGATTTCTGGAGCTGAAGCACCAACCACATCGCCGTCCATGTAAGAGGCAGCTCCGGATTTCCCCCGACTTGTTTTGAACGACTTCGGTGCGTCTGCACCCCATGCCTTGAACATTCGCCGGTTGAACTTCTTTCCCGACAAGAGTCCATCCACATTGGAGATGGTCTTCGGGGTGTATCTTGGAGTTCGGGCGGTCTTGTTGAGAACGGGGAACCGAGATAGTCCATGACCGCGTGACTGTGACTTCAGGTTCAGGTTATTGGCCACCTCGTGTATGAGCTTTCTTCGCTCCTTGGTCATGGGTGGCAATGGCAGACTATATGGAGTTAGCTCAATGAAATGATAATGCCTTGGCGTAATTCGAGTCGTACCTGTTTTTGGAGGATAATAGGAATGATCGAAGCTCAGTCATAAACTCCTCCATGTTCATCTCCTTGGAGTATTTCACCTTGAGATCTGGATTCCCTGCTTTCCGACCCAACATGCCCTGGGCCCGAAGCTCTTCCCGCTCCTTCTTGCGCAGCTTCTTCTTGGTTCGATCGTTCTGCCAGGCTTGTTGGAGCTCGATCTCAAACTCGCTGTCGGAGAGTTCCAATTCGGGAATAGCATGCTTGCCCTTGGGTTTGTTTCGTAGGCTCGGTCGATCGAAATCCATGATATCGAATCCGAAATATGGGTCAGCCTCGAGAGCATCGGCAAATGCTGAAGCCGACGGGAAGGCGGGCTTTCCAGACCGAGTGCCCTTCTTACCAGACTTCGAATATCCCTTGGCCAAGTCCTCGAGTAAGATGAAATCTTCAATGGCGTCGTCGTCAGAATCGGAAAAGACGAGATCTTCGTCATCCTCGTCATCCTCGCTCGATGCTGAGATCGAATCATGCTCTGTGTCAATTTGCATTTGAGCCAGCCCTGTAGATGAGGTGGATGTTAGTAATTTTCGCAAGCGCCGAAGGTAGTTCAAAATCCCACCGTCAACTGAGGTTGTAAGATTGTCGCTCGGGGCATTCTGTCCTGCGTCCAGTGATCTGGATGACCGTCTCTTGGAGCCCGCTGGGCTTGCAGCCGAGAGATCGAGTTGCGTCGCAGCCTTTTCGACGTCAATGTCGTCATCTGAAGCAAGCTTCATGCCAGTGAGCTCCTCGTAGTAGTCTTTGTCAATGTTGGCGATGTAATCGGCTATCGGATCAATATGTTGTTTCGGAGGCCATGTTGGGCTCTCTGGGTGTGATTCCGTGTGCGTGTGCTCTACTTGAACCACAGGGGGCGATGGTTCCCGTGGAACCGGAACAGGACCCTGTGCTGTTTGTAGGGGTGAAGGAGTGTTGTGAACGAATTTTTCAATCTCGGTCTGGTGCGTTTCGACGATCACCGGTTTGGCGGTCTTCCTGCGACCGGTAAAGACAACTTCGTCCTCGCTTGAGTCGTCTGAGTCCGACAGTTTGGTCTGGATGACTGGGTCTGGTAGACCGGTGTCGATCTCCTGCTTCGTCGAGTCCAGGAAGAAAAGGCTGTCACTCTCTCCGGTTTGTCCTTCGGCTTCGTCGGGGGTCGGTTCCTCTGGGTCTGAATCGGATTTGATCTGCTCGTCTTCTTCTTTGGTCGGCTCCAGGCTCCCTGCACTCACGAAGAGTACCGCTTTATGACGAAGGTTGGAATCTGACCATGATCGACCGTGTGTTTCCGTGTTACGGGCTTCTTGCTGCATGGTAAACTTTGGTGTTGGGTCTGTATGTCATTAGAAAATATCAATTGAGGGAGAAAAGTGATTTTTACCTTTGACCACTGGTGCCCGCCTAGTACGGGCCTTGAACTTCCCATGGCGGGCCATGGTGGTAGATGTTCTTGCGATGTTGTCTTCGGTGGGGAATTCTTCTCTCACTCTGCCAAGGCGGTGAACTACGTCCAACTCCGCAACTATAGCTCTGTTATGTTGGGATCTTGCGATATTCTAGCTCTTATTAGAATATTATATTCTACCTAGGTAATCTCTATATTAAAACCGAAAAGAACTGAAGATCAACTGAAGAGGAAAGAAAAAGAACAAAAAGAACCAAGTTGGCAGTTCCCTCGGTGACGTCTTGGCTCGTGACCCCTCATCGACTATAGAGCTCTCCCTTTCTCTTGTACACGTCTCTCTGTTCTGTTCTGCTCTGCTCTCCTTCGCCGGTCTGTTTCTCTATTGTCTCTATCTTCGGTTTAGTGGAAGTGGCATGGTGATCTACCGACTCTCCCCGCTGGGTTATCAACCTTGTTCCTAGATATATATATATATCTACACCTCTCTCCACTCTCCTCACCGTTCACCTGTCAACACCATGACCGTCGACATGGAAAAGTGCAAGCGCATAGTACAGTACTTCTGGGACCCAGAACCCAGAAACGAGGACCCAAAAACTGTGATCTGGTGCCTGGGTCGAGAGTATGCGCCTACCGCGGACGTCAACGTTGCGAATGATACAGGAAACGACACATGGCCCAAGGCATTTATCTCGGACTTTGGGTCTCGAGTCTGGGTTACCTACCGATCTAACTTCACCCTGATCCCACGAACCAAAACTCCGGAAGCAACATCCTCAATGACGCTGGGTGTACGCCTAAGGAGTCAGCTGATGGATTCCCAGGGCTTCACCTCGGATACCGGGTGGGGCTGCATGATCAGATCGGGACAAGCCCTCCTGGCAAATACATTGTCCATCCTTCTGCTAGGACGAGGTGAGAGCTGCCCAACCGCTCAACTGTGTGCCAGACCAAAGCTAATGACCCAACATCAGATTGGCGGCGCGGGGAAAAAGCAGAGGAGGAATCGAAACTGCTATCACTATTTGCTGATCATCCAGATGCCCCATTCTCGATCCATCGATTCGTTAATCGTGGGGCAGATTCATGTGGCAAGTACCCCGGCGAATGGTTTGGACCATCCGCAACGGCCAAGTGTATCCAGTGAGTATCATACCAGAACCCCAAGAGCACTGCTAAGGACGAAACAGGCTGCTCTCAACACAAGATGGGTCTGCTCACCTGCGGGTCTACGTGACGAATGACTCAGATGTCTACGAGGACAGGTTCACTCAAGTGGCCCGCGATCGATCAGGTCGAATCCAACCAACACTGATCCTGATTGGAACTAGATTGGGTATTGATCAAGTCACCCCCGTGTACTGGGATGGACTTCAATCCGCCCTGAAACATCCCCAGTCCGTTGGTGTAGCGGGGTAAGTTGGACCGGCAAGAATGCTGCACAGCAAGCTAACGAAAGAAAAGTGGACGCCCGTCTGCATCACATTACTTCTTGGGAGTCCAAGATTCCCACTTGTTCTTCCTGGATCCCCACACAACACGACCCACTACGGCATATCACCCGGAGACACTCTATACCCCAGAAGAATTGGATAGCTACTATACGACCCGATTGCGTCGCATTCACATCAAGGACATGGATCCCAGCATGCTGATAGGGTTTTTGATCCGGGATGAGGCTGATTGGATCGACTGGAAGACTCGAATCCAGACATCCCCGGGAAAACCCATCGTGCACATCTTCCCGGGCCAGCAGGCGACGCATGGAGAACCTCGGGCGGGAGCACTGGATGAAGTGGAGGCACTAGACGATTCAGACGAAGAATAAGGTTGTTAGGCTACAGTAGCTGTGTGTGAGAGAGAGAGAGAGAGAAGATAAGAATCATGATGCAATGCAATTAAGCATTTGGAATTTCGCGTTCTAGTAGGAGAGGTCAATCCGTGCCCTGCTCCAGACCCGAGTTATGTTACACCGCATTCACGTATCGAGAGGTAACCTTTCAAAAAATAAAATCACCCATCGGGGAAAAGAAAATTCAAGCCATCCCATGACGCATTAGAAACCCGCAAAACACCCATAACCGACCGCCTCAGTGCCCATCACTGATCAAGAGGCAGTAAAAACAAAGCAAGCTCGAAAGAAAACGTAAAGAAGCCGCTTATTTGGCGGAGGAAGAGTACTTGGTCACAGCCTTGGTGCCCTCAGACACGGCGTGCTTGGCCAGCTCACCGGGAAGGATGAGACGGACGGAGGTCTGGATCTCCCGGGAGGAGATGGTAGACTTCTTGTTGTAAGCAGCCAGCTTGGAGGCCTCAGTAGCGACACGCTCGAAGATGTCTATCAAAAAAGAGTCAGATAACTGTGTTTTTTTTTGTGGTGTGGGGGGATCAAGACGCGTCAAGACGCGTTTGAGTTGGAAGACATACCGTTGACGAAGGAGTTCAGGATGGACATGGCACGGGTGGAGATACCAGTGTCGGGGTGGACCTGCTTGAGGACTGAAAATGATATTAGAATCGACGCGTCAGATGAGGGAAATCATTTCAAGTTGAACTCACCCTTGTAGATGTAGGAAGAGTAGGTCTCCTTGCGGGTCTTGCCGCGCTTCTTCTTCTCGCCAGTGGAGGCGGAGGCAGTCTTCTTGCCAGCCTCCTTCTTCTCAGCAGGGGCCTTGCCGCCAACGGGGGCCTTGCCACCGGTGGAGGGCTTCTTCTCAGCGGCCTTGGGGGGCATTTTGATTGTAGTGGAAAGTTGGGGGGTTTAAAAAAGGTGAAAGAGGTTTAGAAGTCAAAAAGACGAAAGTGTGGAAGACAGAGATGGAATGGGGAAGTGAAAGTAAGAGAGACGCGGTGACGAGGGGAGGCAGCGTCTTTATACTCGTGTGCCAAAGGCCAGTTGATCTTGGGAGGGGGTGCAAAGGAGACGGAATTTCAATACGGTAATGGGGTGGTATGATCTGTATGATAAAACGGAGCTGGACGCGTTCTAAGCGGGTGAGGGGGGCAAATCAACACGGTCAGATGACCCACCTGGGGTGTCACAGCGGGTAATGGTGTAATATTACAGCGGCTAACCGGAAATGGAAAGTCTGATCTGACTGATCATTGGTTGCAACGACTAAGCGAGTCCGTGATCTGGAGGAGTGGTTGATGCCCCCCAAACGTCACCCTCACCGTCCTTATAAAGGTCCTTCGCTTCCACACGCTCCTCCCACCTGCTCTTGCGAACTTTCACCATAACTTCAGCTTTCTTCAACTCAAACCCACCCCCTTTTTCAACCAACCCCCCCAAACTTCAATCAAAATGACTGGCGGAAAGTCCGGCGGCAAGGCTAGCGGTAGCAAGAACGCGCAGTCGTAAGTTGTGTACGCGTTGGAATCTTGGAATCTCCTACTAATTGCTTTTCTCTAGCCGTTCCTCCAAGGCTGGTCTCGCCTTCCCCGTTGGTCGTGTCCACCGTCTTCTCCGCAAGGGCAACTACGCCCAGCGTGTCGGTGCCGGTGCTCCCGTCTACCTCGCAGCCGTCCTCGAGTACCTCGCTGCTGAAATTCTCGAGCTTGCTGGTAACGCCGCTCGTGACAACAAGAAGACCCGTATCATCCCCCGTCACCTCCAGCTTGCCATCCGCAACGATGAGGAGTTGAACAAGCTTCTGGGTCACGTCACCATCGCCCAGGGTGGTGTCCTCCCCAACATTCACCAGAGTACGTTTTCCTCACATCAACCGACATCCCAGAAATCATACTAACTCATTTCTCCAGACCTTCTTCCCAAGAAGACCCCCAAGACTGGAAAGCCCAGCCAGGAGCTGTAAGGGTGTCTCTTTTTTCGCGGGTTCTTTGTTTTCTTTTCCGGCGCGGATTGGTTCTTTGACACGATAATGGGGTTATGGGACGGGCACGTTATGGCTCTGCGTTTTCTCTTTTCTTTTTCATCAATATCCTGGTTGTACATTATGTCTACGGGCATGGAATGATACCGACGACCTTAACTCGTTTGAGGGATCTTCGACCCCGGATACTAGCCGCGGGTGAAGACCAAATTCAATGAAAAGCCTCCAGGTACTTCAAACACTTACTTGATTCCTTCCAGTAGTCTGTAGCCAAGTATTCGGTTCTCCATACTCTTTCTGAGGTTATTTGTATACTCTTCTTCGTTATGATATCTGTTCTGAGATATAGCCCCGATTGTAATACTCTACAATACAATTGTGTTACATTTTGGAAAGGCTGAATTGATCTGAAATATACTGCGCTTGGGATATGATTTAGTGAGCAGCAGGAGGTTGGGCATCTGTTCCTGTTAGAAAATGTCGATATCGATGGCAGGATTTGAACGTACATGGCAGAATGCGGGCGGGCAGGTTGCGCTCCCACTTGTTACCACCGGGTGCAGTAGGTGCCCGGTAGGGGTCAGGGTGTTTCCATGTCTCCAGCAGCTTCTCTGTCTCGCGCAACAAGACCTGAAAGGGATATGTTAGTAGCTTCCATATAGAAGGATTTGCGACAGGCGTACCTGCTGTTGGCGAGGGTCCCGGACGTCCTTGTTGGCCTCAAACAGGGATCGGATGTAGACAGCTTGACCACGCCAAATCTGACGGTGGACAGCCCAGTCAAGTGAGAGCTTCAGCGACCGTCGGTAAAGTGACCTGTTGAGGGTCAGTTTCATTGATTCTGAAGATGGTGTGAGGTAGACGCACGTAGCGGAGGACATTTTGCAGTTGATTATGGCCCTGGTATTGCGACTGACAGGGAGCAATCAATTGAGTGTAAGAGGTTGTCTGTGTACAACACTGTTAGGGTAGAGGTCCAAGAGGTGACTATTCTGGGCTTCCTAATTCGTTCCGCCAAAGTGCTCGAATGGTCTATATGCGCCACCGAAGGGTCCGCCTTTGCCGGCAGAAGTGCCCGGTTGAACCAAAAGAGTCCCGATCTAATCCGAGCTACCTCTCTCTCCTCTCTACATTTCTGCTCATTTAGAGTTGAAGCTTTTTCTCTCAATTCCAGTTGATCCAACTGGTCTTTTTTGCCTGTCTGTTTTTGTTACTTTTCCTCACATCATGGCCTCTAGAATCTCCATGGCGCGCCTTTCGGCCCAGCGCCTCTCGGCTGTGGCCAGAACTACTCCCCGGGCTTCCTCCCAACTTCGCAGTGTGAAGGGTCTGTCTACTCTTACACGCACCAAGGCTTCAGGACTGCTGCAGGCCTCAAGGTAGGCGTTTGATTCGCCCTGGCGCAACCCGAAGCTAATGTGGTTAGCAATGTTTCGCGACTCAACCTCGCCCCTCTGGGAGGCTACCAAATCCGCACCTATGGTTTGTGCTACTCCTGCAAATTCGATCTTCAATCGCTCATGTCTTCCAGCCGACTCTATCGTCAAGGTCCCCAACATGGCCGAGTCTATTACCGAGGGTACCCTGAAGCAGTTCTCAAAACGTATGCTGCCATTTTTCTTGTGACCGCGCGCTCGGTAACATACTAATTTTGCGACACAGAGGTTGGTGACTTCGTCGAGCGTGACGAGGAAATTGCCACCATTGAGACCGACAAGGTGAGACCCAGCAATTCCAAAAGATAAAAAGAAAGAAGAAAAAATTGGAAGGAGGAAAAAAAAAATACCAGAGGAAGAGACAAAGCTCCAGGTTCGACATTTTGCTTACATTTGTTATCTTAGATCGATGTCTCGGTGAATGCCCCAGAGTCCGGTACCATCAAGGAATTCCTCGTGAGCGAGGAAGACACCGTCACCGTTGGACAGGATCTCGTCAAGATTGAGCTTGGCGGTGCGCCCGAAGGCGGCAAGAAGGATGAGGGTGCCGAGAAGCCCAAGGAGGCTGAGAAGGAGTCTTCGCCCGCCCCCGCTGAGGCCGAGAAGCCCAAGGAGGCCGAGCCCAAGAAGGCCGCCCCCCCTCCCGCTGAGAAGCCCAAGGAGACTCCCAAGGCCGAGTCCAAGCCTCAACCCGCGGCCCAGCCCGCTCTGGGCAGCCGTGAGGAACGCCGTGTAAGTTCGAAGATCATGACGAGAAGATGCAAACTGACTCTCGTGGGATCTAGGTCAAAATGAACCGCATGCGTCTCCGTATTGCCGAGCGCCTCAAGCAATCCCAGAACACCGCTGCCTCTTTGACCACTTTCAACGAGGTCGACATGTCCTCGCTGATGGAGTTCCGCAAGCTGTACAAGGATGATGTGCTCAAGAAGACCGGCGTGAAGCTTGGTTTCATGAGCGCTTTCTCCCGCGCCTGTGTGCTTGCCATGCGGGATATCCCCGGCGTCAACGCCTCCATCGAGGGCCCCAACGGCGGTGACACCATTGTGTACCGCGACTACGTTGACATCAGTGTCGCCGTTGCCACTGAGAAGGGTCTCGTTACTCCTGTCGTTCGCAACACCGAGGGCAAGGATCTTGTTGGAATCGAGCAGGCTATCGCCGACCTTGGCAAGAAGGTCAGAACAACCCCCGAGATTTCGGAAGATGCATGTCACTAACTTTCATCAGGCTCGTGATAACAAGCTGACCATTGAGGATATGGCCGGTGGTACCTTCACCATCTCCAACGGTGGTGTCTTCGGCTCCCTGATGGGTACCCCCATCATTAACGCCCCCCAGACCGGTTAGTCTTTGTCTCTTTCATTGATCGGGTGAAATGCATGCTAACTTTCATCTAGCTGTGTTGGGTCTTCACGCTATCAAGGACAAGCCCGTTGCTGTCAACGGCAAGGTTGAAATTCGCCCTGTATGTGTCCCCTTCACTTTGACAACCCAAACAACATACTAATGCTAGTAGATGATGTACCTCGCTCTCACCTACGACCACCGTCTCCTCGACGGCCGTGAAGCCGTCACTTTCCTCGTCAAGGTACGTTCATCGCATTCCTCAGTCCACCAGTCCCCTGCTAATCGAATTATAGATCAAGGAGTACATTGAGGACCCCCGCCGTATGCTGCTCTAAGTGACAGGGCTATCTTTTTTTGTTCTCTGACCCCGGAGCGGTGTTCCGCCCTGTTGTAAATTATTATGTTCCAAGATATACATGTCATATCAAGGAGATAGGTCTTTCAATTGACTCTGGTTATTGTTTTAGCATTAGAGGATTAGAGTATTCTTTTTTTTCCCCCTGTCTCTGTTTGTTTCCCGTTTCCCATTATATTCAGATATCACATTGAACGTGGAGCATGCTTCAAAAACATGCATTCCATTACAGTGTACGCGTGCAATGATCACGGATGCGACATGTGTCCTCGCGAGTTAGACCTTCCAAGTGGCCCTGTTCCAGTTGAAGTAAGAGTGGTGCGTCAAGTACATCCATAAAATCGTCCACAAAGCCGGTGAATTCAGATTCAAGCTCCGAAAGAGGGAAAAGTCCATCGAGTTCTTCTCGGGTCGCTGGACCTGCAGTGCCGTATGGGGGAGGGATATGCCCCAAGAAGAACGTGCGACTGACCTCCCAGTGGGCGTCAATGAGATTATTTTTGGTTTCCCACTGGCGCAATCTGTCCAGGGGCTCTGGCAAGCGTGTGCTCTCTTCCAGGATTGCGTGGGTCATGAAACGGGCCCCGAGATCAAACCAGCGATTCCAGGAGACTGTTTCGCTTGCCTGTTGACAGAGGTCCATGAATTGCATTGCAACTTCAGATAGAGGGACAAAGGTGTCAAGGGTGCAATCCTTGGGGGGTTCCCAGGCGCGAAAGAGATTGACCAGGTGGAAGATACGTATCTTAATATCCAGATCCCAGGGCAGTGGGGATTCCACCTGATGCACGGCAATCAGTCCGCAGAAGTCTGCCACGGTTAGTTAGGATCTCCTCCACGCGTGAGGGCAGCCTCACTTTGGGCCGCCTCGACCAGCCAGTTCACCTCGTCGGGGGTCTTTTCCTTGTTGATGATTGCGACCATGCCACTGATGGACAGGGCCAGCAGGTAGTCCAGGATCATCAAGTCCACATTGGTGCGGAGGCTGCGTTGATCCATTGTGGGATGGAGAGGAAGGTGAAGTTCTAAAGTTATACTCTGTCTGACTAATCAATTTTATATATCGACCATATCCTATTTGGTACTTCAGTATAACCTTAGAACCTGTCAGTATTCTATATATATCTATATTTATATATTGACTTCGAAGATGTAGATATTTGGGTATATAAGTAAATCCCCAGTATTAAAGTGAGTTCGGTATACTGAGTGACCCAATAGTACTTATGGGCAGGGTATATATATTATCTACCACCAGGTACACTCAAGTACACTCAATGTACTGAAGTCAAAATTACATATTTACAGCATCACGTGGATATCGTCATGGGACTCAGACCCTTTGAACTTCAACTTTCTACTACCTAAGTACGTCTTACATCTGCTAATGTTCCCTCGACTTACACGGAAAATGGCCTGGTACTGTTCAGGGTCCACCAACACGGAGTTAATTGAGAACCTATTTAGAGAGGGATTGATTGAGAATGAGCGAGTGAAAGAAGCCATGATTGGGGTACGCGCCGCCAATAAGTTGAAGTCCGGAACTAACTACCAAAGGTCGATCGAGCTCACTATGCCCCCTCCAGGCCATATTCGGACTCCCCGCAGCCTATCGGACATGGGGCTACGATTTCAGCACCGCATATGCATGGCCATGCCTGCGAGTATCTTATTGACTACCTCAAACCAGGGGCCCGAGTCCTGGATATTGGTTCCGGCTCAGGATATTTGACCCATGTCCTCGCCAATCTGGTCACCGACACCGGCAATGCAGTACACGGGACCGTCGTAGGCATTGATCACATTTCCGAGCTGACAGATCTGGCTCGGAAGAATATGAACAAGTCACAGGAAGGGAGTGAGCTTCAGGCCTCGTCGGCGGTCCAATTCTTCACAGGGGATGGACGCCTCGGTTGGAAAGACGGTGCACCCTACGATGCAATTCATGTAGGTGCGGCTGCCGAATCCCTCCACCCAACGCTGATCGACCAACTGCGGGCCCCGGGACGGATGTTCATCCCGGTGGAGGCGGAGGACAATGGAACCCTCGATGGAGGACAATACATCTGGGTGGTGGACAAGAAGAAAGACGGATCCGTGAAGAAGGAAAAAGTATTCCAGGTCAGCTATGTGCCTCTGACAGATGCTCCGAGGTGATAAGTTACAAAAAGTGAATGTCATTCCTTTTCCCGCAATGCTGGCTACGTGAACTCCTAACACCCCGTATGACTTCCCGATTAGCGGAACCCACCAGGGAATTTGAATCCTCCCTGGAACTGAGGTCCGCCCTGCTGGAAGAAGAATTGTTGACCTTGGCCCCCAAATGGATTGCCTTGGAATGGGTTGCCACGTTGCTGCTGAGACTCGGAGTCGTTGGGATCGTCGCCGTTGTCGAACCGAGTCCGGAGCTCAGGATCAGAGAGAATTTCATACGCTTCATTGATAGCCGCCATCTTCTTCTCCGCCTGCTCCTTGCTCACCCCCTGGGAATGAGCTTTGTCTGGGTGATGGAGTTTGATCAGCTGACGATATGATCGCTTGATGGTGCGATCATCCGCGTCTCGGCTGACACCCAGAACCTTGTAGTAGTCCTTTTGCTTGGAGCGTTTAAGGAGAGTCTGGGCCTTTTGGTGGAGAGACTGCGCCTCTTGGGAGCCGGGGTGGTGTTCCTTGACTGAATCAAGAGTCCGTAAGGCATCCTCAAATCGATCCTCATCGATGGCGGTTTGAGCTTGGTACATAAGGCCAGCAAGGGAATGGGGGATCAGCTGAAGTGCTTCAGCGCAGTAAGGACCAGCCTTTTTGATCATTCGCATCTACCAGTGTCAGCAGTGAAAGTTCTTGGTTGTGAGAATACAAACGAAGGAGTAAAATAACATACCTCACGATAAGATTCACAAGTCTGTTCGACCAAGCGGGCGTAAAGATTGTTGGGCGCCAAATGGTGGATGTGGCCAGCCTCTCGGGCCTCTGCGACATCTGCCTTGATGTCTGCAACCAGACCGGAAGACTCGCTGTCGCCAACCAGAAGACCTGCTGCATTGCTGTACTTGCGCGCTTCCAGAGCGTTATGTAATTTTTCCAATCGCTTGACAAGCTTCCGCTCGCTTCGATACAGGCGGTTGCAAGGCTTTGAATCAGGATCGGTATGGAGACATTTCCGGATCTGGGCAAGTCCACGATCGCTATCAGCGAGGGAGTAGAATAACATGGACGACATCTGTAAATGGGGCTCGACCAAGCTTGGGGACATCTGTAGGACGTGCGCCAGATCGCTCAGTGCCTCTTCGGTTTCGCCCTTTTCAAAATGGCAGTGAGCTCGAGCCTGTCGTAGTGGAAGCGCAGTATTCGCCTTCAGGATGGCCACATTTGCCTCCGAGACACATGTCTCCCAGTTCTTTTGTTTCTCGGCCTCGAGAGCCAGGGCGCCGGCGTCCCGTGCCGCCTCGATTTCTTGATAATCCTCCGTAGACTTCTTTCCCGCCCGCTCGAGATCCTGCAGAGCCTCTTCCCAATGCGCGGAACGGGCTTTGAGACGGGATCGCTGGAGAAGGGCCCCCTCAAAGTCTGGCTTGAGCTCCAGGACCCGATCAAAGTCACTCGAAGCCTGAGAGTTCTTGCCAATGGACAGATAGGCTGCGCCACGTTGGAAGATTGTGATATAGTTGGTTGGGTCGCGCGACACTGCGGCATCGAAGTATGTCACAGCATCTCGCGGAGAGCCCTGTGCAAGATGGGCTTTGGCAGAGGCGAGAAGTTCAGAGAGAGGGGTATCAGGAGGGATCTGGGCAGCGTATCCAACTGAGAAACAAGCCAAGAAGGCTGTGAGCAACTCTAGGGACACGAGCATTGCGGAGGTCGCGGAGAAGTGGAGGTGGGCGGGAGCAGTTCACAATGAGGATTTAAATGAAGGCGGTGCCAATTAGTGAGAGAAAAAACACATAATCCGAATTATAATGATTCCAAGTTCTAAAGCGCAAAAGAATCAAGAGAAAGAATGAAAGAGAGTGGACGTCGCATACTCTGTACTCCGTGGCCTTTACGCCTCGTAACGGTCCGATACCGTCATGTGACATGGTTGTATTCAATACCAGTCCGCTCGACGACACCGACCTTGTCAATTGGAACATGCTCGGCTTCAGGACAATATGTGGACGTCTCCAGCCTAGGCTATGGCAATTGTCGCCTTTGCGCGCAGTCCACACAGGTAGGAAACACGAGGATCTTTTTTACATTCAGGTATCTGACCATACAAACAGCATCGGATCCCACGGTCTCTCCAGCTCTGTTGACCAGAGCTCGCCTACTCGCCGCTGAACACACCAAACTCTCAGATCGACTAGGGGAATCATTTGATTCCAAAATCGCAAAGAGAGCGGGGGAATTGGCGCCAATCGCCGATGTTTTGAAGGAATGGGTCACCGCCAATGAGGTAGGACCGGGAAATCCTGCTCACGGCATATCCACTGATTCCATTTAGTCAATCAGCGAGCTCAAGTCCCTACTCGAAGACCCTGACACCGACGCCGAGCTACGGTCTCTGGCGATCGAGGACCTCGAAAGCAGTCATGGTACCTTACCAGCAATCTCGGACCGACTTAAGAAGTCGCTGATTCCCCGACACCCATTTGCGAACATGCCTTGTCTGCTTGAAATTAGACCTGGTGCAGGTGGAGATGAAGCTGGCCTGTTTGCCTCCGAGATGCTTCGGATGTATATGGCATTATGTTCCCGCAGAGGGCTCCGACCAACCATTCTGAAGCAGGACACCGAAGTTGGCGCATCAGATGACCGTCTTACCGAAGCAGTGCTCGAAGTTGAAGCAGACGGGGCGTATGATATCCTGCGAACCGAATCCGGAGTCCATCGCGTGCAGAGAGTCCCCGCAACCGAGACCAAGGGCCGCACCCATACCAGCGCTGTCAGCGTGATGGTCCTGCCGAGCTTTTCGGAGACTGCCAGTGAGATGGACAATGCCTTGAACTTCGAAGACCCGTCTAGTGATTATTACATCGATCCTCAAGAGGTGAGGGTAGAAAAAATGAGGGCTGGAGGTGCTGGCGGGCAACACGTGAACAAAACGGAGTCCGCTATCCGACTGACGCATATCCCTACAAACACGGTTGTTTCCATGCAGGACGAGCGGTCTCAGCAGGCCAATCGTAGAAAAGCGTGGCAGATTCTGCGAGCAAAGATCGCCGAAGCCCGCCAAGAAGCCAGAGAACAGGAGCTCGTGCAGCTTAGACGAGGTATTCTCGGTGGTGTTGCCAAAATGGGCCGGGGTGACAAGATCCGGACCTATAATTTTGGCCAAAGTCGCTGCACCGACCATCGCACCGGCGTTACCATCCACAACCTGGACAGTGTGATGGACGGGGGTGATGGGCTGGACACTGTGATGGAGAGCGTGCGAGTCTGGATGGATAACAGCGAAGTTGAAGCCATGATCGCCGAGGATATGGCAAAACAAACCGATGTAAAATAGACAATTCCCATTACTCTAATTCTATATGTACTTTCGCTCTGGATCCACCAGATCCATGGCATCTATGGCCTTCTCGTACCTGTGGAAAAAAGTTAGCAACTAGAAACTGTTGATGGGGGGAATGACACTGACATTGTGAACACAATTCCTCCGCTCATGATGAGTCTGGCGAGGCGTGGCATAGCGCCGGACCACAAGGTGAAGACACCTTCATCCTTGACGATTCTGGCAGCGCAGACAAAGCTATTCTTGTAATGCTTGCTAGCCTCGAGCGATTGCATTCTGATTTCAACTGGGTCAGAAACGGCCAATAGAGTGTTGTGGAGGTGATACATACCGGGTCTTGACTGTATCCAAAGGTTGTGTCACATAGCTGCTTGTGTCAGAAAACTATCGGGGGTGTTTTTTTTAGAGCGAAAGACTCTTACACAGTGATCAAGCCTGCAATACCTCCAATACCGAAAGTGCTGATGGTTCCCAGCTTCTCTCCCGGTGCCGTGTAGCCCTCAGCAAGTTGCTTCAGGGTTGTGTACGCCGTGAACCGAGTTGCCGAGTTCGCAGCCTGTCTGGCCGTTGTAGGGACAAAACCCTGGAAGAAGCCCCGAACACCTCTTTCCTGGAAAATAAGCTTGCTACCGTGCAAGAAGCCCCGCATCCGTGGGTTGGCAGACTTGCGGTCGTCGATCCTGATCTGTCAGAACGCGTCCGCAGCAAAAGAGACGGGGAGCTCACAGTTGAGTCTTGATGCTCTCAAAAGGAGTGACAGCAAGCAGAGATTCAGTGAATCCAGCACCGAATCCAGCAACGACTGTCCTCGGACCGGAGATCTTGCCGTTCTCATCTTGGAGAACTGATTTGATCGCATCGAAAGCGACAAAACCTGTACTCTGTCAATGCCTGTCAGGTCTCTCATACCGAGGAGGACATACGAATTCCAGCCTTAAGAGAGTTTCCGATAATCAGCGTGGTACATCCTGCGTACCACTGGCTTCCAAATGGTGGCCATGGCAGCTTTTGGCCCTGAGCAAGCTGGCGATTGAGTTGTGTGCGGGTTTTGGCGACTGGAGGAGTTAGTGGGCGTGGAATCTATTGGATAAGGGATTCGATACACTCGGCCGGGTATGTGATTGCTAAAGAGCGTACGGTTAGCTAGCGTCTGGGGTTGAGGGTCCAGGGAGCTCTTACCGATCTCCACGGCTCCGGCGGTGGACCCCGCAATGATGGAGCGGAAAGCACTGGGCTGCCAATTGGTGAGTATAGATCGATTGAAATGTGAACCAGACCAACCTTCGCCTTCTGATCCTTATTAGCAGTCGCCATGGTGAGGTTGAAGAAAGTGAGTCCGAACCTCGGAGGTCCGCATGTATGTTACGTCTTGCCGCACGTGCCACTTATGCAGATCATATCGGTTCTACTCCGTATGCCGGTCTTAAATTCCACTACATTGTATAGACCATCTAGGTAAACAAGAATCTGGAGGGATGTTGTCAATTCAAAAGCTACGCTATGGAGATCCTTGTAGCTAATGCTCCCCCAGGCTTTTTTTTTGTGTATTTTTGGTGTGTTTTTGTCTTTTGGTGTGGTGTCAAGGAATACCCATACAAGAGGCGTATGAGATTGGGGCCAGGAGTAACAGGTCTGGCGTAAGAGTGCATCGTCACTCGTTGAGAGCGTAGAAAAACAAGCGCTTCACTGAATCCCGTGAAACGCCATTACTCAAAAAAAAAGACCCGAACATAAAACGCCATTTGCCCTGCATCCCGAATGTCAATCGAGAAAAAGAAGCAGGCGCCGAAAATGCATGAGTTTCATACCGATTCAAACGACTCAAGAGAAACTGGCTGGAACAGAGAGAAAACCATATGATACACGAATTGCACCTGCCCAGTTAAGGAAGAGACTTGAAAAAGAATGAAGAAATAAAGGAGCACATGGCGGAGTGAAGATTAAGACTGCTGAGATTGTTGAGGCTGCTGAGGTTGCTGGAAGGTCATGCGGTTGTCATTTGATGGCCCACGACGCTGGCCTTGGCCACGGCCACGATAAGACCCACGTCCCCGGTTGTTGTTGTTGTATTGGCCGGGTTGACCATGTTGTTGGCCATGGTGATTTTGACGCCGAGGTTGTCGGTCCCCGTTCATGTTCACAGATCCAGCACCAGCCTGAGGGGGAGGGTTGGAGATTGGTCGAGGGATATTCTCCGGAGAGTCGTACACATAAAGCTTCTTATCGATGTTCTGAGGAATGGGCTGAATCTCGGTACCCAGTTCTTGTTCAATCTTGTAGAGATTGAACCGATCCTCCCAGTTGATGAGGTTGATAGCCAGACCCAGGTGTCCGAAACGGCCCGAACGACCGATACGGTGAAGATAGGTTTCAGCGTTCTTCGGGAAATCGAAGTTGATCACAACGTTGACCGCTTGAATATCGATACCACGGGTCAAAAGGTCAGAGCAGACGAGGTTACGGCAGACACCGTTGCGGAAGTCATGGAACACACGGTTACGGTGTTGCTGAAGCATCCGAGCATGAGAGTAAAAGCATGAATAGCCAAGTTCGGTAATTTTCTTGGCCAGCAGCTCGACACGGTTTGTCGAATTACAGAAGATGATCGACTGGTTGATTTGAAGCTTGGAGAAGAGAGTGTTCAGACAGTGGACTTTCTGCTTCTCCTCGACGAATGCGTAGTATTGCGTGATACCGCGCAGGGTGAGTTCGTCCATGAGATTGATTTCATAGGGGTTGCGCATGTGCTTATCCTTGAATGACTTCACAATCATAGGGAAAGTGGCACTGAAGAGCATAACCTGGCGATCCTTCGGGTGGAAGGACATCAGTTGCTCAATGACTGGGGTAAATTCGGGTGATAGCAATTTGTCTGCCTCATCCATCACGAAAGTTGGGCATTCAGAAAGATCGGCAACACCCTTGCTGGCCAAATCCAGTACTCGACCGGGAGTTCCCACGAGGATGTGAACAGCGTCATTCAATCGCATAATGTCATCCATGAGGCCAGTTCCACCCGTGGTGACCATGACATTAATGCCCAGGTGTTTACCAAGGGTCTTGCAGACTTGTGATGTTTGAAGTGCGAGCTCTCGTGTGGGGACCAAGATCAGTGCCTGGGTCTTTGTGCTCTTGGGGTTGATGCGCTCAAGGGTGGGAATAACGAAGGCTGCGGTCTTTCCGGTACCGTTCTTAGCTCGCGCCAGGATATCGCGACCGGTAAGAGCAACTGGTATCGTCTCTTCTTGGATAGGGGATGGCTTTTCGAATCCAGCCTCGAAGATTCCCATCATAAGTTCGCGTTTGATGTAGAAGTCCTCAAACTCGAGACCTTTTGTGGCAGTGACATCCTAGTGAGGTTAGACTGGAGAGTGATGTCTTGAAGCCGTGAGAAATACAAACCTCAGTTTGTGGGCGGGCATCTTTGGGGGGTAAATTCAATGAGTCCTGCAGTCTTTGTTCTTGGGTTGGTTCCCTGATTCAGTCAGCATGGGATACGCCGAGGAGCGAGAGCTTTGTCTTACAGCTTAGTATTGCCGAGTTGTGCAGCAAGTGCATCAGCCATTGCGAAGATAAAAGGAGTAGGTGGTGAAGAAGGATGTGGAGAGTGCGCTGGTCGGTTTGCGGTGGGTAAGGGGCTGTATGAGTGGGAGTTGTCAAAGATCAAGATCTGTGGGAGAGAATAAAGAGAATTTTCGACGCCAGATAGGTTCACAGATGAGAGATAGAGGGTGTGGTTGGGATTGATGATTATGGCGGGGAGAGAAGAGGTTTGAGGTCCAGTGAAGCTCGGTCCCGCTGGTTCAGGACGGGTCACGTGTTACGTTTATACAACCAAATTGAATTCAAAGGGTATTTTGCGCTACGTTACAATATCAACGGAAGTTGAGTGTGGTCTGACCTCGCTCAGGTGCTGCCAGTTCCTTCACTATGACATCTGGAGAGATGGTGATGTCGGTCTTACTGCCAGGGGTGATGAGAATGAATTGTCGCCCAATGGACCGTCTGGCGGCACTCATCTGGAAGAAGTTAGCACATGGATTCTCACGCAACGATTCAGGATCCGACTTACAAGCATGTCAATGGCCATCTTGCGGTTGATATGGTCCATGTACACATCGCTATGGAGGTCAGCAAATGGTTCACCCCAAGTGAGCAGTCAGACTTACAATTCATCGAGGCAGCGGATTGGAGAACCCATGGCTTCCCAAAGGGACAAGAGAAGACACACTTGGGAGAAGGACTTTTCACCACCCGAGAGGGTCTTTGCGCCGCGTCCAGTACTGTCATCCTTGGTGATATCCGGCTCCACCTGTACACAGTTAGACACAATCATACAAGACGTAAACCGGGGGTGGCGCTTACCTGGAGATCGAGCAGTTTATTGTGATGATCAGTTAACAGACGACCGCGGAAGCTCCGTTCACTGAGAAGGTAAGTAAATTGGGCCTTGGCCCGAGATGAAATATGAGATCGGAAGATCTCCCAACGCTTTTTACGGTTGTGAAGAGTATCTTTCAGAGCCTAGCTAGAGTTAGGATCACCCGAAATGTAGTAAAGAAAGTGAGTGAGAAACTTACCCGAGCCACAAACAACTCTTCCTCCACTCGTGCCCGCGCTCCTGAATACTCGGCCTCTGTTTTTGCCGCTGCATCTGCAATCTCTTCTCGCGAGGCTCCCAATCTGTATCAGTTAGCAATGAATTAAGCATTGAATTATACGAGGTGGTAACATACTGTGCAGTGTATCGCTCTAAATCACAGTGCAGCCTCTCAAGTTTGGCCTCAAGGCTTTGGTGCGTTTCTCCATCTTCTATGGGAACCCGAGAGGACACCAGGCTGGCTTTTTCGTTGTACTCGGTGACCCTCCTTCGCACCAGGTCCTGTTTCTGAATGATGCCGACCCTTTTTTCTTGGTCAGTCTCAATCAGTGACACGGCCTCGTTCTTCTCGTCCAAGATGATGCGTCGTTTGCTTTGAACATGCTTTTTCTCGTCTTCTGCCACCCCCAATTTTTCTTTGCAAGCTTCATAGCCCGAGTTCTTTGCAGCCAATTCTCGCCTGATTTGCATGAGCGTTTGCAGCTTGGCGGCCATTGCTGCCTCGCCGTCCTTGAATGATCCTTCGTGGAGCTCTTTGTCATCCTCGGCATTCTTGAGAGTAAGTTGGAGGACATTGATTTCGTCTTCGGCATTGTCCTTTTCCAGAGCCTCTTTGAGCTCCTCGGAGTGGTCTTCTGCCCGGTCCTTCCGATGGCGCAGTTCATTTTCAGTTTTGGCATGCAAGGCGATTGCCCTCTTGCAAGCATCCACGCGTGACTTGGCCCTGGTTGTCTCGCGATTGAGTTCTTCCTGCTGGCGCTTCAAATCTGTCAAAATATCACGTTGTGCGCTGTTTCAATTAGCATTCCGAAGAATCGCAGAAGAAGGAACGCGCCATACCTGATCTGGAGAGCAGTATCGGATTTCATGCGCGCGGGTCTGGTCCATCCTGTCACTGGGGATTGAGTGGGTTCACCCGCCCTGTTGTATGTGAGATAAAGTCCCCGGCGTCGGTCTCTCGCGTCGACCGAGTAACAGCGCTTGACATTTTGAGGGCGTTGGCCATCGAAGAGGACGGAGGAAGCCTCTTCCAGGTTCTCTATCAAAAGCGTTTGTTCAATACCGTGGTTAATGATCAATTGCCGTCGTACCAATTCATTATCAATCTAGGAGGGATTAGACGTGGACCACACAAAGATGTGGATGAGCTCACTTGAAGTGTTCTTAGGACAGTATCAAAACGAGGATCAGGCTCCTTCCCCGTAGTATCAAGATGCCCCCCAGAGCCAATGAAAATGGGGCAAGGGCTATTGGAAGTGAGCACAGGTTCGAGTGGCCGTTGAAAGAGAGTATACTTACACCTTGACCCGCCGCATAATGGCTGTTAAAAGATCCGAGTCCCTCTTAGAGGACACGATGAAACTGTTGAGCGTGCCACCGAACATACTCTCCAAAATTGAGGACCACTTTGGCTGTAAGAGAGTCACATGGTGCCCAATTGGGCCCACAGGAGGAGACCCAAACGATTTCTCATTCTGAATTGCCTTGAGAAGAACGTGCATATCAGGATGGTAGCCATTTTGTCTGGATCCTCCTTCCCTGCCGAGGGCTTTGAGTTGGTTCTCGGCCTCTGCTATCTCTTTTTTCTTGGTGTCAATAGGACGCGTTGCCTCTGCGAGTTTCCTTTGAGCTTCATCGCTATCAGCCCGTAGGGCGGTTGCACCATTGCGGTGCTCTTCATATTCCGTCTTCGCCGTAGCAGCGGCACTGGCGGCCCTCTCACACTCCTCTTGTTTGCGAGCGTAACCTCCATTACTAGCTTCGGCGAGACGTTCCTTCTCGCGGTCAATCTTTTGTTGGGTCTCCCGCACTCGGGCTGTCGTATCATCGAGAAGTTGTTTAATATTTCGTTGTTGGGTCTATGTCGTTAGCCAGAACATAAAAGACAAACCAGGGAAGGGAGAGATAGCAAATACCTGAAGTTCAGAACGAGAGTTCATTTCCTCTCTAAGCTTCACTTCAATCTCTTTTTTGGCCTCCTCGGCTTCTTCGAGAGCAAATGCGGCCCGATAAGCATGCTCATCGGCGTCCGTGATTTCTTTGTCAACGTTCTCAAAAGCTTCGTCAAACCGAGCGAGTTTAGATTGGGCATCGGCAATTTTCAGGTCAGCCTCCGAGATGGCGTTGGTCAGGTCATTCAACATCTAGAAGGTTTAGTGGGTTAGCATTGAAGCGAGACAAAGAAGAAGGCCTGAATACATACTTTCTCTTGCTCCACCACCTGGGCCCAAGCCATTTGGCTGCGAATGTTTCTGAGTGTCTGTCGCAAAGAGTTCTGCTTATCCGACATTTCCAGCTTTTTCTTGGCTACGTTTTTGCGGTTTTCCAGGTTCACAAGATCCTCCGTCTGATGTTGGATCTTTTCTTCCATTCCGTCAACAGATTCCTCAATGAGTCGATAATCCTGGTCTAGCTGCTCCAGCTGAACACCCTTGACAAAGAACTTGTACTTTTCGGCCGGGCTAGACGTGCTGAGGAATTGGCGAGCCATATCTTGAGATAGCACATTCATAGGGTTGTCGATTTGCAGAGAAAAATAATCTGTAATGGAATCGAGATCGGCTTTCTTTTGCGAGACAATCCGACCATTCTCAGATTTGATCTTAAACCCACTGGCACCGCTTCTGGTAAAGTGACGTTCCACAATGATGGTTTTGCCAAAATCATCAGACAAATAGGCACCATCGCCTTGGTTCTTGATGCGGACAATGATCGTTCCGCTCTCCTTGCCCTCTTTGATGAAGCTCTTTAGGCTCTGACCTCGATTTGTCGCGGCCGCTTTGCCTCCCAAGCAAAGAACAATTGCAGTCAAGATCGCGCTCTTGCCACTACCGTTCTTTCCCACAATGAAATTGATCAAAGGCCCCAGTTCGACATTGAAATGGTCGTGACACATGAAATTGTAACACTCCACGCGCTCAAGGATTCCGTGCTCGGCGGGTACATTGACTTCGTCCATCTGATGGGAGTATTTTTCTTGGATAATCTGCGTCTGCCGGAGTTCAAGCTCATCGTCGGAAAGCTCCTCTTCATCGACGGCTAGGGTATTCAACGCCGGCCCAGGCGAGGAACCTGAGCCAGAGGAGCTTGAGTTTGTCCTCTGTCGCTTCTGTAATTTGTTAGCGGTGCCGGGTGAGGGGGAGGGGTTGCGGAAAGAGAGAAACTGACTGAACTCATGGATCCATCACTTTCTTCAGGGTCCGGAGACACCTGAGCGCGCTTCATCGAAGGCATTATGGGCGCCGTGACTCTGGTGATACTCCGTTGAGTGGTGAAGTGAAGTTGTCGCGTCGCGTTTCGCGTTACTTAGTAATCAGATCTGCAGCCCTAATACCTCGAGGTTCAAATGTTGGCAGGATGGTTAGTAGCCAATTTGGGCCAAACAGAAATATGCAGGAGATGGAGAAATCAAGATGAGAAGAAGGAGTTGGATTCTTTATGAACGAGGTGAAAGAAAGTTGTACAGTCTCCCTAGGAACACAAAGAGCATCGCTTATGTGAGCTCTCTACAAACCAGTCTCCAAGGCAAACAAAGTTGAAAGAAATTTCCATGTCTCAGGAGATCAGTGGACCAAATACAAAAGAGTTGAATGAGGATACAGGACTATTTCATGGTAATATGTCAGTATAAACCTGGGCCTCCAGCTGGGAGATAATGTACATGAAAAAAAAAAGGTCAATTTGAACTATCTATTTTCAATGATCATGAACCTCAATGTGTTCAATGAGTCCATGGCCTAACCGTGCAATTTCATTAATAATGGCAGGTCGATTGATCGACACCTGATCCTGGGAGCCAGGGGCTGGCGCAGTTGAATATGCCGTCTTCAGGTTCCAGCTGCGGGGCTTGAGTGTTTGAGGATTCCAAAGACCAGCGATCACTGGGCAACGGTCGTCGCCGTGGAAGAGAAGGATGCTTTGCTGGTAACAGGACTGAACATCACAAACAAACGACCTGATGGTTGGTCCCATGGAGGCCCGAGATTCGGTCAAGTTCTTGAACTTGGGAGCAGAGGTGGACCGACCAAATAGCTTGGAGCGGAGATGAATGACAAAGTCATAGGGAGCAAGCGAAGTATCAAACAAGTCGGAGATATCCAGATCATGGGGGTTGGACCTGACCAAGCCAACCGCGGCCTTGGCCAAGCTGGACAACCGACCTGCAACTACCTTGGAGGGCATTTCATACTGCGTCCAGGTGACACCTTCGGGGTCAACGTCCGAAGCGACGAAGAGTGCCACGCTATTCATCGCAGGATCGATATTGCGCCAAGCCGTGAAGCGAGTGCGGATTTGCTCGGTCACTTCGGGGCTCAGATCACCTCCTAGGTCAATAATGAATGGCTCTTGCTGCCAATCCCACCGAGAGAGGGAGTGCAAAGTTCTAAGGAAGCCGGTCATGACACTTGAGGGACATTCCCAAGGGTTTGGTTGAGTGAACGTGCGAATGACCAGCAATTCAACCAACTCTTCGTTCATTTGGGCGGTGAACAGGTGGGAGTCAAACCACTGCTTGGTGAGACGGATGGTAGGAGAGAGCAGGGGGAAACGAGTACACAGACTTCGGAGTGCCTGGGTCAAGCGTGGAATCTGGACAAAGGTCTTCTTGTAGGAGAAGAGAGCAAACGCGGCCTCTTCCCGTTCCCGGGGGCTCAGATTCCGATCCTTGAGGTTGCGCTCGAGTAGGGTTTGCTCACGGTCATGATGAATTCTCAGACGGAACAGAACACCGGAGGAGTGAGGGATATCTAGATAGGCATTGTTGATAATTCTGGATGATTCGTTTTCCAGGCCCACGCGGCAAGGCGAGACAGCAGCGCCCGGCTGTTCCAAAGCATCTCCAATTTTGAGGAGGAATGCGACTTTGGTCATCTGGATAGCTGCAAAATCATCTGGCCATCGCGAGGAGCTTTCAAATTGAAGCACGACATCGGCTGGCCCGCCCGGTCTCACCGCAGTGTATCGAAGGAGTGAACTAGCTGGGGCTAGATGGCGAACCTCCAAGGGCACATCATCCATGCTACGAATGGATGTCTCCAAGTCCTTGAAAGCCTCATTGGCTGACTGGAAAGCAGGGCTAGAGTATGCCAAGATGTTGTCACCGTGCTCCTTGAGATGTTCGTCATATTCATCACCGAGGAAGCCAAAGTCGTCGATCTCGAAGTGCCGTTGGAGAATATATTCCAAAATCTGGTGGATGATGGAATCTCCGGAATCTTCGGACCACACAAGACTCTCCAAGATGCTGCCATCTTTGAACCGTCGCAGCTCTGACTTTTCACCCCAGAAAGCCTGGAATGAAGCAGATTCCTCTTTCTCTTCCGCGGCCGGACCGTGATCAACAATCCGTCCAACGTTCTCAGCATTGAGCAAAAGTCCCACGGACACACCCTCGTTCGACTTTTTGGGCTGTTTTGACTTGACTGACCACGCGCTCACGGGATGAGAGGTGATGGAGACGAGGTTAACCCGATCACCCAAAGCCCTAGTAAGAACATTGTACAACTTTGTTTGTTCTTGAAGAGTCTTGAGAGTCTCGCCGGTGAATGCTTTGATTGTGATCAGTCGATCAAACCTCAGGGCGGGTTCGTCAACCTTCAAGATGAAAACCTTGTCAAAGTTGTCCTCTCGTGACTCGTTGAGCATCTTCAGAGTGGTTGAAGCTTCGTGACGCAGAGTAGCGTAAGACCAAGGTGTCATCTTGTAGAGGATATTCAACCCTCTACGGCCATCATATACGACAGGCCCACCGGAGGGAATAGGAACTTCCTGGCCAAAAAATAGAGGGGCGGTCAAATCCCTACCAGCTAAAAATTGAATAGTAGCCTTGAAGATTTGGTAGCAGCTGTACGATGGCAGTAAGACAGGCTGTCCTGCAGGGCCGCCACCTTCAAACAGGAGAGACAGAAGCACTGTCCATTCGAAGCCTCCAAAGCCTCCATTCTGGAAGGCGGTGCGGAAGCCCCGCTGGTGTAGCCAAGTGCGACCAAGAATGCACGCATCCTTGAAAGACTCACATTTCTGCGAGGCCGAGTACACTGACTTATGATATAGAGAGACGGCAGCGTCTGCGCGCAGACTAGCATTGTAGAAGGAAGTCGGCTCGCCGATTTCCGAGTTTGCAGAAGAACCTTGGCGAATGTTGCTCTTCATTGGGAGAGTTCTTGAGACCGGGAACAGGGTGGGATCGATTGAGGCCAGGATTCGAATCTGCGAGAGACCGGGGGCCCGTGGGTCGAGCAAGATGAGAGGCCGAAGGCTGTCTCCATCCTGGGTGCTAAACTTGACGTCAAACTCGAGATTGTTCGTGACATCTTGAATCCCAGCCGCCAGGCAGGCCATATAGTAAGCTCGCTTGTGGAAGTATCGGAAGTTGACGTAATCTTTCTCCTGGAAGAGCGAGTTTGGCATGGTTACAGCCAAATCAATCGGGCGCGACTCCAGCCCACGGGCACCCGTCTTCAGCGCAAAGCTACCCACCACATTGATATTGGCTGGCTTCGCATAAGCCATGCTGTATTTCGCTTCCTTGCTCGGTCGAGGTTCCGGCCATGGCACCGTCAGGCCAGAGGCGCGCAGGTCCTTCTCCGCATCGGACACGGATTGCGGAGTTTTATCAGGGAGACTTTCAATAGCATTCTTGATCTGGTGTAGTGAGTCCTGTGCCTTCTTAAGTTGACTGGCATGGTTCGGTCTCAATCCTTCTAGCAATTCGTCCATCTGCAACTTGAAGAAGCTGGACTTGTAGAAGCCGCTGGCCATTGCAAGCTCTGCGGAGCGCTCATCTTTGCCTCGAGTTGCGTTTCGTTTCTGGTCTGTTGCTGTCGAGGGTGCGGGGGCCGGATTGGAAGGAGGACTTAATTTCCTGCGTTTGGATAAGTGGTCCGACATTTTTGTGAAGTCGCAACTGGTAAACCTCGAGATTTTTTTTTTTAGGGAATGATACCCCGGTATGGTACCGTATTGTCGACTTATGTAATTGTCAGGTACGCCGATCTCCGAGATCGCATCACATCATTTCCTCTACTATCTACTTTTTTCTTTCTTTCTCTTCTTCCATAGCATTTCATAGGAGCTCCCCTTTTTGATTCCTTGGTTTATAATATATTATCATTGTTTCATCGTAATCGAGAAATGTTGCAAGCATTGGGAGGCTCTGTGCCTCCAAACACCGATCATGTATGTGATAACCCCGCGATATACCCCCTCTATGACTCAATGCTCATTCACCTAGGCCGTCAGTGTATCTCTACCAACATGGAGGGCCAATGTCGGATATGAAGAAGGCGAGGATTGGGTCATGAAGAAGATGGTCTGCGGTTACCCCCGGTTCTTCGTTCATCCTACGATCCAGAAGCTCGCTCAAGAGATTGTTCGCCGCACCGGCGACCCAGACCTCGAAACGGCCACTCTATTTGCTTCGGCCAAGTCCGCGCGCGTCTGCCATTCCTTCGTCCTCAGTAAGATTCCTGCCGACCAGGCGTACAAAGTGCGCATCGCCAATTTCATCCCATCCCCGCACACCGAGGCCGGATCAACGGTCACATCGCCTCTGTCATGTGTTATCTATCCGAAGGAATATGCCCCAATTACCAAACAGGTATGGCAGCACTCTGGCAGTGGTATCTCCAGCCGACGTGGTGAGTTCTGCCTGGGAGCCTTGGAGGATGGCTTTTTGGTGGAAGACAAAGGCACACCAACTGCAGAATCCATTTCGCAGCGTCCCTGTAAAGGCCCGCGCAGATATCAAAGCAAGACTGACGCTAGGAAGGGCTCCATCGGCGACTCTCCTCCAAGAGGAAACACCGAAGATGGTCGAGATTACGCTCAATTTATCGAGGAGCGCTTTGGCCGAAACCTCAGCACTTCACTCGCCAATCAGGCTAAGCAAGCCGTTCGCAAACGTATTGCTGGTGTCTTGACGGCCGATGTGGACCTGCCGGAGGCTCTGGAGGTGACCTCGTCGGAAGGTCGCGTGGCTGGCATGTCAGAGGAAGATGTGCTGCTTTACCCATCGGGCATGAATGCTATCTTCAACGCTCATCAGACTTTATTGGCCACCCGAGGGGAACTGCCATCGATTTGCTTTGGTTTCCCTTACACAGATACTCTGAAGATCCTCCAAAAATGGGGACCGGGCTGTGTATTCTACGGCCATGGTTCATCGGAGGATCTCGATGACCTCGAATCTCGGCTGAAGTCTGGCGAGCGTTTCCTGGGGCTCTTCACCGAGGCACCGGGGAACCCTCTCCTTAAAACCCCCGATCTCAAGCGGATCCGCGCCCTGGCAGATCAATATGGATTTGCTGTGGTGGTTGATGAGACCATCAGTAATTTCCTCAATATCAACATCCTGCCGTTCGCGGATATTGTTGTCAGCAGCTTGACTAAGATCTTCAGCGGAGACAGCAATGTTATGGGAGGAAGTGCAGTTCTCAACCCCAATGCGCAGTATTACTCTGCTCTCAAAGAAACTTATGCCCGGGAGTATGAAGACATTTACTGGGCTGAAGATGCTGTTTTCCTGGAACGAAACAGTCGGGACTTTGTGACTCGCATTGAACAGATCAACATTACCACTGAAAACATTACGGCCATGCTGAAGGATTCACCTCTAGGTAAGCTTGCTCATTGGGAAATGTCCAATGGAAGAACGTCACTCACACCTTTACAGTGAAAGAGGTTTATTACCCAAAATACAGTCCCACCAAACCACTTTATGATAGCTTCCGTAACCCTAACGGCGGTTATGGCGGTCTTTTCTCCGTTACCTTCCACTCCAACGCCGAGGCCATTGCATTCTACGATACTTTGGAAGTTCTGAAGGGGCCTAGTCTCGGCACAAACTTCACCTTGAGGTTAGTTGGTCTGTCCATATTGCGAGGCCTTTGCTAATTCTTTTAGCTCTCCATATGTCCTTCTGGCTCACTACGGTGAATTGGATTGGGTACGTATTCCCCAACCCCCTGTAAGATTCTTTTTAACGTCATTTTACCAGGCGAGATCCTTCGACGTCGACCCAGACCTTGTGCGCATCAGTGTTGGCCTGGAAGAAGTGCCGGACCTCCGTGCCAGATTCCAACGGGCCCTGGATGCGGTACAAAGTACCCAGCAATAACTGCCAAGGTCTGCTTAAAATTCAACAATAACTTAACGATCATTCAACACTCTATTACCCCTTCTTCGGCCAAACTTCCCAAAGAATATGAATTCGCCATCTGGTCCTTCCGATCCAGATTGAAAGGATTTGGCAACTTAGTGATTGCATACTATATACTCCAAAAGCAATTTTCTCATTGCGTTGAACCAAACATCATCTATTTACTGGCTTATTTTCCAACTGTCTGATTAAGAAAAACGTCAAGCGGAAGATAATATCCCCACGCCCAGGTCTGTAATTGCGCTATGTAACAAAAGCAGATACACTATACACCTAACATCTGAGAGAAAAAAACAAAAACAAAAACAAAAAACCATTCCAAAGTCAAAAGGTGATAGAAAAAGAGAAAACGAGATCCTGCTCAGAGCCCCTCCACTATCCAATCACGGACGCCATAATACACAAGCTAAATCGTACGGTCAAGCAGGTCATCCCCAAGGGAACTAACAGTCTGACTTGTCAGACCACCCAGGTCTCCACTACCAGTCTTCCGCAAGGCCTGTCGCATGGTCTCTACACTAAGATCCCCCCCGAAACTGGAAGAAACGGGACTTTGGGCAGAACCAACTGTAGGAAGCCGAGTAGGGGACATTTCAGGCCCTTTGAAGGACGGCGCGATGCTTGTAGGGGGCGAGACGCTGAGCGCATGTGAAGAAGTGGGTGAGCGCAACGGGGACGAGGGATGGTTGATGTCGCCCAAACGCTCGCGAGAAATTCCACCCAGATGGGCGTCACTTGTTTCAGCGTGTTCGGCATTTACAACATCCGCAAATGAGATGAAACTCAGTCGGCGCACGTCCGTTGTATCAAGGGCCCCGTAACTTGACGAGAGATCGTCTGCGTCCATCTGATTGAGCAAATGCGCATCGATAGAGGATGACATTGATTGCTCGGCGGATGCGGCTCCCGCAGGCTGATGGAGAGTATGAGTGACGATCTCAACGGAGTCGGGATCGAGGCGGTCATCTGTGATGGCGGCCGATGATGCTTCCAGGACGGGTGGAATGTAGTTCTCCGTCCGAATATGAGCGGGTATGGCAGGCGATGCCTGAGCCGGCACTATGTCCTCTTGTACGTCTCGTTCAAAGATCTGAGAGGCGGGGGAGTGTATCCGGGGCGGCAGATGTGCTGAGCTCTCGGGCGAGGAAGGCTGCCTCGTGTATCGCGATTCATTTGGTCGCAAGGCTTCGGAGGAGCTCACGGGTGATATGAAACTTGTCTCTGAATCCTGGTCCTTCGTTTGACCCCATACTAAAGAGGCAGGCTTCGGGGCGCGTCCGCTCTTATCGGCCAATACGGGAGACGTTGGGAGGATGGACGAATCCATTTGATCGGTAGAGTCTGACATTGCGATAGATCGAGAGAAGATGTCAAACTTCCATGAGCCAAGTTAAGATGCGGCCATGTTTCAAAAAGTGAAGAGGGAACATACTGATAGACCAGGTGATCAACCGGGGACGGTACAGACGGTACGGGTGGTATTGACAGTACTGACGTATGTGTATGTAATTTATATTATGTCATCATAGGGGGTCACGAGACCAGGGGAAAAAAGATTCGGGTTGAGGCCGATACCATCACGTCCCGTTCTTCACCCTTTGAATCCGCGTCACCTGGTGTACCCTTGTCCCATTGCTTCGTCTCGATCTCTCTGTACCTGCATAATTTGTCTTAGAGATCAACAATGGCGACCTCTCTCGCGACAAAGCGTCCGTTCCTGACGCTGCCATTCCTTCTACCTTCATTGTCCGATTCACTGGCACTCGGATTCCGTCGAAACCAATCCTCATACCGCCGAACCAAGCAGCGACTACGTGTCAAGCCTGACACCTCTTTTGGCACCTCGCACCAGGGCCACGATCACATTATCCACAACCCGCCCTCCAGTGCACCCAATGTTTACCACACACCATCTAAATTCCTACCTGCCGATGATGTCCGCCGATCCTCTAGCCTCTCATCCACTGTCACTACCAATGCCGATGACCTCCCTGGGGTGTACAAGTCCATGCCCGAACGCAAATATCATCTCACCCCCTCAGACATTGAAGAGATCCGGAACCTGCGCATGACAGACCCGATGACCTGGAGCCGCAACAAGCTTGCCAAGCGCTTTGAATGCTCCCCCGTCTTCATTGCCATGGTCTGCCAGGCTAGCAAGGAGAAGAGAGAGATCCAGGCCCGCATTCTGGAAGCGGTGCAATCACGATGGGGGCCCAAGCGACGCATGGCCAGAGAAGACCGCCAATTGCGCAAGGAAGCCTGGGGACAGGACGCATAGTGCTGTTCTTCTTCATATTTCCCTTTCTTATTTGGCTGTGGGCATACAGTCAGGCTCTGTAAAGAAAATCCTTGTATTCTAGCTTTCTAGCATGTGTTCTATGTATTTCATACCAATTGTTACAATATTTTCTATACCATAACTATATGGCTATCATATATTACCTTGGCATATACCTAGGTATATATACTATGAAGTAAATGAAGTAAACAGAGTATACAGTGTACAGTGTGGAGGGTTACCCGGAGACTACCTGACTGGGACATGCGGCAATTGCCGAGAGTACCGTGTCCACTCAAGTCACTAAGAAGTCACTAGCAAGTACATTTAAGACAGTAACGTCGCTACCGTGATAGGGCGAAAAAAATATTACGTGATAAAGTGGCATCTCTCATCTAAACGGTTACCTCAGGGCAAAGACGGATATGCCCCTCTTTCGTCGTTTTGCTTCTTTTCTTCCTCGATTCACTCCTCCTCGTACTTCTATTGTCCCTCGTCGTTTCTACTACGGCAATATCTCCGATTTCAAAATGGCGCCCCAGCTGCAGCCCTTCTTTAAGCAGTGAGTGATCATTCGATCTTTATTTTTCCCTCTGTCTTTCTCTGTATTTTGCTGCTTTCTGCTGTTTTTTTCTTCTCTCGAATCTCTGAGCTGACAGATCAAAGGGTCGACGACTCGTCCAACGACTTCATCGACCGTACGTACCTCTCCCAAGGTCCTCGGTGCGTGGTAGCTGATTGATGTCCTAGGTTTGCGCAAGGCGGTTGCCATTCCCTCTATCTCTGCACAGGATGAGAACCGACCGGATGTCGTCCGTGTAAGTTTGCCTAGCTACAAGAAAGGTGGAAAACAAACAAGTCCGGCTCTGATCATCCTTATCTATAGATGGGCCAATTCTTGGCAGATGAGCTCACAGCTCTGGGAGCCGAGGTCGAGCAACGACCTCTGGGTAAGCAGCCTGGAAAGGAACACCTGGAGCTGCCCCCAGTTGTGATTGCCAGATACGGAAACGATAAGAACAAGAAGACCATCCTGGTCTACGGACACTACGACGTGCAACCCGCATTGAAGGAGGACGGCTGGGCTACTGAGCCTTTCGAATTGACTATCGATGAGAAGGACCGCATGTACGGCCGTGGCTCTACCGATGACAAGGGTCCCGTTCTTGGATGGCTGAACGTGATCGATGCCCACCGCAAGGCCGGCATCGAGTTCCCCGTGAACCTGTTGTGCTGCTTCGAGGGTATGGAGGAATATGGCTCCGAGGGTCTGGATGACTTCATCAAGGCCGAGAGCAAGAAATACTTCAAGGACACTGACGCCGTCTGCATTTCCGATAACTACTGGCTCGGCACCGAGAAGCCTTGCTTGACCTACGGCTTGCGTGGTTGCAACTACTACTCCATCAGCATTTCCGGTCCTGCTCAGGACCTGCATTCCGGTGTCTTCGGAGGCTCTGCCCACGAGCCCATGACTGACCTGGTCAACGTTCTTTCCAAGCTTGTTGACCCTCAAGGAAACATCCTGATCCCCGGTCTCATGGACCTTGTGGCCCCTCTCACCGAGGAAGAGAAGACCCTCTACCCCAATATTAGCTACACCATGGACAACTTGCACGAGTCTCTGGGTGCCGAGACCGGTATCCACGCCACCAAGGAACGCACCCTCATGGCCCGTTGGAGATACCCCTCTCTGTCTATCCACGGTGTTGAGGGCGCTTACTCCGCCCCTGGTGCCAAGACCGTCATCCCCGCCAAGGTCATAGGTAAATTCTCTATTCGTACCGTTCCTAACATGGAGAGCGAAGATGTGAACAAGCTGGTCTTCGACCACATCAAGGCCGAATTCGCCAAGCTGAACAGCAAGAACACCATGGACGTGTGGTTGCAGCACGATGGCAAGTGGTGGGTCGCCAGCCCTAAGCACTGGAACTTCTCTGCTGCCGGCAAGGCTGTGCAGCAGGTCTTCGGTGTTGAGCCTGATATGACCCGTGAGGGTGGAAGGTAACATTCATCCCTTTGATTTACGTGGATTCATTTGAAGCTAACTGGACATAGTATCCCCGTCACCCTGACTTTCGAGGAGGCTACTGGTAAGAACGTCTTGCTTCTTCCCATGGGCAGCTCGACCGATGCCGCTCACTCTGTCAACGAGAAGCTTGACAAGCGCAACTACATTGAGGGAACTAAATTGCTGGGAGCCTACCTGCACTACGTTGCTGAAGAGCCCACAGTATAACTTTCTTGATTTAAACATATAATTGAATATCCATGGATTTTTGGTCACATTTTTATGCAATTACTCTATAAACATCGCCATTGAAACTACGTAAGTATTTGACCAAGGTTCAAATGAAATCAAAGCTCCTCATAACATTAAATGACTATCGTGGTATCCATGGCATAGAATCAACATTACCGTCCCAAGCATTAAACAAAATGTTCACTCAATCACGCCCAAAGAACCAAAAAAAAGTAAGCATGAAGAGAAAAGGAAATGTGCAACACGACACCTGTGCAGCCGGGCTATCGTTAATTTTTTTCTTCCATGTATCACGGCGCCCAAGCCGAGATGGATATATACAACCGGAAGGGGTCATCCGGCTCAAAAAGTTCACTCTGTTCACGCAGCAACCACAGTGACAGGATCCACAGATGATTCTTCTTCCTTTTCAGGGTCGACAGAAGTCAGAATCTTCTGTTTTGAGCTGATAGCGTTGCGTAGAGAGTCGATGTAGGTGCGGAATTTAACAATCTCCCGTAGGAGATATGAGGATTTCCGTTCCCAGTTAGCCATGGCCTTGGCAGCGTTGGGATGGCGCGGGGAGAAGGCAAGATTCATGGCCGAACGCAATTCGTTATGACGGGAGAGATCGTCCTCTACGTTCTTCACGTAATCTTGCAGTGCTTGCAACTGCTCCTCCTCGTTCAGGTTGGAGGCAACCATGCTCTGCTGGGGTGGACTCCAGTCGCTGATATTCACCCGATCTGCGGGGAGTCGGGGGCGAATGCCTTGTTGGTCGATGGAGCTTCGAATAGAGCTTTGGATGCTTGGCCTGGCGCCTGATGAAGGCGGCGGTGATCGACTTTCGCCGCCAACCAGGGCACTGTTGATGACCGAATCACTCCATCCATACTCAATGTTACTGATGCCTCCCACGAGTGGCTGCTTGGATAGGCGAGCACTCCAGTAGTTGGCCGTGGATACAAATTCTCGGACAATCTCTGGTGTTCCGGCCTGGAAGAGGTGGACTGCCCCTGTAGGCAGACTCAAAGCCCATACATGGGGTCGGGACTTGGAGTATCCGGGTGACGGCAATGCGCTGGCGATGGTCTGGCGGAGCATGAACTTCCAGAGCTCATCTGCATTTTCAGTCCAATTACCGCCACCTACAACGACACCTCCACGCTGTTTCGACTTTTGCCGCATTGATTTGGTGGAGTTGTTAAAGGAGAAGAGTCGCATCCAGCCTTGCTGAATGACCGCGAAGCAATCGTTCCAATTGCGGTCTTTGGCACGTTTGTCCACCGCATCCAGATGGTGCTTGTGTTTCACGCTTCCTTCCTTGGCCCACGGCGCTCCGGCCAGAGCCAACGTTTCATCCTCGAGAAGCGGAGTGGTCCGCTCGGGCTCCTCATAGCTGTAGACCGAAGTAGCAGAATCTTCACGAATTATAGCCTGACTGAGGGCATTAGCGAAACCGATAGACTGCTGGTAATCACCGCGAGGGAAGTCCGAGCCAAAGGAGTCCACAGATGCTGATGTGAACTTGCCCAGGGAGTATTTGCTCCAGGTACTGGAGCCTCCAGGACTCCAGACAGAGGACTGGTCATCGAGGCTGGTACGGCTGGAGCCCATCATTGAAGGTGGGTATAATTTTCCGGCTCGGGATCGAGGCTTCGAAGACCACCGCGCGGCCCCATGGCTCGAGTTTGCTGAACGACCACGAGGGAAGATGTCGGAGCCGCTCTTACTGATGGTGCTGGGACTCCTGCGGAGGGTACCACTGGAAGGGCCCAAGAAGTTGTTCGACGACATTCGGGAGACTTCTCGCTCTGGCTGCGCGCCAAAGAGCGGAAGCCTTTCTTTTTGAATTGAGGTATAGAATTCCTTGAGGACGGTTTCAACTTGCTGCTCCCAGGCTCTGACAGTTCCAACAAATGGCGTGTTGACCAATGGACCTGCGTCCACATTGGACTCGCTGTCTTTGTCCAACGAATTTCGTGTAGCATCTGAAGGGAAAGTTGCAGAGCGTGCTGATGTCGGCGCTGAGACCGATTCCTGAGGCTGATTCTTAGAACGATTGATTGGGCGTAGAGTCTCAAATCCTTCAGGAGCGGCGTCCATTGCGACTCGGTGGATAGTGGGCATAGTGTTTCGCACGAATTGAGACTTAGTCATTTTTGACTCAATATCAGCCAAATGCAAGTCAGTATTCAGCAAAAGGATGGAATAGCAGATGGTGTGGACAACATCAGTGGCTTTGAACCCATGACTGGGGTTACAATCACACCACCTGGTCGAGAAGGCGTCCAGCACTCGGTCGACCTGCTGGGTTTCTCCCTTGAGAACGAGACGATCACAGAGTGACCGAAGGGAAGCAACAATGTTCAGATTCGACCAGTTGAACAGTCGCATATACGCTTCACGGATCGTCGCCCGATCAGGATCACCGAGCCAAGCGGCAGCGGGCTCATTGCCAACAACCTCATCCTGGCTATCAAATAGCCTTTGAGCTTGCTCTCGATCTGCTGCCGTAGGCCCATCCTCAATTGCGTCGCCGGGCCCATCTTCTTGGTCCTCGGATTGGGCAAGTGGCTTATGTTCTTCTTGCTCGATGAGTGGAGTATTTGCTGCAGTCTGATAGTGTGAGGCTGTCGAGATAGAATCAACAGGGGATTCATAAGCTACGTCATCGGATGGGAGCGCTAGCTTGGCCACATTGGTAGAAGGGGCTTCCACTTGTGACTTGATGCTGCGCGAGAAGTTCTCTTCCACCGGGGAGAGCGCAGCGGACTGGGCGGCATTTTGTAGTTTCTCCTGCAGAACTGAATCTGCGCGGACTTCAGCCTTCGGGGACTGGGAGCGGTTCTCTGCAAGTGGGGATCGCTCTTGGGCACGAGATGTGGAGGGCTGGAGAGATGGGATCGCCTTGGGGGCCCCTGGAGCGGAAACGCTCTCTCTCTTCTTCTGTGCCTGCAAGAAGGCGGGCTGTCGAATCTTAGCTTCCCACTCTGCATCATCTTTTTGGTCTACATCTTCGTCGAGGTATGGATTCATGACCTGGCGCAGGCTACTCACTGGGCTTGGCTCGGGCTTCATATTATCCAAATTTTGCGGCGCAAGATGTTGAGGAATTACGATGGGTGGCGGAACATGATCAGCCACAGATCTCTTCCTCCTGCGGAAGAAGGACGACTTCTTGTTCACCACCTGGTGGGGCCCTGTGCGAACGGAGGCAGGGGAAGATGCTGCCGAGCTCTGAGTAGCTGGCTGTGCCCGTGTCTTGTAACTGGCAGCCACTGCAGTGGCTTCTTTGACCGCGGTCTCTTGTAAATATGCTATCTCGCTTGGACTATAGTTTGGTGTCTCCTGTGAGGCCGGGGCAGGTCCAGGGGCCGGGACCTTGGACCCAAAAACTCGTCGAAAGAATCCCGGGCGTTCTTTGTTGCTTGGTGCTGGGTTGGGGGCAGGGGTGCCCGTCGAGATGGTAGTATTCGCCGTCGGGTCGGGGGGAGGAAAAGCCGGCTTGTTATAAGAGATCGTTGGACTGGGAGCAGGAGGGTCGAAAGACCCAGGCATGGCCGGGGGAAGATCTAACTCTGTCTCGGCCAAGTTTGGAAAGTCATTCTCCCGGACTCTGAGAGTCCCCGTGCCCAAATTATCGGGGCGAGCTGTTCGAGCCTGGGGCGCCTGTGTCGATTTTGCTGCCGGTGTTCGTGCAGCCACCGGGTTCGATGACCTATTATAGTCGGTCACTTTGCGTGGTCCCGCCGGGATACTCGGTGTGGGTGCGGCCTCATGGTCGTCGTACAGAATTGAGTCCTGGTCCATATTCGCATCATCGTACGGCGCAAACGCCCGCTTGGGCCCGCAGTCAAAGCTTGCGGAGCGTCGACTCAAGCCCTGGTCCGTCCGCGCTCTTGGGATTGTGTATGAATAGTCTGCCGTCGATGACGCGCTTCCTTTGCTCCCATTGCGAGCGGCGTTCGTCCGTGGCATCGATCCTGCACCGCGCGAGCTGATGGCGTCTCCGCCCCGCGAGCTCCCCGCGTGTCTCGGTGCCGTTTGATAGGTCGAACTGCTGTTGCTTCGTCGGCCCTTGGTCGCTGTCAGTGTCGCATACCGGCCACTCCCATCTTCAAATCCATATTCCGGGTCCGAGGACATGGACGAGGAGAACGTATGGCCCCGGTATCGACCCTGGGTTGGTTCCTGGGAGAAATGGCTATGATCATTCTCGAATGCCGAGTTGAAGAGACGATAGTCATCTAGTACAGATGAGGTCGGAGCGAATTGATCGAGCGAGAGAAGCATGTTATCGACAATGGACGTTCGCGCCGCATGTTGTGGGGACAGGGACAGATCATGAGGATCTCGATCGTCTCCGGACTCGCTGGTTGGATTCTCCATGGCGTCTGGGAAGGCATCACGAATCGAGGGTCGAGCTGAGTATCCACGCTTCGGTTTATATCGTGCGGTCTGGGAGGGAGGGGTGTGAGGCGGCGAATATGGCTCTCGTTGCTGGGACATGACGCTGTCAATCCGTCAATGGGACTTCAGGGGAATGCCAAAAACAAAAGTCCAAAGCCCAACTGGTTTGGAAATGAGACTCAGTAGCATGTCTCCACCCGAGGAGATGTGAGAAGGGGGAAGTCGAACAGGCCAAGGTTCATGTAAACGGCAGAACTCCTGAGCGGATAAAATCCAAGTTCTTGAAACGTGCATTAGACTATTGGCCTGGCTACAGATTCAGGGGTTCTTCTGTACTTAGGTACTTTGTATTTTGGTTACTCTACTCCGTACTGTTTGTCGTCTAAGGGATATATATAATCAATTGGACTTCGTAGTCTACGGAGGACGGAGGACGGAGTATGAACTACGGGGAATGAAGCACAGACTCTCTACTCCACGAAGTGCTCCGTCCGCATAGACTATTGACTATCGAACATCGACTTCGCACCTCGGGGATTTTGCGCGTGAATGTCATACCTATCCAGAAAGGTCTCCGCAGACTATTTTAGCCCCTTGCAGAGTGGATTCAGGGAATATTTTCCGGCGATCAATCAGTCCAGTGTAGTAGAGTAGAGAGCAGAGAGGAAGAAGAGACCAAGTATAGTAAGATAGTAAGCAATGATGAGCAGAATACTTCAAAGTGTGAAGGGAAAAAATATGTGTAAAGTGTAAAGTGTAGAGTGTAGAGTGTAGGTGTAGATGTAGATGTTGATGCGAAGATGCGATGAGAGAGAGTCACGTGACCCGATGACATCGACCCCCAATAGCCCTCGCTCTCAACTCAGGAAGCTCAGAGCAACATGAATCCTCACATCTCAGTTCCCCGCCAACATGCGGGCTCTGCAACCTTTGGCTCAACCCCTGCTGCCCGGTCCAATGTCCGGATGCCGCGCTTCTTCAAAAGGTAGGAGTCTCCCGCGAGTCCAAGAGGCCAATGCCTAACCAAAGCTAGGCTCTTCAAATTCCCCCAGATGGACTTCGAGATGGCTGTCTGGGAGATGACTTCATTGTTGATCGCCCCCAAGAAGGTTTTCAAGTCGATATACTACCATGTAAGTGGCATTGGTCCTTCCGATCTCCAACCCATGCTAACCGTTGAACCCAGAAACGTGAGTGACATGGCTCAGAGTCCACGGCGTCACTGCGGCAAGAAGGGACGTCAGGATCTTCAACCTGCCAAGGGCGAACGCGGAACCCCCAGAGATCAATATTGACAACCCAACAGAAACCAAGAACACATGGCACCGGCCCGACCCATCATTCACCTATCTGCTATCCTTCTTCCTCCTCCTCACAGCGTTCGCATGGGGCTTGGCCTACACCCCGAGCTTCGGTGCCATTGTTCGCCTGACGTTCCTATTTGTGTTCGTACATTTCATCGGCTCCTCGCTCCTGATCTCCACAATCGGATACTTCATCATCGGGAAGCTGTTTGGGCCTGATGGGGCCGCCGCCTCACTCGCTGGTCTGCGGGGATCCCGAGGTCGGAGACGAGGTGCAGCACAAGGCCTGTTCATGCAGCCAGGAGAGAAGGATCAATTGGAGTTTGGATACTGTTTTGATGTAAGCATGGTTCTGCAATGGTCCCGGTCCTATAACTAATCACTGTTTTGGCAGGTATCCAACCGCGCCTTCTTCCCTCTCTACCTCCACTTGTATGTGGTGCAGTTCCTTCTGCTACCGCTACTCACTCGCAGCCCCAGCAACTTCCTGGCGACCTTCCTGGGCAATTCCCTCTACCTCTCCGCCCTGATCTACTACACCTACATCACTTTCTTGGGGTACAACGCGCTCCCCTTCCTGCACAACACGGAGCTCTTGCTTGTGCCCATCCTCATTTTTGCTGTTCTCTGGTTGGTGAGCTTGATTGCCGGTTGGGGAATTGTCATGCAAGGCCGCAGCGTGGAAGGACTGCTGTTGGGCGTCTGACATCGATCTTGGCAATAGATGAGATGTCCTGGGACTTACAATCCCGTGTATGAACCCTCATGTTCTGTTTCTGTTTCTGTTTCTGTTTCTGTTTCTTTTTCTCAATTTTGGCTTCTAGCCGACTCATGCATCTTCAGCGCCAATCTCCAAATGGTGTTTATTTGATACCGGTCTTTTGAGACCCGAAATGGCGGGTCATGACTTTTTTTGCTTTGTTCGTCTAGATGTATATCGCCTCGACACAACCTCATAATCACATAATCTTGAAAAAAAAAAGAGACAGAAGAGAAGCCTCTATACGATGCAGCTTATTTCTTCTTGCCACCAGCCTTCTTAGAGAGCTTACCAGCTGCCGCAAGGCGCATACGGTGCTCACGCTCCTTGGCAATCTCGGCACGCTCCTTAGCTTGTTCGTCCTTCTCTTCTTTCTCCGCCAGCTTGCGCTGGCGCTCTGCCTCACGCTGCTCCCGAATAACGGCCAGACGAGCCAAGTCCGACTTGGCTTCATCAGTCTTACCCTCGGCATGCAGTTTTTGGTAGCGCTCGCGAGCCTGCTGTGCCTGCACGGCTTCCCGCTCCCGGCGGGATAGCTGTGAGATATCCTTCTTCGCGGCGGGCTTCTTGGCGGCCGGGGCAGCCTCGGCCTCGGAATCAGACCCCGCCACGGGCTTCTGGGTCTGGGAGCGGGACTTGGCCGTGTGGTTGGGGTTGGCGGGCAGAGCGTCGTCGGAGTCTTCCGAGTCAGAGGGGGGCAGATCACCCGGTTGGGCGGGGCCCTGGTTGCGCTTCTTCATGGCGGCGGCCTTCTTGGCCTTTGCGGCCGCACGGCGCTCTTCACGGGTTCCGGCTGCGGTGGATGATTCGATGGGCTTGGACTCGTCCTCACTGGATTCTTCGGAGCTCTCTTCTTCGGATGAGGAGCCCTCATCGCCTGAGGATTCGATTTTGTCTTGGGGTTCCTGTGCGGGGTGGTATGAGCATGTCGCCTGGTCATTCTGGGATGCGACTTGGACTTACCCGCCACATGCCCATTTGGTTTCCTTCCTTGTCGGTTCCGACAAGATCTCTGCTGAAATGCTTGCCTCCTGTGTCTTGGGTTAGTACTTTTCTTGATCTGTTGGCGCACACAACCTACCTCCACGAGAGGGCTTGGAGAACTTTCCTCCACGACCACGGGGCGCCATTTTGATGAGAGGGTATATGGTGTGTGTATCTATGTGGGTTAGCGGTGCTGGTGCTGGAGGGGCACAGGCAGGGCGACATACTTAGAGGTAAAAAAGAGGTAAAAAGACGTAGATCAGTACAGTAACTCGAATCACCAATATCAGCAATATAAGCAGTCGACACTGTCGAGTCGAGAAAACAAAAAAGAAGCGAGTCACCGCATTCGCATTAATCAGAGTGGGGCGAATGACAGAGCCCTGATTACTTTCTACTTAGACACTTCTACTTGGACACTACACTACACTACTATTCTACTACACCTCTACTTCTACACTTCTACTCTATATACTATACAATATACTGTTACTCTGCTCATTCTTTTTATTCCTTTACACTCGAGCTATTCCACTCCCCACCTTGCTCACTCGTGCCCCCACCAACGTGAGTCCACCCGCGATAATCGCACTGCCCATAAACATCTGGGCGTACAGGTAATCGCCATCGTCGTAGACCACCAGAGCACCAGCAATGGGAGACCCAATGAGGGCTGCAACCCCGACCACACTGAGCACCATGCCCATGCGCACTCCGATCTTCTTCAGATCAGTCGTGAGAGTGCTGAGCGTCGCCGGGAACAGGGATTGAATACCCGCTGCAAACAGGCCATAAAACACCGCAAAGGCCCACAGGCCAGAGGTATCTTTCACTGCAGCCCAGCAGAAAGCCACAATGGCAGTGGCGAAGCTGAAGGGGATCAAGAGGTTCAGCGGACCGGTATATTGATCGGCCAGCAGATTGGGAACGAGTCGCCCAACCAGCCCAACTCCATTCATAACCAGGAGCAGATCGATCGATCGATCGGTCGAGACACCAATGACGTTTCGACTGAAACTGCCAACGTAAAAGAATCCGACATAGAGCCCCCAGAAATTCAAGAACATGCCCAGCGCAAAGAGCAGGTAGGGCATTTCCCGGAATGCAGCCCATTCAACCAATGGGCCACTTTGTCGCGGGGGGAGACGCTGCTTGAGGAAGAGCACGCAGGGCGTCAACGTGGCCAGAGAGATGAAGCCCAGAGTGCGCATGGTCCAGCCATATCCCGCCTGAGGGAGCATCTTCATCACCACGGCGGGGAAGACGAGACCCCCCGTGGCCGATCCCGACGCCACCATGCCAATCGCAATGCCTCGATTCTTGGCGAAATACGTCGAGATTAGGGCTAACGTTGGGCAGAACATCATGCCACAGCCAATGCCCTGGCCCAGGCCCTGCGCCAGAAACAATTGCCAGTATTTGGTACACAACGAGGTCATGAAGATACTAAAGCATAGCAGCAAGGCACCACAGGCCAGCGTGACCTTGAAATAACCGGCATCAGTCGCTCGACCGGAGAAAGTGCCCACGAAGAAGAGCAAGAAGATCTGAATGCTGCCGACCCATGAGATATCTGACGGTGGATGTCCCAGCGTCTGTGTGTAGTAGGTCTGGAAGACTCCAAAGCTGTTGATGTAGCCCCAGGTATTGAAGATCACAAAGTGCGCCAGCGCCACCTGTGACCAGGCCTGAAACCCGCCGTCTGGGGGTGGACCAATCGACCTGCCTGATTCCCGAGTGCGTACTGCGGAGAGTGTGCGTGCCAGGGCACTGGTGTTGGTTGGGACCTGAGAGAGGTTGGGCTGATTCGACTGGTTGGATTCGAGGTTCGACTCCTCATCCGAGGAGCGTCGGGTATCTATGTGCTTTTCATGCTCCTCGAGAGATGTTTCGAAGGTAGGGAGGGCCATTGTTTAGATGTAATCATGTCGAACAGAAAACATGCAGATAAAAAACATGAAATATAATGAGTCACGGAGAAAAAAAAGTTGACCGACGCGGGTATAGCGGGCGTAGCGGGGGTCGGTTATTCGCAGAGATGGCCGGCCTTCGCTTCGGGATCTGCTCCGGCTTAGTACTTAAGTGTAGTATATAGTATAGCTGGAGACTTGGAAACCGGGATATCTTCCAGATATCGAGAGAGAGAGCCAGTGAATCTATACATCTATCGATCTATAGATTTACTTGATCTTGACTTCAGTCTCCAGGGCTAAGTATAGGGGTTAATCCGTTAGCCATGCCCAAGTACTCAGTACGGAGTACATCCAATTGAGTTGATATTAGACTAAATAAATGACGATGGTCAAATATATCTACCTAAGTACTGAAGAATAGCTAAGTAAATTGGAAACATATTACCCCAGGTACGTGATATGGCGCAATCCTGGGGTCCCCGCAAAACCGGAGTGTTGCGGCTAACATCCACCTATTTAAGTACCAAGTACTAGACCATGTTACTACAAGATGGTTACTACTTAAGTACAAGATACAATTTATGAATGATATTTACCTAGCTTGTGCTATGATCTTGGCCTGTCAACACACATGGCGTCTAATCTCTCATCGATCCTGATTTGCGTTGCTGAGGAGCATCTGGATGGATCCAATGACATCGGCTGGCTCCAGTAAATGCCAACTGGCATCGGTTTGCTTGGAACTGGCCCCTACAGTCACGGAAAATACGTGGTCGGAAGGCAGATCGGTCTTCTTGAGGGCACGGAACATGTCTACTCAGGTGTCAGTAGGCTTATGGGTTTGCATTTTCATCCGAAATCAATCATACCTTCATCGGTGAAATCATCACCCAGACACAGGACAAATTCCGGTGCCTTCCCGGGAGCAGGGCCATATTCATTGACCAGCCGTGTAGCGATGAACCCTTTGTTCACGAAGGTCGGCCGCACCTCGAGATTGGCCTTGCCGGCCATGACTTCCACATCCCACCGTTTGGCAACGGTGTCCTTCAATTCCTTGCGACACTCGCGAGCCTGGAATGCACCATACTCGGGGTCTGCACGGCGGTAGTGCCAAGTCAATGCCACCCGTTTCCGCTCAATGAATGAGCCCTGTGTGCGTTCGGTATAATGCTGGAAGACATCAACAACCTCCTTCTGCCATCCCATGTTAGTACGCTCGGCCAGATTCTCCCAGTCGTCCGACCCGGGCTGTCGGATGAAACAGCCATGCTCGGCACTCAGTCCAAGTTCGGGGATGTGGCCCATCCACTCGTCCAAGAAAGCCTGGTCTCGTCCACTGATGATCCAGACGGCATTTCGGGGATCGGCTGACAAGCTCTTGAGCGTGCGGAGAACCCGATCCGAAGGGATCGCAGCTTGCGGGTCCTTGACAATGGGCGTCAGGGTGCCATCATAATCAAACATGAAGAGACGTCGGCGAGCCTTGCGGTATTGCTTTATTAATTTGCTCCGATCGAGGGCGGGCGTGGCGACGGACTGATCAAAGGACGACAGATTGGTCAAGAGGCGATGAAGATACTGCTTGGCCCACTGGGCAACAGTGTTTGTCACTACGTGTTTGTAAAGCTTCAAATGTTGGTCTTTTCGCTGTTCCGAGGGCATATTCAAGGCTTGGTTGATGGCCCCAGCCACCCCGACAAGATCCCACGGGTTAATGTGAATGGCACTGGGCAGCGTGCCTGCGGTACCCGAAAATTCGGAGAGAATCAGAGGGCTGTGGTTGGTCTGTTGGCACACAATATACTCCAGACTGGTGGTGTTCATGCCATCTCGCACCGTGGTAATCAATCCGACATCAGCTACCCGCAGCAAAGCAAAGTACTCGCGCGGGGACAAGTACTGCGGATAGTACTGAACAGGGGCAAAGCTCAACGAGCCAAACCTCCCATTAATGGTGGACACCAAATTTGAGATCTGGCCGGCAATTTTATTGTTCGGGTCTTCTTTCTCCTCTTCAACGCTGGTTGGACTCGTAACCTGGATGAGAACGACTTTCTCGCGCCACTCGGGATACCGCTCCAGGAAGATCTCGAAAGCCTGCAGTTTCTGCGCAACTCCTCGAACACTGTCCAGTCGATCACGACCGACAATGATTTTCTTTCCAGCGTACAATTTTCGGATTCCCTGCACGGCCTTCTCAATATCCGGCGCTCCGAAGGCGGCCTTCTGGATTGCACGAGCGTCGATACCAATGGGGAAAACGTCGACTGCAACGTGAGCTCCATATGCATCCACTCCCGCCGAGTTTGACTCGAAGCCCAAAACACGGGTACAACAGGAGGTAAAGTGTCGGGAATAGGAGAAGGTTTGGAATCCAATCATATTGGCCCCAAGAACTCCTTCGAGAATCTCCTTGCGCTTCGCAAGGCATCGTACGAACTCACTGCTGGGGAAAGGTGCGTGAAGATAGAAGCCCACATAGATGTTGGGGATGCGCTGCCGGAGCAGGCTGGGTAGTAGGAAGAGATGATAATCGTGTACCCACACCACATCGCCCTCCTGGTATTCTTCCGCGATCCGGTCTGCGAACAGCTGATTCAGGCGAAGATAATCACCCCACCACCGGCGTTCGGACCGGCCATCTGTCGGGCCATGCTGCTTGTAGTGAAGCAACGGGTATAGCTCGCGTTCCGCATAGCGGCGCCATCTCCCCTGATCTTTGAGCACAATGGTCTCTTGTGGTTCCTCGTAGGCATCCGACAGCCACACGGGCAAGACCCGGCCATGGCGCCCAGAGCTTAGCTGCTCATCCAGTCGCTCCCGGTCCTTTTGGGTAACGTGGATCCCTTCTACCAGCGGGTGGGCTGGGGTCTGTTTGGTGGCGTCTACTGGGACTGGCGCGGCAGCTTTGTTCAATGGTTGGGCGGTAATCGAATTGGGTGCCGAAGGTGCCTTGCTCGTGGCATTAGGGTGAATTTGCTGCAAGGGTGTCTTTTCCACAATCGGCTCAACCTCTCCCGTCCAGGCTACCAAAGTGTGTGACCAGGGCGTCTCATCCGATGCCAGGTGTGCGAATGAATCAAACAATGCTGAGGTGCCCGATCGTGATTTGAGCGTCTATTCCCTCGTTAGTGGCATGTTCTTGTATAAAGAAAGCATCATCTCACATACCCAGTCTGAGCCTGATTGAAAGTTGAGTTTGTAGGGAATGCAGAACGTGGCGCTGATGACACGACCGCTGAGATTCAGCCCCGGATGCTCCATCCGCGGATCCAGTGGTGGCAATGAGGGAGAGTCTGCTGTCAAGCTTAAGCGGCGTAGCAAATCCATGCCCGATGACGCTTTCCTTGCGGCTTGCACGGGTGAGGCGATCCCAGATAACTCTGTGGGTTCATCCTGTGCCCCTGGGAGGCTGGCGAAATATGACGGGACCTCACTGGAGGAGAAATCGATGGCGGGAGTCGCACTCGTCGCGTGGGCATATGCATCCTTCTCGAGGGCCTTTAACCCGGGACCCACGAGCACCGGGTTCGGCTGGCCCTCGGGGACCTGAGCGGGGCTCTCTGGTTCAGACATCGCTCACGATGTGCCCGACTGGATTGTGTTAGGCTGACATTGTCACATAGAGAGACAGGGAGGGTACCTCGGAAAGTTCAAAGAAGACTATTCTGCAACAGCCATGAAGTTGGAGACAAGATAGAAAGATAGAAAGATCCAAAGATAAAAAAAAGAAAAGAGATCACAGGGATCAGAGAGATCGCATATTCCAAGGAGGGGCAAGCGGTGAAGTTCTTATCGGAAACCGGTCAGCCAGATCCTAGGGAATATAGTACTCCGGAGAAAGAGCAAGAATTGTAGGAATTGTAGTCAAATAACAAGAATAGATCACGACGAGACCAAGACCAAGAATATCGAGGTGGGGGAGTGTCCTCAATCCTACGTCATGATGGGGCCTATATTTCAAAGGTACTTCCGTTTCTACTGTATTTTGTATGGAGTGCGAGGTACCTCGTCTTATACTATATTTCTATACAATTGATACTTATACCATACAGAGTATATACTGTCTATATTGTATATAATGTCTACACTGTATATATATACTACTTAAGTATATATAACCCCCTACAGAGTACAGGGTAGAAGTATCTTATAAGTGTGAGCTATATACTATAAATCACATGTCTCTGCCTGAGGCCCCCATATCAAAGTCAACGCGGACACCTTCTTCCATTCCCCATCCTCGGCATGCTGCCCACTGTAAGATGCAGTAATGCGCGCCTCTGTTCTGCACGCTTATTCCACAGCTCCCCGATAATCGGCAAGGATGTCTTCGCCAACAGCCTCCGAAAGACCCTGGACGCCCATCGATCCACAAATCGCGCGCGATTGATTCGCAAATTGTACCCCAAGGAAGATCCTCCAGGACTCTGGCGCCCGGAGATTCCCCCACAAAGTCGTGCGGGCTACGAACCCCCTGTTGATCCAACACCAATACCAGAAAGTCAGGACACCCCCAGGCCGGAACTGGGGGTCAAGAAACGCCGAAAACAGGACAGCAAACAGAAGCCTCTCGGGCGAGAATTGCTCCGGCATGAAGATGCCATCCAACCGGCTGGAAAAGCCCCGGCGCAGACTCCCTGGCTGAAGAACCACGCGCTCCCGCGTGCCAGCGCAGAGATCGCACTGGACACGGAAATCCGCGCGTTGACACAATACCTCACACCAAGCGTTGAGGAACTGTCTCGATTAGAGAAGTTGAGGACAGAGGTAGCCTCTCTTCTGGAAGGCGTAGTACCTTACACACCCAAAGTCATTGGGTCCCGTCGGACAGGACTGGTGCTGGCACACTCAGATCTGGACTTCATCCTCCCATTCGAGGACCTCCCACGATCACCAGAACGCGATCGACGACCCAGCCCAACGCGACCTGAGATCCAAGATGGCCACATCCGACTCCTCCGACAGGTCGAGAGAACGTTACAGCACACTGCGGCGTTCAAAGACCAGGTCTCTTTATCAGATAAGCGAAACCCATCGCTCTCCGCTCGACACCGACCAACGGGCATTTCGCTGCAGTTTTACTGCGGCGAGGGGGTCCCCGCCATTACAGAGTACCTGCAGGATTACCAAGCCGAGTACCCCTCCTTGAAACCTTTGTATGCAGCAACGCGGACCCTGCTCGAGGCCCGTGGGCTTTTTGGTGCGCCACAAGCAAGCATTGGACCCGATGCCCTGGCTATGCTCATCGTGGCGTTCTTGAAAATGAACCATGGACGCTTCCCTGCAGCTGATAGTCTAGGGGATCAACTTCTTGCCCTCTTACAGCTTTATGGTGACGGCATTGACCTCCAGACCGTGGGAGTAGCCGTTGACCCCCCTGGTCTCTTTAGTGTTGACACACTAGTCCCCATGCGCAACCAAGAAGCCGCCTACCAACGTGGCCAGCGGTCCCTAGTCAATGCTAAGCGCACTGCTGCCGCAAAAGGAAATACCCTTGTTGCGAACCGGCTATGCATCCAAGATCCCACACATTATATGAATGATCTTGGTCGTTCCTGTACTCGTACGTCTGAATTACAGGGTGCATTTGCGGCTGCACATGAGCAACTGCGCCGTGCGTGCGGTGACTGGGCAGTCAACCCGAAGAAGAGTTCGAGTATTCTCACGTCTGTTCTGCAGGCCAGATTTGACGCGTTGGAGCATCTGCGACATCAGATCGTGTCTCTCTAATCATTTCTCTCACCGTGGAAGGCTGTGAGAAGATGCTGTATCATATGTGCCCTAATTTAATGAATCCCCTTACCACTGGAGACAAGTTCTCAAGAAAAACATTACTTTATTGATCGCTAGTCGCAGGAGCTTTGCAAGACGAAATACCATAAACCAAAAAAAGCCAATGAGAGTCGAAGAGAATGAAAATGCGTCAATCGCTATAGTACCGCCCGAAAATTGGAAAAGCAAATAAGCGCGAGCACACTATTAAATAAAGACGCCGTCAAGTGCAAAGCTGAGAGAAATTAGTTGCTATATGATCGTTAGTATGCGATTTTTTCCCAAGTAACCGAGGTCAACTTACTAAATCTCCAGTGGGGAGATTTGATCCAAAGCATAGAGCCAATTCCCGCCTTGTTCCTCCTTTTCCAGCCTGTTGTCATTCGTAAGCACACTTCTTCAGTCATTTAATCCCTAGGGGTAATACGTACCAGTCGTATGGCCACAAGATGAGATGGCCCTGAGTTTTGTTGAGAAGGTCCTCTGCACGACCCTTGTCCATGAACTCGTCTGCCCCATGGGGATCACGCTTCGAGCCGATGGTTGTAGCTCTGCGTCTGCGTCTCCGAGACTGGCTGGTTGAGTTCAGGTTCAGGTTCACAGCCTCAGAGTAATCAACCTGGGCTGAAGCTGAACGTGACTTTTCAGCGTCCTCGGTGACAGTGTTGTCGTCACCGGTTGCATTCGCAACACTGCTCACCAGATTAGAGTCTGATGCAGTCTTCAAGGCAGCCTTTTCATCAATTGATGACAGGGTCTCCTGCTTCGCCAGGTGCTCTGACTGGGGACGGGTGGACTCGTTCCCAGATCCAATCTTCTCGTCAATCGTCTGAGGGCTCTTGGGGTCTGCAGGCGATCCATCGGCCACCTTCGGGGTGATGAATGGCAATTGAGAGGCAATTGACATTGGAGAACTGACTGCGCCACCGGGTGGAGGGGCACCATTTTGTTTTTGTGTAGGCTGGCTTGGTTTGTTGCCCTGCTGGCTCTGCATTTCTGCAAAGCGCTCGCCGTATGCAGCGTACTCTTTGTATTCCTTCCAATTCTTGACCTCGTTGTCTGGCATGCATCGGAACACAGAGCGGTAGATCTTAGTGTTCTTCTCGGCGACAGCTTGCCATGTGTCCAGATAGAAGCCATCAATCACTGGGTCTCTCATGCAGTCGTTGTCAATGAAGATGCGCTTGAGATCCGGAGCCAACGGGTGATGGTTTTTGGACTGTTCGGTTTCCTCTCTAGACACAGTGAGTCCGGGCTCCGACTCGCGTGTCGATAACCCAGGAGCTCCATGGCCTTGCGGGATAGCATCGCCATTGGTTTCGCCCGAGTCGGGTTGTCGCTCATTGACCGTCGATGATGAATGAGATTGTTGTTGCGAAGATGATCTCGGACGCTCTAGTGTACCCTTGCCCTCTGAGGCGATAGGGGAGAGCAATGCCTCTCTTCCGTTTTTCATGTCAGAATCACGCCCCGCGCCGAGTCCGGCCTGAGAAGCGGCTGCCAGCCGGTCATGGCCATCACCTTCGACGTCTTTTCTGTGGTCTGGATTGTCGGTGACTCGGGGGTCAGCAGTGAGCTTCCGATTCGATTTGAGATTCGGGTTAGCACCTTGCTCCCAGTCAACATCGTGATTGAAGCTATACATCGCTTCGGAGCGAGAAAGGAACTCATCCTGAACGCGGTGCCGACGATCAATCATATCCCTTTCATCCTGTCTTTCGACGACCGAGGAGCCTGAATTTCTGTGCTCTCTGTCATTGGCGGGGCGACCTGCCCCCTCAGCAACCTCGATCTTGCGCAGCTCCTCTTCAGTGGCAAAGTCATGCTCCATGAGCTCGTCGACATCAATTCCAAGATGCTCTCTCATCAGGCGCATGCGCAAAGTGTGAGGGAATCGTCCCACCATATAGGGTTTACCGTTCATGCTTGACATGATCATATCGGTATCCCGAACAATGGACGCGACTTCAGAGTCTCGCGAGCCCAGCATAGATCGCTCATTGATGTTGGCTGATCCGATGATGGCCGCGCGATCATCCACAACCATGCACTTGGCATGGATGTAGAGTTGCTCGGTGACCAGCTGCTTTTGCGGTCCAATCTTGCCCCAGGTTCGAAGACTGAAGAACTGAATGTAGTCCTCTGGCTCAATACCAAGAGCACGGAGGCGGCCAAAGATCGAAGTTTCTCCACGGCAGATACTACGATATTGACACTGCATGATGAGACGAACACTCGTACCACCCTCGCTATCAACGGTGTTTTGGAAGCCTGGCATCAACGGGATAACAATGACAGCACGCCATGCTTCCTCGTTCTTGGCTGCCCGGACAATGCGTTCAACCAGAGCATCTCCGATGAGGTTCTCAATCTTCCTGCCATCAATCTCGCACGTACTGATGAAGAACTGGTTCTCAATATACACAAAGTGCTCAGACTCCTCGATCATTTTCACGTAGGCGTTCATAATGCTGTGCTCAGTGACATCGGGGGTTCCAGTTGACCACATGCTGCTAGAACGCAAGATCTGCACTTCGCAGGTGCCATCGAGGCCCAAGGCCTCGAGATCTGCGGGATTGAAATCCGGAGGTGGTAGGAGGAAGGGTGTCGGTCGTGTAGGCTTCCGCTGGCGTAAAATGTAGTTCCAGCGTTGCACGAAATGACGGGTAAGGTCGCGAGCAGGCTGACCCACGACATGCATGGAGATATCATGCCAGGGCATTCGTGGAACGACATTGCGGTCATACATCTCCTCGTACGGCTTGTCCAGATCATAGAAATCTTGGATTCTTGGATTGGAGTAATCCTTGCCTGGCCAAAGCTGACAATGATCTGCATCTTTGGGCCCATCGGTGGTTTCAAATCCAGTAGGCTTGTCATCAGTCAGCTGATGTTGGGGGGTATCCCAACGTCCAAAGCATAGATCAATACCACCGACAAAGGCAATGGTGTGATCAATGAGACACAGCTTCTCATGATGAGCCCAGAAGAAAGTATTCTGGCGGAACTGGTTTGGTGACCGCTGGACGAAGATATTGGGGTGGAGATCGAGAAGGGAGAATTTGGAATACTCGGAGTCAATAGGGATGGCAGAGTTGATGTTGCGGTACATAATCACAAACACCTTGACACCCTCTCGTGCTTTCTGCTGGAGGAGACGGTCCAGTCGCCATTTTTGACTGATCGCAGCAGGGCGACGCATGTACAACTCTGGGCTCAACCACCAGTCATGGATGTAAATGACATCCTTGGCCTGGTTGATGGCTCGCGAGACAACCCACATATGGTCTCGTGCATCCACCAGCCATTGCGCGAAGCAATTTTGTCGCACGGGGGCGAAGCTGTCAAACCGGTTGGGGCGCATCCATGGAGTGTTGGCAACCATGAAGCGAATTGAGTCTTCAAACTGTTGTAGTTGACGCTCATTGCGGGCCAGGAGTTTCAGTTTGCGCTCTGAATTCTCGAGTCGAAGAGTGTGGTGCTGAGGGTGCCTCGCTGATTGCTTGGCAGATTTTGCCAGGTCCTTCGGGTTTTGATTGCGAAGACTGAGCTTGGGTGTCTGAATCTTGAAGTTGGAATCCACCAAGAAGACATCATAGATGTTCATCTCCTCCGGGGAGTCCACGCAGACTACGTAGCTGTGTCTGACCAGGAACCATTTGGGCCAATGACGTTTCTTGACCAGAGAAGGAGTAAGAGCCTTCCGGAAATCAAGGCCCTTGGAGGATTGGATGATCAAGAATCCTTCTTTGCCATGATAACTGCCTTCTGCAGCCAACCGGACACCCAGGGCAGACAATTCCAAGAATTTGCACAGGCGATTGCTGTCGGCTCTAAAGATCAAGAACCTGATCATCTTCTGCAGATACAGCTCAAGCTTCTTGCGCTGTTTTCCGGGGTACGTCTCTTTCCGAGCGCCTGATGCTCCTTCATGGGTGGATGAAGGCCCCAACCCTCCAGCAGACTCGCCTTCCTGGTTCGTTATGCTGGACTTTCTGCGGGCAAGTGGTCCAGAAACCCGGCGCTGATGCGGCTGCTGGCTCTGTTTCTTCTTGATCGGCGGTCTTTCTGTCCCACTCATACCCTCCGCCCCGGTTTCATAGCCACCTTCTTCGTCTTCGTCCTCGAATTCACTCTCCAGGCCTCGGACACCGCGCATGTATGGGAATGCACTTCTGGGGAATCGCGGGAGACTGGGACTGTTTTCGCTGGTTCGAAGTTGGATATACTTCTGAGTTCCAAGGTGAAGTTTATACTTGAGATGTAGGTTGGCAAAGTCTCGCAGCGTACGGAAGATAATCCACTTCATTCGTGTCATACCACTTCCGTATTCCATCTCAACTCGGAACACCAGGTGACGATCGCCGGAGTGAGAATCAATGCGGCTATCGGTGACCCGAACCTTCAGCTGTTCGAGGAGAATTGGGATCCTCTTGCTGCCGTGCTCGTCGCGCTGGAAGGCGCTGGCCAGGATTAGCGCAGCCGGCACAGCCGATGCGAGTTCGGCCAGCAGCTCTGCCGACTTTTTATTGTCCACTGTATTTTCTGGCTTGCGTCGCTGGCCGATGAGCTTCAGGCCGGCCTTGATTTGCTTCCATCGTTGAGCGCTGGCACTTGTGCCTCGCTCGTTCCGGTGACGCCTCCAGCTTGCGGTCAGGCTTTCTTCGTTGCCTTGTCCCGCGAACCCAGTCAATCGCCGGAGATTCGATGGCCGTGGGTCCTCCTGGTTGCCATCGGGGTTTCGCCCCGTATAGCTAGCCCCCCGTGTGTTGGTCCACGGACGGTTTCGCATACGGCGACTCAGCCTCTCCCGGCCTTCATCTTCTGAAACACCCTCTCGTGCTTGGGGCGTAAAGTCGGTTGTGCTGGCCCGTCGGGGGAACAGATTTGTTCTATAGTTCTCAAACGGCGCGAAAGATGAGGAGAAGTGGAAGGAAGGTCGGCGCCCCTTTGGGGTCCCCGGTGCTGTCTGCGTCCCGTCTTCGTTCTCTTGCTGCTTTCTTCTCTTCTGCTTCCGCTTCTTGGGACGAGACTCGCGCTGCTCGCCTCCGCTTTCTTCGGCATCCGCATCTCCCTCGCTCCCCTCTTCTTCGAGCGGCTCTGGGAAGCGGAATTCTCCCCTTTCCGATCCCGGGGTCGCGAGATCGGGCTGTGGTGCTCGGAAATCCGCGCTCGCGCTACTTGGCGACCTCGAATGAGACACTGCCGCGAAGGACTTCAATTTCCCAAACAGCGATTGTTTCCCTTTCGGGCCCTGCTCCTCGTCATCGCCATGCTGCGATGCCGGTCGAGACACGGGTCGAGACTGTGGTCGGGACTGGGACACGTCGGGAAGTTCGGTGTCGGTATCCCGGAATTGTACACTCTGGGCGCGGGATGGAGGGGATACCCCCGGAACGGATGGTTGGCGCTGATGGCGGACGAACGGTTGTTGGTCGTCGGTCGATCGGTTGGGAGGTCGTGTGCCCAGGGAGGACCTGCCTCTCGGCGAACCCTGCTTCAGGGATGCAGGGCGCGTATTCTCCTTATCAGTTCGGGCACCAGGCCCCTCATTTTCGTCTGTCTGATTGTTCCTGATCGAGGCGGGTTTCTTTTCGGTGGGAGATGGGAATGGTGAGGCCAATTTCGACTTGGACAAGAGGTCTGCTTTTTTAGTGTCCAGCTTCAAGGAGCCAGTTTCGACGTCGTGGACGGAAGAGGCCGACATGGTGGGAATCTGCTAATGCAGGGTGATCATCAATTGCAGGTTCACGAGAAAATCAAACAACACATACATAAGATCCCTCAGGTCGACATCTAAACCGTTGACATTAAAGGAGCTAATGTAGTTCTCGGTGGAGCTCCGTACTGCGCCCCCGGAGAAGAAGTGGGCGGTCAAAAGTAAAAAAAAGGGGGTTTTGATTAATTTGCGACAGCAATACTCGTATATGACACTGGAACAATTGTAACAGGTTTGGAATAAATAGAAGAGATGGATTTATATTTGAATATTAAGTGTAAAGTATATGGCTGTGAGTATGGAGTATAGGAAGTATAGAGTACAGATGCAGTATAGAGTCAGGTACCAGGCACATATACTGTAGAATATAATATAGAAGTACATAGATAATTCATGTCCAATTAGCCAGATTGAAACACAGAGATCAAAAGAAAAAAAAGAGAAGGAAAGAAGAACAAATAAGAAAAGACCAAAATTGAGATATAAGGACAATGACACAATGGCCCTCGGCACCATCGCCATACCCGAAACACTACACTTCCTGAAGTCTCACCCCTCACACCCCTCACCTTCTCATATCACCATGACTGACCCCTTCAAATCTTTTGATGATTCACCCCGGACGAAGCCACCTGCGGTTTCCCGGAGTGTCTTTGCCATTGCCGGCATCTCGGTGACAGTCTTCGGCTTGCAAGAGCTCCGCGCCGAAGCCTCCGAGGTCGCATGTCTATGGCTGCTACACCCTAGACTAGGAACCCAGAAGCGGATGATCCGTGTGGCGAATGCCTCTATCACCGATTGGAACACGAGAATCAAGGATTCGCCATCAGCCAAGGGCTTGATTGGAGTGGCATTTGATCAGAGAAACCATGGCTCGCGCGAGATTGAGCCTCTGGCCAATGAATCCTGGAAGAAGGGAAACCCTAGACATGCCCAGGATATGTTCTCCATCTTTCGTGAGTGACGATTGCGGATATAATATCCTCTAATGCTAACGAGTACACCAGAGGGCACTGCAAGAGATACCTCAGTGCTGATGGACTACCTGGCCGCCTATACGTTCCCCCATGGCGAGCACAATATTACAGAGAACCTTGTATTGGGCGTCTCGCTAGGTGGCCATGCAGCCTGGAGCTGCTTGCTACATGAGCCTCGCATCACTGCGGGTGTCGTGATCATCGGTTGTCCCGACTATATCAACCTGATGGCAGACCGTGCCCGCCTGTCAAAGTTGCCATCTTGGACCGAGAGTGATCCACCGGGTGCGAAGGTCCTCGGCTCAGAGGCTCTCCCCGCATCTTTCTTGGAGACTGTGAAGCGATTAGACCCCGCCAGTATGTTTTTGCAGCATGTGGACTGTGGGCCGTCGACGGGTCCCTTGCGCGAGGGCCCACTGCCCCAACCGTCGGAGAGTGAGCAGCAGGTGCTACGACCCATCTTAAATCGTACTCTGGCCGGAAAGCGAATTCTCAACCTGGCAGGTGGTATTGATAAGCTGGTCCCCTATCACCGGGGTGAGCACTTCCTCGATTGGTTTAAAAAGACCATCTCCCCCGATGGCTGGTATGGTGACGGGGCCATCTCGTTTGAAGATATCATTGACGAGGCAGCGGGACATGAGGTCACTGACAAAATGGTTGATGAGGCGGTACGCTTTATCAGTGAGACATTAGCAGCAGGATCTGATGCCACTGGACGACGAGGCTCGGTGCGTGAGTCTAAGATGTGAATATCGACTCTGTATGATGCGGAGGTACATAGATGCATGACGACATAGGCATAGACTCCTTGTAATAACTCCAATTCTACGAGAGCACAGAGTACAGAAAGTACTCCATACTATGAACCCCGTACATATTCACTTCCACCCGGAGCCTCCATTTAGACCATATGCACCATAATCCTGACATCGAGATCTACTAGCTCATCCAAAGACCAGCCCAAGTAGGACGGATGCACACATCTTTGAAAAAATTCCTCCTTATGGTATTTGTAAAACAATGATGAAATCGTAAGGGCATTCGGAGGCCATATGCTATGCTGGTTGCATACAAAAAAAACCCTTTTTATTTTCGATCGCTCGACCTTTGTGGTGCGGGCATATCTCATTTGAGTTCCGATCGTCCTCCTAGCTTCAGCCGACAGAACAAGTCAGAACACAGCTGGGCTGCAGATTGCCCCTATTCACCCGCCTTCTTCAGAAACATCGACGCGAAACGCTTATGCGACGAGCTCAACAACACCACCGGCGGCCTTGATCTTCTCCTCGGCGTCACGGCTGACGTAGCGGGCACGGACGACGACGGGGATCTGGGGGAGACGGCCCTTTCCGAGGACCTTGGAGTAGCCGAGGGGCAGGAGGTCGATGACGGGGGCGACATCGGTCTTCTGGCCGCTCAGGTAGGCATCACGCTGCTCAGCGGGGACGAGAGACCAGAGCTGTAAAAGAGAAGACCTGATCAGCGAATATTCCAAGCGCGCAAAAATTTCCCCCCATTCTCGAAATTGTCGACAGAAATTGAAAATTGGCCTTTCCCTCCTCTTGTTGCATACTGCATATTGCATTGTTGTCGCCAGTTGCGGTGCTCGTATCCCAGGCCAATATCCACACACAAAAAAAATCTTTCTTCCGCCTTTCTCATATCGAATCGAGTCGTAGGATGTTATAGGATATCACGTACCTTGTCAACGTTGACAGTGGGCTTCCAGAATTGCTGGTTGGTCTTGTGGAAGTAACGCATACCGACCTTACCGAAGTAACCGGGGTGGTACTTGTCAATGTTGGTACGGTGGTGGTGCTGACCACCGGCCATACCGCGACCACCGGGGGACTTGCGGTGCTTGCCGACACGACCGTAACCGGCGGACACATTGCCGCGGCTGGAAAGAAAAAGAGAGGTTAGTGAACGTGTTGCATTGCGACGGTTGTCGAGGTCGGATTTTTTTTGATCGCGATCGGCGACAATAGATTTTCGATTCAGGCGAACACAGGAAAGGAGATCGACTCACTGCTTCCGGGTCTTTGAGAAACGGGTAGGCATCTTGTCGGCGGTTTATCGACAAGACCGTTGATGTTTGGCGTTGAAGGGGATAGTCGTTCTGGAATCAATCCACTTTGGCGGCAATACCTGTGTGCGGCCGCACTTATTCGCTTATTCACCGCCCCAAATCGTTCTGCCCTACTTAGGCTTAGGGCTACCTCACCGCTCTAGGTGAGTAAGCAGTCATCTGACTAGAGAATTACATCATGATCTCAGATACCGCCTTGGAACATTCTGCCATATTTACTCAGGGCTTCCGAGGTCTGTCAACTACGGACTATGTATATGATGTTAGGTATGATTGAACGTTGTAACTTTTTTTTTTGGTCAGATGAGACCTTCATTACCGTAGTATCTTCTATATAGGCACTGAATTCTTTTCAGCAAAGAACTTAGAAAGTCTTTGCACCGTCGTTTGGGCCGCCCGCGTTGGAGGTGCGGGGACTAAGCTCCCTCGAATCCAGCCGGGCAGTTTTCCCTGGATGCGTGGCGATTCATATCGGCGGTCAATCATAATGATGGCGGCATAGTCATTGACATGTCTGATAGCTCGTCCAATACACTGGTTGACTGCTCTCATGCACGAATTTTCGTAAAAGTCCCTCCCGGCCGCTTTGCCTGCTGCTTTTCGTTCTGCTTCAGAACCTTCAGCTTGCCGATAGGTCTTGTCCTCGAGGTATTGGATCTTGGCTTGCCAAATAGCACTGCGAATATTGGAAAATGGCAAACCGACAATGAACACGCCACGGCCCAGTTTATCAGAGAAATTGATTCCCTCTGACAATTTCCCGCCTACAATGGAGAGAAGTAAGGCACCGGAGCCTGAGTTAACAGCTTCGGTGTATTCCTGCAGCAAGGCATCTGTCGTTGTGACTGCCTCGCGGGATTCGTATAGAATCTTTTTCTTGCGTGCTAGCAAGTCGAAGGTGCTTTGTCCGTTACCATTAGGGATGGGCTTCCTCCAGACACCTATAACTTGACTTAGATAGTCATAACTGGGGAAGAATGCAACCACGCCATCCGGTATGACTTGGCAGAGGGTTGCCATTGTTCGACCAAGGTCGGTGATCTATCGTAATTAAATGACTGTCTTTTGAATTGCAAGGGTGCGCTTACCATTTTCTCCGAACTTCGTGCCTCGTATGTAAAGTCAAAGTCGTTGCCCATGAGTCCTTGGGTCAAAGACTGGGCAACCAAGTTGGTCTTGGGTATCACATGGCCATAACTGAATGTATCCAGTCGTTCCGCAGGTAGGTAGGAGAACAGATGGTTCACATAATCCGACATCTATAGATGATTAGAGCTATACAGGGCTGATAAGACATGGTACTTACGGGAGACATGGTACCACCAGCTAGGATAACAGCCCGGGCATCCTCTGCAATTTCCCGGAAATGATTCGTAGGATCTAATAACATGTATTTCAACACGATATCGTCTTGGTCCTTTTGAAAGAAAAGTCGTCCCTCTTCCGAGGGATTCATGAGGGGAAGAAGAAAGCTCTGGATATGGAACAAAACAGGCATGCTTGTTTTGTCTTTCGATCGACCAGGCTGCGGTTGTTGAGAGGACTCGAGATAGCCGTCGACCTTCCGGGCAAGTTTGCTCTCTTGGAGATACCGGCAAAGTTTATAAGGGTTTATCTGGTCTACTCCTTTTCCAGACATGAGATCAGAGATCTGCAGCGAGCCTTCAAGTGGCCCTTTTCGCTGGGAGATTGATTTCAAATGTTCCGCAATAGAACCCACCAGACGGATGACCTGCGCAACATAATTTCGATTTTTCCCTTTCAGCCGATTCTTGAACTTGCGAGCGTAGGTGGTCAGCTGTGTGATGGCAGTTTGTAGTTGACTCAACGACACTGCCACCGAATGAATGCCGGCTATGGCATCCATGAGGTTGTGAGCCTCGTCAATTATCACAACATGGCCTTTGACAGAAAGATTCAGAGCCTCCCTAGCTGACCGTTGCAACAAGAGGGGGTAGGGCAGGGTCACGATCTAGTGCCAGTTAGATGTGTTCAAAAGTCGCCTCGGGGAACTAACCTCGCTGTGTTTGATCACCGGGCGTGACGCATAGTAAGGACAAATCCCGAGCTTTTTGCCCACCTGGCCAATATCTTCAATGTCCTTGACCGTTGCCAGCGCATGGTCTCTGAATTCGAGTGCCAAGGCCTCGTCGTCTTTGGACGGTATGAATTTGCACTTCTTGTCGGCCGCCACCCCGGCTTGCTGGAGGTCTAGGCATTTTTCGTTGATTGCGGTGTTGTTTTCTAAAGTCCGAACTTGGGGGTTAATGCACAGGTTCTTCCTGGAACCCAACGAGAGGTGTTTCACTCGTTCTTCTAGTACAGCGAGACCGTCCTTCCCGTCCGGTTCCAGCTCATCGGGTATACTAGAAGGGAACGCAACTCGTCGCAGCTCACCAGCGAATTGGCTTAGCTGAGAATGAGTTCTCGAGCAGAAGAAGATTTTGACTTCCTCTACGTCTTCTTCTTCCTCTTTCTTTTGCGTAGAGAATTGCCCTTGGAACCGTTCTAGCAAGGCTAGAGTACTGGCAGAGAGACCGTCCGAGCCCCTTGCCTCTTTTGGGCCCTGATTCTCAGAGTCGCTGTCATAGTCATCGAGAACAAACTGTTCCTCGTCGGCTGCAGACTCCAATGCTGGCTCTTCCACGCGCTATTCGTTCAGTCAATTTGAGATTCGCGGCAAGCCTATACCCAGTTGGTCGAGAACTGAATGCGTACCTGCTTTTTGCGTGGCCGATGAACGCTCTCCTGGGCCTGTTTTAAACGCTCTTCGTCTTGGCGAATTTTGGCCAGTCGTGCTTCAAATGCCTGCCTCTTCTCGGTCAGGGCGCGCCGTGATTCCTTTCTGGCAAACTCCAGCATCCATTCCGGCTCCTCATCGTCCCCTGCGCGGTTAGCTTCGCCTTCATGGTTCATAAAAAAAAATAATAAAAAACAAAAAACATCCACATACCCGTTGCGTCGACTGATTCCTGAAAAGCCTTTCGTTTGTGATCTCGCAGCCAGGTCAAGGAGCCACAGATCAAGCTCAATGATTTTCCCTAAGAGGCTCGTCACCAGCTCTATCTCCTGGGGAGTCCGCCACTTACGGTACCTGTATCAGATTAGATTGCATCGTCATACGCTAGGTTGGGCCTTACCCGTCGGGGATTCAAAGACGGCGATCTTGCTCTCTTCCAGGCAAGTGTACAAGGCTTGCATAAATTGCAATTGGATGTCGTATGGCGTATACGGGTGGTGGAAATTGTCCATTTTAGCGGAAGTTGTGAGAAAGGTGGAGTTTGTAAGGAGTAGACAGTGGAGAAAAGGATTGTATCTGCCTTGATACAGTAGATACAGTACAGTACTGAATACTGACTGTAGTTGACTCGAATACTGAGAATATTCTATAGAGTATGTATTTGTCTCACATTAGTAGAGTGGCAGTGTAGAGACAGAAACAGAGAGCATAGTTATTAATAGGTAGACCCTGTCATGTACTCCCCGTACTCTGTACTATGAGTGGACTCTATGGAGTATTCTACTCTCTTGGCACCTCTTTTCCTTCATTTAACCTGTCCCCCTCCTCCATTTTCTCCAACTCCTCTCCTCCTCCCCATTTTCACACAATGCATAGACCGCAGGGTCGTGGTCAGCCACCGGTGGGTGCGACATGGTATCCAGGGGGTCAGGATGATTTCTACATGCCAGAGGTCATATCCCCCTCCCCTCAAAGGTAACCACTTTTGCACACCTTCACCATGCCAAAATTACGAGTATTGATTCATCCGGGCAGAGTGATGCCCGATGTTCCCGAGAACATGCAGGATAATATCGCTCAAATGGAACATCGCGTTCATGACCCCCGCCGGCAACCCCCCGCGCAGTATCAACGCGCCTATCCCGAGCGCACTTCATCCGCCGCCCGAAGTCCCCCACAACATAACCAGGTACACGATCCGAGCTCGTATGCGCAATCAGCGACCTACGATAGCATGGATCACCCCAACTTTTCTCCCTTCCCCGTCCTCCGCAACCCGCCTCCAAATGTCCCGCCCACCGACGAACAGCGGGAGGCGAGCTTGGAGCGCGCGCGAATGGCAGTACTCTCGACAACCGATCCAGAGATGCAGCTAGCCTGGGCCCTAGATGCGCTCGCCTTTGTGGAAGTCGCCGCGCAGAACGAAGCCCGTCTGAGCGTCACGCAGCCCCCGCGTCCGCAGACCCCGCAGGTCGAGCGCCAACTCCGGGTCGATGCCATGAACATCGTCAGCTTTCTGGCGGGCCAGCGCCACCCAAAGGCGGAATTCATCAAAGGCATGTGGCTCGAGTTCGGTAAGTTTGGCTGCCCCGTGGATCGCAAGGAGGCATTCCGATCGTATTCACGAGCGGCGGAGAAGGGATATGCGCGTGCGGAATACCGGATCGGAATGCAGTTTGAGAGCTCGGGGGAGCCTGAGAAAGCGATCAAACATTACCAGCGGGGTGTATCGCGAGCAGACTCGGCGTCCTACTATGTGAGTGGATCGGAGGGGTGAGCCAAGAATGTGAGATACAGACGGCTAATTTTTCCCCCCATCAGCGTCTGGGAATGATGATCTTGTTGGGTCAACATGGCCAGCGCCAGGATTTCAACACGGGGTTGGAATACATTCGGCTGGCAGCGCAATCATGCGACCAGAACGCACCTCAGGGTGCCTATGTGAGTGCATTGCAATACATTCTTCGCGGAATTACTCTAATAGGAAAATAGGTATACGGCATGCTTCTTGCGCGGGAGCTTCCTCAAGTGAGCGTTCCGGAAAGCTTTTTGGCCATGGATCTCGAGCTGGCCCGTGTCAATATCGAGAAGGCCGCCTATCATGGGTTTGCCAAAGCTCAGGTGAAGATGGGTGCTGCATATGAGCTGTGTCAGCTGAGTTGTGATTTTAACCCCGCGCTCTCGTTGCACTACAACGCATTGGCAGCTCGCCAAGGCGAACCCGAGGCCGAGATGGCGATCAGCAAGTGGTTCCTGTGTGGACATGAAGGTGTCTTTGAGAAGAACGACGAGCTGGCATTTACTTATGCGCAGCGTGCGGCCCAGAGCGGTCTCCCCACCGCCGAATTCGCGCTGGGCTACTTCTATGAGGTTGGTATATATGTGCAGTCTGATATCAAGGAAGCTCGCTCGTGGTATGCCAAGGCTGCTGCGAGCGGCAACAAAGATGCATCGGGTCGAATCGAGAGCATTTCTCGCTCAAAGACTCTGTCTCGAAAGGACCATGAAAAGGTGGCAATCTCACGGATCAAGTCAACTCGGTATACCGCGCATCAGCGAGGGCACTCTCTAGAGAACACCCCGGAGAACATTCAAATGCCAGATCCGTCGAGAATGACCCTTTCAGACGGTCCACCAGCTGCCGCTCCTTACCCTGACCGTCCTCATTCTACTCGTCCCCGGCCTCAGCAGGGATATCAATTGTCCGACCCTCGGCCAAGCTCTGCTTTTGGTGTCAACCCCAGCCTTCGACAGAACGTCGCCCCGGGATATGGTGGCCCGCCTTCAGGCCCTGGATCTCGTACCCCGTCATATGGACCTGGTGGGCCTGGTGGCTCCGGCGGCCCTGGCCCCGGTCCTGGTCCTGGTCCTATGAATTATCGCCAACCTGGCCCTGGAACACCACTAAGCGCTCCTGCTGGGCCAGCAAGCCCTCAGGCTGGTAGTATGATCAGCCCTAGTGGAACTCCTCGCCTCGATATCGGTTACTCCGCACCCATGCCGCCGCCTGGTGGAAGGCGTCCACCGCCTCGACTGGATTCGGCCCCTCCTGATCGCAAGCCTATGAGAACCCCCGTGTCTGGTCCTAATAATGTGCCTTCACCTCGACAGCAGGCATCTCCTCGCCCACCTGGTTCTCCCTCGTATCCTCCTCGCACCGAGTCTCGACAACCGTCCCGAGGCTCCGGCGCTTCTACGCCTCAGCCCGCTTCATCGGTTGCCTCGCCAAGCTCGTCTGCCCCACCGACCTCCGCTGGGCCGCCGCCCCAGAAGCCCGCCGCGAAACCGGCCAAGGGAGGCCAATTGCCCGGCAAGGGACCCAAGACCTTTGAAGAGATGGGTGTTCCTAGTGCGAAGAATGACAATGATTGCGTACGTGCCTCTGAATCCCCCATCTCGAGATCTCGAGCTAACCTTCCCAGATTGTGATGTGATACCCCGGGCTTTAACCCTATCTAATACCAGACGATTTCTGCTTTACGTCCTTTTATTCCATGTGCATTTTCCCTGTATGATTCCGGTTTTAAAAGCGTCCGGGGGGAATGGTTCTCGTCTCAATGCATTCTATGTTTTGCTTTTTTTTCTTGGTTGGACATATGGTGGGCATTTTGGAATTTTGGGGCCCTTAGATATCCGGAGTCGTGAATTATAAGTGTCTCGGTACACGTGAGGTCCATATGGAATCATCCCTCTTCTTCTTTCTTCTGCTCCTCTCTTCTCTCTTCTCTTTTCTCCCTTCTTTCGTAGTTTCACGATGGTCCGTAAAAAGAATGAGGCTTCTGATGGAGGCAACGGTCAGAGGTCCCCATCGCAATCTTGTTACCCTGCTGACGACTTGAAGATGCCTCCATGGTCCTGGACTACCTTCGTGAGTATCTGCCACTGACTGGGCTGAAAAGCTCCTGGCTTATCAGGACTTGCAGGTGAACAGAAGTATGCTTTCTTAGGGTCCCTGTCTTCACATCACTAACATCACTAACATCGCCTCGCAGTCGTCCATATTCAGTATGGTATACCCAGACCTTCCAAGCTGCACAGACTACTGACTGGGTTATGAAATAGGCCATTGATGTCTCTGCCAACCTTCATAACAAAGTTACCAAAAGTGGGCCTGGCGCCAGGAGCCTTTTTCCCCTGTGGACCTGGCTAATATATGTCATGCAGCCCAAGCAGCCAAGATTCTCCGAAGCTTGCACGAGAATAAAGAGATCGAAGGACGAGTATCTGGTAAGCAAGATATGTCTACGATGGGCAACATTCATTTATTCCATTGCGACATAGGAAAACAAACCGTCTACCACGCCCTCCAAGACCCCTCGGAAACCATCACACCCGAGGCGGCGGCGGCGCTCAAGCTTGAAATTGACCACCTGGAGAGTCAGCTTTCAACCTTAAAAGCGGACGAGAAGAGGGCCCGAGCCGCCTTAGCGACCCTGAGTGCAACGCCTCGAATCTCCGAACTTCGCCAGGATATCAGCCGCCTGGAAAGCGAGCAATCTGCGATCCAAACGCGCTTGGCACGCCACCACGAGGATGACCCCATTACACTCTCGCCGAGCGAACGAGAGGAGCTTGAAGCCGAGTGGAAACGGTGGCAGCGACATGTCAGCGTGCGTCGGCGCATTTGTCGGGAGTTGTGGGGACAGTGCTCAGAGGTTCTTCCGGAGGGCATGTCCGCAGTGGACCTGTGGGTAAGTTCTCAATTGCCAGTCCCTTCAGAGATGTACTAGACGTGGGTTCTGACGAAACAGGAATCTCTGGGGCTGGAAGGAGTGCTCCAATAAGAGACCATCGAGGCTATGGTGATCTTTCCGCTTCCCCACACATCATTTGACATTTGGAGGCGTTACCGTGTGTATCAGTATGTACTCGACACTCGGCCCTTAATCAGCACTTCATAGGCACTTAGCAGGCATGTAATAGGTGGTTTCGATGGTTTCGATGGTATGCATGAAGTATGAAGGCAGCGGAGGCAAATTAGAGTCATGAGGAACAGACCGAAGCAGTATAATATTAGTGAGATCACGACAAGTTGATGAATTTCTCATTCTTTTTGAATTTCTCTCTCTCTCTTCTCTCTCTCTCTCTCTCTCTCTCTCTCTCATATTGTCATATTCTCATAGTTCTCTCTCTCTGATTGCGACATAGTGGAAGTGCAAAGTGATATGCGGACTTTGAACCCACCGCCCGCCGAGCCTATCTTCTTCCCCTCTCCAAATCTCCAACCCCTCTCACTTCGACTTGGTGTTTCTCCTTCACAAAGATGAGAGGACGTGCGCCTGTACCTGTTTCCTCTGGGGCTGCGGCCCAGAACGGTCACTCTCGTACTCCGTCGGGTCTCGACGTTGCCCGCAGCCCGCCAAATCAGAGCAATAAGAGTCAGTCGCTCTCCACGGATAGGAAATGTCATCCGCTAATCACTTCGGTTCAATGCCTACAGACACCAAACATGTCCCGTGCAAATTCTTCCGCCAGGGTGCCTGTCAAGCAGGCCCCGCTTGCCCGTTCTTACACTCCACCGATGCAGGAATTGAGTACGCTCCGTGCAAATATTTCACCAAGGTATGAGCTCGCAGGTTCCCCGAAAGATCTCTCCATCCCGAGGGGTCCGAGACAGTCGGAAGTTAACGGAGGCGTGGTCTTAGGGCAACTGCAAATTCGGCGCAAAATGCGCACTGGCGCATATCCTACCAGATGGACGGAGGGTCAACCGCCCCACTGGGGGTATGGGAATGGGAAGCGGTCACCTCAATCTGGGTGGTCGAGTGAACCCGCAAGCCTATGTCAATCAAGACTCCGCCTTGACCAACTCAGTGCTCTCGCAGCAGCGCATGAACGGCCAGGAGCAGCCGAGATATGCCCCGCAGATGCCCCCGCAGGAGGAGTATGGATCCCTGCACGGCCAGCAACAGCAGCCCTTCGATGGAATCCCAACGATTGACACCGGTCTCGCCTCCGATGCCGGCTCCAAGTACGGCTCTCCCGCGGAAGACTCCCGATTTCCCATGTCGCCCAATAACCACCATTTGACCGCGCTTGATGCGGGGCTCCCGGCCTCTTTCGACAGCCAGGGAATTTCTCATGCCGCTCGCTACGGCCCGGTGGCCGCCTCCATGCCGTCGCAGTTTGGACTGGAATCACCCCCAGCCCAGAGACCCGGACAGGCCGATGTCTTCCGCAATTTGCGTGACATTGGATATAGTACAGGATCACGGAAGCCTGGATCCAACATTGGATCGTCTCCCCCGGCTCCCGAAGATACCATCGGCACTCGATTCATGCACTCATCTCGCCCCGTCAAGCCACGCATGTTGTCCGCTAGTGTTCCACGCCCCACAGCACTCGAGGACTGGGATGAGAACTTCCCCATGGAGGAAGATTACCTACCAGTCAACCTGCACGATGACGTTCTGACCCCACAGGAAAAGCTGCGGCGACTGTCTCGGACTGATCACGACCTGAGCTCTAGCCATCGTGACATTGGTGGCTTCGGTATGACCAGTACGAGTTTCTCCAAGACTGGCTCTCCTTTGGCATCCAGCCCATCCCGATTTGGGGCCCTGTTTGCCAAGCAGCGTCAGCGCAAAGAAGAGGAGTCTCATGGCTCTTCTTCTTTCCATATCGGCTCCCCTCTCCGTGAATCATCCCTGAATCCCATCACCAGCCCCAGCCTGGGTCCCATCGGCAGCAGCCGAGCATCTCATGATGGAGGATCCTTCCTTTCCAGCCCTGGACGCCAGTCATCCATGTCCATGATCTCCGAGCAACTGGGAGGAATGTCTCTTCACCCCGGTTCAGCCCGTCAGTCATCTGCAGGCCCTACCGGCCGCCTTGACCGCATAATTTCCTCTCCTGTCAACACCACCAAGATTGAAGAAGAGGAAGACCCCAGTGATCTTGTCTTTGATATGGAAGAAGAAGTTGGCAATAAGCGGAACAGCGCCTCCTGGAACGAGAACAAAGAAACCAGTGATTCCTAGCCCTCTTCCACTTCATGACGATACGCCCTCAGCCTTGTCCTAGGGACATGTTTACATCCAAATGGGATACAAGATACAAAAAAATACAAAACCCACAGGCGAACACACAAAAAAAAAGGGACACATGGAGTTCAGGGCACATACATCCAAAAGGTGAGATCCAAATATCCAGACATCTCATTCTCTGGCCAAAAAAAAAATCAGGCTGAAAAATCACGCCTATAGACTGGCATTGCTTTCTAGACCAGATTACATCTTCTGGTTTCAACTGTCTTCTATCCATCTACTGTATTAATCTGTGTTTACTCTTTGCTCTGTTCATGAATTCACGACTGTTTGGTGTTTTTTTGAGGCTTTGTTTTTGCTGGAAAGGCCTGTACAAATTAATGTGCAAATAAACATGTTCTCATAAGTAGAATGCATCGTTCATTTAGTCTGCCTAGTCATACAATTGCTAAAAAAAAAAAACGAAAGAATTGCGCCGTTTGAAACCCTAAAAAACCCCGATGCCATGTCATTTGTCTAAACCTCATCCAAGTATACAGCAGTACCTTTGAGATTGACCAAGCCTTCAGTCCTCGATTGGTCCTGAATCTGTTGAGTCTGTACCTTGGCACGATCGTCCAAGAGACCACGCTGATGCATGGCCCCAACATCGATCCCATGCTGCTGACCTTTGCGAAGGTGGCCACTTAATTCTTCAGTGCCAGCAAGAATCGTGGAAACAAAAGTCTCTAGAGCCTTCCCAGTGAGTCCATCGACACGCTGGCCAAGAGCCGTTTCTAGGTCAGCCCGACGACGCTTGGCATCACCCTCACGCTCTTCTTTCTCTTCTGCCAGTTTGCGTTTGCGGTCTTCCACTTTCACTTGATGACTCTCCTTGGCGGCTAGGTACTTCAGGGAATGGCCCAGCCTTTGTGTGGAAGAGGGGATGTAGTCCACAGGCGGGGTGGAGAAGAACAGCAGACGACCTTGGTCATCGCAGTGGAAGTTGCGGCGGACGTCTTCTGGAATGGTAGCGTTGGCTGCATCACTTAGATGGAAGACTTCGATGGGGCGCGGGGCATTGGGGTTGTATACTGCTGGTGGAGCTTGCATACGAGGGCCCGGGTATCCGTTGTAAGGAGGTTGCTGCACTGGGGCGGGCTGGTAGGCGCCTGGTGTCTGTGGAGTGGCAAAGTTGCTTGCACGTCTTTGCAGCGAGGCTTGATACAGTTGAGCCTGGCTCATTTGGGGTTGGAAGGCTGGTGAAGATGGGACGGGGGATGTTTGAATAGCGATTGGGGCTGCAGGGGATCGGGCTTGGAGAGTAGCTGTGCCAGGGCTCATGGCTGTGAGGGGGAGTGGCTGGCCCATTGACTGACGGGGTAATACAGACTGGGGTAGGGATGGAGGGGGTGGAGATGGTGTGGGTTCAGGGGGTGGGGATTCCTAGACTGTCAGCCCTATGTACATTGCAGTGTTTTGGGGGAAGACTTACATTCTCATCTCGGGGCCGGCGGTGAACGGCGCCAACGACAGGGGGTGCGTTGTCGGCTCCCCATGTTGGCCGGGGGAGATCATCGGTTTCCTTGGAGTCTTCTTTGAGTAGATCTTTGATCGGGGTTGGGATCTTTTTGATTTTTCGGGGAACATCAAACAGGTCCATTTCATAGTCCTTCTCTCGGACTTCGTCTGGTAAGCAACTGGCCCAAGTCTTGATCTTGTTGAGTTTGTGTTTCTCCTCGTTGTATCGTGCCTCGCACACATAGATCTCTTTGTCAGGCGCCAGATCTCGGGGACGACCCCGGCTGTAGCGAGTGAAGAACATGACGAAGCAACGGTCCACAATTTCATCAATCCGATGGTCTCGATATTGGCCGGTCTTGACGACCTCGTTGGGATAGAAGTGCTTTTCGAAGTGGTGCACGGTTTGTTCAGGTCGGTAGTACCAGCATGCATTGATCCATTTCTCGCCATCCGAGTCTTGCCAGGTCCGGTAGATCTGAGCAACAATCGGCTTGGTCACATCGTTTTGATTCTGAATGTGGACCCAGTCGCCAACCTTCCATAGCTCGCCACGATGAAGGATACCATCGGGGAGTGGGAAGCGCCCATCTTCCATCAGGAACTCACTGTCAGGCTTCTTCTTCTCCGCATCGGCCAATTTTCGGGACTCCGTCTGCAGGTCGACGGCGTCCTTGAAAATTTGGCTATCGGACTGGTTGTAAGCCTTTGCGTTCTCAAACATCAGGTCGAGATCGCGCATGAAATGGTCGACAGAGGCGTACTTCTTGCGCTTAGACTTGCGCTTGATAATGTCGATAGCGATGGGCTCCTTGATCTCCATGTAATAGTCCGGGTAAGCCGCCTTGTCGGGGAGTCGTTCAAAGTGGGTGATCTTCAAGTGGCCGCCGGCGCCCTTGAACTTGCGGATTCCTTTGAGGATCGTTTTGATGCGGGTTTCCATGGGTGTGTCCACGCGGGGTGGGCGTCCGCGCTTCCTACGCAGATCAGGTTCGTTCTTTGGGGCCATTCCACGCTTGAAGCCAGGCTTGGGGCCAGGCTTCTTCCTGCGTCGTCCCTCATCTTCGGAGTCGTCATCCTCATCCTCCTCTTCTTCCTCCTCTTCCTCGTCATCATCGGGTAACGGATCGGCCTCGGGAATCTCTCCTAAGTCGGGAAGCTCTGCCTCCTCTGCGGGGATCACACCCTGCGCAGCTAACTTCCTGAACTCGGCGGCAAAAACCTCCTGCGACATGTTAGTTTGAACCCCAGCGGATCAACCACAGTTTGTTGGGATCAAGGCTTACCCTGATGATCAGCGCATCTTCGTAGGCTTGCGACCGAGGTCGATTGTATGTTTGCGCATTATGCGGAATCTAACTTGTCAGTCGTGTGACAATCCGGGGCGGCGCAATCCCTTACCAGAGCGCAATCGCGCACAAACTCCGAAAATTGCTTGTACTCTCGCTTGTTGATGCGCGCCTTCAAAATGCTCAGCGCCATCGGCTCCTTGATGATCTCATAGTAGTCGGGAACGTAGCGCTTGTTGACGCTGCGATGAAACAGTCGTGACGGGTCATGGCCACTGCGCAATTCATCCATTAGCCAATTGCGCCTTGTTGTTATCGACAGAGCCAGGTAGATAACTCACTCTTCTTCGCGATAGTCATAAATTGCCATGACCAGGTTCATCATCACTTTCCATAGCTCGGGGCTGATTGACCCGTCCTGCTCGATGGAGTTGACGGGCTCCTCCCGCGGGGGCTGCGAGCCATGCTCCGAGTCCATATTGACAGCGAATATGCCCCAAAACGAAGGAATAAACTGAATGGGACCAGATGAAGCAAAGAGAGTCGGAATAGTCCAGAGTCGAAGAATGTTTGAGCGCGTCACGGATGAGTCAGCGGTAACGTTGTATTGTATTGTCATATTGTATTGTCAGCTTCACTTTCTACTCTTTCCTCTCTCTCTACTTCTCTGCTTCTCTCCTTTACCTCTCTCTCTTTACTTTATTTCTTTTGCAAGTGCATATACAGTCCCCTTTGTTGATACTCAGTCTCTGGATTAAAACATGGAGTCTGTATCAGATGGAGTCTCGAGTGGCTCCATTTAGGTACAGGTATCACATCGGGAGCTCTTCAGTCTGTTTGCAGATGTTTGAAACCCCAAGACTTGAATGAGCTTACAGGTATAAAGACACGAAACACTCCAGATATACTCCAGATATACTCCCTACATGTGACGCATTTCATTCCAGCTCAATTCAAAACCCCAAAGAGCTCTGCATTCTTGACTGCAGCTGCATTTGTACTTAGGTACTTACCCCACACGGCAAGTCGTCATATCCGCCCACTTCTGGGAACTTGGGCCTTCCGCCTCCTCATATAAACATCATGCGAATTCGAGTTCGAGGACCGTCCGGTCAGTCCACTATCAGCTTGGATGATTCGGCAACCGTCAAAGATCTGCAGAGTCAAATTACGGAGAAAACAGATTTGGTGACCTTTGATGTGAAATATGGCTACCCCCTCAAGCCGCTCCAGCTAGACGACTATTCATCCGATCAGAAGATCACAGAAATTGGGATCAACCTCAACGGAGAATCACTTATAGTGGCCCAAAAAGAGGGCGCCACTCGACCTGGCAACGATGACGTGCCGCCACAGCCCGCCACAAGCGCCCGCCCACCTCCAGCACAAACCTCAAGGCCGCAGCAGCCAGACTCTGCCGACGATCCCCCCGAGATAGCATCCCCAGAACATGCCGGAACATTTGTCCTCCGTGTCATGCCCGATGACAATTCATGTCTGTTCCGAGCGGTAGGCGCGGCAGTGATGGGCGAGATGGACACTATGGTTGAGCTGAGATCGATCATCGCCGGCGCCATCCAGTCCAACCCGGGAGAGTATACGGCAGCTATTTTGGGCAAGAAGCCGGATGAATACTGCACCTGGATTCAGAATGAAGACTCCTGGGGCGGTGCCATCGAGCTCAAGATCTTGAGCGAGTATTTTAACATCGAGATCTGCTCCATCGACGTACAGACTTTGAACTTGTTCCAATTCAACGAGGGGGCGCCTACGCGGTGCATTGTGGTGTATTCGGGAATTCACTATGATGTGCTCGCATTGTCTCCTTCCAGGCCACCTTATACCCGGGCCAATCCTTTGGCAGATGGGGACACCAAGATTTTTGAGGCCGTTGATCCAGTCGTTCTGGAAAAAGCCAAAGAATTGTGCCGAGTGCTGCAAGGCAAGCACTACTATACTGATACTTCTGGGTTTACTGTCCGTTGCAATACTTGTGGCGGTACGTTCACTGGGGAGCGAGGCGCCACCAAGCATGCCGCGGAAACCGGCCATTATGATTTCGGAGAGGCCAACTAGTATAGCCTACCAGGATTCGATATATCATGCATCTGCAGGAGCTGCCTCCTACATAAATCACTCCGCGGCACACATGGTCTGTCTTATTGTCATGAATGAATTAGGCATAAATCACTATCATATGTCGTACAAAGTTATTTTGGGGGGTTTCATAGCATGGCAACTTCGTCTGCCTCATCTTCCTCATCTTCCTCTCCTGAGTCGGCGCTTTCTTCCGGATTACCACCCCATTCAACATCGTGGTGAACGGGATCTGTGAAGAATTCATGCTGCAGGGCATCCGCGGCACTAAGCCGTTTCGACGGGTCCAATTCCATGAGTCCAGCCAAAAGACGTGTTGCTTGCTGCTCGCTCTCGGTTAAATCTTCCACACAGCTGGACCATTTCACTAGTTTCTCCCAGCTGTAGCCTTTTTCTCCAATGGTTGGGATGTTTGTTTCGAAGATCTGACCATGCATGGCTGCGGCAGCCTTCATGCGCCGTGTACCGAAGATGCTTGACATTTCAATCATGGCATCAATGTCGTCTGCGGAGTTGAAAAAGGGGAAACGACGCCCAAGCAAGGTCAGTAGGATGACGCCTACTGACCACATGTCGATTTTTGTGGTTTGTGAGGTGCATTTTAGGAGTACTTCTGGGGCTCTGAAGCCTCTGGTTCCTGCACGATTCGCTCGCCTTGAGGGTCGTGAGTCGTTCTTTGGGTAACCGGCTGAGATCCCCGAGGCTGGGGGGTTTTTGGAAAGATAGCTGGAGAGGATCCGACTCCGGCGAACATAGCTCTGGTGTGTACAAAGACATGGGCTGCTGTATTCCGAACCTTGGCGCTATAGAGATCATTAACAATCGACGAATGACATGGGTGAGAATGGGCGGCGTACTTCAGCGAGTCCAAAGTCCACCAGGACGCCTTCTTTCAAATCTGGGTTGTAGAGGAAGTTACTTTAAAATTGGTCAGCATAAGGTCTAACCTTGAAAACCAATATCATGCTCAGCTCACGTTGGCTTGATATCGCGATGGAGAATCTCATGCTCATGCACAGAGTTCAATGCGGTCATCAGAGATCGTAGATAATGGCGCATGTCTGCAACCATGAATGTGCGGTACTGAATGCGAAAATCGGTATGTGGGAAATAAGGTAGGACGGCCACGACTTGATCTTGGTATCGGAAGGCCGTGATGAGCGGGCAGACAGAGCCGCATCCTCGAAGATCGTGCAAAAGTTCTAGCTCGTTCTGAATCCGCAACGGACTACTTGTGACATAGATCTTCTTCAATGCGACGAACCGAGGCTTTTTCCGTTCCGCCGGCGCGCCCTCGACTCGCCTTCGTTTCGAAGGGGGACTGGCGTAATTGTCTTGCTGCGCCCGTGAGAAGATATCCCAGTCGTTCTTGTATTCATCGTAGTGGAGATCCTCCGCCTTGTAGACGGTGGAAAAAGTACCTATGCCGTGTCAGTCCGCAAAGCCCTAAAAGAAAAACACCACTACTGCAAGTCATATACCTTCACCAATCCTATTCACCAGACGAAACCGATCGGAAATCCCAGGGAATGTGTCCTCGAGCTTTGCCATGTCCTCTCGAACCGATTCGTCCACCTCTTCCTCCTCGTAGTCGCTCTGGGGGGTTTCCCCCCGAGACCGGGGAGTATCTTCTTCCTCCGCATATTGGTGTTTCAGCGTCTTGGCTTCTTGGAATGAGCTGCTGCGCTGCAGCTCGAACACGCCGGGGGCACCATGCAGAGCAGACATGGCCGCTCCGAGTAAACCAGGCAATGAGGGAGGATCAATATCAGGTCCTTCAACGGATATTCGAAGGGGACCGAGACTGGTCAGTTCGGATGTCACCAAACAAATGTCGCGCGTGGGAAGTAAACAGTCCAAAGCATGTCATTGCATTTGCCAAAATAATCCGAACGCGGTAAGGAGCGGTGACATTGGGACAATACCGATACAAGGCGGTCAAGAAATGTACTCAACTCAAGAGTTTAATACACAGGCTTAATAGGCTTAATTGGCTCTACATGTATGTATACAGAGGATATCCAAAGCAATTGATCTGCAGCTCACTTTCACTGCATTGGGCGTTGATTACCAAGTCTATTTAGAGTATGGTAAATACACAAAGTGACAATTTCCGAAACATCCAAACACAGCTCTAGTTTATACTGACCAATTCAGCAACTTATAAAAATGTCCCCCGAAATGTATAGATATCTCTTTGACTGACAACATAAACAACATAAACTGTATAAACACCATGAAACAAAGAAATACCAAGTAAACCTTCTATACTGTCATGTAGTTCCGTACCATACAGTTCGATTACATAACACCGAAACAGGCAAAAGCCAAACAATCTTATCAACAGTTTTATCAACACTTCCTCCCCCGCTCCTCTTTTTCTTTCACCAACCATGGAGGACCGCATTCAATTCGACATAAACGAGTCGCTCAAGTTCTACTTGAGTGACCCGATCACTGTTCCCACCCCAGATGCCGACCCGGAATTGTTGGATTGTGAATCGGACCCGGAACAGCTCTCACCACCGCTGATTGACAGTGTCCTGAACCCGATCGTGGATGCCGTGGCGGAGAACCCAGAGGCATTAACCAAAGCCGCGATCTTTGATTCTCTACAATTTTTGCTAAAGTGCGCCCCGGTCCCTTCCCAACTTGCCCATGGTGGATGGCGCCCAGCTGGAGTCGACTCTGACGAATCTTTTTACTCACGCAGATACGCAACCTGTCTTCCCGCCAAATCCCTAAGCAAGCTCCTGGATCTGGTAGTCTCCGGATTATCCGTGGAAGCCGATATCATTCATGGAGACCTCGAATCCGACGAACAGGATGCCATTCAACACCACAAGCAGCTACTGGAAATGTACGGGTTCCTGCTCCAATGGGCCCTATCAGCAGTCGAGGTCAAGGCCGCGGAAAAACCCACCGAAGCCGCCCCCGTGCGACGAGGAGGCCCCAAATCGAAGAAATCCGCCAATAGCGGCCAGTGGGATTGGACACCGCAAATTCAAATTTCCATGGAGACCATGTGCAAAGTAATGAAGCTGAAACTTGGCCGCATATTCCTGACAACCTCGGACCGTGACACATTTATCAATCTGTTTACCCGAACGATATATCTAGTTCTAGAGAGCGAGCAGCGGGTAAAGAGCATGGCCATCCGGATGCATGCGTTCAAAGTGCTGTGCATTGCGGTCAAGCACCACGGACAGGCGTTTGGTAAGTCCTTTGGGGGTGGTCTGAGTTAGAGAGGAAACTTACATCGTAACAGGAGCACAAACCTCGATTGTCCAGAGTTTGACCTACTTCGAGCATCTCTCGGAGCCCATGGCCGAATTCCTTCATATTCTTGCCGAACAATATGACTACCCCCAGCTTTCCGATGAAATCTTGAAGTGCGGACCTCAGCAATAACTTGGATGGGCGCGACGCTAACCGTTTCCCCAGGGAGCTCGGAAATAAGGAATTCAACTCGAATGATACCAGAGGGCCAAAGTCTGTTTCGTCGTTTATTATCAAGCTATCGGAACTTGCCCCCAGATTGATCATTAAGCAAATGACACTTCTCGCGAAACAGTTGGACAGCGAGGTAATTCGAGCAATCCTGTACCTTCAAAGGTTGGACTAACACCAATGCCAGGCATATACCCTCCGCTGCGCTGTGATCGAGGTTTGCGGAAATCTCATCTCCGACCTCAGTCGACAGGAAGAGCGCAGTGAAAACTACAAGACCCAGATCAACGCCTTTTTCGACGTTTTGGAAGAGCGATTCCTCGATATCAACCCGTATTGCCGCTGCCGTGCGATTCAGGTATTCATGCGAATCTGCGACTTGGAGCAGAAATTCCCAAAGAGACGACAGGCAGCAGCAGAACTAGCTGCCAGAAGCTTAGAAGACAAGAGTAGCAACGTGCGCCGTAATGCGATCAAGCTGATTTCCAAGCTCGTATCGACGCATCCCTTCAGTGTTATGCATGGTGGGCTACTTTCATACAAGGAATGGACAGAGCGACTGGATACCGTTGACGCCGAACTGAACGCCCTGCGGCCCCCTGAGACTCCTGGATTTGAAGCAGCCGAAATGACCCAGGTGGACCCTGAGCTATTGGATGATGCTACACAACTGCCTGATGAGCCGGATGAGTCTCCCTCAAAAGCGCCCCGGATGACTGATGAAGAGAAGGCCGTCGCTGTCCAGAAGGCGGCTGAACAAGCCGCGACTTCGGAATTATTGACTCGGCTTCAATTGACAAGGAAGTACTACAATGAGGCAATTCGATTTATCGAAGTGTTGCATTCCGCCTCCACCATCGTCACGCAGTTGCTTGGCTCCCGGAACAAGAGCGAGGTCATCGAGGCCATGGACTTCTTTGTGATGATGGATGCTTACAAAATCGAGACTGCGCGCAGTGGAATCCGCCGCATGCTGCGTCTCATTTGGACCAAGGGCAACAGCGACGAGGGAAAGGGCGTCCAGTCACACTTGATCGACTGCTACAAGGGCCTCTTCTTCGATGCACCCGGATCCTTCACCCCCAATGATGCTGCGAACTACATTGCTCGTAACATGATCAGTCTGACCTTCGGCGCAACACCCGCAGAACTTACATGTCTTGAGCAGCTGTTAAGCACCATGATGAAGGCCGGCAACGTTTCCGAGGCAGTCATTGCTAAGCTATGGCAAGTCTATAGCATCCAGAGGAAGGAGATCTCACGGACCCAACGTAGGGGCTCAATCATTGTTCTTGGCATGCTCGCGCTAGCCGACCCCGAAGTCGTTGTCAAGGAAATTGAGGCCATGCTGCGCATCGGTCTAGGTGGATATGGCAGGTCTGATCTGGTGCTTGCCAAATACACATGTATCGCTTTGCGGCGTATGATCCCAGGTCGACAAGCCAAGTCAAAGGAGGTCGTCGGCATCCCTAAACTCGCCAGTGACCACTCAGTTCTCGTCCGATTGGCCGCCATTTTGGAGATCGAAACCGCCAGCAAGGAGTGGTATGGAGTGGCAGAGCATGCTCTCAACGCCATCTACGCACTTTCCAAACACCCAGATGTCCTGTGCTCCGACATTCTCCGAAGAAAGACCATATTTGTGTTCCAGCCTCACCTTCAACAGCACCCACCTTCTTCCCCGGCACCTCCAACAGAAGAACCAGAAGATCATCCGATGGAGGACGAGGAGCGCCCTGGTACTGCGTCATCTGAAACCCAGGAGCCCAAGCCTAAACCAGCATCTGCTGCGCTGTCACAGCTGCTGTATGTTGTCGGTCATATTGCCATCAAACAGATCGTGCATCTGGAACTCTGTGAACTTGACTTTAAGCGCCGCAAGGTTGAGCAAGAGAAAACCAAAGCCGCCGAGCAGCCTCAAAAGAAAGACAATACTGAAGAGGATGAACTGGACCTCATTGGTGGTACGACTGAAGATGATTTCCAAGACGCCATGGCTCACATCCGTGAGCGTGAGCTCCTCTTCGGAGAAAACTCCCTTTTGGCCAAATTCGGTCCGCTTGTAATCGAAATTCTGGCCAACAACAACTCCTACCCAGATCGTGATCTCCAAGCCTCTGCGACCTTATGTATTGCCAAGCTGATGTGCGTGTCTGCCGAGTACTGTGAGAAGAACCTGCCACTCCTGATCACGATCATGGAGCGGTCTGAAGATCCCATCGTCCGAAGCAATGCTGTCATTGCATTGGGCGATATGGCTGTTTGCTTTAACCACCTCATTGACGAGAACACTGATTTCCTCTACCGTCGGTTGAACGATGAGGATGCTTCCGTCAAACGTACCTGTTTGATGACTCTCACCTTCCTCATCCTGGCTGGTCAAGTCAAGGTCAAGGGACAGCTGGGTGAGATGGCCAAATGCCTGGAGGATGAGGACAAGAAGATCGCAGATCTTGCTCGCATGTTCTTCACCGAATTGGCAACCAAGGACAACGCTGTCTACAACCATTTTGTCGATATGTTCAGCTTGTTGAGCGCAGAGCGCAATTTGGATGAGCAGGCTCTCCGTCGGATTGTCAAGTTCTTGATTGGTTTCGTCGAAAAGGTACGTCCATATGTCTAACACCCATCCTTGATTTTCACTAACATGGCGCCAGGAAAAACACGCTCGCCAATTGGCTGATAAGCTTGCCGCCAGGCTGCCACGCTGCGAGACAGAACGACAGTGGAACGATGTTGCCTATGCTCTGTCTCTCCTGCCGCACAAGAACGAGGAGATTACCAAGACTGTCACTACAGGTTTCAAGGTCGTCAGTGCCTCCGCTTAAGGCTGTTGGGATGGATAACGGTTGATGTACTTGATGATTAGGGCTTCCGGGCCCTGGAGTTGTGGATGGGGGGTTTGCTTTCTTGTAAATATTTTTCTGGACAGGGATTATTGTTTCCACCATAATAGAGCTGTGTCTCAGACGATGGGCCTGGCTTAAAGATCTAATATATCAAAGGAACCTGTCTAGACATGGAGCTGGCTGGTATATTCATTATGGGTTGCAACGCTGTGCAGTTGTTTCTCATTGCACCGTGTCCAACAGCAAGATTCTTCAAAGTGATACACATGATCTAATATGGAAGACAATACTTGGAACGCAGCTCAGACCGGAGAGCAAAAAAAGAACCAAAACCATGAGAGACGCCGAAGTTGTATGGCCGCATTACCAGATACGCCAACAGTGGCAAGGAATCAACAACATTATGCACCCTTCATCGTGCTTTCGGTCAAAGTGAACTTGTTGGCGCGAATCCCCTCCAGGACCTTCTGTCCCTCTTCTGTGAGTTCGGGTTTGCCTAGCGGCGTCACAGCTCCGGTAAAGAAACGTGGGTTCCACTCGATGCTCTTCTCAGTACGCTCTGCAGCCCGCTGCCGTTGTCGTTCCTCGATATCCTGCTTGAGTTTTGTCGCCTGGCTGAACTGCTTGTCGACAATGGCATCTGTCACCTCCGACCAGAATTTCAATGACTCGTTTGAGAGCTGCTCTTCCGCTGGTGGTAGATCCTTTGTGACGGGGAACAGGGGGGTGATGTCGATGAGTAGGCTAGCTTCTTTGCTGCCAACGGGAGTGAAGTATATCTTGCCATGCCAGGAGCCCGAGATTCGTGCAACGATATCCTTTTCTGGCACGTCCTTGATCCTTGTGACGGTGTCTTTGTCCGCCTTATAGCGGAAGATCACGCCCTCCATCTTGTTCTGTGATCGGCCAATCCACCCTTCCTCCATGTATTGTAGGATCGCCTTGAGACCCGTCTTTGGACAGGTGACATAGCATGTGTCGGCGACTGTGATTGCGAGGGCACCCCGCAGAATGCCTCCCAGATGAGCATCTGGATGGGTCAACTGGTATTCCTCGTTGTCGCGCTTCTCAATGTTGACGAAGATTCCGAGATTGTGCTGACCGGGGCTGACGCGAATGCTTGTGCCGGTGAACTTGGCGCTGATTTGGTCGAACCCTCGTGCGGAGACGCCTCGCTCCGGGCAGTCGATATAGAAGGCCGAGACTGGTGGGTGGTGGGAGGTCTGTTCTGTCAGATAGCACACCTTGACTTTATCATCTCCATCCGTCACGGTCGAGGCATTGACCCCGGGGACGTTCGCTTGCTCTGGAATGTTATCGTTGACTTCCCATGAGCACTAGAGGGTTTGGGGTTAGTGCCGATGGCGATGGGAGATGACTGCGGGCGCTCTTACACGGAAGAACTCGCCCAGGGTTGAGTTGTATGGTTTGCAGGGTTTCCCCTTGATATATTTCTGTCGCTGAATCAGTGGTGGTCCCTTGTGGCGAGCTGCAGCACATAGCACCTACCAGATCTTTGGTGAACCAGAACCGCAAGACCTCCAACATGCGACCTAACTCATCATCCGACTTTCCAATGCTGTAGCTCTTGGGTCAGCACACGAGGCGTCCGCCAAATATGGGCACTTTTTTTTGCTGACCTCGCAAAGGTCTCCGGTCGATCTAGGTAATGCCAGTATTCTTGCCACCCGTCAGCTTCCACCCCGCACCGTATTTGCACCGTGACCTACCCAGGTTGGGGCGAGGCTCCAGCAGTTGTGCTGGAAGAGAGAATCGAACCGAGGCAATATCAGCAACACCGACAAATCTAGCTTGGATTAGCACCAGGGATCGCCTTTCTTGCACCTTATGACAGAGTACTTACTTTCGGAGAATGGAGAGGAATGTCTTGAGCTTGGAGGAGTCATCTGGTGCCTTCTCTGGCACTGTGGTAGACATGATGGGCTTTGAATCAAAAGGCGAAAATGACAAGGTAGAAAGGGACCAGTGTCAAAGGCGAACAGTAAAACAAGAAGGATAACAATTCGAGGCGGTGACGTTGGCCTTTTTTGCCCGGTGGGGGGAAACAGTTGGGGTTGATGTTCTTGTTCTTGTTCTTCTTTTTCCTTTTCATACTCATGTTCATGTCTTTTCTCATTTCAGCATTCAGCATTCAGCATTCAGCATTCAGCATTCAGCATTCAGCATCTCATCTGCAGTGGTCATTTCTGATTTGATGCTCTCTGCAGCCCTATGACTTCCCAGTCTCACCCTACGTCATGTATCCACCTATATACACTGTTGAGTACACTTCCCCTTGACTCCATACGAGTATACTCCATACTTCCCTGGTCAGACAGAGATTGCCAGTGGAAAAGACAGAAATGCATTCTTCACCCAAAAAAAAGGGGGTATATTGGCCAATCAGTCTACCACGAGGGACAACGCCTGCAGTTCTTGCTTCCGCGCCAAGAGCCGGAGCCACCACCGAACCGCTGGGCCGTAGTCATACCGACGACCCGCCGCATATTCATCATCCGACCGACGAGACTGCTGTTCCTCGCGAATTCGGGCTCGTAATTCACCCTGAAGTCTATGAGCGGTCTGCTGATGCTCCGATAACTGACTCTCAGGACATGTGCGGTATACATTGAGAACATCTGCGGGGATCACAGCTGCATCAATACTTGCTCGGGTGAGGGCCAAAGAGGGGTCAGGTCCGAGGACAGTGTCACCCATCAGGGCTTCAGACTGCAAAGTCGGGGCACGTTCGTGGAGCACTTCCAGTCCCTTCACGTTGACAGCCAGCTCGGTGACTAGGTCAGGTAGAGGGTCTCGCACTAGGCCCAAGATGGAAAACTCAATCTGATCCTCCTCGTATGCAGCCATGCGATCAAGGAGGTTGGGTTTGACCAGGTCCAGCCAGTCGTCATCTGAACATTCACCTATATCTCTGTTAGCCCCATCTCTCCCATTAAAGGGTCGCAAAACACACCAAGCGTCCGAGGCTGTCGTTCTAAGCCATCCAACTTCCACAGCTGGCCCATAGCCGGCATGAAGGCAATAAAGTGAAAGGCGGGATCTGATTCATCCTCATCGCCTTTGGCGCCCTTTTTGCGCGTGGTGGCCTCGTTTTTGAGCTGAAGGTCGGAACTAAGCATGTCCATTTTTCTAAATCGTAAATCGTCAATATACTTGAACCACACGTCAGCTGCGAGCATACCTGGCAAAAGAGTTGTGTATTCGCTTCACAAACTCGAAGTTGTTGATCGCATCCCCACGCAAGGCCGGGGTGAACGGCATGGTAAAGTCCTTAAAGGATTGTAAATGATCGCCCAGTTCAATATCTGGAATATTGTTCACAATATTTAGCAGCGCCACACTGGCACAGGCATTGTTAGCTGTCTGGGATAGGTTAGCAAGGAATCCCCATTGACAGAGAAACAGGAGGGCTGACTTGATTTGCGAACCAGAGGCCATCTGGGCAAGTCGCTTCCTGCTTTCCGTCGTTGTCTTGACGCCATCGAAAGAGGAATATTAATCCGTAGACTGGCTTGCTGTCAAGAGTCAGCCACAAGGCCTCTCTCACAGGTGGCAGGGCATCATATACTCAAGGAAGGCCATCATTTCATCGTCAAGAGAAACAACCTCTTGAACCTTGACGCCCTTGACGCCGAAGTCCCGTAGCATGACATTGAATAAGGCCTGAGAGATGTCTGTCAGTCCAATCTTTCTCCATATTAAGCTATTCAGCAAGTCATACGGGCTCGGACTCAATCTCGCAGAACCCATTCCAGCTATCCTTCTCTGAGCTGGAGGCTGGCTGGCAGATTCCATCAACTGGTGGTTCTGGATCAGTTAAACGAGGTCTCTTGACTCTGGGGCCCATGCTGGGCGATTTTCGACTGATATGACCAGCAGATTCAGACGAAGCTCTGTGACAGTGAAAGTGAAAGTAGAAATGTAGCTAGAAATAGAGAGAAGAATAGAAGAGCATGAGACTGTGTATATGATTGTAATAAAGATAAAATAGGGAGACAGAGAAAGGCCATCTAGAAAGACACAGAGAAGAGCGGCTATAGTCGCAGTGGCATGCTGGAGAGCTTCGACGCGCTTCCCGCGTCTCCAACTTTCAACTTTTTGTCTCTTTTCTTTCCCACTTCTTCCACCAGCTCCCTTGAATTGCACGGGAAAATTTGCCCTCTTTTGCCTTTTGCTTCTTGGGTCTTTTAATCTTCACTTGATACTTCCTAGTCGCCACGGCATAGCTTTGGCAACCACAGCATGCCATGAACGGCACTCCCCTCCTCCCGTCTGCTTTCCCCCAGACGCCTAAAACCATTCCAGGAAGCAAGAAGCTTTTCGAAAACCCTGTGCGAACCCCTGTGCGAACCCCACAGAGAGAGAACCGTCCTCGGAGGTCGTCAACCAGATCGCCCGTCAAATCGGCCTCAAAAGTAGCAAGACTACCACCCCCAAACCCGAACAACAATGCGCCACTGATCCCTACCGATGTGATCGATGCGCCATCCCAGCGACTCTATGTGGTTGCAGTCTATATTGCGCTCAACGCGTGGAGGATCTACGAGTCTTTGACCGCATCGGATGACTTGGATTCAACCTGGCTCCTCTTGAAATGGGCTACGATCGATGGAATTTTCTTCGTTGGATTGCAAGCTCTGCGCATACCGTGGTTAGAGTGGGCGTTCCCGACCACTCTGACCTTGTTTTTGCTACACGCCGTGGGCAATGTCTTTTTGATGTTCCGCATTCCGGTAAGTCATCAGCTGCTACTCCGTACCACTGACAGAACTGGTTGAAGCTAACAGGTCAGATTCCTTGGGCTGCCTGGATAACTGGACTGGTCAAAGTGGCATACGATCGCGAAATCTCTATTTCCGAACATAGGGTCAAGCCAGGTGATATCATCCACAATGCGTCCCTGATCCTGGGAAGACAAATTGTGCACATTCTACCAGAGGGGTGAGTTGAATTTTCGTGCATTCCTCATGCTATGACTGACTCTCCCAGATCTGCCGTTTTGAACCCGGATCGAGGCTCGCTTTGCCTTGATTCCCAGAGGACCACGATCGACCTTCCCATCCGCGTCAACCAGACCGACCCTATCTTGATCGAAGTGTTGCGCATGGACCTGAACACTGGCGAAAATGAGACTATCACCATCCCCGCAAAGCAATTGAAGGGCCTCAAGCGCCAGGCGGAAAAGAAACACGCACCCGGTCAGCTGTACCGCGACCTGCTTTTCCCAGTTCGCAAGACCGGTATTTATCGTCTTCAGCGGGTTGTGGACGAGTCTCAGCTCGATGTTCAGACCCGGACATTCGACGCGTTGGTTGTATCCTGCCCAAGAGCACTCATTAAAAACTCGCACATCGACAAGTGCAAGGGTGAATTGTCCAACTTCAAACTGGAGGTTGAAGGCACGCCCCCATTGAAGATCAAGTACAGCCGCCAGGTGAATAATCTTGACCGCGGATTTTCAGTCCTCAATATACAGCCGGACAACTTGCGCTCCCCGATATTGAATGGACGGACTACTTCTGCTTTGTTCAGTGTCAACCAGCCCGACGTCTCCTGGGCCCAAAGCCAGAAGATTGAAGTGCCGTTGAACGAGTCATTGAATGATGGCGGTGAATGGTTCTATACCATTGAAGAGGTACATGACGCCATTGGCAATGTGGCCAATTACTCTACCATCTTTGAAGACGGGGATCGACCATCCACCAAATCGCAATCCCAGTGGTACCAATTCTCCGTTCACGAGCGCCCGCAGCTGTCTCTGCAACACTGCAGCTCTCAAAACCCGCTGCAGGTAGCCAAAGGAGACAGCACTAGGTTCCCCCTCAAGTTCCATCCCGATGGGAACGCATACTCCAACGACGGTCCGTTCTCTGTTGGATACTCATTCCAGCAAGATGACGATACTCAAGAGAAGACTGTGAGTCTGAAGGGCTTGGATCACTCCCCGGACATCAAGGAACCCGGTCTGTATGCCTTGACTTCCGTCTCTACCAAATTTTGCCAGGGTGAGATCATGGAGCCTTCGTCTTGCTATCTGCTCAACCCGCCCGAGCCAGAGCTTGCGGTTCGGTCTGAACGTGTCTTTGACAAGTGTGCCAACAACGCCATTGGCCTCATTGTGGACTTGGATCTTACCGGAACCCCTCCGTTCTCCCTCCGATACAGTATCGAGAGCTCCAAGGGGATTGTTAACAAGGCCTTGAGAGTTCAAGGTATGCGAACGCAGATTGACCTCACCCCCTCGGAGGCCGGGTTCTACCGCTATCGATTCCTGGACGTCGAGGATGCTGTGTACTCGCCACGTTCTCTCAAGGACAAGGTGCCCGTGCTTGAACAAGACGTCAAGCCCGCAGCATCGGCCCAATTCCTGTCCAGGGAGCCGAAATCCGCTTGTTTCGGCGAAGCGGTCCCCGTGGAGGTGTCCTTCCTTGGAGAGGCTCCTTGGTCTTTGTCATATGAGATCGTGCACAATGGAAAGAAGACAAAGAAGACCCTGAATTCTGACACCGATGTTGCAACTATCACGACTGATCAACTGACCAGTGGCGGCACTTACACTATTGCATTGACCAACGTTCAGGACCAGTCCCAGTGTAAACGGACATTGAAAGAAAGCATCAAGATTGAAGCTCGATCCCAGCCACCGCACGTCTCATTCGGCCAAATTGACAAGAAGAGGAGCGTGCTGGCCTTGCAGGGTTCCAAGATTGAGATTCCAGTCAGGTTGAGCGGCCAGCGGCCCTGGACTATCCAGTACAGGAATGTGGATACCGACTCCAAGCCCGTCCAGCAGACTTTCCATGACCAGAACAGTGTTTTGACTGTCGAGAAGCAAGGTCTCTATGAAATCAGCGAAGTATACGATATGGGCTGTCCTGGAACTGTGGATCAATCTGCAAAGGAGTTTGAAGTCTCGTGGATCCCTCGGCCTCAAATCACTGCGCTGGATGGTAATCCCGTTGGTGCCGCCCGGCAGATTGCGAAGTCGGAGATCTGCCAAGGTGACGACGATAGCCTTGAGGTTCGCTTGTCAGGCAGCCCTCCGTACCACCTGCAGTACGAGAAGCGACGCAAGGCGGAGCGGGGTGGGTTCTCTTCGGCTAAGCCACGGGCTTTGAAGTCGGCCCTTGATGTCACCTCCATGGAGATGGATACCTCCGAGCCTGGAGAGTATAGTTACAAGTTCACCCAGGTTGGTGACAATCTCTACGATCATGACCCCAAGATCAACCCTCTGGTTGTGACTCAAAAGGTCAACCCGCTCCCGTCTGCCAAGTTTGACTCTCCTGGACATGTCTACGGTTTCTGCAAGGAGGATATCAGTGGCGAAGAGGTCATTCCCATCACACTGGAGGGTGTCCCGCCCTTCTCGCTTGAGATCAACATCAAGCATCACTCCAACGCCAAGCCAGAAATCGTCAGCATTCCCAAGATCAACGCAAACCGCCACAACCTGCTTATCCCCCGTCGTCATCTGGACCTGGGCCAGCATGTGGTCAGCATCCACAAGGTTCGCGATTCTCGAGGATGTCAGAAGACCACCGAATTCGATGCCTCCTCTGTCAGGGTCGCCATCTCCGATGTTCCTACCATCATCCCACTCGAATCTAAGACTGACTACTGTGTGGGTGAGCGACTTTCCTTCTCGCTATCTGGCCATGCGCCGTTCGACGTCTTCTACAACTTCAACGGAGCTTCGCGCAAGGCCAAGTCTCAGACCACCAACTTCCGCCGTATTGCCGAGTTGCCCGGTGAATTTACCATCACTGCAGTCAGCGATGGAGCCAGCGGCAAGTGCAAAGCCCACAAGGATATCGCCAAGGTCATCCACCCGATGCCCAGCGTGCGCATCAGCAAGGGCAAAGAAACGGTGGTGGACATTCACGAGGGTGGCGAAGCTGAGCTTCACTTCGAGTTCTGGGGCACACCACCATTCGAATTCACGTAAGTCTCGCTCGACCTTCATTTGCTTCTTTCGTCGTTTCGTTTTGCTAACCTCTCTCAGATACATTCGAAGCTCCAACGCCGTTAAGGGCAAAAAGGCCGAGATCCTCGACATCAAACATGACATCTCGCACGAGAATGTCAAGACCATCAAGACCTCGGATGAAGGTACTTACGAGGTCATTGCCATCAAGGATAAGTTCTGTTCTTTCTCGGCTCAGTCCCCCAAGTCCGACCGGTGAAGAGAACCCATGATGTGATGACTCGTAATTTTCTATTTTGTCTGTTTTCTTTATGTGATTTACTTTCGTTTATGCATTGCAGCGGCGCTGGCACTGTCCCATTTCCGATATCTACCACTTGTCTTTCAGGAACTAATTCAACTTGCGCTGGATGGGAAATTGGGTTGTTCTAGCGGAGATAGAACATAGAAGGTTACATTATATTTGATCTTTACTTTGCCATCCCCTTTCCCATCTCCCTTTCTCATTTCCCTTTCTCTGGAACCTACTTCGAGCTAAAGGCATCAATTGCTTGAGTGAAGTGGAAATCCAAGTCACCAGTCAGGATAGGAGCAATTGCCTTGATGTCTCCCGACAGCTTCGATGACACCGCCTGGTCATAGTCGTCAACGGCACTCTTCAACTTCTTCAAATCCGCCTCGACCAGGGAACTAGCCGAGGCCGCGTTCAAAATGGCTTTATCAAAGACCGGTTTCTTCTCGGCGAAGCGGTCAAGAAGGGAGAAGACGTTTTGCAACAGTTCGACGACGGCATTGCCGACTTTGGCGGAATCCGATTCGCTCAGGGTCGATGCCTGATTGACCGTGTCGGTTTCGGTCTTGATGTCTTTGAGTAGCGTGTCGGATTTGGCTTGGAGTTTCAGTGCTGTTGCAGTGGTATTGCTGGACGCGGTGAAATCGGATAGGACGTCCTGGATGCTTGAGCTTTCCTTGGAAAAGGTGTCGATGGAGTCCAGCACGTTGGAGAGGTCGGAGCGTCGTTGGATTTGGGGCAGTGCCAGTGCTGTGGCGGACAAAGTGGCGAGGAGGAGAGTTCTCACGAGCATATTGTGTTCTGTGAATGCGAATGTGAGTACGAGTACTGCTCAAGTGGGTGTTGAGTGCTGTTGAGAGCAGCTATGTATATGTAGTGCTCAAGTGAAGACGGGATCGACCAGACTGGAAAATAGGGCAGTTCTGATTTTATGGAGTATCTGATTTTAAGGAGAGTAAATAAACAAGTCTCAGACTATAGTTCGTATAAGGTGCGTATAGAGCTGATCTCTATGCTTCGATATTGAGGGATTTCTCAACTTGCGCTTGGTATAACTTTAGAAAGTATGTGAAGTATATGAAGTATATCACTCGTACAGTCTAAGTCTACTTAAGTGCGAGTAGAGATACTCAATGTTGAGAACTAGCTCTGACTCTACTTATTTAGGGTCAATTTACAGCAATAGGTCTGGATTAATCTTCATTTCTCAGTAAGAACTATACTATCTGGCACTCTCAATACAAGTCATAGTATACGAGTAGATCTATTTGGCCCCACACGCCTCAACAAACAGAGAGTTGCCAATGGCCATGTTAGTGTAGGTCAAATGGGCCCGGTTAATAGGACCGTCGCCAAAGTCTTGGGCGGCATTGCATTTCTAAGTTCATTAGAGAGAAATCAAACATCCCAGAGCATTCACATACCTTCGAATCAGACCCACAGGCTAGAGTGGTCGAGGCATCGTTCTTGTCGCCCGCCTTTTCCCAATACTCCGGGCCATGATGCTCAAAGCCCAACTGCGTAGGGGGAATCTGGGGGACTCCATCGTTGTGGTGAGTGACGCGGAAGTAGTTCTCATCCGGCACCAGACCGGAGACGTATTTCCCAAAGGCTGCGTCTCCATTTCGGGGCTCCCCGAAGGTGTAGGTGGTGATGTTACCGAACTGTTCGGCCAAGGCACTCGACGCGATGGCGGCGATACTTCCACCGAGAGAATGACCGGTCACAGTCAGAAAGCCGGACTTGTGCTTCTTGATGGCTGCGACGACATCCGATTCCACGGCGACATAGGCCTCCTGGAAGCTTTTGTGGACCTGGTGAGGTTAACTACTGCTGTTTGATCAACGGGGATGGACTCTACCTTGCAATCCAAACACTTAGTTCCCGGGGCACTGAGGGAAACCAGCGTAAAGATGAGATCGGTGTCCAGGTCCTTGGGTGACGAAGTACCTCTAAAGGCCATAATGAGCTCCTGTTTGGTTTCGTCCTCAAACAGGGTGCCCTGGGTATCGGTGGCCTCGTCGGAGAAGTACTGGATCACCTTGCTCCCTGCAGGAGGAGTCTCGCAGGTATCAGCATACGCAGCTGCAGAGAAGGCCGTGTAACGGCTGATGTTCTCGAAGACATCCTTGGAGACTTGTATGTGTTAGTATGCATCACACATCACACCTGTCGAACGTACCGGCAGACTGCGCCAATCCCTGCGACAACAAGATAAATGCAGGTACAACTTTCCACAACATAGCTCAACTCGTATTCTCGTGAATATCCCAGGTCATTGGAGCGAGTCGGCCATTATTTAGCCTGGGCGATGGTCTCAAAATCAGGCCTCTTTAGCGTCCTCATATTCGTGCTCTGCATCTTCCTGCAGATGCTCATTTCCCCATTTTCCAGGAAAACTTAGAAGAGCGTCAAAAGACATGGACCTTGAGGGATGAGGGATTTGCAAAACCTCCCCGGACCTTAGCAAATGCCCTAATTTTGGGGTGACATTTCTTCCCCAAATTTGATGTGCAGACTCCTATATCTTCTCCGCATGATCAGTCAACAACCCCAGATCAAACACTTTGCAAATCAATCCAAGATGCGTCTCACTCAACTGTTCATCACTTTTGTTTTCCCCCTTCTGGCACTCGCAGATTGGCACACCGTCAAGGCCGACATCGGAAACATCACCACTCTCCTGAATACTCTGGGCGAACATGCCCAGGAAATGAAGTCCGGCATGGCCGGTGTCCCCATTGCCCTCCAAGTGCAAGTTGATGCCGTGAAGCTCGACAAGGTGATCCGCGAGGGCACACAGCATGCAAAGGACTCGGATCCCTTTGGGGGACAAGGGTCGCTTCAGGTGGGCTTGGCGCTGGTCGCGTTGAAGCCCAAGATTATCTCCACGCTGGACGATATGGCGAAGCAGCAAGAGACGTTTGGGGACTTTGGGATCTTTGTCCTGCAGTCCCTGCGCCAGCTGGAGAAGGATACGGATGCCTTTGCTGCTGCGGTCACGGAGAAGCTGTCGGGACTGGAGAAGTCGATTGCGCCGGGGATTATCAAGTCGATTGATGGGGCTTTTGATAAAGCTGTCAAGAAATATGAGAGCACAGGTGAGTTCTCAGATCTCAGTTCGGAGTCAATGGGCTAATTGGAACAGATGAAAAGAGTGACAAGTGAGGTACTTAAGTAGACGAGAAATCAAGCCGAGAAGGAATATATATGAATGGATTATGTGGAATGAACTTGAGAAGGGAACATATGGAGAGGAAAGAGAGAGGAGAGAGAGAGGAGAGAGGGAACAGAGAGAGAGGACTATGTTAAGCTGTTTACTACCTTCAACCGAACTACTTGGCTTGAATTATTCTTTTGTCTATCCAATATCTTCTCAACTACACAAATATAGATATACTTAGTAGATATATAGATATACATGTACATATAGATATAGATATAGATATACACATAAACTACTAAGTACTCGGGTATAATACAACCCGGGTACCTGTACCCGGGCCCTTCAGCTTAAAAGGACTGCGAACACAGCAGTTTACTTACATCTATAGATATACTCAAGTATACATTCAACTTAAGAAATACAATGTCCCTCTCCGACTATCGTCTCCTGACATTCGATGTCTATGGCACCCTCATCGACTGGGAAGGGGGTATACTCGCTGCCTTCCAACCCACCCTGGACAAGAACAATGCCCACTTCTCCCGCGAGCATCTCCTCCTCACCTACCATGAGTTAGAGCGAGACCAGCAGACCAAGACCCCCGACATGCCCTACCACCAACTGCTGACAACCGTGCACCCGCACTTCGCAGCGCGCCTAGGTCTCGCAGCCCCCACCGCAGAGGAAAGCAAGACCTTCGGCGAGTCCGTCGGCAACTGGCCCGCCTTCCCAGATACCGTGGAAGCGCTCAAGCGACTCGCCAAGCAGTACAAGCTGGTGGTCTTGTCCAACGTGGACCGGGAATCCTTTGCGCGCAGCAATGCCGGTAGTCTCGAGGGCTTCCCTTTTGATCTGATCATTACCGCGCAAGATGTCGGCAGCTACAAGCCGGACCTGAGAAACTTCCGCTATATGCTGGGGGCGGTGCAGACTGAATTCGGGGTGGATGCGACGCAGGTGCTTCAGACGGCGCAGAGCCAGTTCCATGATCATCACCCCGCTCGGGAGGTGGGGGTGAAGTCTGTGTGGATTGAGAGGCCGGGGGCTACGATGGGCAATATGGCGGAGAATTTCTTTGATTGGCGGTTTGATACCTTGGGGGAGATGGCTGATGCGCTGGACAGGGAATGATTGTTTCGAGTACTTAGTACTTAAGTCTATGGTCTACATTTACATTACAATCATGACGATATATTGTTGCTATGCTCAACTTCTTGTACACTCACAAATTACTCAAGTATATAAGTAGAACTTTAGAATACCTCTTATAAACTACTTAAGTAGAAACGAATGACTTGAGAATCCGAGACCCGGGTACATTCACCCGAGTCCAACATTTATATACTTCAGTACTTCAAGACTTTTCGCCTTGCTCTTCACCCCGTTCATGCTCAAGTACATTAAATACATGAATATGTTCCAAATAGCCTGCCTGGCCAGCAAGATCCTCCAGATCTCCCCCACTGAGCTCATCTTACTCTTCGCGTGCACATCTCTGCTTTCCTTCTCGATATCTTCCCTCTGGGTATACTTCATGCACCCGATTGATACGCCAGCCAGCTCCCTTGATTCACATAGTCTGTGTGAGAAGACCAAAACAGAGCTCGAGACTTCCATTGATGTCTTGACGGCACAGTTGAAACTCCAATGCAACAAGCTGAACATGGTGGGTATGAATCACCGGACTATTTGACTTGATTCTAACCTGTTAGTGTGACCGATGAGGATTGACGATCTTGCAATATCAATGGCCTGATACGGTTAGCAACTATAGATCCTTTGATCACTACCTGGGTCTATACTTAAGTAGATAGGAAAATATGTGGAGTGTATGAAGATTAAATCACTACAACATTTACTTAAGTACTTAACTAGAAGCTCGAACAGGATCATCACATAAACATTTGCATACCAATTAAGTCACCATCGAAGAAACTAAATGACAGACATAAGAAATAACACAAACAGGGGAGAGGGGGAATGAAACGCCAATCTACCGAAACCAAAGGATAAAAGATGGAAACGCCCTCGCTAAAGAGACGAGAACACCTCGACATCTATGCATCACCGAAATGAAAGATGCAGGGAGCCCTAAGGATACAAAGCAACAAAGCAACATGGGAACATGAAACATTTACAGAATACTCCGGCTGGCCTGGCTGCGACTAGCGAGGCTAGCACGACTGGGAGTAGTGCGACTGGGCTCGTCTTCTTCCAGAACGTCACTCAGACGCGTGGGGTGACGATGACGAGGAGTCATAGACTCCCAACCAGTGCCGGGGCCCCAGCCCGCGCCACTGTAGTCCGCGGCCGAGGTCGGGGGGTAAGGGGCTTGCAGGGTGGCGGATGTTTCAGCAGAGGTGTAAGCTCCTTCCGGGTACGGCGCGGCCGGGTGGTCGTATTCTTCACTCTCCTCGGAAGGGGGCCCCGGAGGGTAGCTCAGCCCTTGCGGGTCGTGAGCGTAATGGGTGTAGTCATCATCGGCCTCACTGCTTCCGACGTAGGAGCGGTCGTCGGGCTCGGAGGTGGCGGGCCCGGTAGGTTGATGCTCATAGAGTGGAGCTGGGTAAGGGACTTTGGAGGCAGGTGGGTCGGTCTTTTTGGGTTCGATAAATGGATCAGAGCCAGTGGGGGACATCGGTGTGCCATCTTGGTAGTATTGTCCACTGGAGCTGGGGTTCACAGGCTTGCCGTAAGCGTCTGTGCCCAGAGCAGTGGCAGCGGACCCGCTGGGATATGGGCCTTCGCGGGCCTGGGAGCGGGTGGTGTTATGGCGGCTTGGAAGACCAGACACCATTGGAACAACTTGAACCCCACCGACGAGAGTGGGCTCTCCATTGCGGAGGGAGTTGGTTCGGTCTCGCTCCTCTTGTTCGCGGCGACCAAGCTCCTCCCATGCGCGGCGTGCTTCCTCTTTGGAAATTTGCAATTCGCGGCGCATCTCCTTGAGGAGCTCCTCGGCCTTCACCTTTTCCTTCTCGGATTCCTGAGCAGTGGCAAGAGCCTCGGCTCGAGCTCGCATCTCTGCCTTGAGCTGGCGGTCCAAATCGGCTTGGGTCTCCTTAGCTCGTTCTTGCTCGGCTCGGGTATCGAAGAACCAACGCTGGAACTTGCGTTCGGAGGAGGCACGTAGACGCTGCAGCTCAACCACGGCGTGAAACAGGTTGGCACCGGCTGCAGACAAATCCGTGATTTGGCGAGCCAATTGTTGACTGATCGGATCACGCTCGAGGTCATCGTTGTTCTGCTCGAGTTTGCGCATCCAATAGCTGGTCAGGCCTTCCCAGTGGGACGAGAGTGTCTCCCATCGTTCAAATGCATGCGGGAAACCAACGCGTTTCGGTTGTTGCAGCGTTTGCTGGGAGCTGGCCGGAGCTTGTGCCGGTTTCGAGATCCCTCCAGAGCCCGCGTTGGCACCCAGGGCGGCCGCGCTCTGTGAGCGACTGTGCTGCGGCTTGGAACCGGACGGCGTTGGTCGCGGTTGACCGCCTCCTGGAACTGCCGCGGTCGGGGGCGCAGTTTGGAACTCGGGTGCTCTGCCCGGCGCCGATTCCCCCGGTCGGTAGCCAGACGCCGACCCTGCAGGCGCGGGTGTAGTTTCCGCTTGCTGCGCTTCAGATCCCCGAGGCACTCTGGGAACTCGGATTCTCGATTGGGAGGTATTGTCTCCGGCAACACCAGCCTGCTGCTGAGCCTGGGCTTGAGCTTGGGCCTCGATGTGAGCTAGCTGCTCCTGTTCCAGCTGCTGTCTGTCTAATTCCTCCTGCTCGCGTTCTCGGGCGTCGTGCTCGGCTTTCCGACGGGCCTCACGGTCTCGGCGCTGCCTCATTATGTCGGTGGGAGTTCTCACTCCACTCGGGGGTTGAGAGGAGCCCGAAATCGGATTTGGGGGTACACGGGGGCCGCCATTTTGAACGCGGCCGTTGCCCACAGGCCCAGCAGGGCCAGCAACACCTACCATGTCTGACATAGACGCATTCACTTCGTCCCAGTCCGTCGAGAGCTGAAGAGGACCTCGAATGGCGTCTTCGAGGGCGTAAAGGATGGCTGACGCGGTGCGCGAGGAGACTCGACTGGTTCGAATTGGCCAATACGAGCTGTCGAGGAGCTGGTATGGATCGTCGATGGTCGAGCCGTTGTCGTCCGTGTGCGCCTCGGAAAGGGCCGGGCGAAGCGCAGCAATGCCACTGGCTGGAGGGTGTCGTACAGAGGCCGGGGTAGTTTGTACCGGCTGGGGTAGATGCGGGTGTGTATTCGGAGCTCCGAGGGATACGGCTCGACGATGGAGCGATTGGCGAGCTTCCGGTTGGCGGGAGACTCGTCGTAAGGTGCGCTGGGAGCCCACAGGACTTGGTCGTGAGGAAGGCGCCGCTGAAGCAGTGGACGGGCGTTGCACAGTTGGCTGGGGTTGCCGGGTAAAAGTCGTAAACGTGGAAGGGTCGTGAGAATCGTGGGCTTCGTCAGACACCCGGGAAGTGTGTCGAGACACCTCTAAGAAGGGTCGGTAAAAATGGGAGTTCGACAATGCGAGGGTTGCGTGAGTCGATAGGTCTCAGTAGATCGCGATCGCGAGATTGTCGATCGCGTCTGGTTTTTGGATGAAATTACAGCCCCAAAGGCTGTTGGAATTGACAGTCAACCCACGTCAAGTCACAATTGACAAGATAGAAATTGTGAGGAGTTGAGGTGAGAGGAAAGCTATGAGGTGGCTGGTTAATTGGGATGGCTGGGGCCGCCGCAGCTTGAGCTGCAGCGCGGCAGACGTGTCTCGGGGAGCATCCAGTCCGCGTCAGGACGAAGTACGAGTACGGAGAAGAGTGATGGATTCAAGTCGAGAGAAGAAAGCTCTTTCGACTGTCAGATTGGGCGAATTCCACGGGGCGTTCCGTGATGGGCAGGAATGCGGGCTCCGCTGCCCTAATTGCTGTATGTTCGCTTTCGCTCTCTGGATTCTCCTAATACTCCGTACTTTGTATGTTATTCCAGATTCCAGTTGGAGTACAAGTATTCGAATATTCCCAGTTTTCTAGGATTCCACTTGAGTATTGAGTATTTGTGCCTTTTTATTTGGCAATCTCGCACAGACAGATCGACGCCAGAATCAAGTAAAAACCAATACTCGTAACGACTAAACCAAATAGTGGACTTGTATCCGTGGTTGAATCGGAGCTAGGCAATAGTAATTATTGCAGTCCGAGTCAAGTACGAGTTGCACTAAAAATATATAGATGCGTTGGCAATGCATCCCGATATATATCCAATACTTATCTCCGTTGTCAAGAACTAAATACTTCACTTCAGAACAAGTCAATTGGCACGTAAGTAGACGGGTATAAGCTCTCTCTCCCCTCATTCGAAGCCACTAAAAAGGACCATTAATTAATGTCCCAGTTGACCCAACGGTTCGTTCGATTTTTATGGGACGAACTCCCCCACATAGCGGAGTAGCGGAATAATACTCCGGAGTATTAGAATACATACGTACTTAAAGTATTAAACAAGTTTGAATATGAAGTGAGCAATTCTATAGTGTTTAGTATCAATTACTAGAGTATACTAGGCCTTAACACCGTAGATAGTAAACCAGGGAGTATGTTGAAGTTGTAGCCTTGGAATTTAGGCCCTGAACTTTGAACGGCTAAACTTCCACTCCATAACCTTGACTCTCCACTTGAGCAGCCCCAGGGCCATGGAATGCTGCTCAAGTGAGTACGAGAACGCTAACGACGACAGTGCCCAAGACCCTAACGCCAGCCAGGAGTGAACAGTTCACCGAGACAACCAAATAAATAATGCACCGAGTGCATCCAAGGATCTAGCAACGGACCGCCGCAGACGTAACGAGCCCCTAGAACCCTGGAGCCCTGGAGCCCTGGAGCCCTGGAGAGTGTCGAGAACAAAGGCCTGGCCCTGCGCAAGGGCCCATCGGACAATTTGATCCGGATGCACGACTGCCACTCCCGGGCTCGAGAAGACCCAGACGGACGGTTTCACCTATGCCTTGCAGCCGGGAGCTTGGAAGCAGTTTAGCTTAAACAGTCTGAGGTGTTTCAGTTCCTGGTCCCTGGAGCTGGAGCACCAATTACGGGTGTCTTGCAAGAGACTTCCGGGGAAATCATTCCGGCACTCTGACCTCGGGAGCCGATCCTGAGGCCCTTGGTCGTTGACTTTTTTTTATTGAAGTATTGCATTAATTGGATTCACCTGGAACTTGAGAATGGACTCAATTGAACTAATAATCCTAGGGCAAGGAGGGTGATAATGCTAGAGCAATCCCTTGAATAATGGACATTGCACTGTGAGGTTGCATCTTCGGCTTGGTTCCAATACAGATTCCACGAAGAATGTGACGAAGAGGATGGGAGGCGAGGGTTTCTGCAGAGGATGCACCTGGTGCATCCCCGGAGAGTCAATCGCAGTACGATCGCGACCGCATGAACTAGGTGCGGTCCCAAGGATTATATAGCGCTGCACGGCGGCTGTATAGCGGGATGCACGTCAAAGTTTGCCATTGGAATGTGGGGATCATTGGTCGGGCAACGCCGTTACGGTTACTTTTATTTACTATTTTATGTGTATAGAGATTTCATGCGAATGTTGAAAGTTGACGTAGTAGATCCAAGATCGAGATCTATACTTAAGTAACAGAGCAGAGGGATTGATGTCAGTCTGCATCACATAGATTTTTGTGAAGGACCGAAAGACTAAAATGCTCATGAAAGGATTACAGGACTAAAAAGAGAAATGTCAGATGTATAATCCTGCTTTGTGATGTATCGACTGTCAGGAGAAAGTTAGGCCCGAGCGACTCCGTACGAAGGGAGCACGGAGTATTATCTAGGCCTTAGCCCTGGAGTTAGGCATTGCGAGGAGAGGAACCTGCCTAGGCTATCTAGGTTATCTAGGCTATCCAGGCTGTTCCTCCTGTTCCTCCTGTTAAGCATGTCTAAGAATCCTAGGTCGAGGTCCCCTTCTTCACCAGAACATAAGAGCCAGCACCGCGGACCTAAAATAGAGATTCAGCCACAATGAATGCTCCAAGCCCATGACGTCGTGAATGCAATTGAGGCTCTCGACATGGGGAATGAGAGAAGTACTCGTACTTTACGAGGCATAAGTACTATGTCCCCAATGGACGAGGATCGACGACCCACTCTGATATCTCACATTGGCCTACTTTACATACTTGTAGTACGATGCTTGTGAGATCAGTGTTAAAATGAGTATGAGAGTAAATAGTCAATAGTCTGTTTACCAGCACAAAGTGTAGGAATGACTAGTATAGAGAGAGTATACAGACCAGAGGGTGTAAACAAACAAAGCCCTAGAAAGTGAAGTAAAAGTCCCCGGATCAACTTCCGCGCCCTTGCTCGATCGAGGGTCCTTGCGACATCCCTGCAAGGTGAGATCTTCTTTTTAATTATTATTATTATGACCCTTTTTGTTTACATTGCATTACTCCCCGGCCACCCCGGCTCATTCTATACTTATTTTGATGATCTCCCCTGGCATTCCTCCATCCCATCTCCTTCTCACCTGGACTCACTTGGACTCACTCTCTCTACTCTATTCCATGGCTCACGGAGGTGTTCACTGTCCAGGAGAGTTGGACGTACTCTACGCAAACAACAGATCAGAGACTACGATCTGTTATCCCTCCCCCTCCCCCGCCAAGCGTGTCTCTTCATACTACCCCAAGTTTGGTCCCAAGGTCGTAGAAGACTCCAACCTCGATCCTTTTTATCTTGAGTCTTCATTGGCGGCGACGCCAGAGTGGAATTCATACTCGGAAATGCGCGATGATCAATTCGACCACGACAGCCACTACTATTCTTTGTCCTTGACCAAGGACCTCCACAACTCGTTTCAATACGGCCCAGACCGATCTACTCTGGCGCAAGTAGAGCTTGAAAACAGCCTACGATTCCACAGATACACTCCTTCCACAGAGGAACGGAGTCCGCTGCACAGCAGCCACGACTCCTTCAGCTCTGTACAGACCGACAGCAGCACTCCAGACTTGACTCCAAGCAGCTCGTTCTCCTCTCATTCTTCCGACTACCCAGACGTGGTCTTGGGTGCCACTGAGCAATTGCACAAGCACGTCCAGGCTGCTCAACCAGAGCCTCGACGTCGCTTCTACCTGCCAGCATCAACTCCTCCAACATACTCACTCCCTCCGCCGCCTCCACCACCAGTGGCTCCCTTGATCGCCCCGGAGACTCGCCCTACCACTCCTTGCTATCAACACTCCAACGACTCCACCACTACGATCACCATGGGCTACGAGGACGCCACGGGGTCGGTCTCATCCCGCTCCCGCCGCAGGAAGCAGCCTCCCAGTCTCAACCTCTCTCGTGGGACCAGTGCCCACAGCCACCGCCGCAAGCAGTCCGGCCCTGGCTCTCGCCCTACACTGGACCCTTCCATGATCTCTCCCCCATGTCTCATCAACCCCGTCACCAAAGAACCTCACATGACCCACTTTGACCAAGCTCTCTTCATTCCTGCCAACGACTGTCCTAGTCCAGTACCTAGCCCGGTGGCTAGCTCTCCACCTATCTCTCGCCAATGGACCGCCACGTCCATGGAGCGACCCTCCACATCTACCTTTGATGCGCACTGCGAGCAATCAGTCTGGGAGTCCGACTCCGAGTCTGAATCCGTGGGCCGCAAGTCCATGTCTCGCAAGCCTATCGACACCCTGCGCAAGGTGCGCAGCCGTGCGAAGCTCCGTGGTGCCAAATCCCAGCCTCGCCTGTTCCATGGTGGAATGGACGAGCATCCTACTGAAAGATTCCCTTGCATGCCTGACGACATCCTCGGAGAGCCCATCTCCGAGATCTATCGTCCCAGCATGGATCGTCCTAGCACAAGCCGTCCCAGCACGAGTCGAGACGGGCCCCGCGTGCACAATGGATTACAAACCCTTCGTCTCGTCGCTCCTTCCACTACATCTCTCGCTCGAGGTCGATCGCGCAAGAACAGCAGCATCAACAGCTCGGACGTTGACCGCTCAGCCGCTGCTGCCTGGCAAGCTCAGTACCGTCGGCGCCAACGCTCTGACACCCCCGAATATCCCAGCTCCGGTTCCGAAAAGAGCGACAAGGAGAAGTTGACATCGATGTGTTATGAGCAACACCCCCAAGTCCCCTTCCAAGACTTCCGGGAACAACGCCCCCTCTTGCAACGATTCATGGATTCCCTTCGATCCTTGAACTGTCAGAAGCCTCCCAAGTCTCACAAGAAGACTAATGTTACCACCATCTAAATTCATTCCACGGCGTTCCGGTTCTCCATTTGGTCTCTTGCTATAACATCCAAGCTTTCCACGATCCCTCCAACGATTTCATTCGATGTTTCCCACGTGTTCTCAATGATAATGAGCACTTCCACTCTTTATGCATCTACAACCGCGCACCATGATAATGATTATCCAGTCTTCCTGGACTTTGACGCGCACACTACGTTCTCTACATGCGCTTTGCGCTACGAAACGACGACTGGTCCTAGGGACCATGAATACCGACTCACGACTCGATACCCTCGAGAATTCTATCTTTAATTTTCCTAATCTGTCTGCATTTTGTCTGTATCACCACCTTCAAGCTTTGGCTTGTCCTGTCTTCGGCCTTTGTTCCGATCTTTTCATTTTTGTCTGTATTGCCATATAGAGGATGGCGCTCGGATGGTCAATGTCCTGACCAAAAATTGCATGTTCTGAATTCTTCAAAAGCAAGCCTTGATTCTACAATGATACACAAAAATAGAAGCTTCAATACCCGTCACGCCGTTACTAGGGAGATGTCTGAATCCTTTGGAATGCTGGAATCTCCTTGTCTTCACCAGGTATCCTGAGTACTACTGCAACATCGAATCAATCCACCTGCGTCACTTGCTATTGGTATCACATTTTCATACCCATTGTGCCACGCAATATCTACCCAGCCTCAATCGAACAGCTCTGGAACCTTCACTATCAATGGAACAGACCCACGTCAGTGCTGACGATCAGCACATAAGCGTGCAGCCCGATGCGACAGGGATGAGTTCCTGGGTCTCGGGCCTAACGGACAGGGCTATTTTCAGCTGTGCATCGGATGCCATCCGTCTGCTCCGTACGGCCTAGCCGATGTCTTCGATCTGATGTGTTCACTTAGGGCTTGATTACTAAGGTCCACTGTCGGGCACCTCCAGGGCTGTTACCTCAAGCTTTCGAGTCACTTGTTTGAGCCCTACAATTCATTTGTATTTCATATTTCAAATGTTGAGATACTCAATTCTCAGCATAGCACAGAGTATTCGAAAGCTACGCTGTACTTGCACGGAGTCTCGGTACTTTGTGCTTTGGACCCCCTTGCGTCGATCCTCCCATCTTCCGTACATAACAACTTGGACAGAGCAGTGACGCTCGAGCCCAGCAGTTTGAATCAAGCATAACTCAATTGGCTGGAGCACGACCCCCGCACATTCTCAATCTGATCTGTCACTTGCCAAGCGGAGAGCAATTGACACGGAGTATCCGTTGCAGAAAGTACGAGTACTTGTACGCTGAACAGTCTCGGGGCTGGCCTTCCGCGCAGATGTCACATGCAAGGAATTGCCGGACGCAGGCTCGCATCCCCCGAGACTTCGACTGGGTCGTTTCAGATCTATCGGAATTTTGACTGCAGGAAGCTCGATCTGGTGCTTTCGTTGACACTCGTTGACTTGCTATGATCTATCGTAGGTTTGCTGAGGGGTTCTTCCATTTTCAAATCACATCTGGATGTGATATTTCTTTTCTTTTAGTACTCCGTATGGGTTGGTTGGCTCCGATCCAGTGAATGTCTCAAGCTGAAGTTGAGATGGAACAGACTGCACGAGAACCATAGCAACAACCGTTCTCGCAGGACATAGAAGACCCCAGCGTCGGTGTCTCAAAGACAGCTCGGGGCTGCGACCTTGCAGCGGCAGCGGATACTGTTCCAGGTGTCTGGGTACTGGTAGCGTAGGTACTTGCAGGCCAGTGGCCAAGGGCGATCCAAATGAGCGCGGGACGGCACCCCCGAGAGACAGGACCCGCCCATCTGCAGATATTGACTCTGCAGGACACCCTTCTCCGGGGAGGTGGTGTAATCTGCACTCTGTAGATCATCCAGACACAGATTACGTCAATGGGCATCGAAAGCTTCAGCTCTGCACAGGTGTGAAACAGCTTCAACTCTGCTCAACCTGGCCGCCCTTGATGGCCTCGTCCTGACCCTGATCCATCTCCTTCTTCTCCTTCTCCTTCATCTCCAAAGCCTCCATATTCTCTTCCCACCGCGGCACCTTAGCAACACCCTCCCACTTCGCAATCACCGGATCCCCCTTCACAGCCAACTGCACCTCAGCCTTCTCCTCCCCCCTCCCAGCAGGAACCACCTCCGTAGCCCCATCCCCACCCGAAAAAACAGCCTGCACATCCAACTCCTTCACAGCAGCCTGATACAGCACCCGAATCTGCTCCCTCTTCTGTCTCCGCAATTCCGCCCTCTCCTCATCCGACTCCGCCGCAGAACCCGGCTTCTTCACAGCGCCCCCACGTTCCTCGAACCCACGTAGCAACCCCTCCATAATGCCGAGGACTGTGCCTGCGCGCATGCCCATTTGCGCACCGATGGGAAATCCAGCGTCGAAGCCGTCTTGGACATGGAGGCCTTTGGAGGTGGAGGTGCCGTCGCGGTAGCCGGCTGTGACGTGTTGGCGGCGGAGGGAGGGGAGGTCGGAGGGTTCGCTGGGGTCAGGGCGGATTGGGTCTCTTTCTGTTGGGGAGGAGCCGAAGATGTCGTCGAGTGAATTGGACATTTTGTTGTGTAGAGGAGGTAGATTGTAGGTTGTACTTGTAGTGTAGAGAGGGAAAAAAAAAGATCAAAGTCGGGAGTGGAGTAGTGGGGGTTGCCGAAGTATACTCTTTTCTTTCTTTTCTTCTTTTCTCTTCTGTTTCTATTCTGTTTCTCTTCTCTATTTCATGTTTCTATAGAGATGTCTATTATTCCACTCCATACTAACAGGAATCAAGTACAATGTTTCGGCCCCCAGATGGCCCCATAGCTACATAATACTCCGCACCTCTCACCATGTCTTCTACAGACTACAAACATCTCAATCTCCATGCCTCGTCTAGTCCGACTACTGGGCTACACTGGAATAGGTGTAGCCAGCTACAGCGCCCACCAGAAACTCACCCACCTCGAAAAGAAGTATCCAGGACTCCCCCATTCAGCAGGCAGCCAAGCTCTCCACACAGCAAGACCCAACAACCACTGCGCCTACGTGGACATCTACGCAGCCCAAATCCCACTTCTCGCCCTCCAAGCCCGCAATGAATCCATGAAAGAAGCAAGCAAGGTTTCTCTCGAAAACGCCTGGGCAAGATCCATATTCAGCAGTCGAATCCTACGAGCAGAAGGCTTATTAATTGGTCTTTTCACCCTCAATTTCTCGCCATGCTATACAGGGGATGCAGGGTTCGGACCTGATGAAAATGGTGCGCGGGTGCTGCTGAATGGTGGTTTACAAGTGCAGCGGGAGGCTGGTGCAGAGGAGGATAGTAATGGGTTACTAGTCTCGATGAGACTGCCTGATGGGCCGCGGGTGTTTTTTGAGAGGATTGCGCAGTGGGGATACCCGTGGCGATTGATGAGTTGTGTACGGCATGAGATGAGTGTTTCGGAGCCGTGGGAGGAGAATGGGGAGAAGGTTGTTGAGGTGCGGTTTGCGAGTGCGCATGACTATGAGATTGTGGAGGATGACGGGGAGCAGCAGAAGATTATTCCGGCATGGGTGTTGAGATTGCATCGTGGGTTGGCGAGGTATGTTTTGGATTCTACTGTGGAGGAGGTGAAGCAGTTTGAACGGATTCGTGTATGAGTTTTGTATTGTACATAATCTTCACTCTGTTTTACATGTGGTGTGTCTAGTCCAGAAAGGAGCTTGGGTGAATGCAGCTTTGACTGACGACCGAACTGGTCGGGGTTGAAATGTTTTGGTGACAGTAGCTGAGCCACTGTAGTTGCCTTGCTGTCGAGGGCCTGAAGTCGGACCCTCGTTCACAGCAGTTGAGGCTTTATCCATGCAGATCTGCCGAGATTGCGGAGATCAGTAATAAGGGTCGAGAATCATCCACAGCATAGATGCCCCTGGGCAATGCTGAGCTCTCATAGAGTGCGAGATGGGTCAAAATCCACAGTGTTCATGCCTGTGCTTTTAAAGAAAAACCAAGACTTTCTCTCTGATCATCAATCACTCGAGCATACCTAATGTCATGTTAGCGGAGTGTCAAGCTCGTCCTGCCCATTCAACTCACTCCAGGTAAAGCCGGAACATGTAAACGTCAATATCATCATTCCTGATGGTCTTCGCAGCCCAATCCTGCCCTCCTTGTCCAATGGAACGAGCAATCTGCTGGCCTGCAGGATCCTGCTCGAAAAACCGGATCAATTCAGGAATCTCAGTTCCATCCTTGTTAATGGGAACATAATGGACCCAGGGGAACAAGATATCCTCATGCCATTCACGGAAGAAAGTCAACTTGAATGGGACACTCTTGCTGCGCATGAACGCATAGAACCGTCCACTGTAAGCATGACCATCCATGTCTAGCAGATATCGATACTTCCAAGCTTCTTCACGAGGGTCTGGTTCGCGAATATCGTCGAAAAACTGTTCCTCCGCGGGACAGTCGTCGTCACAGTCCTTGATCTCGACGAAGTGGGTGTTGAAATAACCCTCGATGTCAGTCCGGTTTGCCTGCTGGACCTCCCAGCCTTCAGTACGACCTGGCCTGCACACGCTCTTCTGATGTAAGAGATACTGTGGCGATTGCGGATGGGTGAGATTCCCTATGATGCGCTGACGCTGGAAGTTTTGCCAAGCTCCCCCTATACTGTGTCCGCCAGTAGTTCCGCCGCGCCAGTAAAGTTGCGGCTTTTTGTTCTCCCAGTCGACTGCGGTCTTTTCATCGTAATTTGATACACCTTCGTAGTAGAAAGGAGAAGGATATGCGATGTCCTGGAAGGATGACGGATGAGACATGGAGAATACCGGCGTGAGCTCGTTCGTCACTTTGAAAGAATTCGGGCGGTCAAACACCCCCAGGCGATGCCGCAGAGAGGGGCTGTTACACATGTCACTAGCAGCAGTCTGATTGAAGATGAACCCCAGCGGTTCGATCGCAAAAGCACTCGAGTTGTCCGGGGCATTGCCGTCAAGGGACCTGGCAGGCGTGTCGGGAGGGCACGAAAGCCGGGAGAAAAGCCAAGTTTCCTGGCGCTGAATGTCATTGAATCGGGTGGTGTAGATTTCCGCTGGCGGGAGAGGATCATGTGCATCACCCTTGGAGAATGTATTCAGTAGTTCGCGGGTGTGATCCAATCGAGCTTGAGTTTCGTAGCCTTTGGTGATCAGCCTATGCAGCTCCTCGTGTGGGACCGCCACGCGAGGCTCGTCGTGCACGTTGAATTCCAGCAACATGTCCGGCAGCCACTGAGAGAACTTTTCTAGAATCTTGATCGTTGCGTCTTTTTGGAACTCCTGCTGGCCAGTATTGCCCAAGTGCATGACCCTGCCGTCCCGAACCGCGGCGCCCATCACGAAATTGTTGTATCCCAGATCCTCCCTCACGCGCGAACGAATTGTGCTGGGTTGGAGTCCCCAGAAGGGCTGGAGGGTATGATAGATCGTATCGAATTCGTCAATCAGCACCGTGTTCCGAGCTGTCGCAAAGGTGTACCATTCATCAAAGTGCGGAGGTGGTGGCATTTTATGACGTCGGTGATACTCCGCCACGGCCTCCTCCAATGTAGTGGATTGGCGTTGCAATGTCTCGTTAAACGTCTTCGTCGCATCGTAAACCAGGCGCACCACAGGGTGCTCGCAGGAGTACCTGCCCAGCGAACCTTGGCTGTTGTAGGAGGCGAGGAACCACAAGGTCAAAATGGCTCCTGCCACCAGGCCTGTTACTGTGAAGGTTCGTTTGGTCTTTTGGGGTTGTGTTCCCAGGAGCTGGTACTGGTATTGACTCCATGTTCCTGAACGAATGGCGTGTGCCCCGGCCGCGGCACCGGAATACAGCGATTGAATGAATGTGAGGAGTCCGGACCGGAGATGCATATTGAGGATCACCAATTTTCACGTCGCATCATCTCGAGACGTAGGGGAGTGAAAGGGAGAAGTTGCGACCGTGTCGCGTGTGCCATGGCCCAAGTGGAACCGATCGACAAGGCTGTGACATGAGGCCTTGGCGGACTCTAGGCCTAGGGTGTATGGAGTAAGTATATGGAGAGAACATTGTATGAAGTGTACGAGTATAGAAGAATTTTGCCAGTTGGAGAAGTCCGTGTTGGATCATTAGTCATTTCCCCTAGTCCTCTTCTCTTCATACTTCATACTTCATACTTCATACTCCATACTCCATACTCCATACTATTATACTAACATTCTCCGATCCAATCCACCTATACCCACAGGGCTAAGTCCCGCTATTACTATTTCAATCAGACACAGTCGTCTCCATGCTCCACAACTGTCCACCCCAAAAAGCCATTGTATGGGTAACAGACATCCCAGCCACTAGTGATGGTGCCTAAGAACGCATCCTCAGTGCAATCTGCGGTATTGAACATGCAAATGTCCTTTTGGTCTTCGGGGGAGGGACTCTTCCATGAGATACTCTTGAGGTTGGTCGAATTAAATGAGACAGTATCGAGAGCCTCACAGGCGCGTGCATTGACACCGTAGCGATGGAAGATAGAATAGTCGAGATTCGATTCGCTGGGGTCGCAAATGGGGGCTGCTTCACTCAAGAAGCGAAGGTCCCACTGGGGAAACTGTTAGTCTTTGACTCTCAAAATTTGAAATTTGAGATTCGACATACACTTCTGTAGGCGAGGATTGCGCGACTTTGAATACCAGGCAATGCAGCAGCTGAAGCAATGCTGACGAGCGTCAAGCACACGGTGAAGAAATGCATCGTATATAGCGAGCAAAATGAAGATCTTAACGAAAGTCAATGTCAAATTTTCGAGTGCGGCGAATATCTCAGATGGGACCAAACAGAGCAGATTGCCTGCTTCTTATACGAACACCCTGGACTAATTTAGGACAAAGCCGCTGCAGAAAGCGGAGCCTAAGATCCCCAATCACACCGAAGAGTCGAGACCCTCGACAGATTCATTCGCCAGCTGAAAGAGCTGAGACGAAGCCAAGCCGGGCCTCATATAAGAGTTTCTTGGCGGAAAAGCAAAGCAAACACTGTAGACCCTTGACGAAACCCATCTATTGCAGGTAGCCCTGGAGTAGAGAAGCTCAGATCATGGTTGTCTCGCCGATTCAGGAACATGGCGAATAAGCGCTGGCTCGGTTCAGGGACTAGGGCTTACCTGCAGCGTGCAGTGCAGACACGAGTGCGCCGCTGTGCATGTCATGCTACACGGGTTGAATCATGGTGGTATCCGTTGAGTTCGTATGCATGGACGTGAGATCCCACGATCCCACTTTGGATTCGGGGTACACTGCGATAGAATGGCATTCAGCCGGCCCTGGGTAGCTGGTTTAGCACAAACTGTCTCTGAGAAGAGAGTGTTGCAATGCGTCAAAAAGTCAACCTTGAATGCCTGTTGAGACCCAGACATGCACAGACTTGACTGTGCTCTTGCCTATGGGCATGGAGATCGTGTCCGTATTATGGCGTTCGTCAAAGCTCTAAGCATGGTAGGCGAGAAACGACACAGACGTCAACGACACAGCAGCCTCTTTGCCGATCAATTCCCAGACGTGAGCACAAACCTCTGAACTAGAACTGAATGAGCGTGACTGCTCACGATGTGGACGCTCTGCGTTGGGCGAGACTGGGAGACAGATGTGTCGAAGTGAAGGGGATTTCGCTTGCCATTTCCACTTCCAGTGTACTCCGTGTTACTTTATGAGATAGCACATAGGTACGGAATCAGACAGTACTTAAGTACGTGCTCCTAGGACCAATGCTCCCATGACTCCAGGGCTGGGCTGTTTACGAGATCAAGTATCTGAACATAGGAAGGGCAGCAGAGAATTTGCTTCATAGTGTGAGAAAGAATCACCTGCGTTTCTGCTTTAATCAAGAGTTGCAATGAACTTATAAGGATCTATAGCCATTTCGATCCATTCTTGTAGAATCAATATCAACCAAAGCCCCCGCTAGTTGCTGAATATCGATTCGACCTATCTACCTGAGAATAACATGACAACGCACCTAGTAGTATGTCCAGGAAAGGCGTATTGGGGCAGCGTTGAAGTATAACACCCAATACATGGATATTACCCTCCAACAATCCGTGGAGATTGGAGAAGCATCTGGAGCTCAAAAATTGATTGTACAGCGCATGTGTCCAATTTTGTACATGGCAACACAATGGCTGCTATAAGCGCTAAACTTGCAGATTAAAAAAACAAAAAGACCTGGTCTCCTGAAGACTCCGAAACCCCAATTTGCACCGTTGTCTCCCTGTCCTTCAGCCCCGCCTGGCTGCGATATGGTACACATTGGGCATTCTTAGCGACTTGTAGGGTAAGCCCGGGATCAATCGCTCGAGTGTTGTGAGACCCGTTATTTCTTGGCCGGGGCATCGGGGACCTTTACGTCGGAGAACTCTTCTTGGCCGACAGCCTTGAGAGTATAGGTGTCTAGGGAGAAATCAAATGAGCAATTGGTTCTTGCAAATGTCCTGCTTAACTCGGTGTCTTCGCGATCGTATGATCGCTTGCGCTGCTATGATCGAGAGCATGTGAGGGATCCTGCGGTGTCCGCGTTGTAAGGCCTACTCACAGACTGCGATCGTGAAAGCGAAAAGTCCGAAGCCAGTGGCGGCGTTCTTGAAGAGGTACGGACGGCGGGCGCGCAGGAGCGCGGCACCAGCCTGGTAGTCCTTGCCGTAGTAGGTGGAGTTGAAGCTAAAGAAACATTGTTAGTGAGTCAAATCAGCAATGAAAATATATATACATACATTCCTTGAGCCATGTTGAGCGACAGAGGTCAAAAGACAAGAAAGTCGAGGCCGCAGAAGGCAGATCCGGAGGAAAAGTCTTGGCACAACGTGATGCGTTTAGATGCTCGGCTTCTCTTCTTTCAACTTGTAGCTTCATCCTGAATTTCTGCAACTTCTCTGCTGTGCGCACTGTCTGCATTGCCATTATCCTGGCCTCCGCCTTTGGCCATCGGATCCTTCACACCTCACTCTTTATTCCCATCTTCCGTCACTTATCTCGCGCTTTACCCTCATTTCCACCGCAATCCACCGTGAGATCAAGCTGCCTTGCGCCGGCGATTCTCAGCTCATCCAACGTGATTTGGCAATTAAACCTGTGTCCGGCGCCGGGCGAACACTCTCTCCTTTGAGCGCGTCACTTCCGACCCCTTCGCGATCTCCCCGGACAACACTCGCGACTCACCCCCGGAACCCCCGTCCCAATGTCGCAGACACCGGATGTCAGCGACCAGATCGCACAGCTCAATGCTGCTCGAAGCCTCGTTCTCGGGGATGCTGCATTCTACCAGCAAATTGTGAATGGCATCCTTCCCATTGTCGGGGCTAGTACACGGCTGCAGTTGCGAAGATGGGGTGCCAATTTCCTAGCAGAGACCTTTGCCAGTCCTGTATTAGCAGCAGATCAGAAGGAGCAGCTAGCCCCGAATGTGTTGCAAACCATTCGTGAGATCTTTGAGCTGCCCGAGACTGACACAGCAGTGTTGCAAAGTTTAGTACAGGCGTCAGCAAGCTTGTACCCCATCGTTTTCAGGCACATGTAGGTGTTCTACAACTATAGCTTCTATCTTTGCTGTGAAAAGTCGACTAATGGTAGCAGTGTGAATCACCCACAGGACAGCAAGTCATGGGAAAACATGTGTGAGATCAAGCAGGTCATTCTGAAAAAGATGGATAGTTTCCCCTGTTCAGTCAAACTGTGCTGTGCCAAATTCCTACAGCGTGTTGTCCAAGTTCAAACACATAGTTCTGGTGGTGACCCCAGGGTAAGTTGTGCACCTCTTTCCCAAGTTGTGAAAGTGTAGCTTACTCTTTTAGCGCCCTGAGCTCAACGAGACCTCTTTAGCCGTGGTCCCTCGAAATCACGCTCTCCTTTCTATCCCAAACTTGGAGGCAGAGTCATCAGGCTTGCTTGACCGATTGCTCGGTGTTTTCCAAGAAGAGACTAGGTAAGTATCTAAAGGCTTGTTTCCGAAGAGCTGAAGCTAATATTGGTTAGTGATGCTATCTTGGTGAATGCAACAATAAACTTGCTTCCTCCGCTTATTCGGACACGTCCGACTATAGCACATAAGATTGTGAACGCTATCTTGGACTTCATCCCTGCACACCACGTCCGCCCTCCTTTCACACCCACTGTTCGTGTCAGTGTGAAGTCTATGGAGCGGACAGCCCGAGCATTGTTGTGGAATATATTGAAGAAGTATGTATGTGCCTTTGCCGACGCCAGTGGTAGTCTAACATGTCTAGAAATCAAAACCACCCTCTTGCTCCAAGAATGCAGGCCTACATCGAGCGTTTGAGTCAGTCTCGCCTGGAGGCCACCGAAGATCCTTCTCGAAAACGTGGTCTGCCAAACGAGCCTACCGACGGACTCGACGTTGCCAAGCGAGCACGCCTCAATGCAATGCCGCCTCCAATCATGAAGATCCCGCCAATGGCCCCGGGGCCTGCCACCTTTGACAATTTATTTACTTTGACCGAGGATGCTGGACTGTCATCGTTCGATGTAAAGCAGCTTCCATTCGACATAGTCCTTAAGATTGTCGTGCCTCTTCTTGCACAAGTGCATGACTCAACTATGACCCAAGCCGTTGAGGTAAGTCTCTCGCTTTGAAGAAGCGAAGATCTGGGCTAATTTAGTATCAGGCGGTCCGGACTCGCTACCAGACAATTACCCGGGAGCAGAACCTGCAACGACAGCAACAGCAGCAAGCAGCAACCCAAGATGACGACGATGACTATGAGCCCGAATACCAGCCAATGGACGCAGCTTCTGTTGTATCAGAAGAGAACGGTGCAGTTGCGGAAGAGCTGGCCGACCAGCCCGATCTGGTTTCTCTGGGGCCATTCGTCCTGCCTAAGCCACCCCCCTTGAGTGAAGAGGAAGCGGGTGAACTTGGACGAGGCGCCGCTGCCCGCGTTTTCGGTATGCTTAGCGCAGCTGAAACGTCCTCGGGACCTGCCAAGGGCCAGCCGCAACAAAAGCTCGGCTTCAACCGACTTGCAGCTAGTACCCTTGACCGGGATGCGTGGTCAATCATCCTTGCCCGACTAGCTACTCGAGCACCCGCAGGCCTCGAACAGCCAGCTAAGGGAGATTCTACTACCCGACGCCAAACCACCATTGCCGACTCTATTCGCGAGACGTTCTATCAATACATCCTTGAGGATTTCCGTGGTCGGTTGAACATTGCAATTATCTGGCTCAATGAAGAATGGTACAACGACCGGATTCAAATGAAGAGTGCGGCTGCCCGACGCGCCAACTCAGACGAAGAGTCAGAACCCACCGTTGCTATGCATTACGATACTTGGGTAACTCGTCTCCTTGATGGCTTCCTGGCATACTTGGACGCACGGGATATCAAAGTTCTCGTCCGTTTCCTTAGCGAAATTCCCGAAATCACTATTCCCATTACTCAGCGGGTAGCCAGCTTGGCCAAAGACCCAGAGCGCGTGAACCTATGCGTTCAATCATTGATGTACGTGACTAACGCTCGCAATCTAGTTTGAGTTTGGATGACTGACTTGACTTAGGTACCTGATCATGTTCCGAATCCCAGCTCGGGAGATGTGTCTGAACACGATCGAGGACGTGTACCAGAAATGTAAGCAATTCACCTTCCAGATTTCTCGGCATGGGGTTTGCTAACGTACAACAGACGAAGAGTCCCGCCCTGCGGCCACTAAAGTTCTCACTAAGTGGCGTCCCGATAGTCAGGTGTTGGAGAAGACTGCCCCAGAGACGGAGACGCCTGCAGCTCCTGCAGCTCCTGCACAGCCTGCACAGCCCGAGGCACAGCCCGAGGCGCCGCCCGCCGTTACAGAATAATTTCCGTCTAGCATATGATACCGCGGAAGCTACGATATGAGATGCGATATTCAGCTTCTGACAGAACCCCTTGGTTCAACTTCATGCACATTGAGTGCTCATTCATGTATCTTTATCTCGGTGTATTCAGGCAGTGCTCATTGGATGTCATTTATGGCCTCATCTCCGCCATCTATAGGCCATATATTTCACTGGATATGTGTCAATGCTACTTAAGTATTCTGTAAAATCAAGCACGCTCCTGAACAGCCTCTGGGTATGCCCCTTTCTGAATAGGGCACATCGGGCAGGTCTGATTGTGTCTGGCTTCCTCATGTTAGCCATTTCAACGTGGGATCTTACTTAAGTACTGGCGAAGACTTCGACTTTTCCTGCTGCCCAAGTAATAGGTAACATCTATAGATAGCGCCACCTGGGCAAGCTTGATTGTTTTCGATCTGCACTTCTTACTTTACCTCTTAGCTCCCTATGTGACTGTTCTGTTTAGAGTCCGGGTTCCCTAGCTACTTCAACCTGAATATGCAGACAAAGTCCGTTTTGCAAGAGCTTGAAAGAAGAAAGCTACATTATTTGTAGATAAACCTAACGCCTAGATGCCTAACGGGTATGTGACAGTGACAGAAATTTTGGTCCATATAACATGGGAAGACAGAGTGGACGCCAATTTTATACATCCAGACTGGGTCATTGGCCGAGACAGCTTGCCAGGGCGTCAGAGGTCAAACGTTTACTCGTCCATGGAGTCATCCGAATCAGCTTCAGACTCGGAGTCGTCCTCGGCTTCACCTTCGCCCTGGTCAAAGTCATCATCACTGAGCCAATTGGCCTCATCATCCATGTCCACATCCTCATCGTCATCAGCCACTTCCTTGCCATTAGCCCTAGCACTGGCCTTCTCCTTCTTCTTCCGCTCGATGTTCTCCTTCTGCAGCTTCTTGCGCTGCTCCTTCTCCTTCCTCTTGACATCCCAGTTCTGATCCATCTTGCGCACCTCTTTATCGGATTTCGTAATGAAGTCGTGCCACATGATCTTGCCATCGCAGACTCCATCTTCCACCTTCATCAAGCGGAGCTTCAAACGAGGACCCAACTCGACCAGCTTCACCGCCCGCTTCTCAACACCGGGCGTTTGGCTTGGCTTGTCCTGTCCCTTCTCGGCGGCCTTTTGGCGCTGCGCCTCACGCTTGTTCAAAACTCGACGGGTGGTGCTCTCCGCAACCTCGACCTCGGCATCGGTGTCAAGCTCCGTCTCACTGGCTGATGTGTAGCCTGCAGCGGACGGGTCGAGCAGATAATCAGCAGCATCCTCCAGTTTTCCAAGATTGGGCACAGCGGTCTTCTTCTTGTCTCGGTTGCGAATCTCCTTAGGGTCCAGACGGCGAATGCGTTTCGACACACCGGTCTTCTTCGTGGCGATAGCGTAGTGACGTAGAGTCAAGATATATGAGTCGTCATCCTTTTGGGTGGGCTCACGGTTGAGCAACATGACACGGCGAATGGAAGACAGAGGCTGGCTTTGAGGGTTGATGGGAGGGAAGAGAGATTGGAAGATGGTGGTTGTGAGGGTCTCGAGGCGCTTGGGCACTTTTGATTCTTCGGTGGCGTCTGGGGTGGTGAAATTGTTCATGACCAGCAGGGGTGGGGTCTTGTGATCCTGTCCACCACTTTGTGGCCGCTTCATGGCTCTTTCAATATCCTTGCACAGCGAATAGTTCTCGACCTTGAAGTGAAGAGTTGGGCCTCGGGGGGTCACTGCCAGTCGCATGTTGGTGTTTCCAGTCGCGGATTTAGAGAACAGCATCAAGTGGGTGACACCGAGGGGTCCAGTCATGACAGTATAATCGCGCAGTCGGTTGGATTTGCGTTCCTATAAATTTTGTTAGAAAAAAGAAATCGACCACTGAGTTCTCGACTTGTTAACCATACCTTCAATCGCACAGCGGTATCGGGCTCCATCATCTTGCGAACATCCTTGACCAATTGGGAAACGCTGCTACCAACTTGGGAAGCGCCTACTCGAATGACCATAGACTTCGGGGTCTTGGACATTGAGGCCGCTGTGCCCTTAACAGCGGAAGCATTCTGCGGCTTCTGGTGAGTGCGCTTCTTAACACGTGCCTTGGCCATTTTGTATGAGAGAAAGAATTAAAAAATTCAAAAAAATGAAGTGGTTAGACAAGTGAACTGACAATCGACAGCTCGAGGTTTTTTTTTCTCTATCAGAAGCAGCCGGATCAATGATGTTGCGGACCCACTAAAATTTTGATATCGCAGAATATCAACTTTCGACTTCTTTTTTTTTTTCTTTTGCGCCCATTGACTCTAACAAATATGCCGAAATCAAGCATGCCAATTACTAAGAAGCGCAAGGTCGCACCGGCGCCTGTAGAGGAGCCTGAGACGGCTATCCCCTCAAGCCCAGAACCCAGCCCCGAAGCATCTGAAGAAGCTGCAGATAACGATGCGGAGGCCGAGACTGACGCCGCAGCTGAGGCTACCCCGAAGAGCTTCAAAGAGCTCGGTCTCATTGATTCGCTATGTGAAGCTTGGTGCGGATTCTCTTATTTGTATATGCGCCAGCAATAACTAACAATTCCCAGTGACAATATGGGCTACAAGCAACCGACACCCATCCAGAGCGAGACAATTCCCTTAGCCCTCCAGGGCCGCGACATTATTGGACTGGCAGAGACAGGTAGTGGAAAGACCGCTGCCTTCACCCTTCCCCTCCTCTCTTTCCTTATGGAGAAGCCCCAACCGTTCTTCGGTCTGATCCTCGCCCCAACCCGTGAACTGGCATACCAAATCTCGCTCGCATGCGAGTCCCTCGGATCTACGATCAACGTGCGATCTGTCACTCTTGTCGGTGGTATGGACATGGTGCCACAATCTATTGCGCTTGGGAAGAAGCCTCACATTATTGTTGCCACACCTGGACGACTTCTCGACCACCTGGAGAACACCAAGGGCTTCAGTTTGCGCAATCTGAAATATCTCGTTATGGGTGCGTAATACCGCCCGTCCCAAACTGCGACAAATGTCTCTTGATATACAATCCGCTAACCGAAACACAGACGAGGCTGACAGACTGCTGGACATGGACTTTGGTCCAATTCTCGATAAGATTCTCAAAGTGCTTCCCCGTGAGCGCCGCACATTCCTTTTCTCAGCAACACTCTCCTCCAAGGTCGAATCCCTCCAGCGCGCATCTCTCAGCAACCCCGCTCGTGTCTCGATCTCGTCAAGCAAATATCAAACAGTCTCCACGCTGAACCAGACATTCCTGCTTCGCCCCTTCAAGCACAAGGATATCTACCTTGTCTACCTGCTGCACAAGTACATGGGTCAATCTGCTATCATTTTCATGCGCACAGTACACGAAACCCAGCGTATCGCCTTCTTGCTGCGTGGACTTGTAAGTTGAATATCTTGAAGCGTATCAGGTCCCCACTGACCACTTTCCAGGGATTTGGAGCAATTCCTTTACATGGACAGATGTCCCAGTCTGCGCGTTTAGGTGCACTGGGTAAATTCCGCTCTAAGAGCAGAGAGATCTTGATTGCCACAGATGTTGCTGCTCGTGGTCTTGATATTCCATCAGTCGACATTGTGCTTAATTACGATCTTCCCAGTGATTCAAAGACATACATTCACCGTGTCGGACGTACAGCAAGAGCCGGAAAGGCTGGGTATGTCCCTGTCTCAAATTCCGACTTGAACCTTCTCACTAACTTCCACCAGTACCGCCATCAGCTTTGTCTCTCAGTATGACGTTGGTATGTATTATTTCTCTTCCTTTGTCAATGGTTTTGTCTAATATTCGATTTCAGAGGTTTGGCAGCGTATCGAAGGCGCTCTTGGCAAAACCCTCGAAGAACACGACGCACCCAAGGAGGATGCAATGGTCTTTGAGGCCAGTGTTCACGAGTCTCAGCGCGATGCCATCCAGGCTATGAAGGTTTACGATGAAAAGAAGGGTGCCAAGGGCAAGGGCAAGTTCAGCTTCAAGGGCAAGCGTGGTCGTGATGCCATGGATCAGGAAGAAGGTTAAATTGCTTCCTTGTCACTATACAAAATCTAATAGAGTTGCTTTCAATACCCATCTCCAAAAGTTGAATTGACTGTTTGTTTTTGAGATATTCCTACTGTAGAGGTTTGTAGTCATGATATCATTCAAGTTGTAGCAAGGGTCATGCTTTTGCCAAAACACACTGCAAGCCTTATATTGCCAGAGTTAAAGAGTGTCAATGTTGCAACACCCTCATCAAGTTGAGATTTTTCCTCTACAACGGAAATGTATAATATGAACCATAGATTTCATTACTGCGTCAAAATGTATTGGAAGGTATATCCGGCTTGGGAGTTTAAGCACTGCCAGCCTCGCTGACGGCGTTAGCAACGCGAGTAGCCAGGTCATCTGCCTCGGAGCGGCTGGCAGCCTCAGCGTAGACACGGACAGCGTCTTCAGTACCACTAGCACGAGCAAAGCTACGACCCTTGTTGTAGCGGGACTGAAGCGACTCAATGGTACCCTGCAGACCAGCAGGAGACTCAAGCTTGCGCTCAGCGTCGTAAGCCTTGAAGATGGAGCGGTCGTTGACTTCGACACGCACCAGACGGGAAGGCAGGTCAGTGTAAGTTCCGAGCCATTCCTTGGGGGACCAGCCCTTGTGGGCGAGGATAGCCTCGACGAGAAGCATGTCAGACAAAGCGTCACCGACGGCCTGGTTGATCAGGTCTGTGAGAGCCTGGAGGCTCTCGAGGGCGTGCTGCTGTGCAGGAGACTGGGGCTCGGTGTTCTTGATGACCTTCAAGGCATTTTCGGAGAAGGTGACGGTACCATGGCCGTTGGCCTCGAAGTAGACGCCGACATCGAAACGCAGAGCAGCGTGGTGGAGGTGCTTCACGCCGGTGTTGGTGCAGATGATCGGGAGCTTGAGAACCTTCTCAATGTAGTCTGTGCTGGATCCATTGGCGTAGGCAGTCTGGACCACACCGATCTTCAGCTTTGAGGCAATGCCAGCGTTGCGGGCAAGGTCGCCAATGAAAGAGGCGGCGAGGGTAGCGATGCGGTCTCCGTCAAGGAGACGGAACACGTTGCTTTCGTCCTGGAAGTAGTAGACCAGACGATCGGCGTCACCATCGAGTGAGGCGCACCGGTCGAGGGTACCAGCCTTGGACGAAGGAGGAGCACGTTGCTTGGTCTTCACGTAATCGGCACCGCACTTGAATGATCATTAGCAAATGAGGTTTGGTAGGGGGCTCATTGCGGGGCATACATCGAAGTTCAAGGCATCGGGGTTGATCACATCATCGTTCACAACCTTGATGTCAATTCCAGCAAGAGTCTTCATGAGTTCTCGCAGCTTGGGACCACCAACACCGTTGGCGCAGTCCACAGTCAGGGAACCCTGGACCTTGACACCCCGCATCACCTTCTTGAAGGAGTTCACCAGCTTCTCGTAGTATCCTTGCTCGGTGGGCTCACCGTACTCGTATTGAGTGCCCAAAGTGTTCTTGCAGCGAACCACATAGTGCAGTTGAGGGGTAGTCATGAACTTGAAGTCCACGAACTCAACCTCCGTGGCAGTCAAAGCAGCGTTGAGGACGCCCGCCAACCGAGAGCCAGAAGCACGGGTGTCCCGGGCGAAGACCACACGGGCAGGGTTGGTGACCTTCACATCAATCTCCTTGACAAGCTCGTCGTACACATCGGCAATCTTATCCAAGGGAGCATTGGCAAGTTTTGTTGCGTAAGCCTCCCATTCGGCCTGGGGAAGGGTAAGTATCTTCAGATCGAGTTCGGACCGTCGAGGTTGGGAAATCTTACTTCGAGCATCTCACCCTAGAGAAAAGAAAAAAAAAATCCGTTAGACTAAGGTCTCAATCGAAGTGAATGAGTTGGGGCTTCACTTACCATGGGGTCAACCAGCTTGACACCATTGTCCCCCGCGGGGTTGTGACTGGCCGTAATCATAACACCGATCCATTGTCCACTGAGCTTCTTTGAGCGCAAGCTGGCCAGCAAACCCACGGCGAAGACCACTGTGTTGAGGAGGTCGCTGTATATAGCTCGGTTAGAGAGCTATCAACAGACCGATGATCGCGGGGGTTTTCCCCCCCCCCCCAAGGATGTGGGGGTGGATCGTTGGGGAAAAAAATAAAACTTACGCATTCATGCGAAACTGTAAAAAGAAAAAGAACCGTCAGCTTCTTGACTTGACTCGCCAGTGAATATCTAGAGAAATGCCTGCGACATACCCCTGCGGTGCCATATTCAAAGACCTTGCCCTCGGGCTTTGTGTATTGCAATGCAGCTTCGGAGATAGCTTTCTTGACCGCCTGGGAGGCCATTATGGAAATTCAACAAAGAGATCACTTTAATGATCCTGTAGCTCAGAAGTTGTCGAGAAAGAAGGACGTGAAACACCGAAAAAAGATGGAGGGGTTAGTGAGACACTTATTGCGACGGCCCAAGCGGTCCTAGCGGTGAGTGGAAATGGCGGGGGAACACCGCCCCCTGACGGTGCAAAAGTGGCAATAACATGTTTATTGGCGGTGGAAATTACACAGTAAACAGCAAGTACACAGCAAGTAGAGACAGTAATATTTTTGGTTCTCTCAATAAATCACTTAAGCTTTCAACCGATGTCCGGCAATATCGTCGAGGGTGTCTTTGATCAAAAATCTGGGATCATTAGTCATGCATAAGGTGCATACATAGAAACAGAGGACTTACGAGTACCACCACGCAGTGGGCACCACTGTCCCCAGATGCCACAGGCTGTGAGCATCAATCAGCCCATGCCAAGGGGCGAAATCGAGCAGCTCCAGACTCATGGCCAGGATGATCCAGGCAACAATCATACCGGGCCAAGCCGTCCAGGACTTCATATACTTCTGGTACCGGAAGATACTGAACCCAGTCCAAATCAGATTGGAAACAATCCCAACGGCCACATTAGCCGCCATATTATATGTGTAGTCCCACGACCAGAAGCTGAGGTAGCAGACATGCAGCGTGTAAAGCAGAGCGCAGATAGCGGTCCAAAAGCGCCGCAAAGTGGGACGATAGCGGGAACCATCCTGGTCCAGGCGAAACACGCGGATGACAGACAGGTAGAGGCCGTAGAGCACGTTGGCCCCGGCGGCAAAATAGTCCAGCTTCTCAGTCAATCCAAAATCCCGGGTGTGGAAGATCATGCTGAAACTCCAGCTGGCCAGTCCAATGTACCCAAACAGCATATAGTAGGGACGGAGGGAGTGCCAGGCAGGGATCGACTCCTGGATGCGAGACATGCCGTTCCAGTGGGCGGCGAAATTGAAGAAGGAGAACAGTACCGAGAAGGGCTCCTGCATGCCCAACAGCCGGCGGAACGGCCACTTTCCATGGAATTGAAGAATGGGTTTGATCATGGGGGGATCACGCGAGACTCGGCGGTCGGTAACGACATGTTGGCAGGTATAGTCGCATTCAGAGGGGCAGGTCCAGAGCAACAAACGGTGGTGGAAGGCTATTCACATTAGAGATTGGATGGCGCAGAAGGGATAGGGAGACATACGCAGGACGGTATTGCCGTTTTGACAATTCTCCGTTATACACACCTATGGTTGTTAGCTGGCCCCAACCGGTTTGTTGATTTGACGCACCTTGACACATTCTTTGAAGTCGGGGAGATGGTCACCCATCGACGCGTGAGTCTTGCCAATGAACGAGGCCACAAAGACCAACGCACAAACGGCGAGATTAACCCGAGCCAGATACATTGTGATTCCCAGGTATGTTGCACCGCGTCTTGGGAAGTGACAGATGGAGCTCCCGCCTCGGGGAGCCTCCTTGAGCAGTCTTGGCATCAGAACAAGGACCCCACAACGCCCTCACTGTGTAGACATAGCACAGAACTACTGTAGTACAAACGACGAGTACGGGAGCTTAGATGCTGGCATTTTTATAGAGGACTCTTCTCATCTATGAAGTTTCCACTATATCCTCCGTTTGCCAGGGCACATACTTCGGAGACTTTGATCCAATTCACGTTTAATTGTCCAATGGATGGTCAATCTGTGGTCCATTTGTGATCCACTAGCAGTTCATTCGCGATTCATTCATCTATTCAACATTCGGGAATACCATTGCTCTTCCATTTGAGTGTACCTACCTAGGTAAAGAAGTATACCACCCTTGGTAGCCCTATCGACGCACGTGATCCGATGGATCACACGTGATGATACCAATATCACGTGATTATACAATATTTTCTTCTATTTCCACGTGACTGCACGTGATGCCACCTAGGATGGCTAGCGCGGGCGGGCGGTGATTGGAGTGAAGCTTGGCAGAAGTGGGCAAATAATCAGAAAAAAAAGTGAATAGACTCGATTCTCTTTTTCTTCTTCCTCTTCCCACACCCCATATAATTCCCATTGTTGAACGCCACTATGAACGTCGACAACGATACCCCTCAGGGGATCACTAGCAGTGCTGACCGCATGGTCGGCATGGAGCACTCTGAAGTCCGCTACTTCACCAGGTATGATAACCCGAAATGATGTGCGATTTAAATACTAACGGCTATATAGCTACGATCACCACGGTAAGCCAGTCTCTGGGTAGATGGCAAATTTTCCGTGACTTGTGACTGACCTCAGTTTTTTTTTTTTTTTTGCGCCGCAGGTATTCACGAGGAGATGCTGGTGAGTACCCACTGATCGCTTGACTGCCTGAGTCTTTCGCTAACCTGAATTTGTTATAGAAAGACGATGTTCGCACCCGCTCTTACCGCGACTCTATTTACCAGAACCGCCACATCTTCAAGGACAAGGTCGTTCTCGATGTCGGCTGTGGTACCGGTATTCTGAGCATGTATGTATTCGTGCAACCCCAACGACTGGGGAGTAGATTATTAACCTCTTATCTGCAGGTTCGCTGCTCGTTCCGGCGCCAAGCATGTCATTGGTGTTGATATGTCCTCGATCATCGAGAAGGCCCGTGAGATTGTTCACGTCAACGGCTTGTCCGAGAAGATCACCCTTCTTCAGGGCAAGATGGAGGAGGTCAACCTCCCCTTCCCCAAGGTCGATATCATTATCTCCGAGTGGATGGGTTACTTCCTTCTCTACGAGTCCATGCTGGACACCGTTCTCTACGCTCGTGACACTTACCTCAACCCCGGTGGTCTGATCTTCCCCGATAAGGCTACCATGTACGTTGCTGGTATTGAGGATGGCGAGTACAAGGACGACAAGATTGGATGTAAGTTGGGTATCGCCGCTCTTTCTGATGCCTACTAATTCATCTCAGTCTGGGACAACGTCTACGGATTCGACTACAGCCCCATGAAGGAGATTGCTCTCAACGAGCCCCTCGTCGACACCGTCGAGATGAAGGCGCTTGTCACCGACCCCTGCCCCATCATCACTTTTGATCTTAACACCGTCACCACTGCCGACCTTGCCTTCAAGGTTCCCTACGGCCTCACTGCCAAGCGCCCTGATTTCATCCACGCCTTGATCGCTTGGTTCGATATTGAGTTCAGCGCTTGCCACAAGCCCATCCACTTCTCCACCGGCCCTCACGCCAAGTATACCCACTGGAAGCAGACTGTCTTCTACCTGCGTGACGTCCTCACCGTCGAGGAGGATGAGAAGGTCTCCGGCTGGATCGAGAACCGCCCTAACGATAAGAACAAGCGTGACTTGGACATTGGTATCACTTATGACTTTGAAACCTCTGACCCCACTCGCTCTGCCAAGGGTGGCTGCTTCTACCGGATGTGTTAATTTTACTCTTATTTTTTTCGGCTTTTCTAATTTGATGGGATTTACAAATGCATGGTCTGGGAAATACTTTTTTTGTCACTCCCGTGGCATGGCATGGGTTCACCCCGGCGAGATTCCCCTCGCCATTGTTTGTTTCGGCGTTGAGTTCATGGGAGGCAGGAAAAAAGGCATTTTGCGGCGCGAACGGAGAGATATGTGCAGCTCCTCGAATTTCCAGGTAGATAGCTATACCCCGAGTCGATGCTTGATCTATAGCAAAGAAACTCCGACGCTCTTCTGGACAAATTTTTCTTCAATTGTACCTTTGCAGTACTATCTCGTATTCTTTCGATCCAAGCTCAACCTGAGCATACTCTTCCCAAGTAGGAGAGTAATATCACCAGTCCATGCACATTGCAAGGTGAAGCTCAGTGAGGGTTGAAGAACATATCGGACATTGAAAGATCTGGCTGGTTTTCTTTTAACAAGCCAAGAATTGGCCTTCATTATTCTCGTGAGAAATACAAAGTCCAAGGTCCACTGAAGATCTGCAGAGGAAATTGTGCCAAGGAGAGGCGCGCGTCGGCACAGAAATTATCAGATCCTCGGCTGCCGAGGGCCCCCCGCAATTGCTGTACTTTAAATCTTCCTTTCTCCTCTTGTCTTTTGTTTTCATTGTTGGTATCATCATGTCTGCCCCTGGAGCCGGTCACCAATTCCCCGCCAAAGCTGTCTCATGGCAGAAGCGCGATGTGCTGCTATTCGCCAACAGCATTGGCATCAAGGCTGATGAGCTGCACTTCCTTTATGTACGACAGACCTCGGTCCATTCTGACCATGTCTAACAATCTTTGACAGGAGCTTCACCCCAATTTCTCCGTCTTCCCGACCTACCCCTTGATCTTGCGTATGTGAATCGTCGCATCCAGGACAATCCGTACTAACCCCTTAATAGCCTTCAAGCTCACCGACCAAGAGGTCACTAATTTCTATGCGCGCCAGCAAGCCGTCCACATTCCCGGTGTGCCCGACCTGGACCACCGCCATGGAGTCGATGGCCAACGCAAGCTCACCGTATTGAAGCCCCTCCCTCCCACGAGCGAGGGTCGCAAGTTCGAGCTCCGGAACAAAGTCATCGGAGTCTATGACAAGGGCAAGCCTGGCACCGTCATTGAGACCGAGCAATCCATTGTGGATGCCGAGACCGGTGAAGTGTATAATACCGTCCTCACCAGCGGCTTCTTGGTGGGCCAGGGTGGCTGGGGTGGTCCCAAGGGTACGGATCCACCCTGCGAATGTACTCTCCGTACAGGAAGACTAACCTACCTAAACAGGACCCAGCACCGTCAACTTCGCCCCACCCCAGGGCAAAGCTCCCGATGCTACTCACGTTATCCAGTCGAACATGGAAACCGCCCATTTGTACCGGTGAGTCCAAATACCCTCACTACCATCTACCCTCGCAACTAATCGCAACCCCAGTCTAAACGGCGACTATAACCCTCTGCACGCCACCCCCGGACCAGGCCAGAAGATGGGATTCGGCGGAATCATCATCCACGGCCTGTTCAGCTGGAACTCTGCTGCGCACGGCATCCTGCGCGAGTTGGGTGGTAGCAACCCGGCTAACCTGAAGGAGTTCCAGGCTCGTTTTGCCTCGCCTGTGAGACCTGGTGATAAGCTTACCACTGAGATCTGGCGTATGGGGAATGTGCAGGATGGATTTGAGGAGATTCGCTTTGTCACGAAGAATGATAAGGGTAAGGTTGTTTTGAGCAATGGACGTTGCTTGTTGAAGGTTGTTGGGGCGAAGAGTAAGCTGTGATTTTATTGGCCATTTAGCATATATACCGGGTAATGCCTGGCTTCGAGATCCTTGTTCTATTTTGGTGCTCATCGCTGTGTAGCCGAAACTATGGATCCTAAGGAATTACAAAGAGGTGTCCCTTTACATTCATTGACTCTGCTCAATCTATCCACGTGAATTTGCTTAAGTATAGATAACATCACCCTGCGTGAGGGATATTGTTCGACCAGGTCGCCAAGAAAGCTCGAGGGGGTAGAAAAGCCAAGGATCGAATGACTTCGACGATGATGAAGATCCGAGCTACCTAGGTATAGCGAATAAATCTATAATCAGTTTACAAACGATGACAGTCAGACGCCTTCTCAAGCGTTCAACATTCCGCTCGGCCTCAGGGGGCAAGGCTTTGCAAATAAGGCCCAATCAGTGTGAGAATCCCCTTCAATATGCACACTTAGCTGCACCTCAGCAGATTCGTCACATCCCGCATGTCTACTTGTATTTAATGGTCGGAATTATTATCTTCCTTCAATCTTGATTCCTATGTTCTCCGGGTGAGTAGTTTCGCTCGTATATTAGGCGACATTCAGGTACAACGTATGATCATCTATCTCCAATACAAGTGAAGCCACAGCTTGTTTCGGGGACTTTTGCTGTCGAAGGCTCCACAAAGGAGTACGATTGGCGACTACTGAAACAGGATCCGAATAGAGCGCCGAACTCATTGCTGCAGCACTGCAGCTTAGCTGCACTCGAGGCTGCGTGACACGTTGCGCGCCCGTTGTAATTTCTTATATTCTACTTGACGTCCTGGGGTCATCTCAACACTTACCCAACACCAACGACCCAAACCATGCGTCTCATTCACACCAAATCCCTAAAGCTGGGAGAGTATCATGAGAATGAAGTCTCCACATTGAAATACGCTATTCTATCCCATCGTTGGGAGGACCGAGAGGAGGTTTCCTTCCAGGAGATGCTAGAGCCGACCAATCAAACCAAGCGCAAAAAGGGATATGAGAAGATTGAGCGCTTTTGTCGGATAGCGAAAGATGATGGCATGGATTACGCCTGGGTTGACACTTGCTGCATCAACAAAGAGAGTAGTTCCGAATTGTCCGAAGCTATTAACTCGATGTTTCGGTGGTATTGTGATGCAAAAAGATGCTACGCATTTTTGGCTGATGTGTATACCTCGGATAACTTCATCCGCAGCGTATGGTTTACTAGAGGGTGGACATTGCAAGAACTAGCTGCACCAAAAGATATGGTCTTCTACAACGCCGACTGGCTGGTCATCGACACGCGGCCAAACCTTGCCTCGCGCATTTCGCAGAGAACGACTATCGACAAAGAACTACTTCTGGGTAACAAGTCGTTGGAGAGCTTCTGTGTTTCTAAACGGATGTCCTGGGCCGCTGGACGCCTAACTGAAAGAGCAGAGGACCGGGCCTATTCTCTTATGGGAATCTTCAACGTCAATATTCCGTTGCTATATGGCGAAGGTGATAATGCATTCATTCGTCTGCAGGAAGAGATCATGAAAGATTCGGATGATGAAACAATATTTGCATGGAATGGCGATGGTGTATCAGAAAGCAACCCCTGTGGGCTATTAGCCCCTTCCCCAGATTGCTTCGCTGACTCGGGGGATATCTTACCTCACGCTCTTTCCGAAGGCGGAAATCCATTCGCCTTGACAAACCGCGGTATTAGGATGGAGTCTCCCCTGGTTCCTCCGATGTCCAGTATAACGACGTTGATTCTTCAATGCGTTGCAAACTCGGCACTGATAGGTATTGGCATCAAAATCAGCGCTAGGAATGTCTATGAGGACTTTGACAAGTACAACTCTCTAAAGAAGCCAAAGCCACGCCCTGAAAGTATGCATACCCTTTGTCGTATCACAAGCAATGTTTTGCGTGGTATCTCCCCTGTCTTTCTCTACAACTCGTCTCTGGAAATGATATATGTTGCAAAGCGCTCCGTGGCTGATCCGATGAAAGATCCGGGGTTCCTAACCTCAGGTGAAGACGTTTTACACCGAAAAATCAAATTACCGGGACATTTCAAGAAGATCATCATGTTGTTTGATGATATCCGGGGAACCTATGGATTGATTGCAGATCGACATGGAGATGCCTCAAATTTGAAAGCACTCGAACACATACTGAACCAGCCAAAGAGCAGTCAAGTTACATATAACCAAGTTTGGGAAGAGAAGACCAGCGTGGAGCGCTTTGTGATCACCGCATATGAATTTCTTCTAAAGAATTACAATTCTGGGGATGAAATAAACTTCTTTGGCTTTGGAAGGGGGTGTCATGTTGTGTCGAAGTTAAGTGAGATGCTCGACTGTACGGGAATCCCGGAGAGTGAGGATGATATAGGATCCCTCGATATCCTGGGACCTTCCAAAAGATCAGGCAGACGAGAAACTGGCAATGTTCGGTTCATCGGCCTTTTTGATGCTGTTCAAGTTGTTTGCAATATTTGCCTCAGGTGCCCACTGTAGATAACCAGCCTAGCTAGCTTAGATCTTCTCTCTCCTTTCAACCTAATCAACCATCGTTCCAAAGCAGTATCCTGGTCTAGTAACCCTTCCCTGCTGAAGAGGTTATGAGCCCTTTTGTGTATTAGCTGCCAGATCACGTGATTTGAAGCTATTCCCAATCCTTATTCGGTTCAGATTAGACACTGTTTACTTTCCGGTTACGGTTTATCGGACTACGCGCAATGCGTTCACTTTACCCCTCCCTCATTTGCTTGTACTCTCTTGCTTACTTCTCTTTCACCTTTTATTACTATACATATCGCTATTATATCATTTGAATCTTCGCTAAAGATTGGTGAATTGGTTCCTAAGTTAAAGGGTTCTTCGAACTAGAGACTTTGGTATGAGCGAATTGAGAAGTATATACGTACTTAAGACAAGGAGTTCTGGAAGGTATTTACTAGTGTATTTACTCGTCCTGCAGATATCGATACTACGAAAGAGGATAAGATTGCTGCCGTAATCTTTAAGTTATAAGACGAATATAATAAAAAATAGGCTATGAAATTAGCTAACTCTCTTCTAATAGAAAAAGGCGACGAAACGTATTAAAAGATATGGATTAACGTTGAGATTCTTCTTAGTATAATCGAGTGTACTTAGGAAGAATAGGATAAATACAATTTTACTACTATTATTTATATAGAGGTAATAGTTATAGTAAATATAGCTGTCTATATCAAAAAGTATACTACTGCAAAGGAAGTATACAATCACTTTTAGTAGATGTACGGTATTTCTATCTCGGAGGAGATTGTTTAATATTATACTAAATGGAGTAATTATTGTTATAAAAGCTTCAAATTAAAGGAATTCTTTTAAAAGTAATATTAACTACTCTAGGAATTCTATGAGACCTATTCTGCGAATAAGAAGTTTAGTTATTAAATATTTTTTTAATAAATTTAATTAGTAATCTTTAATATAAAAGAGTATAATATATTCTTTAATATATATTAATATAATCTTGAAATATTCTAGAAGAAGAACTTTAAGAAATTTGTTGTTGTGTTTTATATATATGAAAATTATTGTTTAGATTGTAATATCGATGTCTTTATTTAATAGTCTGTAATTAATTCTACTATAATTAATATTGGCGGTAGCAAGAAGAAGAAGGATAATATTAAGAAGGATTCTAAGGATAAATCTAATAATAAGAAGAAGCTTGCTATTGATAAGAAGGATAAGTTCTACTATAAGAACTATAAATTTTATAATTATACTATAAAGGATTGTTGGATGGGGAAAGTAGATATTAATATTGTTTTGGTAGCTAAGGATACTAATGCTATATAGTTGAACTCTAATACTTCTAACGAATTTGATAAATATGATGGAATGCTATATTTCTTTGTATTGTATATAAATCCTATTGTTGAGGATGTTTCTAATAATAAAGTATATAATTTTGATATTGAGAATAATAATTATGCTAACTAGGATCTTATTGTCGAATTGTTTTTAATCTTTGATACTATTTGTAAGAGTACTCTCTTTTTGGTTATATCTTTGTTGATCTTAGAGCTTGTTTATAAGAGTAATAAAGTGTTTTATTAAGTTTAAGCTTTTAAATAAGAAACTAAGGTTGAATCTTTAAAAATAATGTTTTTGGATAGAAAGCTTTTTGTTGTATGTAGGATTGGATCTCTAATAAATGAGGTATTTTATATATCTAAGGTTGTGATAAAGGTGTATAAGGATGAACGAATGTAGATATTTAATTTAAGTTGCTTAGTATATATAATCCTGGTTAGAGTCTATTTCTTGATGTTTACTTTCTACTGTATACTTATTGTTATTGCTATAAATTAGATTTTCTATAGTAAAAAATATAGTTAAGTTTATATTGATTTAGCTGATAAATATGTTTATAGAGAGAGCAATAATCTTGTATATATAGGGAGTATTGCTTTGGAGAAGGTCTGGTATGTTCTGTAGTTAGGTAGTAGTTTGCTATCGATTTATAGTCTTGTTGAAGAGAATGTAATTAGTATTTTTTATTAAAACTATGTTTTTCTATATTCTGAATTATTATAGAATATGAAGGGGTATGTAAATTGAGGGGATGGGTAGTATTGGCTATATGTCTATCCGAATATGTAATTGCATTTGCAGACGCTTGTTACTTTTATTACTCTGAATGTTTACAATATTTTAAAAATAGGAAGTAAGGATGATGATGTGTTATTTGCTTTTTTTGTTGGTTCTGATAGTACTATAGCTACTATCTAGATAAATTTAGCTTATTGATAAGCTATTTATATTAGTGAGAATAAGATTTGAAAGATTATTTATAATATTGAAGGGTTTACTATTGTGAAGGATTCTGCTTTTAGTTGTTTCTGTGTACTATATATTTTTGGTAAAGGCTACGTTTTATTATTTGAGAAAACGAAGTTTATTTGTATAAAATCTGGAGATCTATTTTATTTGGACGTCTGGAGTTTTATCTTGATTGTTTTGCTAGGTGATTATATCTACTATATGATTTTTATTAATAATGTTTTTTGATTTTATTGGATATTTCTTATTAAAAAAAGGTTGGAAGTTCTTGATTATTATATCGAAGTTGAGCAATTTTTGAAGATATAACTTAATATTATTGTATTATACGTCGCCGATAATAATACAAAAGAATTTATTCTACTGAGTGAGTATTTAGTTTCAAAAGGTATTATTTGAAATCCTGTTTCTACGTATTCCTTAAGTCTAAATAGTATATTAAAGATCTATAATAAGATATTAGTTGAACTATTTGTGAGTATTATAACTAAGTATCAACTATCTTGCTTTCTCTAGGGCCCTTTTGTTTTTGTAATTAATTATATACTGAATTGATTGTGGTATTCTAAGATCAATTGTATTCTATTTGAGAAGTTCTTTAGATATTAACCTAATTTGTCAAATCTATATATTCTAGAATGCTAATGTTGGTATTTTATTTCTAAGAAGAAGTATAAAACAAAGTTGTATTCCTATTTTGTTGAGGGTTGTTTTATAGGTTATAACAAAAGAAGCTATTAGATATATAATATTAAAACTAAGTAAATTGTAATCTTATGGAATATGGTATTTAATGAGAAGCAAGCTATGCCCTCTATTGTAGCTATTGAAGATTAGGTTGATGGTGGCCCTCTTATGTGAGAAATAATTGATTAGGAAGCACTTCGCTTCGTATCCATTAAATTCCTTCGCCTACATATGAATCCTATATTTATTACAGATAATATTGACGAAGCTATTTCCGACGATATGCCTTCCGTCGATAATATATTTCTTGACGATAATATGTTGGCTGCTACTCCTTCTATTTCTTTAATTCCTCTATCGAAAACCTTATATTCTAACGATTAAGAAGTTTAATAATATGTTATGCAGATTGGTGATATTGGAGTGAAGGTATAAACTGAGGGGGCTGTGGAGGATGAGGTAATTGGGGGGTCTATAGAGGATAAGATTTAGAACTCAGACCTACCAGATTAAGATCCTATGCTACGTATCCTGTTATCTCTGTCGAATATTATTTACGAGGAGTAAATTTATAAGGGTTCTACGTCTGATGATACTCCAGAATCATTATTGCTGCTGCTGCACCGATCTACTCGCATTCGAAAGCCTAGTCGTACAATGCTAGAGTATCTTGCTTGCCACTCTGCGATCATTGATCCTAGCGCTACGGATGTGCTTATTGAGCAACTGACCCCTGAATTTGTGCTTGCTGCACTCGCTGAATTCAAGCGCGAGCTTGTAGAATACTTCGAGTTTATCAACAAGGGGCCCATCAAATGTTACCTAGGGATCGATGTACTACACAAAGGCGACAAAATCTACTTCTTCTAGGCTGAATATATAAGAGAGGTTCTTTTCTGATTTGGAATATCAAAAGCGAACACTGTAAGCACTCTTATAGACGAAAATGAGGTCCTGGAGAAGCATATAGATCAAACAATTAAAGATGAGATTTAGTAGTATCAAGAGATCATTAGCTATCTTATTTGGCTGATAATATTTATGCAACTGAATATTGTATTCTCTATTACGAAGCTCTTTCGCTTTATTCGTAACCCTTCTTCGAAGTATTCATGTGCTGTGAAGCGAGTTCTATATTATCTAGTAGGATTATGTGATCTCTGCCTCGTATTCTTCGATGGCGGGGAATGTCTAATCGGCTTTGTAACGCTGATTAGATTAGTAAGTATATCGAGAAGAGTCTGAGCATTTCTGGATTTATTTTTAAACTTGTTGGCGGTGTAATTAGTTAGGCTTCTAAACGTTAGCATTATATAGTGTAATCTTCTACAGAGTTTGAATATATTGTTTAGACGCTTATAATTCAAGAGAGTCGGTGGTTGCTGCTGCTGTTTATTGAGCTGTATGTGGGAGATCTATTCGCTAAACCGGTCATTTTGCACGATGATAATTAGGGAGCGATCGCATTCGCGAAGAACCCTGAGTATTATGTACGTACTAAGCATATCGAGGTCTGATATTACTTCCAGCGCGAAGAGATCGACGCCGGGAACGTGCTTCTTGACTACGTCCCTTCCAAAGAGCAAGCCGCTGACGGTCTTACTAAGCCACTTGCTAGGGTTAGCTTCGTGTGGTTTGTCAGTTAACTGGGTATGGAACCTTGCAAAGGGGTTTAATGAACATGGGGGGAGGCTGAATTCGCTCAAAAACGCAAATATTTACGAATTAGCAGCTGTTTCCTAGTATGGAGGATCTAGGCTGTCGACCAACGTGGTCATGGGGGGTGTTTGCAATATTTGCCTCAGGTGCCCACTGTAGATAACCAGCCTAGCTAGCTTAGATCTTCTCTCTCCTCTCAACCTAATCAACCATCGTTCCAAAGCAGTATCCTGGTCTAGTAACCCTTCCCTGCTGAAGACAAGTCAAGCCAGAGTTCCGCGAGAATTGGATTCCAAGCATATCATTTTTCGGCCGTGTCGTTCGCCATGCCATCGCCATTGATGAAAGGCAAGCTCGTTTCAGGCCAACTATTATTGGACCTCCCTCCGAAGGTGACTTTGTCAACCAAAGTTTTGAAGAGATGTGGTTTCCAGGGTCCCACCAGGTATGGCAGATGTTTAGTCAGTTTGATGGAATGGAGATTCTAAGATCATTAGGACATTGGGGGTACGATGAGTCCTTGGTGGACCGAAACAAATTCTCTCGGTGTAATACCATTTGTCTGGATGTCGTTTGAAGCGGCAAAGGCAGGGCTGCAAGTCGATTCCAGCCTAAAATCAGAGTACGAGGTCAAGTTTCACCATCAGCCCGTTGATCTCCGCGACGAAGATTACATACGCCGTGTGATGAAAGACCAAGACCCATTGACTGGTGTTTACTACAAGTATCCCTCTAAGTGCTATGAAGCGCCATTGCACGATGAACTGAGTTTTTGGAGCGGATGGTCTTTTAGGCATGTTTGCAACCAAAGGATCATGAACCTGTCCCTTTCGAGGACCTTAAGTCACGCAACGGCTCTGAGGCACGGCCAGCGGGAAATTCCAGAAGGCGCCGCTATCCATGGCTCTGCCATTCGCCGCATGAGAGCTATTCGCACCTACAGACCTTCCAACGTACCCCTTGACACTTTTTCGATAAGTAAGATTGAGCAGAATGATCTCAAAGTTCAAGAGCACTTTCTCTGCCCAGCGACGAGCGGCTCTTGTCAATGATGAAAGAGTGGCAGCATTTGCATGGGGGTATGGATGATGGTGTAGGTGCACACAGTGAGTGGTATGAGAATCGAGGGATATTCCAACGCCTTCGAGATCAGCAACGGGGCTCCAAGGGCTAGAATGGTTTCAAAGCCATTTCGAAATCATTGCATTCAGTATATCCAAAGAGGTGCCAAGGCCAGCGGGCTATAAGATGACTTGTGTCTTCCCTATGGTTGTCGGATGTTTCATCGAATGATTTCATACTCTGCATTGTGTATGCATTATCTGGCCTTAGGAAAGAGCCAAATTGCTTGACAAATAGAAGGATTCTGGTGAAGAGAGTTGTGCAAATGTCATCAGCGAACTTCGTTGGCATTGTGAGTCTGGTTCAGGGACGGTCACATTTCTGAGTTCGATCGGCTTCCTTTCAAATAAATTCAACTAGACCTGGCACTTACTCGCGGGTGATCCCGAAGAACCTAACCTGAACCCCCGTTTGGGCGGGTCAGATTCTGGGATTTAGAAAGTGCCAGGACTTGTTTGGTGATATGGAAATCAGGTCATGTCGACGGGCATTTAAGCAACGATTGATGAGGCAGATCTGGAGATGTAGGTAGCACGTGACCGTATGCCTCGGCTGTCCGGAGTGCCTTCTCTTACCCCGGATCCTAGCATTCTCCAATTTTATATTCGGATCCCACTGGTCAATCATGAGTCTAGCATGGCGTACAGCTCTGAGATCGAGAGTGTTAAGCAGGTATGAATGTTTCTAGTTTCATCTTAAACTTCAATTCCAATACTAATCTCCTCACAGACCTATCAGGCCACCCCGCTATTCTACCAGCAGCTCGGTATGAGCTCTTCCAAGATCATCCTCGAAGAGGAAGCTGACTGTCTAAAGATCAGCCAAGAGAGCTCGGCTCCTAAGCCGCAGCTCACCACCAGGCAGTGGAAGGGCAGGTATGAGGCGGCTTGGTCCAGACCAGACATTCTGAAGATCCCACGAGTACGACGGGGGAATAAAGAAGTTACCCTGCAATTGTATGTCATCTGTGAAACTTGAAAAAAAAAAAAAAAAAAAAAAAAAGAGAGAACACCACTAATCCGTTGTTCACAGTGGTCAATTCTTCCTCAGGTCAGTGAGAGGGACCAATAGGTCGAGGGTGTTACTGATGCTCCTCCTAGAGAAAATTGCCAATGTCCCAAATGCATTCACCCGGATACAAAGCAAAGAGCATCCGATACATTTGCGGTAGGGTTCTCCTTAAAATCACTTTGGGACATCGACTAATCAGGACCAGATACCGTTAAAGGTCAAAGCCAACTCGGTTGAACATAAGGAGACTGGCCTAGAGATTTCATGTGAGAGACCACAGCGTTCTCACCTTGCTTCATCACACGCTCATTTTTTCTAGGGTCGGATAATCATACCGGATTCTATCCGTATGAATGGCTACACCCACATACACAAAACAAGCATGGGGATCGCCTAGAACAAAACCGATTGAAGCCTGCCCGTGACACTGCACCAGGCCCGCGGTATGTCCGTCTCAATTATTGTCGCAGTATGATACTTATGCCCCAGAAGTACCTTCAATCCAGTCCCGGCTTCCGATCAAAGCCCCAGGATTTCTTACGATGAGGTCATGTCAGATGATAAAAGGCTCTCCGTCTGGTTACAACTTATTGTACGCCTTGCTCATTACAAAAAAAAAAAAAAAAAAGGGCTCGATATGCTAATGTTTTCAAGTGGACTCGAGGATTCTGTTTTGTGGACGGCGTTCCCACGACCCCAGAAGCGACCAAGGGGCTCATCGAGCGTATTGCTTTTATCAGACATACGCACTATGGTATATACCCCCCATACGGTATTTGGCCAAATTTTCTGACTTGATCTCAGGTGGATTCTGGGACTTCACGGCAGATTTGACTTTCAAGGATACTGCATACACTAACGAATTCCTGGGAGCTCACACCGACAATACTTACTTCACCGACCCTGCGAGACTTCAGCTATTCCATCTCCTGTCCCACACCGACGGGTCCGGGGGAGAGAATCTTCTCGTCGATGGATTTGCTGCTGCCGCTCAACTACGTTCCGAGAATCCCACTCATTACAACGAACTTGCAAGGCACAGACACCCATGGCATGCGAGCGGCAATGACGATTCTTGCATTCAACCCTCCGCCCAAGCGCCCGTCTTCTCAATCCATCCAGATCTGGACAAGATGTACCAGATCCGTTGGAACGACTATGATCGTGCGCCTAAGGTCAATTGGTCGGCGGAGGAACAGCTTGCGTGGTACCGCGCTGCGCGCCACTACAACGAGATCTTGCAGAGCCGAGAGATGTGGCAGAAGCTTGAGCCGGGCTCAGCTTTGAGTGAGTATTTCTTGATTTCATGTCAGTGTTCTCTCAACTAACATTTGTCAAGTCTTCGATAATTGGAGGATGTTGCATGGTCGCTCCCAATTCACCGGAAAGAGGAGAATGTGCGGTGGCTACAGTATGTGTTGACAATTTGTGTTTTAGTTCTCTTGCTAACTATCACAGTCAACAATGATGACTATATCTCTCGCCTTCGCATGCTCAAATACGGCCGGGAATGTGTGCTGAACAACCTTGGTAACTTGCGAAACGTCTCTTCGAACCCATACTCTATTGTATAGACAAGAATTGATCCATGTCCATATTTTCATTAAAAAGATCACACACGAAGTAGTATATTGTAACATCTCCACGAAAGAGAAAGAGAGAATGTTGTTGAAATTGATTATAAAGACTATACATGTCACGTGGTCCGATGGCTGACGTTGGAGCTCGCACCTGGGCAGCTCTTCCTCCCAGCAACCTTCGGTCTCTCCCCATTCTCCCCTATCTCCACGAATCGTCATTTCTGCATTACGGAGCTTTATATTTCATTGATCCATTAATTTCTATTTCCCTGATTCCACCATGTCCACTCTTGAGGACCTCGACGACCTTGAACAGGAGCAGAGAGAGAAGAAGCAAGACCAGAACGATGGCAATGGCAAGAAGCCCGAAGGCGACGGCGATGCCGACATGGAAGATGCCGACAAGAAGGACGACGAAGAAGAGATGCTCGACGAGGATATTCTGAACTCAAGCACGGCCGACATCGTGACGCGACGGCGCATGCTGGAAAACGAGATGCGAATCATGAAGAATGAATTCCAACGCTTGACACATGAGCAAAGCACGATGAGAGAGAAGGTCAAGGATAATCAAGAGAAGATCGAAAACAACAGGTGCGACCTTAACCCTATCTTGCGGAGCTGGGTGAAATCAGCTCGCTAATGTTATTTCCCATTTAGACAACTACCATACCTCGTTGGAAACGTCGTCGAACTACTGGACCTTGATGTGGAGGCTGAGGCAGCGGAAGAAGGGGCCAATATTGACCTGGATGCCACCCGTGTAGGCAAATCCGCTGTCATCAAGACCTCAACCCGCCAGACTATCTTCCTTCCCCTCATTGGCCTTGTTGACCACGAGAAGCTGAAGCCCGGTGACTTGATCGGTGTCAACAAGGACTCATATCTCATTTTGGACACCTTACCGGCCGAATATGACAACCGCGTCAAGGCGATGGAGGTTGACGAGAAGCCCACAGAGAAGTACACAGATATCGGTGGTTTGGATAAACAGATCGAAGAGATTGTGGAAGCCATCGTATGGCCCATGAAGGAGGCGGAGCGCTTTAAGAAAATCGGCATCAAGGCCCCCAAGGGTTTGTTTTCTCTTCCGTCCCATTCTCGTTTCAACAGCTAATCTCTATCCTCTTTGCAGGTGCCCTTATGTACGGTCCCCCCGGTACCGGTAAGACCCTCCTGGCCCGAGCCTGTGCCGCCGAGACCAACGCAACATTCCTCAAGCTGGCCGGACCCCAATTGGTGCAAATGTTCATTGGAGACGGTGCTAAGCTTGTGCGTGACTGCTTCGCCCTGGCCAAGGAGAAGGCTCCCTCTATCATCTTCATTGACGAGCTGGACGCCGTGGGTACCAAGCGTTTCGACTCTGAGAAGTCTGGAGATCGTGAAGTGCAGCGAACCATGTTGGAACTTCTTAACCAGCTTGATGGATTTGCGTCAGACGACCGCATCAAGGTTCTGGCTGCAACTAACCGAGTTGATGTGCTGGACCCTGCGCTCCTGCGTTCCGGTCGTCTGGACCGCAAGATCGAGTTCCCTCTGCCCAACGAGGAAGCTCGTGCCAACATCTTGCAGATCCATTCCCGCAAAATGTCTGTCGAGGATAGTGTCAACTGGGCTGAATTGGCTCGCAGTACTGATGAGTTTGGTGGTGCCCAGTTGAAGGCTGTTTGTGTTGAGGCTGGTATGATTGCGCTCCGCAAGGGTTTGAGCAAGATCGGACACGAGAACTACGTCGATGCCATTGCGGAAGTCCAGGCTAAGAAGAAGGATACCAACATGGGCATCTATGTTTAGACTAGATCTTACTTTTTCATTAACTGATTACTTCCCGTTTGGTCTTCCATGTATGGATATAGGAGCCGTGTAATTCAACTTTCCGGACATGGTCTACGGTCTTATGAATCTACTAAAGTATCTCACTGCGGTCGAAACCCGAAATTCCTTCTGATCACTGTGCATTGAAAGTTATATCATAGCTGAGTATTCACGAAGTCAACACAGCAGTAGATAAAAATAAGAGGAAAACGCAAGAAATGCAAGTCATAAATCCATCAGTCACTCATCGCCAAAAAAAAAACCACGCCTACCACCAATTTTTTCACACATCCAACTTAGTTCTTGCCCTTCTCCTCCTTGAGAGTAACAATACGGTTAAGCACAAGCTTCTCATCAGTAGACTCCCGATCAACAGCAAAGTAGGCAACACGCATACCCTGGAAACGGATAGAATGCTTATTAGCCTCCTTACCACCTTCCTCAACAGCACCCTCCTCCTTAGGCCAGGGAGCGGAAGCAGAGATATCACGGAAACCAGTCTCAACCATGGCATCCTTGTAGATTTCCTCGGAGTCCGGGTTGATATCAGCGAGGAAACCAGCAGGGTGAGCAGAGGGATCCTCAGACTTGAAGAGGGAGTTGAAAGCGCGGATCTCGGCACGGACGGGACTGTTGTGTTCTGCGGATTCGCCAACCCAGTGGATGAAAGATTTGGGTTTCTTGACAGGCTCGCCTTCGATGGGTTTCTCGTACTTGGCGTGGACGCAGGTGACTTCGCCTGAGGCGTCTGTTTCGAAGGATGTGGCTGTGATGGGGTAAGGAGCTTTGAGAAGACCGACTGTCTTGCCTGGGGCGAGACGGAAGTAATCTGGGGAGTCGACAGCGCGGAAGTCTGAACGTTCGATGTAGACGGTCTTTGTGAAGGGGATGTTGTGGGTACCGAAAGCTGGGTCCTTGGAGAAGGGGCAGTCGAGGAGTTCGAGGTGGTCATCAGGCAGGTCGTCGATGATGACCTTCAGAGGCTCGAGGACGACCATTAGGCGGGGAACGGTGGTTTCGAGGTACTGGCGGACGATGGACTCGAACTTGGTGACCTGGACGTTGGTGACGTTCTTTGTGACACCGAGGTCGTTGACGAAGGCGAGGATGGCACCTGGGGGAACACCGCGACGGCGAAGCGCAATCAGAGTGTACAGGCGTGGGTCGTCCCAGTCACGAACATGGCCTTCCTTGACAAGCTGGATGATCTTGCGCTTGGAGAGGACAGTTCCAGTAATGTTGAGACGACCGTACTCACGCTGGTTGGGACGGTAGACCTCGAGCTTATCGCAAAGCCAGTCGTAGGAGACGCGGGAAAGCTCGAATTCAGTAGTGCAGAGGGAGTGGGAGATCTCTTCGATGCTATCGCACAGACAGTGTGCGAAGTCGTAGGTAGGGTAGATCTTCCACTTGCCACCAGTGCGGTGGTGCTGCTTGTCCTCGCTGTCCATGATTCGCCAGGCGAACAGATCCCACATCTGAGGGTTGGGATCTGTGATATCCTGCTTCATGCGAAGGGCTGCCTCACCAGCCTTGTACTTGCCGTCACGCATAGCGTGGAACTCAGCGAGTGACTCCTCAATTGGTCGAGTGCGGTGGCTGCATGCAAATCGCTCTCCACCGCGCTGGCCGCCTTCCATCTCACCACGCTGGGCCTTGATCTCGGCCTTGGTGCAGTGGCAGATGTAGGCACCATCACGCTTGATGAGGTCCTCTGCAAGCTCGTAGAGGCGGTCAAAGTTGTCACTGGCACATGTCTCACGCACAGGGGTGAAACCGAGCCATGTCACAATCTCACGGATGGCATTGTAGAAGCGCTCCTCCTCGCCTTCCGGGTTGGTATCGTCGAAACGCAAGATACACTCACCACCGTGGTGCTTGGCGAATCCAAAGTTAATGGCAATGGCCTTACTGTGTCCAATGTGGAGGAATCCGTTGGGCTCGGGAGGGAATCGCGTGCGGATCTTGGGGACGGTCTCGGAGAGTGGCTTTTCCTGGTAGACGTCGGACAGGAAACCGACCTTGAACATAGCATTGGGATCCCGGGGAGCAGGAGCCTCCTTAGGCTTAGGTGCAGCTTTGGGCTCGCCCTTGGTCTTGGGCTCATTCTGCTTGGCCAGTTTCAGGGCCGCCTTCCGGGCAGCAGCCGCTTCTTTCTTCTCCTGGCTCTTAGACTTCTTGTTAGGATCGGGCACAGCGGCCTCTTCCTTGGGCCTCTCGGGCAGATCAACAGGCTTTGCGGGATCCATTGTGAAGGTTGAAGGTGGGGGATAATTTTTGGAGGGGCTTTGCTTTGTATATGCTTATCTTCGCTTATCCGATGAGTCATCTTCCCTATACTCCAGGGCTCCCATCTATAAACTACTAAGTATAGACTATACACTATACACTATACACTATATACTACAGACTGTATACTGATATTTAAAGGTCACGCAAAATTGAATTGTCCCATTATCGTGAGATGCTGTACAGTATAATACAGAGTACACAGACTCGAAAAGAAAACAAGTGCCGCCCATTAGCTGTCCATCAACAGGTATAATCATACAATGCGAGACATAACCAGGAATAACATATACAATGGACCCAGAGAAGGGGAATAGATGGAATAGAAAGAGAAAGAGAAAGAGAGATCTGAAAAGTTCGGGGTATCTGGCGTAAGGTATTGAGACAGGAAAAATAAAAGAAAAAGATCGAGGCAGTTTAGAAAAGCTGCTTGATATCAATGAGCTCTGAATTGCCTGGGCGATCGCGCTCCATATGGAACCACCAGTCCCGGCCTGTTTTGTGGTTCCAGGATCCAGTGCATGTATCTTTATCCCAGGGCAAGACAGAGCCAGAGACACTGCTCATGGGTGTGATTGGCGTGGTGGGTGTTGTGGGCGATGTACCCATCATGGAGCGACCACTTAGGCTGCCCCAGCCAAATTTGGATGTAGTGGATGCTGGAGAATTGATTTCTTCTGGTGGAGGGGGAGCAGGTACATCACTGCCGAAGCAGTTAACGCCCACACCTGCAGCATACGACAGTGACTGATTGGAGGCCAGTAACTGCTTCCACCCAATCAAGCCACCGTCCGACTCCTGGCCTGTGATGTCAGGGCGCAGGACCAAGTGCGGGATTGAAGCGCCTGTCGCAGGGTCCCGCATTCCACTTCGACCCATGAATGTGGGCATGTTGAACTGGTAGACGGTTTTAGGTCCACTGTGGTCGTTTTCTTGGTGTTTGTAGCGTTCGCAGGCGGCCCAGATCCCATAGTCGTCCAGTTCTTGGTCGGGGTCTTCTTCAAATTGAGAAGCCTGGGCATTGTCGGGCACAAATCCATCTGACCAGTCCTGAATCAAAACCGGCATTCCTGATTCGGTATCCTTGGCGGCCATGTCGATAAAAGTTTGAGCGCGGATGCGTGCTGAGGTTAAATTGTTGCCGGCTGGTAGTGCAAGGGGTCGAGTGTTGACGGATCCGTGGGAGCTCCGGGGTAAACTGTATCGATCGGGTCGGAGGAGGGCTTGGCCTTTGGTGATGGGTCGGCAGGCCGCTTGGAGAACACCGGGGGGCTCCACGTCGGAGGGCGCACGGAGGGCCTCCAATTCGGGGAAGCCTGCGGAAATGATGCTTTGGGCGAGATGGGAGTTAGGGGTGTTGGATGGTTTGGAGGACTTTTGGAAGGGGAGGGTATCGAGTTGAGTGAGAGCTGCGTGGGGGTCTGGGCACGCAACATCCCAGTGAAGGTATTTGAGGGTGGAGGAAGCAAGAATAGGTTGGAAGATCATGTCCTCATCTGGGAGAGTTGGACACTTTTCAGTCTGCACAATCTTGAACCGTTCGAGACTTCGTAGTGAGGAAAGAATCTTGGAGATGGCCAGCAATGACTCGATATTCTGCTCCACCAGGACGAGGGTCTTGAGAGATGACGATTCCGATCGGGAGGCATACTGTGTGAGACCAGTCTCTGTGACGCCAGGTAAATTTTCCAGCCTCAATGATTCCAGGGGTGGCAGACAGAGTAATGTGCTGTCATCAAAGGAATCTTTGTCGAAGGAAGAAACACACAGGTTTCGCAGCGAAGGAAGAAGGTTGAACATGCGGAGAGAGACACTAGGCTCAAGTGCTCCATTCCCATTCAATCCATAAAGCATCAATGTCTCCAGATTGGACCAGGAGGTGTGATAATCCAGAAACTCGAACATTTGCGAAGGACCCAAGCTCCCTGGACAGGAGTCGTCGCGAGGAGACCCCTCTGATACCGCCGCTGCCTCGCCCAAGACCCAAGTATGCTCTTTCAGCTTCTTCCGAGTGGACAGGGCATGAGTCAAACGATCGAATTCATGGTGGTATGGAATCGAGAGACCCAACAGGCGCTCCAGGTTCGGACACACCATCACCACGGATGCCACCAAATCGCGATATTCCTGCCATTGCGTACTTTGTTTGGTCGTGGTGAAGAGCAACTCCAGCTGAGGTACCCGCAGCTCGTAAACAAGGTTGGCCAGCAACTTTCGTTCGCGCAGGGTTCTTCTCAACAGCTTGAGGCGGCTGCCTCGCTTCAGGCGATATTTCTTCAGTTGCGCGGGGGAGTCATTCCCGACAATGTGTACACTGTTGTATCTGGATGATATCTGTCAGCAACTGGGACTCTTTCAGGCAGGAAGGAAATATGTCCGCAAACTTACAAAGGTCCTCGCACAGCCCGTTCCCACGAGCGGCAGGTCAATGACAAAGCATGCAGGTCGCGTTGAAAACATGTCGTGCAACCAGTCTGGTGCTGTCCTTTGTGCAGCTCTTCTAAATGATGGATAATGACTTCATAGACTTCCTGGGGTACTCGACGCTGGACTGGTTCGGTGAACTTGGGGATGGAGCTCACGGAGTCAAATTGACGGTAAGATGACGCGGGTGATGATGAGGAGTATGCGGTGGGCGCGGTTGAGGCGCTGTAGTTTGTTCTGTAAGAAGATACCGAAGACGTTCGGGACGCAATCGGCTGGATGGAGTCGTCGGCCTCCGCAGAAGTATAAGAAGCCGCAGTCTCTGGCCTAGCAACGCTCATTGTGACTATCCTCTCGCATCGAAGCAGAGCAAGATGCGCGATGGAAAAAAAAGCAAAGTCAATTCCCAATAAGGAGGTTAGGAATGTCCGGAGTAGGGGATATGGCGTAAGGCGTGGAAAGATCGGCGGATTCCAGGAGGTTCAACGTCACCAGACACAAGGTAGTATCAAGGTGAGTGTACGAGTACTCGTACTTTGTAAGGTGAAGGAAGTGAAGGGAAGAATTGAGTGCAGTACGAATAGGTATAATCGCAATCATTGAGGGATATACGAGTAATGAAAATCGCCCGTTTGATCGCACTTCTCCGCCACGTTTTTTCCCTCTTTTTTTTTCGACGGAAAATCCGAAAAAAGGAAAAGTCGTGAACAACAGTCGATCTCCCCCCACATCAGGAATGAGTTGAAGGGACATGAGCCGTGCAGCGCGTGTTGGTGGGCAGAGCGGAGTCGTTCGGGTGACAGGGGGCGGTTCAGGGGTTGAACTACTCGTCCATAGTGTATGTTTGAGTCGTTCCTATACAATTGGCCTATGAGAACACAGGGATCCGCTGTTCTTCAGATCAATTGTGTTCGGTGGAGCTCATTTATCACAGACGCCTAACAGTTAATATCTACTCGTATATACTACTGTGTGTTCTCCGTAGAGTGCTCGTATATAGTACTCTATAATATCTACCCCTATACCTCCCATACTCCTTGCTTTCCCCTTTCTACATAACTAGAGTACAAGGACAAACATGAAGTCTATCTCGGCATCCACATCACATTAGGTCCGGGCATACGAAGACTATCGCTTAGTTGGGGTTAATTCAGTGGGTCAGACTTAGGGCCAAGTTTTACCCCTATTCCCTTTGCTTTTTTAAAATTAATGTTACTATTCTTATGAAGTGTTGGCTCGGTGTCTTTCCATTGCTTTTGATTGATTGTACACGAATGTCTCAGATCCATCTTGGCTCTGTTACTCGTAGGTTGTTTGTTAGGCTAGTTTTTAGGGCTGTTCGTGTATGCTGATAAAAGGCCCAAGCGCATATGCATATCATTGGAATAGGCAATTGAGCGGATGCAGGCGCAGGAACACCCTTTGATTTTACTTCTTCTGTTTGTATTACTCCAGAGTGGTCTGCGCGTCACTAAGATCGACATATCAACCAACTTTGGCCTTGTTACTATTGATTGTGGGCTGTCCAAAGACTCTGTCGTATGACCCTAATTTAGTTTATTGTCATTGCTAAAGCCCCAGTTATTCCCTTGGCAATATACGTAGGGCATTCGCGTACCTCTGTTCAATACTAACTACTCACCATGAATTTACTTTCGCTCCTCCGTTCTCCGTTCTCCGTTCCCGTCCACCTAATCCAAAACACCATGACTCAAGCTCAAAACGCTACCCGGGATTAATCTTGCTCTATAGTTGACTCGATGCTAGGTTATTAGGCACTTATCCAATATCATACCACTACCAGCCCACTTGTACGAGTACAGAGTGCTACAAGTACTTACTAGTAGTACTCGTACAAGTCTTCTAGCGATATCATTCCAAATCTCTATCAGATGGCGCAATTGGCCCTCAGTCACGTCTCCACCAGATCGGGAGTTTCAGCTGGAAATCTTTCCACTGTGTTCCCACGTTTTCCGATCGAAATTTCTAGCTGCCGAGCTCAGATCTGATTGGGGAACTCACGTTACACTGTCCTCGGTACGAGTAACTACGAGTAACAAGTCTCTGTTTGGTGACGGTGGAGAGTTCTCCCCAGGGACTGCCGAGGATCAGCCTGCAGATCTCGTTCCCGGGAGATGGTTGCCCTGGATATGATTCAGGTTAAGGTTTATTCCAGGGTGATAATGGCTTCTGTCAATTATCTGCTACTAACTACTTAAGTAGATAATTGGTACGCAGTACTAGCATGGAGTACGTTTCTGCTTCTAAAGTTGCTAGTTAAGTATTTTGCACCCGAGTGCAACTTTAGAAGTACCTGATCGGGAGCTATTTCCGTTGCCCTTAATTGCATATTTCAGATAGAGTATTCAGATAGAGTATTCCGCCTATACTTCTAAAGTTGGATTCAATACTTAGTACTTAAGTATTTATTCTAAAGTTGAACACCCAATACGCAACAGACTGGCAACTTCTTAGAATGAATACCTCAATACCCACTGAAGTACGACCAATCAAGAACGAACGGCTTCCCAAAACTCCTACTTGTAGTACCCAAGTAGATACCCGACTCAAGTGAAACTCACAACTTCGCCCTAGGAACCCCATCCTTCGAAAACCTATAAACCACATCCCCAAAAGACCCCGTAGGAAAAACATAAAACCACCTCAGGGGCAGCGATCCCGTATTAACAATCCCATGCTCCGCATCCGACGGAATAAACACCGTACTGCCCTTAGAAACCACACTCCTCACACCGTCAATGGTGACTTCGCCCACACCATCGAGAACATGATATATCTCTGCCTGAGTGTGTCTGTGTGCACAGAGGTGGCCGGTGGATGGTGGACAGGTTGCTATTCCAGCGGAGAGGTCTGTTGAATTGGTTTTTGGGGATGAGATTAGGGTGTGCCAGGTTATGTCGCCGTAGATGGGTGTTGGGAAGGATTCAGGGTGGGCGGTGGTTGGTTGGATGATGATTGGGGTTGCTTTGGGTTCTTTTGGCATTTTGATTTTTGGGGATGGGGGAGCTGGTGAGGGGAGGTCTACAGGTGGGTTGGGTTATCTACGTAAGTATATATAAGTATTTCGAATGTTGTGGCCCTGACCATGTTGTTGATGTATGTATAATGTATGAGTAGAAGGGACTTGATTGCCGAATGTGGAATGCCCTTTAATGAGCTCAGGGGCTCTGCGCGTAGATCTCAGCACGAGTCCAGAGTGATCAGCTCACGTGATGACTGATACTATGTGCTCGCTCACTGATTACTCAGTGCTACTCTGTATCAACAACTCTGATCACTTACAGACTATACTTTTAATGGATTAGCTTCAGTTGTTTATACTGCTTTGGTTTGTAGATAGTATTGCGTTCGCTTGTATTTTCAGAATATTCACCAAATACAAAACCATTTCTAAGCATTCACAATCTCCACGTCCGCCTCAGGGCCTTTCCATTCTGGGATTTTCGAAGCAACGGGGATTGTGGGAAAGTAGTCTCCCGAGGGAGGTGGGGTTTGCGCGGTACCTTCGTCAGAAAGCGTGGACAATGAATCTTGCGCTGGCGTGAAAAGTGAGCTTCCAGTTTGAGGCGACGAAGACCGAGTATGGGTTTCGGGAGTGGGCCGTGAGCCTTCTTCCCGAGGAATTATTCGTGGAAGTTGCGCGTTGTTCTCAGAAGGCATCACAGGCTCTGAGGGGACACTGTCTTCCAGACTTGACATCTTTGCAAGGCCTGTTTTCACCAGCTCGGAGATAGATCCACCGCTCATGACCTTGAGGGTCGGGACATCAGCCTCCAGCTCTTTCAGGAACCAAGCTCGGATGTCAACAGCAACCAGGGAATCAACTCCCTGCTCGACTAATGTCATTGAATCCTCAATTATTTCGTCCACTGCCCTGCGAAGAATACGCTTGAGATAACCAATGAACGCATCCCGAGTGACTGAATAGGCTTCATCAGCGGTCTTGACTGACTGCAACTGAACACGCACGCGAACAGCTGCTTCATGTGCTTGGACCTCGGAATCGGTATCTTTGTTGAGAACGAAAATACTGAATTTCACATCACGGCGATGAGCATCAGTGACTTGCAAATCCTTAGGGACGTGGTCGATGCCCATCACAACCTGGGAAGGAGAATCATCTGCCTGGCCAGGTCGTCCAGTGAGAATGGTTTCTGCAAAGAGAACCTGCAGGTCATGTTCACTGATATTGATGTAACCGAGTGATTGGAAGTAATCGAAATCGAATGTTTCAGAGTGTGCAGCATATCCCACGCCAAGAACCGCAGGAATGTTCATTGTCGATCCTGCCACACCGCGCTTGCGTCGTTTGTTTACGAGTGAGGTCATGAACTCATTGGCGGCCGAGTAGTTACTTTGTCCACTCCACCCGATGACCGACGAGATACTGGAGGCGACGATAAAAAACTCGAGATCGGTTTTATGGAAAGCTTCATCAAGAAGTTGCGTTCCCAGAACCTTGGGTTTCGTCACCCGGGAAAACTGTTCGAATGACATGTTCGCAAAGAGTTCGTCATCCAAAACCATGGCTCCGTTTATAACACCAGCGATGGGCGGAAGTGCTGCGGCCATCGAAGCAAGCACGGACTGCAGCGATTCTGGAGAGGTGATCTCCAACGGAAGCGTTTTGACAACCGCTTCGTATCGAGTAGACATGTCGTCAACAAACCGAGCGTTGACTGTAGGTCTACGGCTTGTGAGAACGATGAAGCGGGCTCCGTGAGCGATCATCCACCCGGCCAGTGATTGGCCAAGTTCGCCAGCCATGCCGACAAAGAGATAGGATCGGTCGCTTCTGAAGATTGGCTGGGAGTCAATGGACTGCACCATAGCCAGCGCAGACTGAGAGTTCGCCCAGTCTACCACAGCCAAGGTCTCCCCAATTGCCTTGTGCGAAGTAACATCAGCTAGGTCAAGTACTTCAACCGATGGAAGGTCAAGAGTATCGTCAGAGAATGATTCCTCAAGTACGCTGGCCAAATCGCCTAGAGATGACAGCGTATCAACCTTATGACTGACCAACATCTCCTCGCTTATTTCGAGACAAGACGAAGACAGGTTTGCCACAATTAGATCACGTACAGTGTCGGAAGCTGCGCCGCGCGAGAAGTGCACAAACACGGAGCAATTTCCCACCAAAGATTGAACAACATGAACTGGCGAGCTGGGGTCAAGGTACACACATTGATTGATTTGACTCTTGGTGGTACTGGACGTGACGCACACGACCTGGATATTTTTGGTGGAGGCTTTCGTGCGAATCGCCGTCTGAACGATGAGATCGGCCTCGTTGATTATCAGCGTGCTTCCTCGGGAGGTGAGAGACAAAAGACGGTCAGCGATAAGCTGAGCGCCTGCAATCACGAGTTGAGAAGGGATCACATGTGTAGGTACGGGGATGCAAATGTCCTTTGGGACTTGAACAATGGACTGGCTCGAATCAGTCAGAGCCAGAACATGCTTCTGAGTTGCTTAATCAACACCAGCGCAAACACGAACAAAGCCTCCAGCTCCGACGGCGACGCTTTGCAAAAGGGAGTGAGTGACTCGAAGCGTACGCGTTGCTGTTGCCGAGTGAATCATAGCCAAAGGTGAGACGTGACGAAGTTCAATAGACTGCTCGTTGCCATGTCCAACGCCAACCAATTCGACGTTTCCATTTAAAGGTTAGCGGGAGCCAGGATGTTGCGTCGCTGGGAGTTGTATCTGTCATTCTTCTCGCGGTCGGGAACAATGCGAGAGAACAGCTGACGTCCGTTCTGAATGTAAATATCGGGCTCTAGTGACCAGAGCATGGAATCGGTACCCCAGTTAGCCAGAGCCACTTGGCGGTGCACAGTCGCAGATAAATCAGCTGCCGTGCTCGAATGGATTCCGTTCTGCACAGTGGGATCCAGATCATACATCAGGATGTTCAACCCAGGACTCTCCGTGCGGATGGTGCGAGCAATGCCAGTCATCATGGAGCTATAAGGCTGATCATCGCGGGAGCCACATGTCACCCAAATCAAGACACCGGCATTCGTGCACGTCTTGCGACTGTCCAGTTTGTCGGCCGTCAAATCTTCCAGGTATGGTCGGTCAAGATCGGCAAGGGACAGAATTGTGACTCCTCTGGATCCCTCAGTCATCTTGGCCAAGTCGGATTTAGCAAAATCTTCCACTGTGTTGAACAGCCGTTTGGACTGGAAGCGACTACCCATGGACTCGTAAATTTCCTGGCTGAGTTTGTACACCGGCCATGTCATTCCACCGATGATCGCTAGGACATCGGTTCGAATTCCGGCAGGGTGGACTTTGACGGAAAGAGGGCTGCGCAGCAATGACACCCGATCATCTACTGATTGAGCCACGAAAACGCTCATGGGCAGAGAAGCGCTAATGTCGGGACTAACGGTGTCAATTCCAGCAAAGCCCGTGCTCTTGAGCACACTGTCCCACTGTCCCAGTGTAAACAGCGGACCCCAAGGGCGACCCGTTTCAGCTCCAATCCACCAGCCAGGGAGTGTGCCGACGGTCATGCCACTGAAAAAAAGGTCTGTGGAAGTCAGCTCAGCTGTGACAAGGAAGCCACCAGGCTTCAGTAAGCGTCGGACGTTCGAGAGAGATGCTTTAATATCAGCAGAAACATGCAGCACATTTACAGCGACTACCACATCATAAGACGCATCTGAGAATCCCTGGGTTTCAGGCTCCTTCTCCATATCAAATGTCTTGAACGTCATACGGTGGGCATTTTGTTGACCGAATCGCTCTTCAGCCGCCATGAAAAATCCGCTCGAAATGTCAGTGAATGTGTACGATCCATAACGGCCTTCCAGGGCATCCAAAACTGCAGAGGTAGTGGCTCCGGTACCCGCGCCAACTTCAAAAATATTCAGGCCTGGGTGAATCTTCGAAATTTGAGCGAGAACCCTAGCAAGCCAGCGACCGGTCGGACCGGAGCAAATTGCACCTTCTTCGTAAAAAGCACGAAGAAGACCGTCCTGGTTCATATGTTCTAACATCGAGTTGCCGTCATTGATAGTTTGAACCAGATTATCACCGACAACCTGAACGAAGCGGACATCCTTTCGGTCGGAATAACAAGCAAGAATCTCTTCGATGTCGGAACGATTATCATTGTTGCATGAAGCAGGCACCTTGTTGTGACTACCACTGCAGACCATGCTAACCATGCGGTCGCACCAAGCCAGGTATCTCTGGTAATGCGATAGAAGACCGCTACGGTCTTTGGCAGGAATTGAAAGTGACGCGTTGCGGAGGTACCAGTACGAGATTCTGTCGACGTCCTTGTAAAGCTGGACCTCATAGTCGCTCAATGTCTCGCCAGCCCCAGCAAGCTGTCCGTCGGGCACCGCAATTGCGTAGCCAAAACAAGAAAACATAGGCATGTCATTCTTGGGCACCGCAGGTGCAAAAGGAACAAGCTTCACACCTTGGAATTGAACGAACGCGTATTTCGAATCATCGGTATAGAGATAAACATCTCCAGTAATGCCTGCTGCTGACTGCTCACGGACAGAAGACTCGTATTCCATGGTGGCTTGTTTGCCGGCATCACCGAGAGGTGTAAAGTACGGGTTGATGGTAATGCTAGAAAATGACACTGGAACGTGGAGAGACCACAACTGGGTATCACCCGGATAGGCCCAGGCCGCAAACACAGTCTGAAGAGCTGAATCCAAGAGCCCAGGGTGAAGAACAAGATCATCATCTTCGGACTGATCGAAGAGGGTACCCACGCTGTACCCGGGTTTGCGACGGATGTCCGAAACGCCACGGAAAGGGTGGGCGTAGTTGTATCCCACGCGGGTCAGACTCTCATAGAACTGGTCTTCATCAACAGGAACCAGGTTGTAAGGGTCTGCCTTGGCATTGGGCAGTGTATCGGCCTTTGAGAAGCTCATTTCCACCAACGCGCCTCCCTTGGCATTCAATTGAATGGTCCCATCTCTCGCCGCGGAATAGCACGCCCAGTCAGCAGTCATTTTGGCGTCTAATAAAGTCACCGATGATACGCTGAAAATTGTTTCCACGCTCATATCGTCGTCATCGAATGCGATTGCGCGCGGAATATCCAGGTCGATAAGCTTGACCAGGGAAATTGTAGCACCAGGTCGTAGCTCAAATGCGATATTTTTCAAAGCTTCGAGGGCCATTGAAGCATATCCAGTGGCCGGAAAGACGGTCTGGCCTTGCAGTGCGTGGCCACTCAACCAAGGCATCTCGCTTTGTTGCAAGATATTCCGCCACTGGAATTCTCCCGGGGTGGTCGCCTCCGCGCAAGGAGATCCGAGGACTGCATTTGAGACATGAACCGGATTCCTGTGTTTGAAGTGGTTTGCAAGACGACTGTCAGTCCTGTAGTCGGTTTGGTGAGTGAAAGGATACGGAGGTAGGTCACCAAGGACAAGTGGCTTTTGGGCATTGGCAGACAGCAATTTTTGCACCGCAGAGAACTGCACGCTGTTCGAACCACATTGCCTCCAGACGAAACGAAGGGCTTTACCAATCTCGGCGACATCGTTCTGACCGCGAGCCAGAACACCGGTATATGGTGTGGCGGTCTCTCCGTCGATGGTAGTAGTAGCGGGACCTCTGAGAGCAGGATGGGGACCGACCTCAATGGCAACATCGAAAGGACCATTGTTTTTCACTGCCTCTACCAGGGCATCAGCAAAAAGAACAGTCTGACACATATTGTCAACCCAATATTGGTTCGTCACACGAGATTGATCCATGACCTCCCCGTTGTAAACGCTTGGATACCATACAGGTGCGGCCTCTGCTGATTGCGGCAAGGGCTGAATATTGCATTTCTGAAGCGAGTCGTAGTACGGGTCGGCACAGGAAGCCATATGAGCACTGTGGTAGGCTGTGTCAACCTTCAGTTTGCGAGCAAACATGCCCTTCGCCTTCAAAAGACTTTCGGCTGCGTCAATGGCATCTTCATCTCCACTTAGCGTAACACTGGAGCTAGAATTAATTGCTGCAAGCTGCAAGCGCCCCTGGAAATCATTGGCACAAATCACCCGAGCCGCATCTGGGGATTCGGCGACTGCCATCATAGCACCGCGGGGAGCATTGGGGCTGGGACTGGCAGCTAGTTTGGCATGCACACCCCGGAAGTATGCTATTCTGACCGCATCCTTGGCAGAGACAATACCGGCAGCATAAGCAGCTCCAATCTCACCCGATGAGTGACCAACTACAGCTGTAAATGTGATTCCGGCTGCTCGAAGAATATCAACCAGGAGAATCTGCACAGCCGAGCACAGGGGTTGTGACAGAGCTGCTTCCGCAAGTCGAGAACTTTCTTTCGATGCGAGAAGCTCCTCATGAATTGTCCAACTGGGTCGGTCTTCAGCGGAAGTAATGGTTTGGAGAGCATTGTCCAACTCGGCAATACGCGACGCAGCAAACGGAGACGACACAATGAGGCGAGCTCCCATTCGCGGCCATTGTGCGCCTTGGCCAGTGAATACCCCCAACAGCTTTGCGGATCCGTTGAGGCTTTTGAATCGAGTGTTCATGCCTTCAGTTTCTGCATCGGTGGCACCCAAAGCTTCAAGTGCAACAATTGCATCCTTGACTGTTGGAGCAAAAATGTCCTTCCGGTATGGCAACGTTGAGCGACGGTCTTGCAGGGTGTAAGCAAATTCCAGAATCGGAACATCTGGGTGACCTTTGAGATATTCGAGATGATCAGAAATCATTTGCCGCAACGCCAGTGCAGAGGCCGCTGAGAAGACTAGAGGAGTAAAGTTCTGATTGACAGAAGAGGTGCCCTTTTAACGTCTTTGCGTGTATTCTTCCAGAATGCAGTGAGCATTTGTGCCACCGAAGCCGAAGCTGCAAGGAAAGAAATTGTCAATATGACGTATAAGTGTTTAGTGAAGAACTAACCTGTTCACGCTTGCTCTTCGCGTCTGGCCATGATTGACGGCCCAGGGAGTTGGAGATGTAGGTATCTCCAAGTGATCGAAGAAGGGTGCAACGCGATCACTCAAATTTGCAAAGTGCATGTTCGGTGGAATAACACCATTCTGCATGGCAAGTGATGTACTGATAACGCTGGCGAGGCCGGCTGTGCTCTCGGTATGACCGATAACCGTCTTGATTGAACCTACAAACAAGTTCTCCGCATCCTGGGCGGCAGGGGATCCGACAGGGAAGAGAGAATTTGAGATAGCCTCTGCTTCCTGTGGATCACCGGCCTGGGTACCAGTGCCATGGGCGTGGAAGAATTGAGGTCTGTCTTGGAGGTTGTTGACGGGATCGAGTCCAGCCCGGGAATAGCAGTCGCGGATCAAGGCAGTCTGCGCCACGTTACTGGGCACCGTCAGGCCAGAGGTCTTACCATCTTGGTTGACGGCAACCTCACGAATAATACACTCGATCGGATCGTTGTCGGCAAGTGCCTGAGAAAGTGTTTTCACGATGACGGCAGCCACGCCCTCGCCACGAGCATATCCATCGGCTGCGGTATCCCACATAGCACAACGGCCGTTGGGGGAAAGCATACCAAGGTTACTTTCGGAGACGTACATTGCTGACAAGACCAGTCTATTGTCGGTTGTATCGGGATCGTGCAATACTCACCAGGACTCAGAATCAGGTTTGTTCCTGCTGCGACGGCAACATTGGACTTGCCACTGCGCACAATTTGCACGGCCAGATCCAAAGCAACCAGACTACTTGAGCACGCAGTGTCAAGAGTCATGCTTGGGCCATGCCAATCAAAGAAGTATGAGACACGGTTTGCCATGATGCCCCGTTCCAAACCTGTGGCGGTGTATCGGGGTAGGGTCTCCCAGTCACGGGTTACCATGGTGTTCCAGTCATCGGACATCATACCAACTTAAATGACAGTATTAGATCCTTTGAGGTTCTCCATGGGTTGGCCTGCAGCACAAAGACTGTCATACACAACCTCCATGAGGACCCGTTGCTGTGGGTCCATCGCGTCAACTTCGCTTGGTTGGATGTTGAAAAACCCAGCATCGAACTTGGTAATACTTGTGCGTTCTGTCTCCTCCACCCAGTAGGACTGGGTGGCGTTCGTGGTTCCATGATGGGCGCCAACCGGATGGTAGAACGGATCGATATTGAAACGCGATGCAGGCGGTTTGCTTGATAGGTCACGTGGGTCTTTGATCAGCTCCCAGAGCTTGCTGGGCGTGTCGGATCCTCCTGGAAACCGACAACCTGACCCAATGATAGCAATTGGCTCAACCATGATTCTAGGGTGTGATGGTCCTCGTATTGAATAAATGGCCGAGGTTTTTGGCGGGATCGATATGGTTGTGAGATCTATATTTCAATCATAGGGAGCTCGAGGATCTATAAGATCATTGACGTTGGTTGAAGACCTCGGGACTGGGCAGTCGTGATCAGTGTCGTGCCTGAATATACGATACCATTAGGTGATTTGCAATGGATGTCGGAGGGGACATTCTACGTGTCTTTTATCATGATGTGTTGTGAAATCAGGCTACGGATGAAAAACGAAGTCGCTCAGAAACTCGAGTACGTGACGACCAGGCGAGTTGCTCTCAACGAATGATCGGAGTTCTCCGCCGGATTAGGAAGGCCGATGGCATGCAGTGCGCAGTCGACTCGGAGGAATGGTTCTTTCCAAGAGACCATCACGTTGTACTTTTGTTTGCGCAGCGGTGCTCTGCAGGTGGAAATCAGAAGAAGGCTGTTCCGAGAGATCGGGCCGTTATTCGATTCAGATCCTGCAGTCAGCCGGTGCAACACACGCTAGCTGGAGATTAGAGCTTGATGGGACCGAATACACCAAGAAGGCATAGTTAGTTTAGCCTGAAACCGTGTATATCTCCGGTGGGGGCCAAAATGAACGCCAAAAGGAGACGCTCCGAAATTTCGGAATTGGGAATAATTCTGAAATGTGAAGGGATTCGAGTGGCTGAGGTGCTTTATTGGATAAAGAAGAGTGGTGAAATCCCCGTATTTATGTAGAGCATGAGGCACTTCCAAGGTTTCTTAATACTAGTGAATTGAAATCAAGATCACATATCGTGCCAAAGATTAAATATGAAGATATATGTTTGTGAAAAGAGTAAACTTTGATATTAAACGCATTCTATGTGCCAGACTGAGGCATGAACATCCATTCATTAGGCCTTTCGATGCCATTCATATTCATTGCAAGATTCCCGGCTGGTAGAAAGTTTTGGCTCGGCTGTCCCGGGGGTGTGAAGCTGCCAAGAGAGCCAGTCATCACAAAGTAGTCAGCTAGAGTATGATTAGAAAGAAGAAAGACATGGAAACACCGTAGCAGGGAGGAACTCTCACGATTGAACAAGCTCATGTAATCCGATGACACTGTAGTGTCGTCTGGAAGAGAGCCTGCGGGCTCTAAACTGTTAAGTGGAACATCATTGAGCGGGAAATGGCTACCAGAACGCGTGATAGCTTGTGTTAGTGCAATATTGTGCTTTGTTCCATCATCTGCCCGAGCCAGAACGAAGTTGACAGTCTCGGCCGCTTTTTTGGCTTCTTTTGAACTCTCGCTCCGTCTCATCCAAATTGCCCTACATCGCTGAAGCGCCGCACGAATGTCTTGTTCGCGCTCCAGTGTTTGCCCTCGATGAAGCATAGAGCATAGAATCATCGTGGCAGTAAGGAATTGATGATTCATGATGGACGTCACGCGATATCGCATGGTATAAAGTTGACCCCCCGGACAAGTTTCCTCGTCTAGAATATGTTGAATGTTGAGGGTACCAAGGGAAGCCTCCAAGCAGACCTTTCGTGAGTAAGAGGTCGCTTGATCATCTGAATTGTCTGAGTTAGGGTAGAAGAATCGCTTGTGGAGAACAACCTGTCCCTTGTAGATCAGGTGGCATAGGAACAACCGGGCCATGATGATCTGTGGGGTGTCAGTCATGCTCGTTGCCATGGACTTGAGCTTTAGTGGTGGGGGGATGCTAGCGGCTGCCTCTTGGATCATGGAATCGATATGCATGACATCAGCATAGGTACATGGCCTGACCGCGTCAGCCAGATCTATCACGGCCCCAAGTGCCGCGAGAATCCGCCTTCGCGCGATGATTCCGAGGGAGTTTGTATACTCAGTAAGAGGGCGAGAAGGAGGCAACTCGGTCGACTGTTCGTCGAAATCCGAGTCATTCAAGTTTCGTGGCTCTGAAGTATCCCATTTGCTGTCGGAGATCATTCGCGGCATGCCCATTTGATTGGAGATGAGTATATCCCCCATAAGAACTGTTGCCCAAAGTCGACGACGCATTTCGCCGTGGAAGGGTGAGATCCCGGGGAAGTGGCTTGGGTCACGGTGGTAGCCCATTCGCATCGCCAAATTGACCTCCAGAGCTAGCAGAAACCAGATATCCTTGTCGGCGTCGGTTCGAATGCAAAATTCCGCATATGTGTAGTTTATTACTGTCTCCAAAACATATGGCCCTGACCTTGTATATTCACCTAACGTCAGACATTGCACAATTTTCTCGCGATAAAGGTCGATTTGGAGTGATAGATCCTCGGGGCTCGGTTCGGATAGGACATCGGAAGTAAGGCATGCGAGACATATCATGCTGAAGAGAAGACCAATCCACATAACAGGCGTGCCCGACTGATTTTCCCAAAATGCCTCGTACTTCTCCAGTCAGCACAACGACTCATGAGCAGTTGATGAACTTACCTCACGTAGAAAACTTGGTCCATGCACCGCAGCTGATCAAGATCAGTGACTCATATGAATGACATAAAGTGTAAGACATACAAGAGGAAACCAGGTCTAAGTAGTTGAAATATCGAGAAACATATCGATCCACTGCAGACCTCGGAGGCAGCGCTGCGAGAATCTCCTCCTTTGAGCCTAACCGACGCCCTCCATACAGAAGGAGCGCATAAGCAGACCGAGGGCGATTCAAATAGTTTCCATGCTCATCAATATCAAGATCCGACGGGGTACTTGCGAGTCTGAACTGCTCATCGCGATCGAGATGGTCTTTGAGATCCGCGATTCCATCGAGGATAGTCGCCCAATGATTATTTCCAACATAGTGAAATTCTGACTCGCTGATTTGCATACCACCACACTCAGAACGACCATCAACAGCGTCGACGATGGAATCACTTCGCGGTGGATTTGGGACTCTTGATGGAACCGAAGCTTCGGAGCCTGACGGAATATGTACTGGTGCCTTGCTCGCCGAATTGGTCATCAGTGACACAACCAATCGCTCCAATTGAGCCAAACGGTCATGCACGCCAGGTGCCGTCGCGGAAGACACATTTGAGCGACTCATGAGCTCTGAGTTATCCACATAAGTACAAATCTGGCCACGGGCAGAGCAAGAAGAACATGGGTGCTGACGGTCACATCGTGATCTGAAATAAATGTGAGTATATGGAGAGACAAATGCACATAGTAGACTTGCTTCATACTTTCGACGTCGGCAGGCATTACACGAGAGCTGGGGCTTGTCTCTAAGTCGACTGACTTTCGGCCGAGGATGTGATAGCTGGGATCGCTGCGACGGCTGGGATGACGGGGATGAGTGGGATGGTTGTGACACAGGGCCATGGCTCTCTAGGTCCATCCTTAGGCTATAGGGCTATGCGGGAGGACAGACGTCGGAGGAGGATCGGCGGGGATCTGACTCAGGGCCCGTGACCTCCGTGTTCTACACCACGTGACTACACGCTCCGATCATCCGGCGGCTGCACCTGCCAGACCCACAGCGGGTTCCAAGGTTCAACGCTCGGGCGGGAGATCTCCTAGCCGATCCACTCCACGGAGGATCGGAGGATCGGAGGGTCGGAGGATGTGTCGGACAGCTCTGCAGACGGTGAGCACAGTGGGCTCGCTGATCGGCGGACGTCCGAGTTGGAACAATGCATAGAGATCGTCTCCTGACACCCAACTTTACTTTAAATGCCGCGGAAATGCTTGGCCATTTTATTGTATCGTCTCGCTCGACATCTTCTTATCGGCGCAGCGCAGTCAGCAATGTCTTCCTCGTCAAGCTCTTCAAACACCACCCCGGGAAAATTGGAGTCTGCCGCCCTCTCGGAAAAAGTGCTTGATCTGAACCTCGTTGATTGGGATGGCGACAATGACCCTGAGCACCCCCGTAATTGGTCAACTCGGACCAAATGGGCAAATATTGTGATCATATCGATATTGGCATTGATTACGTATGTTTTGAGTCCTGTCATCGAATCAGAAGGAATTAAACCTAAACATGCATTTCTTCGTATAGGAACATGGCTCCTACCATGTGTGCGCCCGGGGTGGCAGAGATTGCTGCCGACCTCCACATCACATCGACAGTGGTCAGCACACTGGCCGTTACACTTTATGTCCTGGGAATATCCATAGGTCCGATGTTTACCTCATCGCTAAGTGAGATATACGGAAGGGTCCCGGTCTATCACGGAACTACGTTCATCTTCGTTGTCTTTATCATTGGTGGAGCCTTGAGCAAGACCACTGCCCAATACATGGTTTTCCGTTTCATATCAGGATGCGCTGGTGGCACTCCTATGGCGCTGGGTGGAGGCAGCATTGCTGATCTCACTACAGTTCAGGAACGGGCGATGGCGATGGCGTTGTTTAGTCTGGGACCACTTGCAGGACCGGTAAGTCGTATTCTCTGCATCTATCTATGTAGTTCGTATTTTGCTAAGTGTGCTAGGTCCTCGGTCCCGTCATTGGTGGATTTGTTGCAGCCGGAAAAGGCTGGCGTTGGACATTTTGGCTTCTAGCCATTCTCGGAGGAGGATTTGGCGCTATATCCGTCGTCCTTATGCGTGAAACACATCCCAAAGTTCTTCTCAGCCGAAGGACCGTTCGCCTACGCGCCACAACCGGCAACCAGGATCTACACTCCAAGCTGGACAGCACTCTGTCCCCTAGTCAAGTTCTGTTGCAAGTTCTCGTTCGCCCTCTAATGCTCCTGGTGCGATCGCCAATCTTATTAGTCATTTCTCTGTACGTGGCACTGGTATTTGGAGTCATGTACTTGCTCTTTACTACGTTCACTGGCGTGTTCGAGGGGCAGTATGGCTTTTCCACGGCTATCTCTGGGCTTACATACTTGGGGCTTGGCGTGGCACTTCTATTCAGCATGTTCATTTTCAACATGTTCAATGCTCGGGTTTTGGAGGCTCGTATGAAGGCTGATGGAGTGCAGCAGCCACGCCCTGAGTACCGTCTCATCTTCATGATCTGGTTCAGTCCATTTGTGGCATTTGGTCTTTTCCTTTACGGTTGGACCGCATACTATCAGATTCACTGGATCGTACCCATCATAGGGACATCCCTCATGGGATTCGGGGCTTATTTTGTGATCGTAGGTTGCTCCATTTCCCCGTCTTTTTGCATGAACCCTGATAACTGACCTTTTTTACGTTTAGATGCCCGCGCAACTGTACTTGGTGGATGTCTTTGGGTCAGGGGCCGCTGCATCAGCACTCGGTGCCAACAATCTACTGCGTTACATGTCTAGTACTTTCCTTCCTCTCGCTGGGCCAAGTATGTACAAGACCTTGAATTATGGGTGGGGTAACTCATTACTCGGATTCCTTGCACTGGCTTTTCTTCCGGGCCCCATCCTCTTTTACAAATACGGAGAGCGACTACGCGCTAACACCAAGGTGGCGCTCTAGCCCGGGCCACAGTGCTGGTTCTCCCGTGCCTGCCAAGAGGGCCCTCTCCACCCTTCCTGCAAGTCTTCAAATTTGTCTTACAATGCTTGTTTCTCTCTCCTTTCATAGATACAGCACTTACATTAATGTCATTTCTAATGTTCATACTAAGCATGTCCTAGTTCGCCAGCATAAGATTTCGAATTGACTGCCATTCACTCTCTGAAACTACCGGGTACATAAGTGAACAGTTGGAGAAGAATATTGGCATAATGGGATTTATAAACTTGGAACCTTGGAAGTGACTCTGGACTGGTCCCAACCTTGGAAGTCCTCAATGGGTAACGAAATCACAATCACAGGATTTGAAACATTCCTTACAGCGCCTGCGTACTTAAGTATCTCACCATTTGAAGAATTATTTCCAGTTGAAAAAATCCTGACAGAGAATATACTCGTAGCTGCCTCCGCTATCTTCGAAAATACTATTCTACACCCCCGTAGCCAATTTCCTTGTTCAGCTTACATCGATTAGCACTTTATTCAACTGATATTAGAGAGACTTTTTGTTTGGTCGGGTCTTGCAAATATGTCGCCGAGTAGAGTCGAGTGAAGTAGAATGTGCTAGCTATCCCTAGCTATGCGAAAGATCAAAAGGAAAATCGCGAGAACCAAAGCCGTTCAGATCCAGTGCTTCTCAAAAAAGTCCAAAACGGTCTTGTATCCGCGGGCATATTCATCACGAACATGAGGGTCAGACAAATCAGCCCGAGCCGCCATCCAGCCATGGACTTGGTCCGTAAACGTCTCCACATGATGGGGCACCTTCAACTGACTCTCGAACTTGTTCACGTCTTCAGCAGGGTCTTCGCCAGCTGCCAGAAGCATGAATGGAACCGAGATGTTCTCTGCTCCCGATGGGTCGATCATAGCAGGGTGACAAGTAGCAGCAATCGCAAATGGGTTCTCTCCACCGGAGGTGATAATTTCGGCGACTTTACCACCCCAGCAGAACTGTTCGATATGTTAGTGAATGTAGACACTGCGACACATCCATTGCGCTCAAACACTTACGCCGACAAGAGCCCACGACTCAATGGATGGATTGGCAGCCTTGAGAGCCGCAACATACTGGGGCAAAGCAGCGGCAGGACCTTGAGGCATGTGGTTACCAAACCATGCACCTAGATCTTTTTGCTTCTGCTCGGTATCGGGTGGGAACCTTGATTAGATCTGTCAGTGGGTGCTTTCCGAAGGGACGTCTGCGGAATCTCACCATTCCGAGGGACAGGGACTTCCCTCAAACCAATCTGGAATGAAAGTCTTGTGCTGGTGACGATGACTGGTCGCGAGGATATCGGCACCCTGAAGGGCCTGGTCGGAGAATCCGAAGATGTCGGAAATGATGACAATCCCCTTAGTGGTGTTCTCGGGTCCGGAGGAGTCTATATTCGGATCCAGTCAGTTCTGAAGGAACACGCAATTGTACCTAAAGGGAGACTGACAAGTCTTCAATCCTCCGAGCTGGCTGTACGAGCCCTTGGCCACATAGTGAGAGCTGACAACCGGCGGAACGTTACAGCAGGCCTTGTTATGACCGTTGGTAGCTTCCATAGTTGACATGGCCCTTATCTGGGAATGGTGGGGGGTTGCTCGGATGCACTTGGAAGGCGAATTGAGAAAACTAGAAGAGCCCAATGGTCGAGATGCCGAACTTAAAGGTCTCAAGAATGAGCAAGCGGTGGCGTTCCTTGTAGAAAACGTTAAAGCCGGGACCGGGGAACGTTGAGGAAGACGAAATGGAGGAGGCATGGGATTGAGCGAGAGCGAGAGAGAAGGGTGGAAGAAGGTGAGAACAACAAGGAACCGACTAGATGCGGGCGTACTTTCTCCAGTCACGTATATCCCTTATTGGACTTGCTCTTTTCACCGCTTACAGTCTAATGCTGGGTACACATTGAATGTACAGAACATCGGAGTCTTTTATACTTCAAGTTCCTAATGCGGGAAGCCGGGGCAGCGGCGGGTCATCGGAGTGGGACAGATGTGGGGCATTTCGGACGAGGTTCGGACCCTCCGAAATCGGCTCCACCGTTTCGGGCCCGGCCCCCTAGCCCTAAATCCGAATATGTCCAGCACTAGTAGCGGGCTGTTTGCTGTTATTTCCGAGGCTAACAGCAATACATAGATCAAAGGGAGCTCGACTGTCAGGCGGTCATCCGATGCTCCCGATCTGTTCACAAAGAAATCCCAGCCAACATGACTCTTTCACCCTCGACTTCTGGCGCCGGCGTGGCCCACTCACATCCGCTTATCTGTTCAGTGCAACCGTGAACCTTGGTAAAGCGGATTGTCGAGCCCATCACTGGCGGCACCATCTACGGCCCGGGCTTCAACGCCACCATTGACGGAGGAGTCGCTGCTCCGGTGGTTGTCACAAACAATGGAACCATCACCCAGATCCCGTACATTTACGCATATGGGCATGCAGACTACGGCTCTCCCTTTTACATTGAGGTAAGCATCATTCGTTTTGCGAGTTTTTGGCAATCCGCGTCTCACACATCAATAGGAAATGGGAATCGGTTCGACAGCCACCCAAAACACACGTTTGATTATTCAAGTCAGCGACAAGTACGCAGAGCTACAAAATCTTTACATTCTTGGACAGCCATCTGTGAACGAGGAAAGGACGGTCGGACAGGTAGAATGCTGGAGCGTACCATTGCCTTAAGTAGTGTTTTCCAGCGTGTTTTAAGGGGCATATTCACCAGTGGACAACCTTCAACGAGAAAAGTTTGATCACCCTGTTTCTCAATCAAAACTATCTCTCTTACCAAACTTGAGCAGTATTGGCGTTGGAATATTCGGCACGTTTGGCGTTTGTGAGATCGATCTTCGTCCCCAAGCCAAGGGAGGAAAAGCATCCATTCGATATGCCGTACCGATGCCAGACGCTGGTCTGATGACTGGCATTCAAGCACTTCCTCTTTCACCATCGACTTTGCTAGTCAGTGACTCGTTCCTCGGCTTGGTATACAAGGTCGATAACATGACCGGCAAATACGAGGTCGCAATCAAAGACGAGGCCTCAATGGGCCATCCCTCATGGACAGTAACACCGTTCGGAATCAACAATCTGCGTATACATAATGGGTATCTGTACTGGACCAACAGCTATGTGGCATCTGTGTACCGGGTCGCTATCACCAAAGACGGATATGCTACTCCTGGATCGAAGATTGAGTTGGTCAAGAGGTTACAGACCATATATTTGGATTCCATTTGTCTTGGCCCCGGCGAGAGTGATACAATCTGGGGTGCGACAAATGCCGACAATCGACTTGTTGCGATCACTTCCGATGGAAATGCGACGTTTGTTGCCGGATCACCGACTGAAATGACGATCGCTGGGTCTGTAGCGCCTGGATTTGGCACGCTGCCGGGCGACACTGAGACTTTGTATGTTGCGTCTGGAGGTTCGCTCCTTTTCCCCGTCAATGGGACGGTCACGGAGGGTGGGAAGATCGTTGCCGTGAATACCACCGGCTTCGGGCCGGACGAGAGCAAGCCTCGAGAAAAGGCGCAAAAGGCGCAACCTTGTATCACATTCAGTCCGCAGACGACATCGTGGATGGATTACCTCTGGCAACTCCCTCTGAGGCACTTGTCACTTCTTTGAAGCTGAACATGGATAATTTTCACAGATGATAGAAGAGTCATTGACCACGGTAGATAATGCAATAACAGTATAACGATAGTATTTGCTTCAGAAAACTCGTTACACAGTAGGCTGCCCCAGCTAATTCAGAGACTCCATTCTCCTCAGAATTAATCCAAGATGTAAGGTTCGGCTACGCTGAGAAAAGGAAGAAGCTGATTCTGTTCACTGGCAGGCTATACTAGGGCCTCGATCTCTGCGCGGGCCCATTGGATAATTGCAGCCACTTTATCCTCGACCGAGGTGTGTACTGGATACTCACTAGTATCCGCAACTGTTGTATCAGCGTTGGTAGCGTTGGCAGTTGTGTCAGCAGATACTCGATTGGGTCTGGCGATATGGTTATTGACCACAAGAACAGATCGTGATCGTATACCTCCATTGCGATATTTCGCTCGCATACCTCGACTGATTGATAGTCGAGCTCGATTAATTCTCGATTGTTCCTCTTTGTTATAGTGTAACTCTTTAAACCATCGAATGAATTCGTGCGTATCGGCGTCCATTCGGACGGCTGATCCTCGGAGTGATTGTGCAGCATCTGGAATGCTGACAATGCAGAACTTTTGGTTCGCCCAGAACATCATGGCCACATCCATCACTGTTTCCATAATTCACTAGCACATTACTTGGTTTGATATCTGTTGATCGAAAAGTTGAGAGAAAGGAATCAAATATTTTCTGTGATGATACTCGACCAACCTGTATGTACAAACCCTTCTCTGTGAAGCACTGACAATGCTTGCAAGACACACCGAGCAACATATTTCACCTCTGAGTGGGTTAGGCGTTGGCTATTAGATGCATGTAAAATATCGTCATCCAGATATTGAAGGACAATAGCCGGGGACGAAGCAGGGTGCTCAATTTCGTCCAGTAAGGGTCGTAAAAAAGAAGTTTTGTTTTGAAATCGCAGAAGCACGTCCCTTTCATTGTGTATACGAAAGTGATTGACACTTTTCACAATGAACTTTTCGCTGCTCAGATTGGTGTGGCGTCGATGGTCATCAGAAGAGGACCCCTTCGATAACTGAAGCCAGGAACACATACGTTGCAAGCCAGACGCCATCATAAAGCCGCTTGGTGATGGTGTATTGGCCGACTCGACCTCTGATTACCTGGGAGATATTCATTAGCAACTCTCCACTCTTCGAGCTCAATTGTCGGTCGTGTAGAAAAAGCAAAGATTGAGCGATGGAAGCTTGCTCGGAAAATAGAGGGAAAGGTCTATTCTCAACGGTCTTAGTATGGACACCACGCCTCGCGCATAACAACGCGAAGAATCCGGGAACTATCGGAGCCAAATCACATGATCGAGTCCCCTAATATCAAAATTGAACATTGGCTGAAAGCGGTCTACATACATTGTATAATGTAGAACCCATCTTCCACTGCCCATTTCCCCATATATTAGTTGAACATTGAGGCTCAGCTTATATGATGCTAATAAATTTTAGTTTCACATGCTATCGCTGCCCCAAGATGCCCCAAGATGCCTGCATTATGGTGGTAAACTGAGGCTCAGTCTGTACAGCGTGATTTACCTCTATTTGCCCTCCAATTCCTCAAATGAAAGCTCATAAAAGCTAGCCTCGGAAAGTGGGGGTTCAAACTAGGGGACTTCCTGGCGGGCTTAATTGCTCAAGTGGGGGCTTAATTGGGGGAAATAGCATGTCATTGAAAAGTGACTTGGCCCGAGAAATCCCGAATTCTTAGCGCTGTTGTGCGCGAGCGTTGTGCACGTACTAAGATCCTTATCAAGCCAGGGTACTCAGAGGCATGCTCAATTTTACTCTGAGACCAAAAAGCGGCATGAGGTGAGCACTGGAAAGGTCTCGAGTGCCATTATCCGGTACATATGCATATTGTATACTTGAGTAGAGGGGACTTGATTGCCGAATGCGGAATGCCGATCCCTGAGAACATTTGCAGGCTATAGATGTAGCTGCAATCTTCATGGCGGGATAGGAGGGGCGAATCCTGTGATATCTGATGTGATCTCGGATAGTCGAGTCTATATTTGGCTGTCGTTTCGTACTTGACGGCCAAATGGAAGTTTATAGCCTAACTTGAGAAAGGCCGTAGATCAAGATCAGTAGAAATTGTCGATTAAAAAGTACAAAGCAAGAATGCCCAGTTCATACCCAAGCCACTGAACGCCAGCCATGTGCTCCCCGTAGAACCGAAGCCTGGACATGCCATTCAGAGTGCTGATTGCCATACTATGCCACCATGCCATAAGAAAGGCGAGAAAAAAGAAAAGAAATAAGCCCACGGAACAGGTATCAAGATTCAGGACGGTATCCCAGGAAGTAAAGATAAAGATAAAAGAGTAAGGTTATCACTGCGCTGCAGACAGAAATGACATAGACTAATCGACCCAAAGGAACATGACATGACAGCGGACATGAGAACAATGAAGCCATTAAATTACCTAAAGCCAAACTCCACCGAACACGCAGATGTCCCTCGAGATTCTTGGAGTCGTGAAGTCCTCCCGAAGGATTGAGGGGTATGTGTCTGACAACTGACTGGACAAAAGAAGACGTGGAGCCCATTGGAATACATCTCCATGCAGACAGAAGACAGACCGAAAGGATGAATGAAAGGACAGAGGTGAAATTCGTAACAGCGGGAAGGTGCCTAAACGGGCGGAGAGTCATTCATGGAAAACCCATATTTGCGGAAAGCAATGCAATCCAAGGCATGTACAAGAGTGAAAATAATAATGTATGCCAGATCAATGACTCCATGATCATGCAGAAGAAAAGAAAACGTAATCACATGTCAAAAGTATCGTCAACGTTGAAGATCCCGGATTCAGTGCCGTCGTGCGCCTTGTGGGAGCCTGCCATGCGCTGGTCGACGGAGCTGACGGAGTTGCCGGATCGATGGCCTCGTTGCCATTCATGGTCGTGGAGGCCGTCTTCCTCCATATGGTCACTGTCGTCCATAAGGTGGTGGTCGATGGAGCTCTCATTCACAAAGGTGAACCCCTTGAAGTTGGCCTGCATACCAGGGGAGAGAGGAGTGGATGCGGGCATAAGACCATTGGCCAGAGCTGCGGCGCGAAGGTTCAAAGAGTTGTTCATTTCAAGGGCATTGGTGAACTCGGGATCGAAATTCGAGGTGTCGGTGTCGGATTGGAGCTGGGGCTTGAAAGGAGGAATGACCTGCTTGCGGCAGAGTGTGTCCCAGTTGATGTCGGAGAAGAAGGGATGCTCCATAAGCTCCTTGGCGTCACCGTTGGCTCCCAGTCGGTGCTTGGGGTTTCTGTTCAACAGACCCTTGACAAAGTTGCGACCTTCGGTGCTGAGCGCATCACGAGGGAATCTGACTTTGCCAAAGGCAATGTTCTTGTACATTTGCTGGGTGTCTTCGGCGTAGAAGGGACTCCAGCCACAGCACATCTCAAAGACTAACACACCCAGGGACCAGAAGTCGACCATCTTGGTGTAACCCTGCTCGTCGAGCAAGACCTCCGGGGCAAGGTACTCGGTGGTACCGCAGAAAGTGTTGGTAGTGTCGTTCTGGGACAGGTTGGCCTTGGACAGTCCGAAATCACATAGAGCGATATGACCATTTGCATCCAGCAGGATGTTCTCTGGCTTGAGATCACGGTACACAATATCGTGGTCGTGAAGGTGCTGCAGAGCCAGAATCAACTCAGCAATGTAGAACTTGGCGCGTGCCTCCTGGAACCGGCCTTCGCGCTGCAAATGCCAGAACAGCTCGCCACCGGACATGTAATCTGTGACAAGATACAGGTCTGTTGGGGTTTGGAAGGAGAACTTGAGTCCAACAATGAAGGGAGACGCCGTCATGGCGGTGCGAACGAGGATATTGCGCTCGCCCAGTGTGTGTATCACCTCCTTCTTTTGGATGATGACCTTCTTGGAGAGGACCTTCATCGCATAGATACGCTGTGTATCCTTCTTCTTGACCTGGTAGACCTGACCGAAGGTTCCTTTGCCGATAAGTTTGAGGATGAGGAAATCGTTTGGCCCAACCTGCTTCCGATCTGTCTTTTCGAAGTTCATCTCGAGATGGATCTCTCCGGATACTTGGTTATCGCCGGCACCGCGAGCCACCAAGGGGAACCAGCCTTCAAGTCGACTGTGGTCTTCCTTGAGGTTGATGCAAAGGCGAACGTGGCCCAGGAAAGCTTCTTGGTTGTTGCGATCGTACACTGTGACATCCAGTTCTGATTGATCTCCCATCACATCACTGAAAGAGAAGAGCAAGTTAGTAGTTGAAATGAAAGAAAATCACGCTGGGACAAACGTACAAGGTTGCCTCGTGATCCCAGTGAGGATCGGTCACGGGGGTCCGACCCTTGTGGTCACCTTCCGCAATGGTATTTTGGCTGCTGGATCGTGACTTCAAGGGGATGGCCATGGGCCGACCCGCAGCCTCCTCGGCATCCGATTCCTGCTGACGCCGTTTCGTTTCCTCCTCGCCGTCGCGAGCACCCTTGGAAATGTACTCATTCCATTCGAATACACAAACCACATACGGATCGAAACTGGGCCGCAAGCCGCGACCATCGGTGATCTTCACAAACAGTTTACCGTTGATTGGACCTGTGGGTGCCCCGTTGGCCGGGGATGATGCAGACTGAGAGGGGAATGCCTCATCGAGTTTCATGGTGATCTCATCCGTGGAGGTTTCCATGTCGTCCGTCTTCGACTCGGGTTGGGGCTCTGGCGGGGTCTCCTGGGAGATCTGTTGCGGGGCCGAAGTGACCGACTTTTGAGAGGCGGCGTCGTTGGACATGGCCCGGGGAGTGAGGGGTGGTGTATTCTTAAGACGCAACCCATCGGGTGCGGTTCCAGTTAGCTTGGCAAGATTCTCGGAAGATACTGAAACATGCGGCTTCTCATGGTCCAGAAGGGGAGCATCGGTCAGGGAAACATCATCCGAGGAAGGAGGGAGGGAAGGATTGGAGAAGTGAGTGGCAAGAACCGCGTCGTCCGAGATGCTGGAGACTGGGTTGGAGGTTTGACGACGAGAAGGGCTCTCATCGGGAGGGGTGATAGTGGGTGGAACAAGATATTTCTTCAGGGTGGTAAAGATAGAGGACACTCCGGGACTCGTCCCAAGCTCCATGTCATCCGAGTCGTGTTGCAACAAGGAATGGGGAGGGGTTGGCAAGCTGGATTGTTCCTCGTCCATTTTCTCAGAGCCGTCCTCCTGCTCCATCATGACAAAGGACTCGGAGGAACCGGTTGAGTGGTGGGTATGCGCATTGGGTGATTCCTCGGATGGCTTTGACAGACACGACCATAGCCGTGGCAGACTCGCTTTATCACCGGAGAAAGAACCAACCTGGAAGTAGTTGTGCATGATGGACGGCAGCCGCTTGTCCGCGGGATCCGGTTCGGGTGTCGCGATTCCAGTCGGTGTGGGGGTAGAACCATTCGACCCAATGTGGTCTTGAGTGTCGTCCTCGGAGCTGCGATGGAAGTGTTAGTCATGCGAGGATGCAAGGTAGATCTAAAATCTTCCCACGATGACGGGGCTAGGTTCGCCAGAGGGTTCTTTTTTGCACAGAGTCACAGCAACCGTCCAGTGTTTCATGCAGGCCCCAATGAGAAGCAATGCAATGCGGTGTGAGGGGAATCGTGGACCCTCTTTTTTTTCCCTGCCCCGCCTTTTTTTCTGTTCTTTTGGAAGGAAGACGCAGCCCTGGAGAGATGGGAGAGACTCACGGTATTGACTTCATGTCGCCATGGAGGGAATCGTGGGCGGCCATGGTGTTTCCATTCAAGTCGCGCAGTTGTAAAAGTGAAGAAGTTGCAAAAGAAACTTCTGATGAGCTAAGGCGGGATCGGGTTGGGAGATAAGATAATTGGGCTCTCGTTCTCGTTCCCCTTTTTTTCTTTTTTCTTTTTTCTTCACTTTTCACTTTTCACTTTTCGATATTTCGATATTTCACTTCAGTCTTGGTAACATCCTTGTATTTTGTTGGATATTCTGGATATGGTTGGATATTCTGGATATTCTGGTATAGTGGGATATGTTCTGAATATAGATGTTCATGGATTTCGAGGACGGGTCTAGCCTAAAGCAGCCCGGCTGAGCAATGCTGACAGACCTGAAAAGAGGGCTAGAAAAAAGAGGACGTCTGCGTTCTTGTATCTGAACATATAAGTAGCCTATTATCGCCTCAGCGTGACTCTCAGAGGGCTTTGACTGGACAATTTGGGATATTCTATGGGATTTAGCAATTTCGCCTTTAGGGAAATAAGTTAATAATTTAATTTCGGCTTCTGAATATTCCAATATTCAATAGCGAACTGAATATCTCGAGAATTCCCCGGAATGAATCAGTTGCCTACTTAGACCCTCCATGACTTCCGTCCTAACTCTCTAACTGGCTCTGCTCAAGTGGGATAGAGATTAATACTATTAATCTCCCCTTTTCAACTATGCGCCGTTTCCTACTTATGTCTAATGGTGTCATATCCTACACTTAACTATGAACTATCTCTACAAGTAGAATATCCCACTTCGCGCTTTAATCGCTCCCCACCTTGCGGGGTAGGTTATTTCATCATCTCTGACACCATACAGATTTCACTTAGACCGCTTCTCTCGGAGCAATGCTTTCCGATTCCTTCCAGAAACCTCTACTCGCATGCATTCTGAACGGAGTACGAGTACTCTAGATGGAGGACCTCGTACGGCATAAATATCTCATTCCCTTGCTCTATCAAACCCATAGATCGAGTCCCGATCGACGATCTAAGAATCCCTCTGGCCCGAGCCCAGTTCTCAGCTCCCCTTGCATCTGCATACCAACGACGATAATGCGATGGTCACATCCGATTCCCCTCCACATGCGTCATCGGGCGCCGTGCAGGCCCTAACCTCCGGGCGCTAACATGTGGTTCGGCGGATCTAACGACCGGTGCCACAGATCCCCCTAAGGCCAGAAGGAGAGAAGGAAATCCGACGCTAGACAGACGATCCCACATCTCATTACCCATGTAATTATATCCGAATAAGCGGGTTGAGGGGAAACGAGGGATCGACGGGTATCTCCCGCAGATGTATACGAATAAAATCATGGGGAAATATCATCCCTTTTCGTGTCCCATATACCAATGCAATAACAGGCCATATTATGATAATTCCAAGGACCAAGTCAGCTTCCTCAGGCTATCCGAGCAGGGATTCTGGCGCATTCTCTGCACTGCACAAGACCTAGACCGAGAGTCTGGACTTGATTTGTAGGTCATCTGCGCTATGAGGACAGGTCATGATCTGCGCTGTAATTGCCTTTCCGTTCGGCATCGGCCCCAAGCTCTCTGCAGATACCATAATAGATCATGATTCATGGGGCTTCATTTATCCCAGCCATTCGAGTTGGGGCATTGTTGAGCACTTGGGAATAAAAAGCGCCAGCCGCGTTAGTGCCACCTATAAATCCCCAGGCCTGGGCAGTTCCTTGATTTCGACCAACTTTGTCTCGGGGTGTGCTCAACCCTCTTCAGAGGCTCGAGTTATCTCTCGCATATGATATTGGCTCTTCTAAAGTTGCAATCAATCATCGTTACAGTACGTGAAAACATGTCTCTGGCTCCAGGGCTTCGATGTGAGTATCCTCGTACTTAAGTTATTATTAGAAGGGTAATATTTCCAGAATTGTTCAGGTCATAGTTTCGGGGAATAACGGTGCACTAAATGACCGGTGATCAGTTGCGGCATTTCGCTGACACGGAGGAGATCGTAACACAGGGCTGTTGACCCATTGGTGACCATTGAATCTATGCGCTCTGATGTTCAGAACAAAGCCCGCGATGCTTATCCCCTCCCAAGCTGTCATCATTCCGGTGCTCACACACAGCCACAATAGTGGGAGTAGAGCGTTCCGCTACTGACATTGGTGCAAGTTCAAAGGTCACCGTGCCATTGACCCTTTAATGCCCTTTTTCTAGCCATCCCAATTAATGAATACAGCGTTCGGAATGCCATTTGTGTAGGCAAAAATCGAGAATAAAGCAAAAGACAGCCAAAGGAAAGTACAACGAAGCGATAAAGCTTTCACCGACTGTAGAGGCAGTTCACTACCCTTTTTGCTGGCCTGGCACTGTTGTCGTCAATATCAATCAGATAGAACGGCTAGGGCGCTTCGGACTCGAGAAGTGCGAAAGACCAAATCTCGACCGTCAGAAGCAGGCAAGTATGCCGATCAACGGCCATGCACCGTGAGCTGAAGAAGCCCCCGGGGACGATGTCATCTTCAAATTCTTGGCATTAAGTCACATGACAAAGAACGTGACAAGAGAAAACACAGTCACGTGTTTTCAAGTCAAGGCTCCACGTGATACACCCAGCAAAGAGCTTCCTTTGCGCTTTCAGAGCAGACTCGGCCAACGCTAAGATGCCTCGAAAGTCAAGGGCCGCTGCCCAGGCCGCTGCAGAACTGATCAGTGAGTGCCCCAAACCATTCATATCCCCCATGACCCACTGATCTCAATGGTCAATTCCCGCATCTTCCCAAATCCACGATCCCCTAGACGCGCTTGCAATTAACCAGCCCTAGAAAATGTTCCAGTTCTACCTGAAGGCTCTGATGATGAGATGATCGACGCACCACCATCTCATGAATCGTCCCCTGTAGCCGAATCCCACCATTCGTCGGAGCACGATCCAGATGCCGAAATCATGGCCGAACGCGAAGCTGAAAATGAATCTCGCGCTCAATCCGAGACCCAGACCAAAGTGGAGGGGGAGGAAGAAGAAGTAGAAGGTGGTGCGCCTGTAAAATCCGGAAGTGAGGTGGGAGAAAAAGAGGAGGGTGGTGAACAGGTCGATGCTGGGACCACACCAGGTACCCCCAAAGTTGAGGATGAGTTGAGCGTCGCAACACCAGCAGAGGACTCAATCCTCACCGAAACAGCTCCAACACCTACGCACGGTCCTGGACGCCCTGGAATTTACCCCCGTGGAAAGCGTCGCATTGGTCGCCCCCCAAAGAATCCTCGTCCCATTGAGTACGAAGCAGACGGTGAAACACCAATCCGAGTTACCACACCTGCTAAACGCCGTCGAGGTCGTCCTGCCGCCAGTGGAGGACGTTGGGCGCGTAATCGCGGTCCCTCTCATCTCACCCAAGTGCCTATCGATAAGGAAGGAAACATGATGGATGTCATCAACGACGAGGTCTCAATCCCACCCGACCCCATCGGTGCCACCAAGGTCGACGAGAATGGCCACCTTCAAGGTGATCGTGAGTACCGAGTTCGTACTTTTAAGATCCTCGGCCGCGGCGATCGCCTTTACATGTTGTCGACTGAACCGGCCCGTTGCATTGGATTCCGTGATTCGTACCTGTTCTTCCAGAAGCACAAGATGCTCTACAAGATCATCATTGATGACGATGCCAAGCGGGATCTGATCGAACGCGACCTCATTCCCCATTCATACAAGGGCAGAGCCATTGGTGTTGTTACCGCACGCTCTGTCTTCCGCGAGTTCGGCTCAAAGATCATCGTTGGTGGAAAGAAGATCACCGATGACTATGATGAAGCTGCTGCCCGTGAAAGAGGCGATGTTGAGGGTGAACTTTCCGTTCCCGATGATCGCATGCCCGGCCCCGGCGAAGTCTACAACAGAAACCAGTATGTTGCTTGGCATGGCGCCAGCAGTGTCTACCACAACAACGCTCCTTCAGTCCCACTTCCTGGTGGAAAGCCTGTTGATGGCAAGAAACGTCGTGTCCCAGTCACTGACGATAACTGGATGCTTGAGCACGCCCGTGCTGCAAGGTAAGTTTACATATGCGCCAGCCAACAGTCTCTTGTAACCCTAACTAACACTTTTCTAGCAACTACAACCACAAGCTCAGTGATATGCGCCGTGCCAACCTGAATGGTGTCTACGATGTACACACCAATATCATGCAATACCCTAAGATCATGCAGCCTACCCACGCTCGCTGGGAACGTGTGCCCCCTGCTCCGGAGCTCGCGACCGCCACTGGCCTGACATCTGAGATGAATTCCCTGAACATCGACACCAAAGGTTCCGACAAAGTTGACGCTCAGGCTGCCACTGAATCCCAAGAACCCAACGAAACCGCCAACGGCGAATCAGCCCCTGCCGAAACCAAGCCCTCTACTATCTTCTCATCTGTTCCCGCCCATGTCTACAACCGCTACGTCGTCCAGGATATCGTCTACGAGTCCCCACAATACTCGAACATGGGTATTCCCGGCCCCGACGGCGACGTTCACGACATCGGACCCAACGGTATGATCAGCGTTGCCAACCCCGCGCACCCTGAATTTATGACCCCTGAAATCCTCGAAATGCTCCCATCCGAGTGCAAAGACGCTCTTGCCGAAGCATGTGCCCGCGAAGTCGAGTGGAAGTCCAAATGGCGCACCGAGACCCAAGATGGTGAGCGTGTTCAGCCTACCAAGAGCTACGCTTGGTACCCCTGAACGGAGTTCTGGCTCTCTTTGTATGGAGACAATGTGACTTTGGGTGGTTCTTTCTTGTCTTTTGTGATTCTTGCGCAAGGCGAAATATGGGTTAGCATGGGCTGGGTGGACATGGCTGGCGAAATGCCACTGGCGTTTTTTTTTTTTTCTTTTCTCTTTCTTTCTTTCCTGGCTGCATGGTTGGCATATGAGACCATTTCGCTCTCAGCATCTCTCCTATGTCTTACTCGGATTTCGATTGGACTGTCTGGTCTAAGGGTTGGACCTCGGCTTACTCGATGTATTGATATCTGGTTTCCGGTTCAGTCTTATTAATTTCTGAGTGATCCACGTCGAGATAATAATGAATCATTTTTAACAAAATGCCGATAATACTCAGGATCTATTTACCCTGTAGTTCACCAACTCTACAAAAGCCATGCCCAATTCTAAAGTCTAAAGTCAAGGGCGCACTTGGTTGAAGGATTATGGTTAATATCTTTGCATCAAACTAAAGACCGGGAAAGAATCTAACAAACTCCAATTCAAATCAGTAAAAGAACCAATGACCGAAATTCGACGGGTCTGAAAACGGTGTTGAGGAGTGGAACAGCCAGATAAAAACAGCGCCATACGAGACAGGACAGGTTAACCGGGACCTGAAGATGTCTGCAGATCATACATATTGAGAGGTAGGGAGAAGTTAAAGGGAAAAAAAATCAGCCGGGGGTGCTACCAGTTTAAAAAGGAAGAAAATGAGAGCGCAAAAAGGCTTGAAAAACGGCCGGGTCATGCATGTAGGGAGAGAAGTGGGAATTGATCGCGAGGCTGTCACATGGCCATTTCTGCCCGTAGTTTCTCCAATTCGGCTTCTTCGTCGTCTTCTGCCTTGGCGGGTTGCTTGACTGTGATCAGTTAGTAAATGAGATTTGACATGAGGGGGCATGGTTAACGCACGATCTGTATTTCCTGCAGCTGGTAACCGGTCCAGCTGGGTACCAACTGGTACAAAGCCAGTATTGACCATCTTTGCATCCATAGCCTCCTGCTCCAATCCCTCCAGTTCGGCATCGAGTTCATCCTCGTCTGGCTGTTCACCAATGGGAACACTGGTAATAGCGCTTCCGATTTCTGCGCTGAGTGCATGCTGGTCTTGGAGTTGTTCCCTGCGAGATATCAGCAAACCATATAAAGGAGAAAGAAGCAACTCAGTCAGATAACATACATCGTCTTATCAACATCCTCCAGTGTCATACCACCATGAATCTGCTTCATTGCCGCACCAGCCTGCTTCATAGCAGCCAGAGTCTCGTGATTGATATTGGCCGCTTCAATAGAGTATATCTGTTGTTCGAGCTGCATGATCTGCGCTGTCGTCTGCTCGAGGTTCTTCTCGTGGACCTTCTTTCGTCGCAAGGCATTCTTGGCAGCTAATTCCGATGCTGGTCAGCCCGGTTCTCACAATGGCTCGTAGATAGTGCTCCTACCATTCTTATCTGAGTTGATATTCTTCCGGGCCACGGCGTCCTGGTCTGAAATCTGACTTTCGAGATGTCTCTCGCGCTTCTGAAGCATATCCAACTGCTCACGCAGTGTGAGGATGGCGTTCTTGGGCGCATCCTTGCGCTTTTGGGCGGCTGCCCCGCCAAACCATGACCACATATCGGCCTTTCGTATGTATTGTAACTCGGAGAGGGCGAAAGAGAAGCGACTGAGCAGCGGCTCAGTTAAAACGTTGGTAGACGGGTAGAAAGCACTCCGAAAGACCGCGGAATGACCGTTTTCTTTGGCGCTAATTGCAGGTCAGGTGGACCGATAGGCTCCAGAGATACTTCAGGAGACAAGGCAGGATCAGAGTGTAACAGTGCGACTAGTCAGCTTAAGATGTCTGAAAAACGCTTTGGAGGATAATTCGGAGATAGTCACAGTTGGAGGGGAGACATTCCCCTCGATGACATACGCGGTAAGGCCAGGTCACGTGCGATCATATATCTGGGACAAAAGTTCGTCTCTTCATACAAAACACACTCTCACTCAACATTTGACAATGCCTAGCTGAAGGCCCAATAGTCCAAGAATGAACGGGAATGGGCCGCGTCCGTCGACTCGTGTGTTCTTGTCTGATCTCCCATCTCTACAGACGGACACAAAGATCCGCTTTCTCGGCTGGTGCGTCGGTGTTAGTATGAGTCCGATATCGTATGGACTGACTTTATGGCTACTCTCACGTACAGTGTGGCGAGGTATACCGTTGCAACAGGACACTTGATCCTGGAACACAACTATCCACCCAGCAAGACAAGCCCTAGTGCCGTCTCCGTCGATATCACTGGGATTCTTGAAGACGTCACCGCAGAAGCACTGCGCATTGGAACATGGCTGAACGTTGTGGGCTACGTCAGAGAAGTCGAACCAGTGCAGCCATCATCGTCATTCTCATCTAACTCTGGTGATGCCAATGAATCATCTACAACTCCTCGACCTGTTTACATCGAAGCCATTATGGTTTTCTCAGCTGGAGCCATCGCAGTGGGAGAATATGAGCGTATCCTGCGCAATTCCCAAGATGTGGAACGGATGATGAAGTCGAATACCTAGGCTAAGATATTGTCAAGGCTTGGCGGCATACATTAAGCCCGTGTTAAAGCACAGCGCATCTTCCAAAAATAAAGAAAAAGTTTCAAACAACTTTTAGAACGCCTCAAATGCAAGGCCAGGGTATTTTCCAAAGAAATTTCAAACCTCCTCCTGTTCCAGCTCCTCCCGATTAGCATTAGCCAGCTGAAGGGCCCTCTTAGCTCTCTTCCCTTCCAACTTCGTCTTCTCCTCCTGCATGCGCACAATCAACGGACTCTTCATCCGAATCTTATGCCCATACTTGTAAAACACAAACGGAATCGGCACAATCAACACCTCCAACAAACCCAAGAGCGTGCCAGCCCAATTCGGACCTAGACTCTTATACATAGCCGAGCCAGCCAACGGCAAGACACCACCAAGAATACTCCTAATGACTGAATTGCCCGCCAACGCAGAAGCAGCATACATACCATAACTGTGCGTCAGGTAATTAGAAGCATAAATAAAGACACCGGTATTACCCGCCCCAAACGGAATACCCGCAAGCAAGGGAGCGATCCAATGAATGGAGGCTGGGGAGCAAGTCCATGCAAACCAGAGTTCACCGACAGGGATGATGAGGGCGCAGATGCAGACGAAGGAAACGGCTGCTTCGGGGGGTGGCTTTCCTGTTTCGGGGTCTGGGGCGTGCATGTTGATTAAGCGGCGGATTAGGGGCTCGCAGGCGATTGTGAGGACGACGCCGATGCCAATGCCTAGGAAGGCTAGGCCTGAGATTCCGAGGCCCCAGCCTCGGATTTCTTGGAAGACAATTGGGTAGGCTACGAAGCAGAGGTAGAGGATTCCGTAGATGATGGCGATGTAGATGTCCCAGAAGATGCTGGTGGGTGTTAGTTTGGGACTTTGGCATCTCAGGAGGGTTTCCTTACCAGATGGGTTCGGTGACTGCCATGACGAATGGACGACTCAGATTCAGTTTCAGAACCTCGTAGAGACCCGCAGTTTGGTCATAGCGACACCACCAGCGAGACTCGCCACTCTGTTCGCGGCGTTTGGCTGCTTTCTTCTGGAGCAAGGTTGGTGCATAAGTCTCTTTCAAAAGGATGGCAAATAGCAATGCAACAGCAGACAGGATGAGTGCAATCCAGCACATCCAGCGCCAGCCGAGATATTGAGTCACGAAACCACCAATGACAGGCCCAAGGACTGTAAAATACTAGTCAGTACACAGAGATAGTTTTGAAGCACGGAGTGTAGCATACCAGGTCCATTCAAAGGCCCAATACTCCAAATGGAGATTGCCAATGCGCGATGCTCATCGTCCACCAGATCAGCCACCATGCCAGGAGCCGTGGAGATCATGACACTGCCGAAGAACGCACCAATGAAGCGAACGACGATGAGTGCCGTGACCGATTTAGCAAGCGCACAGGGGATGATGAGAACAGTGAACACTGCTAAACAAATTACACACACGGGCTTGCGTCCATAGACTTCACTCAGGGGAGCCATGAACATGGAGCCGATAGCTAATCCAATAAGATAGAATGTCAAGCCCAGAGTGACAATGGTTTCGCTCTGGCCGAATTCCTCGGCGATGAGTGCGGTGCCTGACGTGTATGAAGTAGAATATAGGACGCTGTGATAATTAGTGAAGCCCTGACTTCAAAAAGATTGAGACTGAATTTGAGCTCACACGATGAGTGTGTTCCATGACAGGAACAGGATTCCCATGGCCTTGTACTTGAGGCTCCAGTTCTTAGGGTTCTCAGGGTCATTATCATCCCAATCCACCTCGTAGTCTGGATCGGCAGTAGCATTTGTCGCGATGGTGGTCACTCGCTCGGACAGAGACATATACGAGGTCCGCGAACCGCGGGCCGTCAAGGTCTTACCCAGCGCATCATGATCGGTCTGCGTGTCCACCGATGACACGGATTCGCAAATCGAGTCAGTATCATGAGACCTTCGCTCGGTATTTTGGGGCTCTTTCTCCCGATCTGTATTGGGGGACATTTTGGAAGCTTTCAAAGACCAGGGGTCTCTTCTAGAGGCTTTGTTGGTATTGTATGCCGTGAAGACCAATCCACTTCAGTCCAGTCTAGCTGAAACGATTCAGTCCTTTGCAGGAGGTTAGGACTGACAAATCAAGCACCCTAAGTACCCTAAGTCCCCTCTTTAGCAGAAGTTAGACTGCCGATTGATCACAGAATCCCAGCTCACCTCGGGGGAGCCCTATAGATAGGAAAGAAAGAGCGATTCCACTTAAACTAGAAAATTTCCCAGTGGGGCCTACGATGATAAGCATATAAATCCACCATATGAAAACACGAAAACCAACAGGGATGATCCTTCAGTTCCATTGTGGGCCTTTCGGGCATTGGCACAGGTCTGTTCGAGTATCTGGGGAGCGTCTGGGGACTCCATTGACAACAATCTGGTCTGTTTCGACCCAACTCTCCACACGGCCAATGCCAGTGGATTCTCCTAGTGCCGGTTTGCCGAATACCGGTACAAGTATGCTTGGCCTTTAGTTAGTTACGGAGTAGTTAGCTGGAATATCCGACAAGCGTCCCGAAGTCACTCCGTAGTGTACTCCGTGCGTGAAAGAAACGAGTGGCGTGATATTCTAGACCGGCAACAGAACCAATAAGAAACTTGAAACAATCCAGAGCCGATCTTGACTTAAGTGGATATAAAGAAAGACGGTGCTAACAACCAGTTAGGTAGTAACTCCTAACGACGGAATGGATCCGAGCGGAACGTTCCGCCGAGAATCTATAAAATCTCTAAAACCCTAGTTGCTGCTCGACGAAGTACTCTTTACTTTGAGAAAAAATTGGATGTGAGTCCATGATAATGACTTATCTTAGGTATCTTGCAATGGATATGTCTGAGATGGCAAACGAATATTCCCCGAAATTGGATTCTGAGTCTCAGGTCGCACTCGTTTAAAATAACCGAAGTCTCTAAGCGACCTGCCCTTTTGGATGATCGACTAAGAATTTTGTCAATTTATGCAAATTCAAGATGGATAGCTTCTACTCAAACGGCCACTCTCAGCGTTTGTCTGGGACATTCGTAACCTCCTTAAAACCCCTGAGCCCCAGTGACGGTGACCTTGCAAACAAAAGTCCCTACGAAGTAACATGTGGATAATTGCAACCATCTTGGTCCTGGGGACGCTCTACATGTGGCACATTAATCGTGCCATGAAAGTAGTCCCCGACGAAGCAACGGAACTGTCTCCCCATCGCTGGACGACAGAGGAGATCCAAACAGCCTACCAAAAAAGCCTGGAATTCCCCGTCGATGTGACCAAAAGTCTACCTCCCAAGCAAAACCGGCGATATATCATTGTTGGTGGCACTGGTACGTCAACAACTGCCCAGCGCGAGAAACTATACTAACCCGTGAACTTAGGGCTCGTGGGAACATGGATCATCAACCATCTCCTCGCCCGAGGCGAAGACGCACAGGCCATTCGCATCTTGGACGTTGTATCGCCAGTCCAATTTCTCAAGCAAGGAGTGAGCTGGACCAAGACCGACATCACCAACAAACTAGCAGTGAAAACAGCCTTTGAAGAACCCTGGCCCTCCCACGTCGCCCAACTCCCCTTAACCGTCTACCACACAGCAGCCTTAATCCGGCCCCAAGACCGCCTCAAATGCTTCCTCCCACTAAGCAGCAAGGTCAATATCGACGGAACCCGCATCGTCCTCCAAGCGGCCCAAGCAGCCGGAGCAACCGTCTTCATCTGGACATCCTCCGGCTCAACAAGACTACGCAGTCCAACCTTCTGGATCCCACCTTGGACCCGCCACCCCAAACGCATAGTCCAAGTCCTCAGCGACAGCACGTCACCAACGGACCAGTTCTTCGGCAACTATGCCGAAACCAAACACCAAGCCGAACAGATCGTCCAAGCAGCCGATAGCCCCGGATTCCGCACCGGCTGTATCCGCCCGACAAATGGCGTCTACGGCACAGGGGGCGAATCCAAAACTGCCGTCACGGAAATCTACCTCCACAATGGCGGGGCTCCAACATGGGCCGCACCCATTATTCAGAGTTTCGTGCATGCAGAGAACGTCTCTCTCGCTCATCTACTTTACGAACAGCGACTGATCCAGCAATCGGAGCCGGGTTCGACACTGCCTAGTACAGGTGGGCAGTCGTTTATAGTCAGTGATCCTAATCCGGCTATTGCGTTCGGGGACTTGTACAAGGTTCTCACGACCCTTTCAACGACCCCGGTGGAGTTTCCGGAACTCCAACCTGCGCCTTTCTTGCTACTGTCGTATATCGTGGAAGCGTATTATTTCTTACGGTGTAAGATTGGGATTCTGCCCCGCCTCTCGCATGACCTGGAGCAATTGCAGCCCTCTTTATTTGGGATATTGAATGTCCATGTTTTTGCGGATGATTCCCGCGCCAGGTTGGCGCCCGAGGAGGGCGGGTTGGGGTATAACCCGCCACTGACTACGCTGGAGGGGCTGTGTCGTCGTCTTGTGGATTGGAACAAGAAGGCGCAGACGGAGGGTGTTTATGTGAAGGGGAAGAAAATTGTTTTGGGTCCTGTTGCGGTTTCTGAGGATGGAGTTGGATTGGATATTGTCACGCCAGTCAAGCTTTAGATCTTCTACTTCATGCGTGGCGAAAAGATTCATTTAGCACTATGATTTGGGTTTGTAGTATGTTCTTTTCAATAGATTTGATGAGGTTAAACTTGATATATTCAAGTTTCTCTGTTAAGCAGCTGAATTTGGAGTGCATCTGCTATAGCCTGTACCGACCCGCGGGACCCGACTATATCAGTAAAATTGACCTTAGTCACAAGAGGGTGTAGGGGCTGTTTTCGGGGTTTTGAATGGGGCCAATAAGCCGCCATGAGAGACGTGGCTGGGGATAGGGTGAGCAACTGATAGCTTCGGGTCAGGCCCGATCTCAGATCCTCGGCCAAAAATATGACGGATGTGCATGACATGAGACGCAGGGACCAGAAGCAAGATGTTCAAGCTGTATCCGTGTGCAAGCGCTCAAAGCACGTCGCGACCGCCATGGAAGTAAGCCAGCCAGCCACAAGATTGAAACTCTTCGAGCATAGACAAACAAAATCCACTAGCGCGTCTGCTGTTGAGCCATCTGTCTCCTGTGTTCAAGAATCTGCAAGCGCAAACCCTCAGACGCAACCTCCACATCAAGAATCGCCCCAACACCCCTCTTCCACGTCTCTTCCAAACTAACCAATTCACCCTGACTAGCCTCCTGAGCAATTTTCCTCTCCTTGTTCACCTGCGCCGCAGCCTCCTTCGTCTCCGCAAGCTCTTTCTCCAGCCCACCCAGAATCTCCTCCAGCTGCGAATTTCCAATCAACCAAGCATTCTTTCCATGCTCTTCCAACAAAGCCAGATTCTCATGACGTTTCGACAGATGCAAGCTAGACGCATACGCTTTCTGCAACGTCTTGCGCCACTCTTCTAGATCCGGTGCGCCATCGCTAGTCGGCGCCTCTGGTGCTTCGTAGCGGGAGAGATCGATACCCGTGAGAGAGGCGCCTGTCGCTTTGCGCTCGAGTTCTTGTGTGATGAATGGTGAGAATTGGGGCTGTGAGGCTTCTGGGATCCAGGGGTGCAGTGTGGTGGCATGGTCTTTGGGGAGCTCGGCGTTGATGAGCTGCTGGGCTCGCGCGTGAGCGGTCGCCGTGGGCGCCGCGTCGATATCTGGGAATCTGAGTTAGTGGAACTGTTTGAGACATGGCAGATTAAGACCGTAGATACTTACAGGGTAGCGAATCGTGAATATCGTTGATGAGAGGCATTTTGGGGGGTTTGTACTTGGACTAAAAGTTGCTTGACGGTTCTGAGAGTGAAAGTGGACCCTGCACGTGATCTTGAAGTATACAGCCCTTAATGGGCCAAAATTATCACATAACTTGAGAAATTAAGGATTTTGATGCTTTTTCGAGTTCATAGATATATTGGGACTAACTAACTAATGGAATGAGCAGAAAATGATAGCTGCAGCAAATACAGAGTCAGACTTGTGCCCTATAGTCCGTCCTGGCTTTCCGGGCCCATGGGCTTTGCACAACACGGTACGTTATCCAGACAGCTATCGACCAGCGGCTTATTAAGGTCGGGAGTCTGTTTAAGATTCTGCCGGTCTGGAAGATCCGTCTGATTGGGACGATCACGAGAGCGAACACGACGGATACCTCACACCGGACCTGTAGACGGCGAATCCGAGAACGAGGTTGGCGCCGCATCTATTCAAGTGGTGCAATCTACCACACAGCCTTACTTCTGCGACAATGCCAAGTAAATGCCCGATGTCTACGGAGTATTATTCTCTGGCATCCTAGCACCAGCGGCTAGAGAGTCAATGCATCTGCAGAAGAGAGGGCGCTTAGGATGGGGCTGTAGTGCCGATTTTTCCCTAACACTGGCTTAAAATAGACTCAACTCATAGCCAAAAAGAAAATAAGAGAAGGAGAACAGCCAAAGTCTCCAATTTCAAGGGAAAAAAAGGCCTGTAGAGTTGTTTTTTCTTTTTCTTTTTTTTTTTGAAACCTCAAGATGGCACATACAAGAAGCCAAAATTGGCCGGCTTATCAAAGCGAATCCTATGACTCGATTTCTGATCTCTCAAGCCAAATCAGCGAGGAAGTCAGCAAGGAAGGTGAACACCAGCTCTCGTAGGCATTTATGTCCTCACTCTTCTTCGCGTTCGCGGATCATAAAGGGGAATGCTGACCATCATATCGTAGGGCTGAAGTACTCGATGATCAGGAAGCCAGGCCGCTTGCACTAAGCGAGCCTCTTACCAAGCCCTCTAAATGGGAGGCCATATTTCGCACTCTTGGTCTAGGAATCATGTTCAACAAGTTTGCCCAACGCGATAGGGAATACCCCAAGGTAGCGATCTGGAAATGTCGACTAGTGGCGCTACCAAAGGTGCTATTGCATATTGTGCCATTATGCACGTCAATCTTCCTTGTGTCTATCAACATAATTGGATACTGGTTGGGGACCGAGATCAGCGGAATACAAGGCTACAACAGCGCCAAACTTGGTGGATTGCAATTTGCAGCTAAGATGCACGAAATCACCATCATGGCTTCGCTGAGCACGATCGTCTTTACCCTTGTTCAGATGAGACTTGTCTCACAAAAAGTCGCATTCGGCAGTGTCTTCTCTGGTCTTCAATTTCAGACTTTGAGTTATCTCTGGTCCAAAGAACTGTGGGAAGTGATAGTCTCCGAATGGGGGCAACCGCACGGGAAACTCTTCGTGGTGGCCCTGCTGCTGGCAACGGTTCTGGCGCCTAGTGTTGGGCCATCCTCGGCCGTCTTGATGGTCCCCAAGCTCCAAGACTGGCCCGTGGGAGGAACCGAGTTTTGGCTGAACGCCACTCGAGATGAGCTCTGGCCGCTGGAAGTCAGTGACAGCGGAGTCGACCGGTCGTGCGCGGTCACCGAGAACAGCCGACAGCTATATTGCCCATCATCGGGCCTACAAGCCTTCCTAGGCGGGCATGTTTGGGGGCTTCGGGGTCTAAACTTCCTCAGTGGAGGATGGGGTGCAAATGAAATGGTAGATACCCCGACAGAAGTGTCTCTGCCAGGCACGCACAGCTCCCGCATCTTGTGGGAGGGATACCTCCAAGAGGAACTAATTATAGTTGCGTTCTGTCCAAGTACGGTGGTGGCCGATTCGCTCGCCCTGGCAGCGATGCACTGGGACTATGCCAGTCGATGCGCGCCCCTGCGGCCGCACTTTGCCCGGCGTAATTCGGCCTCCTTCACCATCACAAACCTCAAACAGCCTATCACCAACGTCGTCTGTAACAACCTGAATCTGACCGGCGGAATCTCGGATCTCCTCAAAGGCGGAATTGGTTTCCCGGTATGGGACACCTACATGCATGGCGCCAACGCATTCCCGAAGCTCGACAGCTCTGCGCTAGCGAACCAGGTTCTTGAGCAGCTGAAAAAGAACAGCTCTCGCCCCGACCTATTCTGGCTGAAGCTGGACCAGTCCGTATTTGGAAACAATTCGATCGGGGTAATCGCCACGCTACCTGCAACAAGCGAACAAGGACAGAACAGCAGCAAGGTCCTAGCCTGCACGGTCGACTCCCACTGGATGAGTCTGCAGTACCAAATCAACACCACCACCTCCGACGCCCCGTGGGCCGTGCGGGCCGATTTCAACACCTTCAAGAGCCTGCGGCGGTCCTTTATTGCCGCCCTGCCTCGCATCCACATCGACACCAAGTGGGCGCAGTATCTTAACCCCTCCTCCTCTACCAAAAACATCACCTTTTTCGAAGAGCTGGCCGTATCTGCAGGTATCTGGTCAGCCGATGGTGATACGCAAACTGAGCAAATCGAGTTCTCCGACTACGCCGTCGAATCTATCCTTGCAGGAATGATAACCAACGGTCTCTCCACTGTCAGCTTTCAGTCTACTGGCATCCAGGGCACGGTCCCAGGGTCGCTGGACTGTTACAGCGGTTGGGTAGATCCATTCTTCCCGCGGGCCCCCCGCGGACTCGGCCGGGCCGCAGGAACGCCGTGGAACATGACGGGCGTCGACACAACCAACATGACCCGATTCACCATGACGGTGACCGCCAACGGGTATGCGTACGGGGTGAGTGGGGCCACCTCGATCGTCGCAATAGTCATTCTGTTGGTGTACTGCGCGATGGCCATTTTCCACGCGGTGCATGTATGCTGGACGGGCTTGAGCTCGTCGAGCTGGGACTCGATCCCAGATCTGGCTGCCCTGGCCATTCAGTCTAGCCCTACTGAAGTTTTGAAGAATACCGGGGCGGGGATCTCTACAACGGCTGTGTTTCGCGAGCCGGTTCAGGTTCTGGATGTGCGGCGGCGATTAAGGCTGACGTTCAGGGACACGGAGGATGATGGGGTACCGGTTGAAAAGAATGAGACCTATGAATAGGGAGCTACTAAGTTTAATAGAATTGCATGGTATTCATATACCCGGGGGACTAACTAGAATTTCCTCAGTGAACCGTCTTAATTATTGCCATTGCCATATATTCACACCTTCATCCATGGATGTCATCCGGGAGTCTATTCCCCTTTAGGCTGCGGAAAAGACCCCCATCGCTTAAATGAACGTTACATGGTCTTTAGAAACATCCCTGTATAAGAGGTACACTATCGAGATGGATCTTTGCTACGCTTGAATGATCTTCCAAACCTAGATCTTCATCTCGGTGGGTTTGACTGCCGGTATAAGTTCATGTCTGAGGCCCTGCGCGAGGAATTTCCTTTCCCACGCACCGGGGCAGTTTCCTCCACTGAAGCGTGCCTTCTCTTTCTTCAACTTATAACAAGAAATTGAGAAATTGAAGTATGACAAATACTCGATTGGGTGGCATCTTTGCTGTCGTGGCTCTTGCGGCGCTGGTGTTTTTACAGTTGCTTGCAGTATTCAACTATGACCGCCAGACTCCGCAAGTAAGTTTGACCAGGAGCATCAACCAATGGAGAAGCAGGGCAAGCGATGAGACAGCAGATGATATATTCTTGGTAGGAGCAGGCAAAGCAGATGTAACAGGGTATGTACATGATTTCCACCCAAGCTGGTAGTTCGAATTGCTGATATATTAGACCTGTGGTCGAGGTCGACTTCAATGGCTATGCGACTCTAGGTCAACTAGGCACAGGCCTCAAGCAACGAATATATTCCCGTGCTTTCATCTTCGCCGACGCCAATCAGCCGAATGACACCTTCGTGTACTTAGTCCTCGATACGCTTGCGGGTGATACGGCTGTGCAACATGGTGTTCTGCAGGGTCTCGCTGCACTCGGTGGTGCTTATGCGCGGTATGGCGAGCACAATGTCGCACTGACAGGGACGCATTCTCATTCTGGACCGGGAGCATGGATGAACTATCTGCTGCCTCAGATCCCCACGAGGGGATTCAACATGCAGAGTTATCAGGCGATTGTTGATGGTACAATCTTGTCTGTTATCCGTGCCCATGAGAATCTGGCGCCGGGCAGACTCTCCTTCGGAACGATTGACTTGGAAGATGCGAATGTCAACCGCAGTCCGTATTCGTATGATCACAACCCGGAGGAAGAAAAGGTGCGGTACTCTGCGAATGTAGACAAAACGCTGTCTCTGCTCCGATTTGACCGCCAGTCAGATAACAAGACGGCCGCAATCTTGACGTGGTTCCCTGTTCATGGTACATCGATGTACAACAATAACACGCTTGTCACCGGTGACAACAAGGGAGTTGCGGCTTATCTTTTTGAGCGCAGCATATCAGGGGACATAAGATTCACCGAAGATGCAGTGGTAGGATTCTCTCAAGCTAATGTTGGAGACAGCAGCCCCAACATCTTGGGGGCTTGGTGTGAAGATGGCTCTGGAAAGGAATGTAAGTATTCGGACAGTACCTGTGGCGGGACCAACGAAGCATGTCATGGCCGAGGGCCTTTCTTCCGCGAGAAAGACAATGGTGCAAAAAGTTGCTTCGAAATCGGGCGTCGCCAGTATTTCAAAGCAAAGGAGCTTTACGAGCAAATGGGCAGCTCTATGAAACTCACCGGTAATTCGGTCCGGTCTTTCCACGTATATCAAGACATGAACGGCTACACATTTCCCTCGCCATTCAACTCGTCTACCCTCAAAACCTGCCCCGCGGCCCTGGGATATTCATTCGCCGCGGGCACTACAGATGGACCGGGGGCATTTGACTTCACGCAAAATTCTACCAGCCCAGCCGAGGGGAATCCATTCTGGCAAATCGCCCGTGCTTTCATTCACCAACCTACTCCAAAGCAACAGACTTGCCAAGGCGCCAAAGACGTGCTTCTGGATGTGGGCACTTTGACTGAGCCATATGCATGGGCCGCAGATATCGTGGATATCCAAGTTCTCCGCGTGGGACAATTGTTCATGATCATTTCTGCCAGCGAAGCCACGACCATGTCTGGGCGACGTTGGAGGGAGGCTATTGCCGCGAAGGCCAAGAGTCAGCTCTCCATCCCCAACCCACAGGTCGTCTTAGGAGCCCCGTCTAACAGTTACGCGCATTACGTGACTACCGAGGAAGAGTATCAAGTCCAGCGATACGAGGGCGCTTCTACCCTGTTTGGGCCGCACACGCTAGCCGCCTACATCAATCTGACCTTCACATATCTCCCATATTTGGGGAGTGCGCCTGACGTTGCTTTGTTGTCAGCCATACCAGCAGGCCCCAATCCCCCCGTTAACACCAACAGATCCATCGGCTTTATTCCAGGTGTTTGGTTTGACGAAGCGCCTATCGGCCGGTCTTTCGGGGACGTGCTTTCATCGGGGAGTGGGTCTTACAGCCCCGGCGACATTGTCAATACAACGTTCGTGGGCGCTAATCCTCGCAACCACCTGCACCAGGAGTCGACCTTTGCTGCAGTAGAAAGAAAAACGGATTCCGGTTGGGAGGTTATCCGCGATGACCGCGATTGGAATTTGGAGTTCTTATGGACCCGGACAAATACTCTTCTTGGATATAGCGAGGTGACTATTCGATGGCAGATCGAGGATGAGTACTACAATGTGGGTAACCCGGCACTTCTGCAGACGGGGACCTATCGGATGCATTATTATGGAGATTCCAAGAATATCCTTGGTCAGATCTCGCCCTTTGAAGGTATAGGGGGGACGTTTACCGTGCAGGCTTAGCTTTATATTGCTCCGAAGCCGTGGAATATATTTTGTCTCTTCAATTTCTCTTCAATTGAAACGAAATCAAACTCACCTCTACACAATTGACACTTTTGAATATGAAAACAGAAGTGAAAATACCCAGGTGAGTCAGGGCAAGGTGTGCAGCCAATCACCGTCCTCAAACGACCCCTGTCAACTCCCGGCGCCTACTGCGACAATTCTTTGTCGATCTATTTCGGTCGATTTGGTGAAACTTCTTCAATGCCCCTTGCAATGGCGGTTTGCTCAGAACTAGCTACATCAGGCAAACAATGGTCCCAAAAAAGCCCAAAAAAAGACTAAAGCAAGCCCTAGTCCCGGCTAGATCTCCAGATATACCAGCCACCACCCTCGATGGCGCTCTGAAAGAGGCCAATTTTCTTTCCTGTTGAGACTCCAGTGGCTTCAGTTTGCCTCACTCTTTTGTTTCTATTCACCTGGGCAGTTCCGTGGTCGCTACTGATCCTCATTCATTCATTCTGCAAAGCCACTAGAGCGCCTCTATTCATCCTCATTTAATACACTACATTGTCTCTGGCCATGCTATTCTGGCGCCATCCTTTCTCTCTCATTCAGTCTCTCTTTTATATCTCTGTCTGATCATCTGTCTGTTTCCCACACACTCGCTCTCGAAGTATCCTGGCACTTCCATCGCTCGTTATTTCGGAAATGTTTCGCCAGCTATTTTTGTTATTCTTTTTAACGTGGAGTGTTTCGGCAGGTCCGATCTCTCGCTGGTCAGATACATCCCCAGATCTCTCGGGGATAGAGATTGAGCGCCAAAATGAAGGCGCTATTACGATTACTCCGGTGGCAGCGCCTACCCTGGTGCCTGAGGAAACAATTGCCGCAGAACCAACCGTTTCACAGAAGCCGACGTCTGATATTCCCATCTCAGTTGAGCCAACAAGCTTCTCACAGACATCCTCAGCGGTAGTTGAGGATCCGACAAACTCTGTCACACCACTTGAATCACCGTTTGAAACATCTTCTATGGACTCAGCGACATTGTCTTTGGAAGTCAGTGCTCTGACAACTTCCTCTTCGGCACCTGTCACTCCTGACATGACTACTGTAGAGTCGACATCGTCCCAGTCAGCTATTCCTACCTCTACATTGAATGGGTTCAGTGATCATATAACTCCATCCACCTCTGTCGTTCCTTCCGTCACTACTTTCGAATCGACATCTCAGTCAGTTCCCCCGAGCTCGATCTCAATCTCAATCGAACCCAGTTCTGGAGTCCTCTCGTCTTCTACAGCTGTCACTGCTTCTATAACCGCCTTCGAGTCGATATCTTCTCAGTCAATCGCTCCGAGTTCGACCCCAATCGAACCAAGTAATGGGACGCCGTCCTCCAACATTATCATTCCTTCTACCACTAGCACCGAGTCGACATTTTCTCAGTCAATTGTCTCGAGCCCAAGCTCGAGCTCAATCTCAATTGAAATTAGTGCTGGAATACCTTCGTCTTCTGCAGCTGTCATTCCTTCGAATACCATCGAATCGATATTGTCTCAGTCAATCACTCCGAGCTCGAGCTCAATTGAGCCAAGTTCTGGGACACCCTTCTCTTCAACAATTGTCACTCCTTCCATCACTAGCATCGAGCCGGTATCTTCCCCGTCGATTATCCCGAGTTCGACCTCAGTTGAACCCAGTGCTGTGACACCTTCCTCTTCGTCGTTCACCCCCTCTTCGACAGCCATACCAACGACCTCCTCTAGGCCAATCCCTCCAAGCTCGTCGTTGAGCGAAGCTTCATCAGTGGCACCGACGACTGGTAGCGCTAACAATACCACACAAACCCCAACTGGCAGCTCAAACAGCGTGCAAGGCTCAACTTCACTGCAAATTCCAACATCTACTAGTTCAATCGCTATTTTCAAAGATCCTATTTATGGGTCGAGTTCAGCCGCCGTTTCAGGGTCGGCAAGCTTGCAGCCAAGTTCATGGCTGTCAAGTAGTGCTCTGTATCAGACACCCAATGTCACAAGCTCAACAGCTTATTCTCAGCTCGCATCTCAGACAGTGGCATCATCTTCACTGAGCTCTATGATGGCTGCAGGAGCTTCCACTCAGCCATCCAGTGTCAACAACACTCTACTGACGACACCCACCTCCAGTGTCTCACAGCTGGATACAGCAGTCTCGACATCCGAGAGTGCCAGTCCAACAATTGGCGTTGTTGCACCTCTGGGTGGATCGAGTAGCAGTAATGCATTGTTCCCCACGCCGACGCCAGTTTCATCTCTCTCGGGGACTGAGTCATTGACAATCTCTCCACAGGCACAGTCCGCAGCAGCAGTTACTTCTGCCACAGAATCAGAACCAGTTGAGGTAGTAACCGAGCCTGTGATTGTATATGTGACGAGACCATCACCCACTCCCTCAACAAGCACTACTCCATCCACTATCAGCTCTTCCATTGATCCAACAGACTCTTCATTTTCAGCAACAGCAACACCTTTGTCACAGGAGCCAGAAGATATAACAACCATCTTCTCGAGCATCACAGTGCAGGCTACAACGACGAGTATTGTCAGTGTGACGGTCTATCCAACAGAGCCATCACCAGTAGCATCCAGTGAAACAGCCACAAACGAGTCCACCCAAGATGCAAACGCAGTACCCGAAGAAACAGTCCACGTCACTTCCAAAACAGTGATCTCCGAAACCGTCTATCTGACTCCCTCTGCAACCACACTCAACGCGGCCCCAACCGAACTCTCCAGTGAAGACACAGCACCCGAAGAGACCGTCCATGTCACATCGACAACCGTCGTCCTTGAAACTGCCTACCCAACCCCTCTGCCAACGCAAGAATCAACAGACGAAGACACACTCGCACCAGTAGAGACAGTACACGTCACATCACGAACCGTCGTCCCAGAGACAGTCTACCAAACACCCTCAACAGCCAACGCAGACCCAACAGAGTCTCCTCAAAGCGAAGACGCACCCGAGACAATACATGTGACATCCCAAACCGTCGTCCATGAAACAGTCTACCAGACACCCTTAGCAACACCCATGCCAGAGGCAGACCCAATCCCCAGTGACGAGTCCGGGCCAGTGGAAACAGTTCACGTTACAGCAACGACAGTAGTCCGAGTAACCGTCTACCCCAAGCCATCGACGTCGGATGCAGCACCCACAGATCCAGTCCAGCCTCTACCAACCGAGTCTCTACCAACCGAGGCTCTACCAACCGAGGCTCTACCAACTGAGGCTCTACCAACTGAGGCTCTACCAACTGAGGCTCTACCAACTGAGGCTCTACCAACTGA